GGCAGACTTTCTGACTAGCTTGTCGTATATGTCATAAATTTATTTTACAGCACAAAATGGATGTGAACATAATTTTAAAAGGGGGCAGGGAGGGAGTTCCCCAGGTTGTGGTTTTGATTTTTGATAGAGCATGTCTACCTGAGCATTTTGGACCAAGGAGGGTTGTGCTGCAATTTCTTTGAAGCCAAGTTGAGTTTCAAGCCTGGTGGTCTAGATGCTTCGTCCTCTCCATTTGTGACATTCTAGAATCCAGCAGAAAATGGGTGCATGCTTTTTCTACACTTACAAATGCCTTCTGCATTGGGCAGTCTGGCCAGGGAATGTTGTTGTTGTTCATCCTGGGAAAGAGTCTCGATTGCATTCTCTCCTTGTTGATTATTGGATTTTGCTCATCAAGTGTATCTGTGGCAGTATTGAGGTGCACTGTAGCCAAGTTATCCTGAGGTGGTTTTGCATGATGTCATATGCGGAATGTTACTTTCATCATTTCCATAAGAGAGGCTTAGCAAATACCACATCTTGCCACCTGGAATATATTCGTAGGAATTGCCTCCTTCTGACCAGTATTAGAAACTGAGATATAAAAGCTAGGAGCTAAATTGCACCTTAAATCTAGGTTATGGGTGCAACAACAGAATGTCTAGGTGCGCTTTTTTATAACAAGAATTCAAAGCTGAAAATTCATTCAACTGCAGCTAAAATATTATGTTCATTTTTCACATGGTCTACTCCTTCCCTTGCCCACCCCCCAATATTCTTAAGAGGGTCTCTTCTCCAGTCTTCAGAGAGTAGCTGGAAGTGGGGAGGCAGAAAAAGGTCCTCCTTTCCTTCCACTCTGCAGTTTCAATCTGAAATCTTAGGTGCAGTACTGCGCCCAGAACTCAGAAACTGCTTGCGCTAATGAAATTCTCTGTCGCAAAATGTGCCTAGAACAATGGGAGTTTCGAACACTGGTCCTTGCAGTCCAGATGTCCAGCTCCTTGGGACATCCCCTCTCCTCTTGGTTCTGCAAGTCTCCATAGTCTCTTCCTTCATGTTTAATCTGACTGGTGCTGCTGGGGAAGATTGTGCATAGAGATCTGGAGTAGAAGGAGAACTCCAGCTCTTGCTGGGTTTTGTTTTTTTTGTCTCTGTGTTTATGTGCGGCTTGGCTTCTATTGGCAGTTGGATGTGGGAGAGCGGAGTACAGTTAAATCAAAACCAGAGCCATGGCAGTGGTAGCAGGCAGCCCCATCTGGCAGCCAGGGATCAGGAGAGCACAGCACGCGGGGAAGAGTTCAGGCAAGCTCTCTCTAGCCAGGCAAGGGAGCTCTTCCTGGGCTATGAGAGGAGCAGGAGGCAGCAAACAGCCCTCCCAAGTTGGAGGCAGGAATGTTTCCACAAAGCATGTTGTTGTACCTGACTTGTGTAGCTCATCCAGCAGGCTCTTCACAAGTTCAGGAGTAGAATACATGCTGTGCATACAGGAGGCCCCCTTTACATCCCCCCTGCTAGCCCTACAAGTAGGGCCAGAAAGAATTCTTGTCTAAGGAGAGATGCTGGAGAGATCCTACCAGTCAGAGCTGCTGGCACTGTGCTAGACGGGTGAATAGTCTGACTCTGTATTTAGCATCTTCATCTGCCCCGCTCAGCAATCTGGGGGAGGAGCTCTAGCATCACTTACAGTCCCCCATCCCTTCAGTGGTACCCCCAGACGTTTTGCTGCCCCGGTCAAACATTTCTTTCTGTCTGGAAAACTTGCTTTCAAGATGTCCACCTACCTTCCATCTCAAGAAGTACATGTTTTGCCAACGAGGCATTCCAAAGCTGTTTTCTCTTCCCGCCCCATCTCCCCCCCCCCCAGCCCAGTTTGACATGTGGTCCAGTTCCCGCAATAGTTTTCAGGATTTTCAAAATTACTTGCAAGGAAGTCATATTTTAGTGCAAAGGGTTCAGGAGTTTACAGCAGAAGGGGAAGAGGCTCAGTTGGATGCGATGCAGATACTTGATGTCAGTTTGGCGTGTTCCCAGCAGTGGCTTGGAGAGGGGCGTGCATGATAGATGTGAGACGAAAGGTGTCGCCAGGGCGCGTGCTTTGACCTCCTTCTCCCTCACAAAAAACACTTTGGTGCCACTTTGGGTGCCCTGTGCCTGATAGAGCTGAATTTCTTCAAAGTAGCCCCTAGATCAGAACCGGCAGGACTCCTGGGTTCCTTGAAGAACTGCCTGGCTAGAGCTGTTGCTGTTTGCAATCCTGTCGTGGGTAAGAGCACTGCAGTGGGAGGTGCTCTGCCATGTCTGAAAGGGGTGGGCTTCCCCTCTCCAGCTCTGTTTTGAGAAAGTGGTGGAGGAGGCTACCGTGTTTTCCACAACTGCAGGACTGGGAGAAACCTGGAGCCTTTCCTGGAGTTCCTAGAGACAGAGAATGTGGCACTTGCCTGCTTTGCATGTATTAAAGGGTGCTCCAGAAAAAGAACAGCGTCTCAAATTGAGAGAGCCATTTACTTGCTGTTTAGTGCCAACAGGGGTGGTTCATGCCAACCCCTTCAAAGGTGGGTATTCCTTGCAGTTCAGAGAGGAAACGCATTTTAGTATGGCTTAAGTTGGGCAGAGGGTACTGTATTATCATTTATTTGGTTTAATTCTATGTTAGAAAGAGGAGAGGAGAGATCAAGCATTAAATAAGACCATTATTATCAGTAGTAGTCATCACAAGACCATTCCTGAATAAGCCTTCCCTAGACCTGGAAGATCTGAATAATTTTTGACAAGTATCAAATGTCCCCATTTTAGGCAAGGTTCTTGAGAGGGTGGTTGCCAAACAGATTCAGGTGCTCTTGGAAGAGACAGGTTTTCTGGATCCATTTCAGTTTGGACTGAAGCCTGATTTTAGTACTGAAACTGCCTTAGTTACCCTGTATAATGACCTGTGTTGGGAACAAGGCAGGGGGATTGTGACTATGTTGATCCTCATTGATCGCTTGGCGACTTTCAATATCATCAGCCATGGTATCCTTCTGAGGCGACTGTCTGAGTTGGGTATTGGGGGCACTGCATTGTGGAGGTTCCACTCCTCCTTGGATGGATGGCTCCAGAAGGTGGTTCTTGGGGAGCATTGCTCAACTCTTGTGTTTTATCTAGTATGGGGTCCTGCATGAATCACAGAGTCAGTTCTGTTTCCCATGCTCTTTAATATCTAGATGAAACAGCTGAGTGGGTTCATACTGATTTCTGGAGTGTGTTGTTATCAGTATGCTGATGACACAGTTCTAGCCCTCCTTTTCATCTTCTGCAGGTGAGGCAGGCAGTGTTCTGAATCAGTGCTTGGTTGCAATAATGGACTGGATGAGAGACTGAAATGTTGGTAGGTGGTTCCTCTGACCTGCTGAGTGGCGTTTGGCCTGTTCTAGGTGGGGGTTACACTCCCTCCGAAACAGCGGGTTCATAGTTTGGGCGTTCCTCCAAGACTCATTGCTGTCAGTTCAATTATGACCCTACCTGCACAAGGATAACTTGGCTACAACAATCTTTTCTCTGATAACCTCGAGGTTGGATTACTGCAGAGCAATTTATATGGGGCTGCCTTTTAAAAACTTTGGAAGCCTCAATTAGTGCAGAGTGTGGCTGCCCAGCTGTTGACAGCTTCAAGACAAACAGATCATATAACACCAGTTCTGTTCCAACAACACTGGTTGCCTGTATGCCTCCAAGCCCAATTCAAAGTGCTGGTTTTGACCTTTAGAGCTCAGGATCTCCAATATGAACCTACCGGGGCCTTTAGAGCTTTGTTGAGGCCCTTCTGCAGATTCCGGTTCTGAGGGTGGTGACAAGGGAAGAGGGCTTTTCAGTTGTGGCTCCCATCTATGGAATGTGCTCCTCAGCATTGCCCGCCTAATGCCTTCATTGACTGATACCAGGAGAAAGCCTATGTTTCCCCCCAGCCTTTTGACAGATGAAAGATGACGCTTTTGTTGTTAGTGTGCTGCCAAAGCTTCCTGCGGCTCTTAAGGGGGTTACTTTTTGTTTTGGTTCCATGCTATAGTATATTTATTTGTTCTTTTAACAGTGTTGTAAGTTACTTGGAGACCTTCAGGTAGCAAGCAAATAGCAAATCTGATTATTAATAGTGTTAATACTACTAGTGCCACAAGCTGTGGAAAAATAAGGATTTCAAAATCTGTCTAAGAGTGGAGAGGGAGTTCTGGTACTGTTATTTCTATTTTAAAGACAAACTTCAGCATGAACAATAAAAAGACCCGTCCTTCACAGTAAAAAAAGGAGGGGTCATTTTTTCCTCTCATCTGCTTTTTCAATCAATTAGCATAGGTTTGGTTATTTCATTTATTCTTTCTTCCTGCATAGAACACACTCAATTTCACAGACACAATTTGTACCACACAGAGAGCCCATGTAGAAGATCAAATTATGTTGATTCATAACAATAAGGGTCAATAAATTTGGGGTAAATCATTAGGGTTGCCAGTTTTTCTGTCTCAGCAGACATTAACCAGTAATAAAGTACATTTTGGATTCTTTAGACTAAAATGCTAATAAAGGCACTGTGGGCAGATTGGGCCTTTTTTTGGTCATGTGGTATTGTGGTAACTGTAGTGGGCATAAACTCTCTGTGGAAACAACCGGTTCTCCAAATAAAGGCAGAAAATGGCACCTCCAGCTGCCTTTGGGCAATTCAGTCCAAGCTGTTGCTCCCCAAAGACCTGGGAAGGCACAGCACCCTCCATGAGCAGTATGCAAAGCTATGGACATGAAATGCACTGCTCTCCATACTGTTTCTGATTGGCACTTCTGCTGGTCCTGCTTCTACATCTGAGGACACATGTTCAGCCTAGAATCTTTAAAGAAAATTATATGTTAAGCCCGGATTTTGATGTGGCAGTGCAGCACTGCATAAGCACAAAGTTGCCACAAAGTGCAAGGCGGCAGGGGGGAGGGGGAGGCGAAGGCGAATCCGTTTTGGCATCTTTCCCTTTCTCCCTGCCGTCTCCCATGATAGGATTTGCAGAAGAAGAAATTATAGGCAGTTCCTGTTAAGAGCTAAGTTGGTTGCTGAGTTGCCTTTAGGCCTCTCGCAGGCCTGTCAGTTTCCAAACTGGGGCAGGAGAATGTGGACAGCTGCATTTCTTCCTTGCAACAGTGAAATATTTTTTCCTCATTCATGACCCGGCAGAAACAGCTGGGCCTCTGCTGTTGGTCATTGGACCTGGCAGCCACCTGGTGGCATCTCTGCCTCTCCAACATAGGGGACAAGAGACTGCTGGGACAGCAGATGCAGTGGTGGTGATATTTTCACCCTTGCCAAGATTTTAGGGCTGGGCTGAGCCGGGGGGGGGGTTGCCCACTTCCCCTCCCAAGCACAACACCCCTTAACAATGTAAACACCAGCACCAGATGGTAACTATGGTTAAAGTAAACCAGGCAGGTTCCCACCAGGGTTTGCTAAACAGCTGAGGCCTCTTTAGTTCAGCTTCAACAATCAGTCATTTAAAAATGGCCGCCTTTAACAGTTTTCTTCTCAAAGAGAGGCAACAATCCTCAGCCAGAGATGTCTGCTCACATTTACAAATGATGCTGAAAATGTACAAGGAGATGACGGTTGGTCTTTTCACAGGAGCCCTCTGGATTCAAGATTGGCTGTTTGTTGTGTCCTGTTTGTGGGGCTGGGGTAGCTCAGGCAGTGAACGCAGAGCAGTCACCTGTTTGCTCAACTCTTTCCCCCTCCCTTCTCTGTTCCAGAGTTCCTACCCCATCTGGGAAGATTTCAACTCCAAGGCAACTAAACTCCACTCCCAACTGCGGTGAGTTTCTCAACAGAACTGGCACAGCAACAACACAGCTGCCATTTGTCCCCTAGCTTGGTCTTCTCGCCATGTGTGTCATGAAAAGAGACTCTTGATTTCTTCTATGCTCTCAGCTTCCTCTCCCCACACCCTCCTTTCTTTAGAAAATAAACGATGTGTCCCCAGCTGGTTCAGGTTCTTTTGAAACCCCACAGCCAGTAGCACTGCACATAGTGAGAGCGTAGACCAAGCTTCACCAACCAGCTGCCCTCCAGCTGCTTTGGACTACAGCTCCCATCGGACCCAAAATCACCTAGTCATGCTAGCTGTAGCTGATGGGAGTTGTAGTCCAAAACAGCTGGAGGGTGCCAGGTGATGGGGTAGATTTTGCATGGCAGATTACAGTTTCATCAGGCGCTCTTAGCCAAACAGCAGTGCAAGCTGGGCAAATATCCCCAAGCGGTGTATATTTTCCAGCTGGCAGCTGCTCTAGGAGTTGAATGACACTGGCCAGAGGAATGAGAGCTGATGGGTGGGGGTTTTTTTTGGATGATTGTAATCTGCTGCAAGCTACCTTGGAGATCATTGGATCCAAAAGCTGGGTGGAGGTCTTCTCTCAGATGAAATGCAGTCTGAGTCTATTTTTTAAAAACCGCCCTGCATCATTTCTTTGTGGGGAAACAAAACCTGTGCAGATCTGTGTCCTGAGCCCTGTGTCATAGGGCTCAATCCACATACAGTGAAATGGGCCCAGGAAATTCTGCTGGCATCCCTGGAGGCTGTGACTACCACATAATGAGCTGGGGATGCCCCGGTTCAATGCAAAAATAAAATAACTCACTTCTTTAAGTTAAGTTTTAGAAGCAATGGGGAGGGCAGAATCCTAGTAGCTTTGCTGCCAGTAATGAGAGGTCCCACCCATATGGCTGCTCAGAAACACCATAGTTGGCCCCCGAGTTCCTTTCACCTGCCATTTCTTACCTGAATGTCCCTCTCCACAAGAAGGTACCATTTCTTAGCATGATCTGGTGTGCACGTTCTGATCCTCCTTTCCATCCCCTTCCAGCTATCACAGAAAAGCATGTGCCAAAGTCGCAGCCTCCCCATGTCAGCCGCTTTCTCTCAGACAAGTGTGCCTGCTCTTTTCTCTGGAACTGCCATTCTTCCTTCTCTCCCTTTTGATAGATCATCACTGTGATCTTGTTGTTAGTTCTTTGTATCCTAGGGATTTTTATTTTCTCTCAATATTTTTCAGACCTTGTGGCTCTTTTTCTTTTTGTAACAAAACAAAATTGAAGTACCAGCCCATCTACAGGCAAAGTGCTATTGAGTCTTTTAATGGCTCCTTTGCCTTTTTAATTAAACAGTTCCTGTTTGCAGATTTAACTCATAGCTTTGTGATTAGCACTGGTTCAAGATTAGTGGTGAGTAGCTTTTAATATCCTCCTGAATAGCCTTTCTAAATTGGCTTAATATTGGTTGTGGTTCCCATGGGGAGGGGAAAGCTCCATTTATTATTTTTATTTTTTTTTAAAAAAATAGCTGCTATTTAAATAGCTGCTATTTAAAAAATAGCTTTTAAATCATTTTAAAAAATGATTTTAAAAAATAGCACAATACATTTTTGGCTATATAAAAATGAGGGTAGGTGGGTGCGGAGTCACACTTACACAAGGAAATCTGTAATCCAAGCCCCCACCCCATGGGAACAGAAACTGACCCTAGGCCGGCAATTAACCAAATCCATTCAAGGGGCAATTAATAGGCTGTTCATAATTGATGCCAGGTAACATAAAATGGGATCATTCTATAAGGAGTAAACTTTTAATTAAAGCTTCTGAAAACCTTTCATGAACAGGATTTTCTTGTGAGTTAATGTTATAGAAGGATCTTGAGAATAATAGATAATACAGTGCCATTTTAAGCCATTGTGTGGAACCTCTATTTTCAAATTTTTTTTAGTTAATTGAACAAAGTGAGTGCCTCAGCAGCCCTAAAGGGTTCAAGTGAAGAATATAGCATTTTCCTGGTATTCTCTAGGGAAAAGCACCTTTCCAAACACTACCTTGTGGCCCAACCCAGTATTTGAGTAGAGCCTGCATCAGTTTTGCGTATTTGACTATATTCAGTTAGTCTGCTAATAGCATCTGTGGCAGTTGTTTTTTCTAACAGTTACCTTGGGCATAATTTTTTCTAATGCTTTCTTTTACACACACACACTATTTTATGAGTGTGCTAGTTGCAATGAGTGGATGCCAATTGTAAGTACAATATCGGGCAACCTTGGCAGTTTCAAAGTTTTTAATCTTGTTTACTAATCAAATGTAAAATAAACATGATAAATGAGAATATTATGTAGGGCATCAGAAAAAAATCCTGTACAAATCACTATGATCACAGTTCAAAAATTTATGGAAAACACTGTTTTCTTATGCTAGTGTTATTTCATACCTGAGTTTCTTGACGTTTTGCTGGAGGAAGGATAGCGTATAGAACGGTGTTATCCTGGGATTAAAAAAACTAAGAACTAGGGACTGTGCCCCTATTTCCTCCACTTGCAACACCCCCTTTAGCCCAAGGTGGGGAACCATTTTGGCTCTGCAAGCTAGATCCTTATCAGGATCTGCCTTGTGGTCCAAAATTGACAGGTGGGCAAGTCCATCCACCTGCCAGTCAAGTGATGTCGCAAATGGCATCGTGCTTCTAAGCCTGGACATTAAATCGCCTCTCAGGCAGCTGCATGCTGCTAAAAAGAAGGCTTTGATTTCCTTTTAGTACCACATTGCTGCTTGTGAGGTACTTTGAAGTCCAAACTTCAAGACTCCAAAGCCCAGCAAAATGGAGCAAGGAGCTCTCTCATGAACCCAGGTCAAGCTAACTTGATCTCCCTTTGCATCAGCTGATGGGTGGAGAGGTCAGGGGCAGTTTGGCGCATCTGTTTGGCCTGTTCCCAGAAGGAATGGCCAAATGGAGCTCTTTGTAAGCAATTGAAATAAAATTGGCAGACAGGGCTATCACCTTTGGTCCACCCCACCCCCCAAAAGTCCTCCTCCCTTTCTCAGGAGGCTCTTCCTCAGCTGCGCACCCTTTCTCCTCTGCCTCATCTCCTCCTTCAGTCCCTTTCCCTCCTCCTTTGCTTGAGCTTTAACCTCCTGTCCTCCAGTTTCCACCTTCCTCTCCTCCTAATTGTCATCACTGCCGTAGTTTGCAGGGCTAGTGCCATCTGTCAGTGGTCTTGTGAATTACACCATGACAACAGTCTTGTATGTGTTTTACAGAGAAAAGGGAATTCAGGGGTTGGTGTGTGAAATTAATTGCAGATCTGATGCAATCAGCTAAGAGCTGGTAGGTTTTAGTAATCAGTGGAAAGATGTCATCTGGATGCCAAGCTAGGTGTCTCTGCATCCTATCCTTGTACCTTTGGCCCTTATGTACTTAAATGGAGGATTTTACATTCATTTCTATTGAATTTACATTGGTGGTTTCAGCCCAGCTTTCCAGCCTGTCAAGGCAGTTTTAACCCTCAATTTTGTCTTCTGTAGTGTTAGCTACCCCTCAGTTTTGCATTATCTGCAGTTTTGATAAGCACTCTCTTTTTTTATATATATATAATTTTTTTATTGATTTTACAGACAAGTTTTATACAATACAAACAAATAAAAAGACATACAAACATGTATAGTTTCATAACCTTTTTTTTCATAACCCTCTTCTCGGACTCCCCAAACCTCCCTTCCTACATCCCAATTTCCAAAATTATTTCAGCAAATTCTAAATAATGTTATCAAATATATTTTTCTTATTTTTTTTTCTTCAACTTAATCTTATGTCGCTGTAATCTCCTTTTCTTTCTCCAAACCTCGACATTTTAACATTCCTCAATTTTATAATAGTTCTTTAGATAGATTTTAAATTTCTTCCAATCTTCTTCCACCGTCTCTTTCCCCTGCTCACGGATTCTGCCAGTCATCTCAGCCAATGTCATATAGTCTATAACCTTCATCTGCCACTCTTCCAAGGTGGGTAGTTCTTCTGTCTTCCAATACTTTGCGATGAGTATTCTTGCTGCTGTCGTAGCATACATAAAAAAAGTTCTGTCTTTCTTTGATACCAATTGGCCGGCAATGCCCAAGAGAAAGGCCTCTGGTTTCTTCAGGAACGTACATTTAAGTACCTTTTTCATTTCATTATATATCATTTCCCAGGAAGCCTTAATCTTTGGGCACGTCCACCAAAGGTGATAAAAAGTACCTTCAGTTTCTTTACACTTCCAACACTTATTATCAGGCAAATGATAAATTTTTGCTAGCTTGACTGGAGTCATGTACCACCTATAGATCATTTTCATAATATTTTCCTTTATGGCATTACATGCCGTAAATTTTATACCGGTGTTCCACAACCATTCCCAGTCAGCAAACATAATGTTATGACCAATGTCCTGTGCCCACTTAATCATAGCTGATTTAACTGTTTCATCTTGTGTATTCCATTTCAGCAGCAAATTATACATTCTTGACAAGTTCTTAGTATTGGGTTCTAACAGTTCAGTTTCTAATTTTGATTTCTCCACCTGGAAGCCAATTTTCCTGTCTTGTTTATACACCTCCATTATTTGATAATAATGGAGCCAATCTCGTACTTTGGGTTTCAATTTCTCATAGCTCTGTAGTTTCAACTTATCTCCATCTTGTTCCAAAATTTCCCGATACTTTAGCCATTCGGCTTCCATATTAAGCTTTTTCAACGCCGTAGCTTCCAAAGGTGACAACCATCTAGGGGTCTTACTTTCCACCAAATCTTTATATCTTATCCAAACGTTATATAATGCTTTCCTGACAATATGATTTTTAAAGGCCCTATGCACCTTAATTTTATCATACCATAAATATGCATGCCAACCAAATGTATTGTTAAAACCTTCTAAGTCCAAGATGTCTGTATTCTCGAGGAGCATCCATTCTTTCAGCCAGCAAAAAGCTGCTGCTTCATAATACAGTTTTAAGTCCGGCAGGGCAAACCCCCCTCTTTCTTTTTGCATCCGTCAGTATTTTAAATTTTATTCTGGGCTTTTGCCCTGCCAGACAAATTTCGAAATATCCTTCTGCCACCTCTTGAAACAGTCTATCTTGTCTAGAATTTGTAATGTTTGGAACAAGAATAGCATTCTAGGCAATACATTCATCTTAATAACTGCAATTCGGCCTAACATTGACAATTTCAAATTTGACCATATTTCTAGATCTTTTTAATTTCCGACCAACATTTTTCATAATTGTCTTTATACAGGTTCAAATTCTTAGATGTCAAATAAACCCCTAGGTATTTCACCTTCTTTACCACTGTCAAACCTGTTTCATTCTGAAACTTCTCCTCTCCATGACTGTTAAATTTTTTCCAAAACTTTAGTCTTTTGTTTATTCAATTTAAATCCAGCTACCTGGCCAAATTCTTGCATTAGCTCCAACACCCTTTTTGTACTAGTGTCTGGCTCTTGTAAAGTAAGTACTAAATCATCTGCAAAGGCCCTTAACTTGTAAATGTTTAGCTCCGACCTGTACACCTTTAACCTGCTGGTCATCTCTAATCATATTTAGCAACACCTCCAGAACAGAAATAAAAGTAATGGGGAAATAGGGCACCCCTGTCGTGTCCCTTTTTCTATTTTAAATTCTTCAGTTATCACATTATTTACAATCAACTTAGCCTTTTGTTCAGTGTATATGGCACCCATACCATTCTCGAATCCTTGGCCTACCCCCATCCCATGAAGATTCTTTTTCATAAAACTCCAAGAAATATTGTCAAAGGCTTTCTCCGCATCTACAAAGATCAGAACTGCTTTAGTGTTTATGTTCACCTCTAATAATTCCAAAATGTCTATTATGTTCCTCACATTGTCTGATAAATGCCTTTTGGGAGAAAGCCTGCTTGGTCCTTATGAATCTTCTCCATCAACACTCTTTTCAATCTTTTGCCAAAATGTCTTCAAAAATTTTGTAATCCACATTAAGTAATGATATTGGGCGGTAGTTCTTAAGTTAATTCTTTTCAATCTCTGTCTTTGGTATGAGTGTAATGAACGCTTCTTTCCACGATTCTGGTGCCCTTTTCCCCTCTAAGATCTCATTACAGACTTCCTTTAATGGTTTTACCAACCACTCCTTCAAAGCTTTATAATATCTGGAAGTCAGTCCATCTGGTCCTGGAGATTTGCCCAGTTGCATGTTTTGAATGGCACCCTCTATCTCTTGATCTGTTATTCTCTGATTTAGATCCACCTTACTTTGGTGAGAGATTTTTTGTAGTCCATACTTTTTAAGAAATTCTTCTATATCCTCCTCCTTCTGTGGTCCTTGTGAATATAGTTTTTAAAATAACTCAAAAACAATTTCTTATCTCGTTAGGTTTAGATATATTCTTTCCATCCACTTCTAGGCTTGTAACTGTGTTTAGTTTCTGTCTTTTCTTCAATTGCCAAGCCAGAAGTTTCCCACATTTATCTGCAGATTCAAATGTCTTTTGTCTCATTTGTTTTATCTTCCATTCAATCTCTTGATTCATCAATTCCATATATTGTGTCTGGTATAACTTAATCTCTCTCAAAATCTCCTGGGACTTTGGTTTTGATCTCAATTTCTTCTCTCCTTCTTTTATCTTTTCCAAGATCTTGTCCTTCTTCTCATTTTGCTTTCTTTTTACTGAATTTTGTTGAATTAGAAATCCTCGCATCACTGCTTTACTTGCGTCCCAGATCACTCTTTTTTCTACATCAGTTTTTAGATTTATTTCAAAATAGTCCTTTAAAATTTTTTGGGCCTTTTTGTGGATCTCCTCATCTCGAAACAGGGTGTCATTCATCCTCCATCTGAATTGACCAGTTGTTGTAAGTTTCATTTCCATCTTCACGGCGTTATGGTCGGAGCAGGTCTTTGGGCAGATTTCCACTTTTTTAATCTTTGGAGCCAACCCACTAGTAATCCAAATTTGATCGATTCTGGTCCAGGTCATCATTGCTTCAGAGAAAAGGTTCCCTCTCTCTCGAGAGGATTCCTTGTTCTCCAAATATCAATCAAGTCCATATTTTCAGTTATTTCAAAGAAAGTCTTTGGTAGTCTCCCATCTCTGGTGATTACCTGTCTTTGTGCTTTGTCCATATTTGTAGATACCACTCCATTCATGTCTCCCATCATGATTAAATTGTAATCCAAATAATCCAACAATGTCTCATGCAAATTCTTAAAAAATTCTGACTTCCCTTCATTAGGTGCGTAGATCCCTAGTATCAAAATTTTTCACCTTGAATTTGCACTTCAATTGCCAAATACCTTCCTTGTTCATCTTTGAATATAAACTTTGGGGAAAGTTTTCTTTGCATAGATTACCACTCCTCTTTTCTTAACTTTATCCGATGAAATAAATTCTTGGCCTAATCTCTTATTGACGAGTAGTTTCCTATGCAATCTTGTTATATGAGTTTCCTGTAAACAAATTAAGTCCAACTGCTCTTTTTCAATAAATGAAATATATTTTCCTCTTTCGCTGGAAGGTTAAGTCCATTACAATTCCAACTTAGAAGTTGCAGGGCCATCCTGAAGCTATTTGCCTCCTGTTGCTCCGAGTAGTTGTTCTTCTTCTGTTGGTGATTTCAGTCCAAACGTCAAGTTTAAGATGTCTGTTGCGTCTTTCGATTCTGGTGTTATTTCCTCTCCGACTGTTCCTTTCAGAAGGTCTTCCCTGTAGTGATTTAAAAATTGATCTCGATCTTCTACTGATCTTATCCTTATTTTCCTACCTTTGAATTTAAAAGATAGGCCTTATGGGAATTCCCACCTGAAAGGTACTTCGTTCTTCTTCAGCAATCCGACCAGTTCTTTATAGTATGTTCTTGCGTCTAGAATTTCCTTTGGGATATCTTTAAAAATCTCCACAAAAGAGTCTTCGATCTCGAGTGTTCTTTGAAAATGCAGGCTCAATATTTTATCTCTCTCCTCTCTTGATCCTAATGTTATTAGGCAATCCCTTGGCTTCTTCCTGCCTTGTGCTCTTCCCAGTCTAAAGGCAGTGACTATTTTAATTTCTTCTTTCTCTAACTCCTGTTGCCAAAAATCCGCAAATTCTTTAGAAAGGAAGTTCGCCAAGTTATCTCCTTCACTTTCAGGCACCGCTCGTAGTCTTAAATTTCTATCTCTTCTCTGCAATTCAAGCATAGACAGGGCCAATGTATGATCTTCTAACTTTTTGCAAACTGGTACAATTTTTTCCTGTGTAGCATCCGCCGAGACTTTAGCCTCATCAGCAGAGACTTTGGCTTCTTCTGCGATTTCTATGTTCTCCTCCAAGTCTTTTATAAAACAGCAGAGGGCCTAAGACAGAGCCCTGGGGACCCTGTGAGACCTCCCTTCCATGTTAATGCTGAGCCCTTGTGAGCACTTCTTGGGTATCTATGCTGGATAATAATGAGCTAGGGGTCCATTGTGTCACGTCTTTGCAACAGAGAGAGTATAGGTTGCTTTGGTTGAGGTGGCACAAGGAACTGAAGGATTCTTTGGTTAATAATAAAATTATAATAATAATAAACCATCTCCAGGATTGCCACCTCTTACTCTGATGTGCTATAATATTGCAGTAAAAAATGAGGACATTTTCGGGAGCAAGATAATCCAGTGAAAGTAAGAAAATGTACTGTGCCAAGGAGACATGTTGTCTTGCTCAGAAGCCTTGGGGATATTTTCACAGGCTCACCTTCTGTGATGGTTCCAGTGCTTCCAGGTACTTGCCACCTGGTCCAGCCATTAATCTGGAAACACAGGCCCCTAAAGGAATGTGTATATTTTGAGAAAGGCGTTAAGTTCTCCAGATACTAAAGAGTACATTATATAAAGTATTGCCAGAATCAGATATTTGTCCTTATCCCTAGCAAGGTAAATGGGAGCGAGATCTACAGATAAATATTGCTTTAGACAGCTGGAAATGCATATGGAACTCTGCAACTCAAATGAATATGAGCACAAACCTTAAGAAGTTTTACAAGTGATTGTGCAGATGATGTTTCTCTCCACAGAGACTGAGGATGCTTCCGGACAGCAGCTCTTAAGCTGCAAACAAGTCCTGCATATTCAATTTTTCTGTGTGTACTTTTGGCACACTACCTTCCACGCAATCCCATTTTCCCCCTGTCTTAATAGTCACTGATATTCTGCTGCTTGACATCCACACCAGTGGATCTTGCCTTAAAATAAAGGAATTTTAGGAACAATGATACAGAAGACAAGACAGGCCATAAACTCCCACTACATCCGTTAGTCGTTCTTTTTGATCATACAGAAATAATACTCTCTAAGGAAGATCAGGAAATGGTTATTTATCTTTTAATGGCTGCCGGAATATGTATTTCACGTATAACAAGAAATAGGAGGTTACAACAAGCTTTCAATGGCTGTGAAAATGTCTGGGATTTTAGTATGATGAAGCTTACTAATTTTACTCAGACAAGAAAGCAGAGTAAATTGGAAAGTTACTCAGTTGAGAGTTGAGTGAGATTTTTGGGAATTGGAAAGTATAGGAACATATATAACCCCAATGAGTTATTATGCACAATTTAACAGCACAGAAGTTGTTAATGAAAGATTATTAATTCAATCTGTAAATTCTTTGTATTGATGACACAATATGGACAAGGCTTCCTTTTGTGCTGGCGGGGGGGGGGGGAGCAAGCAAGAGGTGCTAATGGACTTTCTCCATTGCCCTTTCCCCAATAAAAATCCCTGCTTTCCCCCAAACCGTTAGTGCCATCCGGCATGGCTAGTGGCCAAGGATGATAAGTTGTACTGTAGTCCCAACAATACAGGGCACCACTTAAGCTACTTGTGACTTACAGAGTCACATGATCAGGGTATTAGCTAAGCCCCACCTCCTTTTGTCCCACTACTCCAGCTGAAGTTGGAGCCCTGCCTCCCTGTCGCAGTGAAATAAAAGAAGTCCACATATGAGCATCATAATGCCTAGTGTGGCTTTGATTCATTACCAGCTCCTTCCAGCAGTTAAGAAGGCAAGCCCTGGCTCTCCTAAATCCCAGGTAAATGTGCCAAAATTGTGATATGTGAAGTCTCTTTGAGCCATGTTGCTCCTTCCCGTGCAGCAACACAGAAGCAAAGGGGCTGGTTTTGAGAGTGGCAAGGCAGTTGCAGCATCCAGAGGGAAGCTGCAGAGCCCCCTCCCCACATATCACGGCCTCAGGATCCCGATGCAGTTGAGATCCCAAGAGGTTGAAAGTTGCCTCTACTGCCTTGCCTGTGAGCAGCTTCCAATCAACGCTGAGTAAGAAGGTTTCCTCCCCAGAGTTCCCAAAAGGAGCCTTCCTCTCCCCCCCCACAGCCTTGTTCCCAGGGTCACCCCCTTGCTTTGCTTTTCCCCAAGAGTTTTTGGAATCCTCCCCCTTTCTGCTTGCCAGCCACCTCCTCTGGCATATCAAAGGCTTCTGTGAAGGGGCCCTTTCAGCCCATCCACCCTGGCTTTGCCGTCGCCGGATATGCCTTGTGCGGCTGCCCTATTAATAGCCCCCCTGGCTTCGCTGGTGTTTCTCAGCCCTCCGTGGAGCTGAAAGAGCCTCTTGTGTTCCGCTCAGCATCTCCTCAGCTGTTTGCGCACTGTGTTCCCCTTCCACTCTCCCAAAGCGCCTTTTGTGCTCATTGCCTATCTGGAGAGAGTGCTCTCTATTTCCTCCGCTTTCTCCGCACACAGAGTAACTCCACATCGGCTCAGAGCTAGTTTGGGGAGGGAGAGATTGAAGCTCTGGGCTCTGCCTAACGAGGAGTGTCGGCCAACCCATAAGTAGAAGGGGAGGCTGAACAAACTTGGCGCTTAAAGCCTTTCTTTGGGAAGAGCCTCCTCTGCTTTGATTGATTGATTGATTGATTGGATTTATATCCCTCCCTTCCTCTCCAAGAAACCCAGGGCAGCAAACACATGTATCATTTAAAATAAAGAAACAAAAAGAAAGAAAGAAAACATTTTAAATTGGTTTAAACATTGTAAAAACAACTACAATTAAAAACATCTAAAATCAGTTGCAGTTAATTATAAAAAAAATTCTAGAAGCAGCTAAAAACATTATTCCATCCAATGATCTTAGAGTTACTTGAAACAGTATTTTGTCAGCTACTCCACAGCCAGGGAACCACCACTGAAAAGGCCCTGTCACTATCCCAGTTACTTGGCATGTAAACTGTTTGAGGCTCAATTTCTACTGGCAGCTCTAGGTAGAGCTGGGAATGGTCTGTGTCTGAAACCCTGGAAAGCCTTGGCTGCCAGACAGTGTTCATAATGCTGCACTAGATAGATCTAGCAGTCTGATTCGGTATTGAGGCAGCTTCCTATGTTGCTCAGACAGGGGAGAGCAGGGAGTGCAAAGTCCTCACAGAAGCTTGGGCCAGCCATGAACAGCCCACCGGGTTTCCAAGTGCTGCTGCTAAACACAGAGGCCAGATGATGTGTAAAGAAGAGGTTGGCAGACTGCAGGGCAAGGAGCCAGCCCTGAGGTGGCCAAAGGCAGCAGGACGTCAGAGAGAGAAACTCAGGGAAAGGGAGGCCTAAGGGGGAAAGACAAGAATAAGGAGGGAAGGAAGGAAGCTGAAACAAAAACAGGGCAGGCAATATAGTTCCAAGAAAACTGGAAAGCTGAGGAAACATTGGTGCTGGCATGGAGTCTATTTGAGCTGGTTAAGTTCATTCTTGTGAGAAATGCTGTCCATCCCCCACAAAAAGAAAATTGTAGGTTTTCCACCTACCCTCCCAATTTCCCGGGGGCAGGGCACCTGAGAGTGATTGCTGTGATTGGTTCTTTAAGATCTACCTAAGACAGGTGTCTGGTGTTTGGCTTGGCCTAGAAGTTAGGGTAAGGATCCGTCACATGTAGGCTTTTTAACATCAGTGCACGTGGATGTGTCATGGGACTCTCTCCATGCCTCTGAGCCGTTTGGCACATGGAATCCCCAGGTTGCTAGCTTGGCTGTCTTGGCCTTGCAGCCAGCCTGTGTCCACAGAGCCCAGAGTATGCGCTGAAACACACAGTGTGCACTGAAACACACCATGTGCTCTTTGCAAGGTGGGTACGTGTAAGGGGGGGTGTGATGTCGGTAGAAGGTCAGCTGTGGTCAGCCCGTAGTCTTTCTGGACCGCTCTGCCGCTCAGGAACCCTGATAAGCTTCAGAGGAATTTCAAGAGTTCTCCAGACCACGGGCTGACAGTGCGAGCTTTAAATCATTTGTTAAATAGGGTAACTGAGGAGAGTTGTGCAAGAGGCACTGGATGTCCTCAAGATTTTAGAAGCAAACAAGATTCGGTTTTCTCAGAATTATTAGCCCAGTTGTACTTTTGACCTCTGATTACCTGAGTCTTGGCAGCATTGCAGGTTTAGGCCTAAGTGCTAAAAATGCAGGTCCGGCCGTGAAGGGATGAGATGAGGCCTACTCACTTGTTGCACCCATCCAGCCCTTTGAGATGGCAAAATGGCTTGTGCTGTTCCTGCGTGAAGACCGCCAACCCTCTGATCTCTCTCTCTCTCTGTCCTTATGTTTTAGGACTACTGTCCTGGCTGCAGTGGCCTTCCTGGATGCCTTCCAGAAAGTGGCAGACATGGCCACCAACACACGAGGTATGTTGTGGGAGCTTTATGGACTAAAAACTAGCTGACTGCAAAACCAGCCATGTCGCACAGCCAGTGGCAGAGAGCAGAACAATGCCTATGATAAAAAACCTCACCACCAAACTGGCAGGCCCATGGCCCCTTTCTGTTTACTCAGGATCCCTTACAGTGCTGCAGTTACCCCACAACACACTTTTAATCCCTCTTTATATTCACACTCAATCTAGCCCTGTGCTTGGTTTCCACCTGCAACAGCCAAACAGGTGCCTCTGGGAAACATTCAAGAGGGACACGTTCAAACATCAGAGATGGAGCAAGAATTGTTGTGTGTGTTTCTTTCTGTTTCTGTGACATTCCCATGGGTGACCCTACTGCGGTACTAAGTTTAGTGGCTATCGCCACATCTTGTGGCAGTGAGTTGCAAAGGCTTTTAATTTTTTAGCAGTAAATATGTTTTCCTGAGGAAAAATATATTAGAGGATTTGTTATGTCGCCTTCTCACTTCTGAGGAAGCATTTGAGGCAGGTCACATTGGTAATAAACAATAGTAATAAAACAGCCAAACAAGAGGTGGGGTGGAAGCAGCGGATAAAATATGTGTTGCATTCTGAACCAAGTTCCAGTCAGCATCTGGGAAACCCTGAGCTTGTGGTGCTTAGAGGGAGAGATTAATTTCATGGTGGGGTCTTACGTGGTCATTGGCAATCCCCCTGCTGATCTCTGCTAATCCAGACATGCTTGTGGGATCACCATGAGGGGAAGAGCAATCATCCTGCTTTTCTAGCAATGCTCATTCGAAGGCCCTGTGATAAATAGGGCCCTCTTTTAAGTGGCACTTCCTTCATTTCTGGGTGGGTGTTACAGTTGCGGGGGAAATGGGCTTCTGGAGGCAGCGAGGCAGGAGCCCTTAAAAGTTACCTATAAATGAGTTTCACTGACATTGGGCAGGGGCCATCAGTGCACCTTTTGGTTCCCTGCTAAGAATGTTTTTGTTCAGGCAAGTGGCAGTCTTTCCAGACATGTAGAAGCTGTCATGTGTTTTAATCTGGTTTAGTTTATTGTTGATATTTATTATTTTTGAATGTTTTAAATATTTGCTTTTACCTGTTGTTGTTGTTGTTGTTATTACTGATCATTCTATTATGTTTCTAAACTGCTTTGAAGGGACGTGGGTGGCGCTGTGGGTTAAACCACAGAGCCTAGGACTTGCCAGTCAGAAGGTCGGCGGTTCGAATCCCCGCAACAGGGTGAGCTCCCGTTGCTCAGTCCTTGCTCCTGCCAACCTAGCAGATCAAAAGCACGTCAAAAGTGCAAGTAGATAAATAGGTACCACTCCGGCGGGAAGGTAAACGGCGTTTCGGTGCGCTGCTCTGCTTCGCCAGCAGCTGCTTAGTCATGCTGGCCACTTGACCCGGAAGCTGTACACCGGCTCCCTTGGCCAATAAAGCGAGATGAGCGCCGCAACCCCAGAGTCGGCCACGACTGGACATAATGGTCGGGGTCCCTTTACCTTTACCTTTACCTTTAAACTGCTTTGAGATTTTATCAAGCAGTATAGAAATGTTGTGAAAGAAAGAAGAGTTTCAGAGTGTGCCTCTTTTCCCTCCATGTAGGGGTGTAGCAGGGCGAAGTGACCTATTCTGGGCACCTTGTGGCATGTAGATGGCAGAGGTCTGCACCTGAGGACCAGTCTTCCTTGTGGCCCCTCAGATTGTGCTTGGATATGGGCACCACCCAAGCACAAATCAGCCAGGAAGCTCACGAGATGGTCTTGATCAAGCCTTAACCTTGAGCTGACCTACATAACCCATTTTCACTGCCCTGAACTTCTTCAAAAAAGAGCAGAGGGAAAACACAGCTTTTAAAAAAAGTAATCTCCTCTGAGCCTTAAAAAGACCAGGTGTAACCACGCCTCCTTGTGTACACGTGTAAAGAGCCCGCCTACCGCTTCTCAGAACTGGCATTGGGATCATATATATATTCATTCTCGCCCTTCACCCCTAAGGCCCAGGGTAGGTTACAATTAAAACAAGGGCCATGGTATGCCACAGTAAAAACTGGGTTATCTAAAGAAGGAGAATCAGCAGTAAGCCAGAGTTGGAAGGAATTGACTGTGCAGGTTAGTTTGTTGTTTGACAACAATTGACAGAATAATGTATGTGGGCAGCATTTGTGTTGAGCCATCAGTTACTCTGATAAATCTCTGAAAGCAAGCAGAGAATTGGGTAGGATGCAGCAGGCGATAAAGGAAAGCTGACGAGGCTGGTACAAAATAAGGAGATGGAGGGAGGGCTGATGTATTCTGGAGAGATATAGGGAGCACCGAATGGAGCTTGGAAGGGAAGCAAAATGTAAATAACACCTCTCACCTGAAGCAGAATGAAAGAACTGATTTGGAATGTGAGTTAATCCCAGAATAAGGTCTGAAGACACAAGAACTCACCACTTTGCTATAGCTAAGCAACCCTGGGCCTGGTCTGACTCCTGGATGGGAAACCACCTGGGAACCACAGGAATGCTCCCGTGGATTCTAAGGTCACAGAAAGGTGGGATAGAAACCTAAGAAATAAAATGTAAAACAAAAAAAACCTACAAAGCGTTGAAAGAACGAGATGGATCATTGGCCTGACCCAGCAGGCTCTTTATACATTCTTATGAACCTAGTTATTTCCTTTTTTCAGGAAAAGTTTGGTGTGGGAAGGGTTCTTCCTTTGAACGTGACTCTTTGTATGAGGGCAGAAGGGCTATGGAGCGGTTTCCTTACATTCTATTATGGCTGGTTCACTCCGGCTTTTAGACAAGAAGCCACAGCTTGTTATCTGTAAACATCTAGGGAAGGGCTGTGACGAGGAAACAAGGGTAGACCTCCATATTTACTTGCACAGGCTTTCTGCACCTACTATTCAAACCCATGTAGAGATTTGTGTTTGCTGCTGAGATGATGTTTTGGGAAGATGTGGCAATGCCAGCAACCTGTGCCAGGCCAGGAGGGTGTATGCCTAGCAAACACATGCTCATCGGCTTGGTTATAAATCATGGGAGGGAGTTTCCCTTTTAACGCAAAACGGACCACATGGCATGTGGGAAATGTCCTAAAGGAGTAGGGAAAGGGAGCGAGGGTTCAAACCCACCTACCCTTGTGTGCTTACTTTTAGTTTTAGAAGTAACCCCCCTCTTCCAAACCAGTGAGCAACACATGTTTAATGAACAGGTCCATGCCTGGCTTAGCCCAGTCTGCCACCTCCCCCAAGTCCACAGAATTCCCTGTTCTTTAGGTCTAGGGAATTAAGGGAAGCCTTAGTGGACAGATGTGCAGGGTGATTACTAAAGGAGGGAGCCACAGGTAATAGAAAATTCAGCCACGGCTGCGATTTGGAAAGGAGGTCAGGGGAGGGGAAAGGGAGTCCTTTAGGAGGAGGGGCTTCTGGGCTGCCTGGTAGGGTAGCTTGGAGTTTGTGGCCCTTTGGAGAATTCCACAAGAGGGGAAGCTGAGCCATAGATCATGCAAATGGAAAATGAGGTGGTAAAACTTTTCATCTGTGCCATTTCAGATCACAAGTGGGAAACATGCTTCTCAATAGTAGTAGTAGTAATTATAATTATCTGGGCAGCTTCCAACAAATTAAATATTAGCATGTTATTAGCATATGAGCTAATAATGGCGTGCTCTGGTCCATGGGGTCATGAAGAGTAGGACACGACTAAACGATTAAACAACAACAACAAGCATATGAGCATAGAAAACTATTCCTTACCCCACCCCCACCCCCAGCTTTCTATATGTGAGTCTCAGGCTGTGAATGAGAGTTGCTTTGCTCTGTAATTCTTTTTGACATCCTTGTTGCCTGCCTAGCCTGTGGGCTGCACTGCTGACTCAGACCATAGTGAATGTCCCATCTGATGCATCTGGATCTATCTTAGGAACATGGCCTCTATGCTTGAACCACATGCATAGGACATCACCCAGTTCCATACTCTCAATTTTTCCTGCAGACTAGAACTTGCCAATTCACCCATAGCTGTTTACTGAAAGAATGGCTGAATCCAATTTTTCACCATCCAGGTATTTTGTGTGGGTGGGCAGTTTCTGCCTCTGGAGGTTAGATGTCTTGGTTATGGCATGAAACTAAAAGGAACTGAATTATATAGAGTGGGACATGATAGGTAATCACCCAGAGCCTGTTGGCAGCTAGATATCATCCTTCTCTTTGGGTCTCCTTCTGTCCAGCTGTTCAGCAGAGAGCAGCTGAGAGGGAAGACTTTGATGATGTGCAAAGTGTGCAATTGTGGTTCTTTCCTCTGTAGGAAGATCAAAGCGGAGGCAGGGATGTCTCAGGTGGTAGACTTATGTTCTGTACAAATATGCAAAAAGTCATTCATGCATTTCTTTAATTGCGTGCATGCAGTTTTGAGGTTGCCATTGAAATTTGAAGTTTGAGACTTTGAATAGTTGTAAGGCAGACTTGCAGCTCAGCTGTTATTTGCATTCTTCTGCTGCTATGATTGAGTTTATTTTGCCTTTTGCGCATTCAGGACAGAAAGGGACATTGAGAGCTTTTTTTACAAAGTAAAGAAAAAATAGAAGGTGAAACAATTTTAAATACACCCCTTTGCTTGTAGCGTTTGCTCTTTAACTCACAATGCCTTGCCCCGCTCACTGTGTTAGTGTGAAAACACTTTCATGTGTGAAAACGCTTTCATGGCGACAGCTTTTTTGATTCTAAAGGCAAAAGAAATGTCCAGAATATTTGCTTGTGGGTCCTTGGTTCACCATAATTTGATGGTTGGGGAAGTCATGGTTGTCTCTGTTGGATGTCCAGCTCCCTTTACAGGTTCCCTGTGTGTTTGAACGCCTGGTGCATGTGCTTGTACCACTTGGCTGTCCTTAATCAAGGCTGGCTTCATTGTCCCGAGTTTCCTGGAGTAAACAAGCAGCTAGTCCATGGGAAGGAAGCCATTGTGCCCACAAGCCTGTATCATCTTGGTATTCTAAAGCTGTCTAATGCTTCGACGTGGCAGGAAATTTACATGCAGAGTTAAAATGGTCAACAATGCAATAAAGCAGTCTGTGGCTCCAGAGTGACTTTTACTAGCACTGTGGGCTTGTCTGGAAAAATAATAATTTTGCCACATTTCCTCATACCTTAGTAATATCTAGGGCAATGTTATATGTGGGGCTGCCAATAAAAAGTGTTGAGAAACTTCAGTGCAGTAGTTTCAAAGTGTGGTAGACATGCATATGGACTAAGATCTGCTGTGCTGATAATATTTGACCAGTGGTTGAAAGACGTTCACTGGCTTCTCCAGTTCTCTACCAGGCTCAGCTCATGTTGTTTGTTTGTTTTCTACCTATAATGCCCCAAGTGACTTGGAATCATGGCTTTTGAAGGGCTGTCTAACCTTGCTTTTCCCAAGTGGGTGCTCTCTAACACATTTGGAGATAGGGCTGGACAACTCCCATATGAACTTGTATGCTAAACTCTCGGTAACACACACACACACACACACACACACACTCCACTCCCATTGCAGGGTAGCGATAGGACCTTTGCTGCAGTGGGGGATCATGCACTGCCCAGTTTTTTCTCCTTCAGGGCCAAGTGAAAGCTACCCTATTACCCTAGTGGGACACCATTAAGGACAGGTTTTTGGCTTTAACTGGTTATTAGTGCTGGTTATGTTTTGCTTTTAGTTGTGTTTGTGGACTCATTTGCTTATGACTGTGTTTTATGGCTTTTATTATGTCAACCACTCGGGGGTGCACAAATGAAGGAAATGAAGCTATTTGCTTGTTGCATTTTAGCCTGTTTTAGTTCATATTTTGTCCTCGGTGCTATTCTAACAGATGTGTATAAGCTCCCTTGGAAAGGCAAGGTATAAATAATTGCAAACATAAGGTGTCCTGGAGCTGGAAGTGATCACAATATTATTCAGCTCACAATTCAAAGGAAGGCGAAAACACTGAAGTGCAAAACAATCACAGGCAGGAGAGGCACCTTCCCACCAAGGGATGTGGGAGCAGGCAGTTCTTCAGGTACCAGCTTCTAAGCAGAGCAAGGCTTTACATGTCAGCACCAGTGCACTAAATGGTCTCAGAAACACACCACAGCTATTGAAGCTCCAAGCTTCCAGCCCCAGTAAGTAGTCGAATTTGAGCTCAGTAACTGAAGGAGAGAAAAAAATCAACTTGGCCCGGCCCTCCCATCTTGACACTGACGACTTTTGAATGCATTGACTCCCCACCCCCACCCCAATTTAAATTTTCTTGTCTGTCTTTCCTCTTTAATGTTTTGCTGTTGTCCAAGAAGGTTGATGGGTGGGTGAGTAGGAGGTGCTGCATCATATTAACTTTTGTGTTTAAGGCAACAAAATTCCCCAGGCGGTCCTCTGGAAAGAGGCAGAAGGACCTCTGGGACTGCATGGTTTTATCCCCTGAGTTGTTAGTGGGGTGGCAGAAGAGGACAAGGGAAACTGGGGGGTTGCTCTGATTGCACATGTGTGGACATTGCTCGGGGGGGTGTTGCTAGTGAAGTTGCCAAGTGCAATTCAGAATGTGAACCACAAGATCTCAACGTATCCAGAAAATGCTGGGAGATTTTTTTCTGAAAGAGATACTAAGGATGTATTTTGTGTCAAGTGATTACAGCCATAGGGTTGGGGGCTGGGGGTAAAATAAAATGTCTTGGCCAAGAGGGAGCAACTCTTAAGAGGAAGCAGCACTCCTGGTCAGAACCGGGAAAGGGGGAACAGGAGGAAATGATTTCTCCCTGTCAATGGCTGTGATCTGCAGCAGAAGCCCCGTTCAGCAAACTAAGGAAACAAGCAAAGGAAGTGAGTCATCCTCCTCTGTCTATTGCTGCAGCTGCACAGCGGTGGCTCTGGAGCCATGATGACCCCCCTACCCCCAGTAAGAAGGGGTGTGTGAAGTGCACCACTGTTATGGAGGTAGTGCTGGTGTCTTTCCATCCTCCATGGTTGGGAGCAAATTCCAAAAAGCAACAGAGGGTCAATCACAACAATGTCACCTTCTGATTCCCCAACAGTAAAGAGTGTTGCTCTGGAAGGTCAGGCTCAACAGACTGCAGGACCAGAACCATAAGCACAAGCAGACTTGCGGAGAATTAGCTGGCCTCATCTGAGGTCAAGAAGGAAATGGTCTTGGGCTCTTGGAATGTATGAGAGAGATGACTAAAGCGCAGTGATCATGCTTAGCATTGAGCAAGGCCACTTGGCAAATCATTGCCTAGTAATCCAAGACTCGTAAAAGGAACTGGGTCACTGGTAGGACACCTGGCCCTCACAGGCACCCTACCTTTAAGAGCACCTTTTTGATCAAAAGTTTAAAATTGATTAATCTCTGTTTGATTAAAAACTTTGCAGCTTGTCCCATTCCCTCCCCCCCCCCCAAGTGGTAGCTGACAGGTCAGGCCAACTCATGGACTGAATGAGCATCAGGTGCCTCACCCAGAGCTGGATGAAAGATGTCTTTCCAAACAGTGTGGTGGCTGGCCTGCTTTAAAGGGCTGTTTTAAGGAGTAGGGTTAGAGAATGCATGTCCAGTGCTCTGGGGCAGCCTCCAAAGATCCCTTCCTGAAGGCTGTGTCTTGGAGACTCCCTACAACTTTTGCCACTTCCTGGCCGGCTCAGGCTGGCCAGCAGAAGGTGAACTGTTTTGCAATGCCTTATATTCTGCTTTGAAGAGGGGCAAATTTCTCTCTTCAGCTCGCACAGTGCTGCATACTGGTGTGCGTGCAGATCCCTCATTAACCTGGATTCATCATGCCGGCTGAGTTGATCATGGTCTGTTGCATCCACTCTTAACTTCCTCCCTCCCAGTACCTTTGAGGGGTGGATCTGCCATTCCCAGGTGACACTGGGTTCCTCTGACGTGTGATTTCTGTGCATTCGTCTTTCCTGGCACGATTGCGTGCCTTTGCCTCATTAATCTTTCACAGTCATTCTGCTTCAGTGTTGTGGGAGTACACAGTGTGTTCTTCCTAGGAAGTGCTTAAAAGGCAGGATTGAGAGGAAGACACATCCTTCGGGGGGCACTTTTTATGTATATCTCAAGGAAAACAGAAGGTAGTCTAGATCCTGGAGCCACCTTTGCCAAGCTGGTGCCATTCATGTTTTGGGAAGTTCCCAACAGCCCCAGTCAGCACAGGTATTGTAGTCCAAAGCATATGGGGAGCAACAGATTGGAGAAGGCTCCTCTAGAGCAGCATTTCCCAACCTTGGGCCTCCAGCTGTTTTTGGACTACAACTCCCAGAATCCTCAGCTAGCAAGACCAGTGGTCAGGGATGATGGGAATTGTAGTTCGAAAACAGCTGGAGGCCCAAGGTTGGGAAACACTGCTCTAGAGCAGCAATTCTTCTTCCTCTTTGGTGATCACTCATAGCCAAGTAAGATTGTCTTCCAGGACCACGGTCTTAACAGTGAGTCCGTAAGTGACTGTGGAGGCCAATTCTGGATCCACACGTCCTTCCACAGTGGGGACATAGGTTTCTGGGTGGGAGTTGATCATGGTGAGGATTTGTCAAAGCTGCCTCCCTCTTAGCCCGTTTCTCCCTTTCGTCCTGAGTTCGTGCTTCTTTAAGGTCAGTGACACCTTTAGTAGAGGCTGTTCTCCAACTGGAGCACTCACAGCAATTACGGCACATGTGACCAGGAGCAAGTTGAAATGGAAATGAGCAGAAAGAGACTGAAATCACCTCTGGCTGTTAGTTTCTGGTGCTATCAAGGGCATTTAGCTGCGGCCCACAGGGTGCCATCTCATCTTGTGTAAAGGCCCCTAAAAATGCATGTTCATGGTCATTTCAATGAGGCTTGTACTAGATAACTTCTCAGTTGATTGGGCTTCCATGTGAATTACTGTATGTGGGCATTTTTCTCTCCATCAAGCAGCAGAATGCCCCATAATCCATGCTTTGTGAGGGATGCAGTTTGATGGGCGGTTCCTATGAAAGACTGTTCCATCCATTCATATCCTCATGTTCAAGGCACAGAGAGAGAGGGGGGTGGGTCAGTGTCAGTGTGGTTATTGCTACCCCCAATGGACAAAATCTGAATTGCTCTGTTCTCCATCAGGCAGAGCCCTCAATCTAGACTTGGAGCCAATTGTTAGCTTTTGATAGTGATAGCCTTTAACTCAAAGGATATTCTAGAGCTGGGAGGAAAAGGCAGAAAGGAGCAACCAAAATTATCAAAGGGGCTGGACTAATCAACCCCACTTTGCAGAAAGGTTACAACACTACAATGCAGCTCAGACCTCATCATGGTGTATTTATGGGTGAAGTTAGGGTGTGTGCCCCAAATGCATTCCCCTCCACACACCATCTTACATCAAAATGCATTTGTTTCCTAATCTCCCAGTTTGGAAGGATCCTTCTGATGCTCTTTAAGTTGCAAACACAGCTTCTAGCTCCACTGTGTAAGAGGAAAAAATCCTCTCTTTTTAATGGAAACTCTTGTGAACATTTTTCTAATTTGTGTAAGATAGGCTATTGCCAAGTGAGTCACTCTAGCATGAATGGAATCCTGGAACAACCTTTGGCAAGGGGAAGAAGTGTTTGTGAGATGAATTGGGTGCGGGGAGTGTTACAAGCCCATTGGAGGGTCCATTTTCACCTGTGAAATCCTGGAGGGGAAGATGTTGCCCCAAAGTAATGTTTCATAAGAGCTTCTATTATTCTGACTTCTGAGGAGACTGGATAGAAAGCCAGACCTGGGACAGTGTTCAGGAGATCCCTGCTCTGCCGCCACCTTCTCTGAGGGAAAATGGATGTCCAGAGAGGAGGAACTGAGTCTCAAGTAGAGGCTGAAGAAACTTGCAGGGCTCTTGTGAGAGTAACATATGATGCCTTTCTGTATGCCCCCTCAGGAGGAAAGTCAGGAGAGAACCCTGACAGCTCTGCTTTGCTATTTCTGAAACAAGGTGCTCCTTCCTCAGACTCTCAGGCAACTCGGTTTCCCAGCCCATGTGATCTCACTCCCTCACCCAGCCCCAATGTCAGGCTTTCCTTCAGCCTGTGGTGACATCTCAATTCCTTGCCCTCTCCATTTTCTTTCTCTCTGACTGAACAAGAGAGAAGGAAAGAAAAGAAATTTTGTATTGAATTTTTCTGCAGTACCTCTTGACTGTTGTCCATTAACATGAGGGCTGGTTTTTCACCTCAGGAGCCACGAGGGACATCGGCTCCGCACTAACCCGGATGTGTATGCGGCACCGCAGTATTGAGACCAAGCTGAGGCAGTTTACCAAGTAAGTGCCTTTCGTTAGACTCGCGTGCTTGTCATGTGTGTGGGCCAGCCCCAGGCTCCTTTTCCGAAGACAAAGAAGAGGGAGAGGCTCAGTGGCCTTGAAAACGGGATTGGAGAGGTGCTGAAATAGGCAAGACATGCAGAAGGAGGCTCAGGGTTTTAGAAACTCGAGCCACTTCCATACTCTAGTCCAGAGAACGAGTTATTGAGCCATTTGAATCACCTTGGCACATTTATGGGGATTTCGTTGCAAACCCTTCTCCACGTCCCTTGGCCCTGCTAACCTGCCTCTCTCTGGGTGCCTTTCCCCCCCCCTCCCACAGCGCCCTGATGGAGAGCCTGATTAACCCCCTGCAAGATCGGATAGAGGACTGGAAGAAGACGGCTAACCAGCTTGACAAAGATCACGCGAAAGGTAAAAGGGCAGGAGGCACCTTGGCTGCCTCATAGCCTGTGAGGCAGTGTCTGATGCTCAGAGGAAAGCTGTGGCAAGGATGTGACTGTGGGGCTTAGGGTGGGAGGAGATGAAAGCCAGGAATTGAGTCTCATAGAGAGCAGTGGCCTCCCTTGTCTGCCCACGCCATGTGGGGGACCTCGGGGTCCACCTGCCAAGCTGTTTGCCTTCTGGTCACTTGGAATCGTGTCTCCCGATTCCTGTCTCCTTAGAATACAAACGAGCCCGCCATGAGATAAAGAAGAAGTCCTCTGACACACTCAAGCTTCAGAAGAAAGCCCGCAAAGGTAAGATCTGCCAGGGTGTTTCTGGCCAAAGGGCAGCTCAGTTTGGCTAGTGATGTTGGCCTCCAACCCCTGATTGAAGAGGGGGACTGGATTTGCTGGGCTGCCCTTGGATAAACTAAATTGCTTCTGCCTTAGCAGTGAACGTTTCCCTGCACAGGTAATGGCATGGATGGAGCAAGGACCTTGGTTTAATTCTTCAGTTAAATGCATTGCTGTGTAAGATCCTGGTTAAACTAGGGTAGAGGCCTCCTTGCGGCATAATGTCCTGGGGCCCAGAGGCTCTCCAAATCCCTTAGTGGGTTGTATGCTTTGCAGGTGAGATGGAGCTTTGTGTTAGGCAGTGACAGAAAAGAGAATTAAGTCTTGAATTCAGCTTCCTGAATTTATGGGGGGGGGCGTGTTAAAGCAAGTTTCTGGCCCCTGTGGCTTGACAGTGTGGGTGGGCAATGCTGGCTGAGGCCTCAGAAACCAGAGGAGATGGCCGAGTGAGAGGTCTGCTGATTAGGCTCACAGCATTCACCTTTGCTCAGTTCAGGAATCTTGGATTTATTTGTTTTAAGTGCAGAAGAACACACATGCCTCTCAGCTATTGATCCTCTTCAAAGCTGCGAGGCATTTTAACCCCCGAGGAGAAAGAAGGCCCAGCTGTCTGCAGAGTTGTGGTAGCAGATTCCAAAGGGAGAAGGGAGCTTGCCTGCCTCTGGTTCGCTTGTGTGTCTGAATGGGTCTGGGTGAGAGTGGCAGTTTCTGCAGGGGGCGTTGTACAGCCGCTGCTTTAAGTTTCCGCACTTTTGGTTTGCCTTCCCATCTTGTGAACACGCGATTGCCAGGGGAGGGTTGCTTTCAGAGCCTTGCTAAGTTCTTATTGCCCTAAAATCAGGCCAGTGTGTTGATCCAGGTTGTTGCTCCTTGAAGTTACCATGTGTGTATGCTGGTGCTGACTGCAAACCCGGGGGGGGGGCCCTCAGGGATAATTGCCTATCAAAGTGCCACTCCCTCCCCTTTATGCACACTATCATGGGAAGAGAACTGTGTTGGTGTTCTCAGTGTGGCGTCTCATACCATTCTCAGTCCTTCTAGGTATTGAGAGGGGTCTTCCTGGCTCCTGCAGCGGACCCGCTGAGGCCCAATCCAGATGTTGCGTGTGCACGTGGTCACCAATAACTCCTTGGGAAATACAAGGTGCAGGGTTCAAATGTCTCTGTGCCTTCCTTCTGTTTGGCTGCTCCATGCAAGGTGGATTGGGGACCTGTGGCATTTGGCTTGGGTCTGGGGCATTTGCATTCTGCCTTGGGGGATCCCCACCCCACCCCTGGACCTGCCACTGCCCCCCACCTGGGGGAGGTTACCAGAGTCCTGTGGCTCCCACTTTTGCTCCTTGTGCCAGTGGAGAAGACCTGACCAGACGCAGCTGTCCCCTGCTGTCATTTTATGGCGGGAGGGCAGTTGTGTACCTGGTGATGTGGCTGAGTTGGGTGGTGGTTCTGTGGGGTCCTGTTCCGGGTGAGAAGATGGCTCTATACATCAGCCTGTCTTTCACACATTCTTCTTTCTCTCTTCCTCCCTCTCTCTTTTCTCTTCCCTCCTTTCCACATCCTTCCTGTAGAGCTACTTGGTAAGTCAAACGTTGCCATCTCAGCTTCATCCAGGCATCCCTCACCCTTCCTCCATGCTCTTGGCTTCACTACCTGTAATCCTCTCCTCCCTCCCTCCCTCCACTCTGTTTCGGTTGGGCTTGAAATGAAATGAAACCTCCGGAGGCCATGCTGACGCAAGTGGTGCATTGAGGGTTGGGAGCAGCTTAAGCTGATGGGGCCGCCTGAGGCTCAGCCCAGCTTTGCTGGAGGCAGAGAGGAGGTGGTCCTTGCTCTGTGATGAACACAGGAACCTGAGGTGTAAGGTGCTGACAGACCACATGGCAAGAACGGAAATGCTAAGTTCAAAGTTGCTTCATTATTCTCAGTGAACCTTGCAACGACCCTGTAAGGCAGGCCAGCATCACTGCCCCCCATGTTACAGATGGCCAGGCTGAGGCTGAAGAAGAGCAGCTTACCTCAGGCCAAATTGGAGACTTGGGAGATTGTTCCAAAGCCATCTTATTTTGGCCTGCTGGCAAGCAAGACCCCATGGGAAATGGGTGTGCGCCTCCCCTACTACGCCAACCCCCAGACTAGCCCATCCACAAACTAGCTAAGCACCTGAGATGCCAAAATCCCTGGGGCTCTTGCCTTGCCTCTGTTTAGAGTAATCTCTACCCCCACTCCCCATTTTGCTGGTGGAGTACAACTCCTACCCCCAACCCTTGGCCTTGCTGGCTGAGGCTTATGAGGCCTTTTAGGTCAAAATATGTGGTGTGTGCCGGGTTTATTTATCTATAGTTTCACCATTTCAGCCTTGGGCCTTCCTTGGCCTTGGAAAGTCCCAAACTTTCAGCCTAAGCTCCCTTACAAGGTTGTTGTGAAGCTGTTTTCTAAAGACAGTGTTCTGTGTGTCTTAAAAGAAGCCTAGCATACATGAAAACCCTTAGTTTGATTTGGAAGAGTTGCATTCAGGCCCCACCTTCCTGGGGCTGCAAAAAACTGGGTTATTTTACAGAATGTATTGCAGGCATAGGCAAACTCAGACCTCCAGATGTTTTGGGACTACAGCTCCCATCATCCCTAGCTAACAGGACCAGTAGTCAGGGATGATGGGAATTGCAGTCTTAAAACATCTGGAGGGCTGAGTTTGCCTCTGCCTGATGTATTGGGTTCAGTTGGGTAGCAGAAAGCAATGTGAAGGAGGAAGAAGGGGTCCTACCCTCTCCACCTGCCTGAGACCCTGCAGAGCCACTCCTCTGGGCAGGGGTCTGCCTCAGTGCAAGGCTGCTTCATATGCCCTATTGCCACTTTGAAAAGGGGGAAAACAAAGGGCACATACAAAGCACATACACTTTGATTTCATCAGTTGAACACAAAATGGGAAAACAGCTTGAATTCTCACAGATCCAGACTGGCTCAGTCTCTCACTCTGGGGCCATCTTCTCCAACCTGGTGTTTTGGACCACAACTCCCATCAGCCTCAGCCTTCTCTGGAGGAAATCCTCCTTGGTAATGCTTATGGCAGGCATGTCCAAAGTCCATTTCGGGGGCCTGTGGCCCGCCGGTCGGTTTAATCCATCCCCTGTGGCAGTTTATTTCCTGGGGTAAAAGCCTAAAAAAACCCTCAACAACTTCAATCCTAAAAAGGTCAACAACATTGGTTGGCCCTTTGGTCAGTCCCCATGGCCCTTCACTTCATCAAATCTGGCCCTCTTTTTAAAAAGTTTGGACACCACTGGCTTATGGGATTTGTAACCCAAAACAACTGGAGAGCACCAGCTTCAGGGAAGGCTGTTCTGGAAGGTGGCTAGGTCTCCTTCAGAGGGAGACCACATTTTCCACCTGCAGCAGAGTGCCACCATTTTGTCTGGGCACTTAAGGGCCCCAGGTGCTTTCAGTTAGGGACCAAAGGCCTGGTTAAAATGATTGGTGCAGGTTGGAGTAACCATCCCTTCCCCCTTAGGCCAAAGCAAAGAGGAGGCCTTCTTGTCTTTTGCTGTGAGACACTCACAAGAGCGTCCCTATGATCCCTCTTAGTATCCTCACCCTCGTGAACCACAAAGGCATAAGCAACAAGACATAGTCAGTGGGCGCTTTTTAAGTTGGCTTTCATTTCAGGCCTTATCAGCATCACCACAGGGCCTCATTATTCCCATCTGGACACTCCTCTTTCTCTGGCTCTGCTGCACCGCTCCAGAATGGCTCTGGGGCAAATGCTGAGATCCACCCACCTTGGGCCCAGATCCGCCCCAGAGAGTGACAGCCTTGAGATTAGGGATGGGGAAAGAGCCACTTTAAAAAGTGGAATTGGACAGAGAATGCACCCTTCAGCAACAGCTCATCAGAAGGGTGGGTTGGTGCCTTGGCTTCCATTTTCAAAAGGCCAGTTCTGGCTTTCCCCAAGCATTATTAAATTCAGCAAGCGTTATATAGGTCTTGCAGGTTCCCCTCAACTTTATAGCTCCTTTTCCCTGGGTCTTTTGGCTGCCAAGCCCAAACATCAGGATCTCAGCCTTAGCCCTCCAATATCCTGGGGCCCACTGCCTAAACAGCTTGGCTGTTTCTTGACTTTTTCTCAGTAATCAGCCATTCTTCCAGTCTTCCCTGTTCCTCCCCACACTGGTTTTCCACCCGCCTGGCTGCTCAGTCATCTTGCTTTACCTTCTTTGCATGTGGGCTGGTGGTGGTGGTGGTGGTGGTGGGAGGCAACATATCTGAGTGACAGCAGGGCTGCGGTTGCACAAGGGTGGTCTTCATTGCTGTCCATCAAGCCAAGCATTTCATGGTTGGTTCTGCACACATTGTGAATTGCTTTCTGGCACCTCTGTTTTGCATAGCCTGTGATCAATGGGTGGTTGTGAGCATGGACAGCTCCAGGGGAGCCTTGATCCTAAGGGCTCTCTTGGTGTCTGTGCTTCCAACGAGCTTTTGAAGTCCATGTGTCTGTGTCTCCCTTTGTGTGTCCTTGAGTATTTGTATGAGTAGCAATACCCACCCACCCCACCCCAGATTCTCACAGCGCAGCCTTCCAAGCAACTGAGTCACACAAATTTCAGCACCGCTGTGAAACTAAGGTCTGAACTTGGAATGAATTTGAACTTCTGCTTTTGAATTACAGTGTTGGGATTGTGAATGGGTTTGTGTGGGAAGGAGAGAGTGATGAATCCAGCACAAACTGGGATGGAGGAGGGAAAGGCAAGGTGCATCATGGGTGCAGGGCAGCCCTCTCTGTGACTAGGAGTGCCAAAGGACCACTGTGCTCTGTATCTGGCTAGTGATACACAGAACTACTGCTGGGCCAACTGCTGGGACTCCTCTTGCCAGTGGGCAATTGAAAAAAGCCTGTGGGGTGAATTCAAAGAAGCAGAAAAGGATGGATCTAGACACACCTGCCCACCTTTGGAGAGTTGAAGAGCCAGAAGCCAACATGGGCCTCTTGCCCAATTTTACTGCTACACCCAGAAAATGAAAATTCTGCATAGCAGGAGAAGGCATCCCACTGCTTTGACCATGACCCCTTCAGACTTGTGTGGGCCAATGGGGTTTTCTTCTCCCTGCAACCCTATATGAGAAGGACAACCTGCATCTCATGTAACATCTAGTTATTGCTAGCAGTACGATGGCTCCTCTCCCAGTCTAGAGAGTCAGGCTAGAAAGTAGAGGCTTGGCAAAGGACTTGTGTGAATCATGGAGGTGGAGGGAGTGGTAACAGGAGGAGCAGGAATGGTGGAGCGATTGTGCTTTGCAGAGGTCACGATGGGCCAGAAGGTAGGAAGGTGACTTCACAGATTGAGAGTGAGGAGGCTGCTGTTACAGATGCTGTAGAATGGCATAGTCAAAGCTGCAAAGGCAGAGTAGGGAGAAGAAGGCAGAGGTAAAGGAGAACTTGGACTAAGAGGTCAAAAAGAGGAATATTTCATAGGAAGTGAAGAGAAGGGGATGGAGAGCTTGCATCCTTGGTGGGAGCCAACACAGGCGCTTAAGGAAAGGAGTGAGATGCTCCTTGGAGTGGAGATGGGGACAGTTGTGACATCCTCCACCCACTTTATTGCCTCATACTACTTCATGAATTGGTAGCAGTTGGGGACTATGGGGTGAAATAAGGCTTGGTTCCATGATGACATCTGTGAAGTCAAATGAAGTCAGTTGAGGGAGTAGGCAGGGAAGGGCAGTACAAAGAGAAGGGAGGGGCATTATTGCAAGCAATATTGAAATAGCATGGTGGGCATGTTAAGTTATGCAGAAGATGATCCTGAAAAACAATGAAGGTTTTGGCTTAGCCCTGTTTACAAATGTAGTTACTATTGATAGATTGAGTTTAAATTACTTGTAAGCTGCTTAATATTTAAAAATTCCAAAGCGGTATACAAAATATAAGGCATTCAGTGCACAACATGCAGACCAGAAAAGACATAAATACAGTTTGTTGCTTTCCACAGTGACCAGTGATATGACATATCTGGCCAATATCACTGCTTTCGGAATGCAGACATGGACAGAAATGTCACCAGGGCTGATGTAGGCTCAGTGGCTCCTGGAGGGCCGGCCACAGATATTAACAGTGGCCCTCACACTTTTATAGACCTTTGCAATATATGCAATCATGGTGCTACTTGTCTGAAATCATCAATTTTATCACATGTGAACATCCATAAAAATTAAGCAAGCATGAAACTGAGCTTCCCTCTATCATAACAATAGGGACTGAGAGCTTCAGAGCCAACATCATAGTTCATCAGAATGACAAATCCTGGACAACAGTGTCAAAGACCAGTGTTTACTTATTTAAAAAGTCATTTAACCTGCTCTTCAGGCAAAAAGGCTCCAAAAATAGCTTGTAGATTGAACAAAAAATAGCCCCTCATAGCATTTGGCAAACCAACTTGGGTGTGTTTCTTCACAACCTTCTGAGTATTTTAAACTTCTCTCGTACAGGTTAGAGGACTCACAAAATGGTTGCTTTTGGTTCTTGGGAGCTATTCAGTAAGTCTGGATACGGTTGCATTATGCTATAAACAAACTGGTTTAAACAGAATTTAATTTCGTGTCTGAACAATAGAAGATGAGGAATTGCCGTTTATTGAGGACATGACAGGCTCTTTGATAGAAATCTGTGACACCAGGTTGGAGTCTGCTCTATGCCCAGGTAGTGTTTATTCAGCAGAGACCACCAGTCACTGAAGATACCGGGAGACATCACTTGCAGCAGTAAAAACTAGGAAGGTTTGCTTGTTTCTAGACTGGCATTTTCTCTACCTAGAGGACCTCTCAGTGCTCCAGTTTAGGTTACCCAGTTTCACCATAGTCAGGAAATATACAGATTTGAGACGCCACATCTGTTTAGGGGCTACCTCCAGAAGTAGGCCAGAGCTTTGAGGCTGGACCTGGGGGCTGGTGGGTGAAGAGGAGGTGATGTCTCTGTCTCCCTGTCCTTCTTGCAGGTAAAGGGGACCTGCAGCCTCAACTGGACAATGCACTCCAAGATGTCAATGACATGTACCTTCTTTTGGAAGAAACGGAGAAACAGGCTGTCCGCAAGGCACTCATTGAGGAGCGAGGGCGGTTCTGCACCTTCATCGCTTATTTGCAACCTGTGGTGGTAGGTGCCCCCCACCCCTACCTTACCCAATATTCAGCTGCCCACATTTGTTTCATGGGTTGAGTAAACTGAGAAAAAAGTCCCTTACTTATAGTGTATTTTAATTTGCAAACAAAATTCTGGCAGCCACCACCACCCCTCCCATAGTGACAGTATACATCTTGGGTATTGGTAGGTACTTAAAATATTTGGTGCATGGGCCCATTGGAGAAAAATGTGCCTCAATTTTGTATGTGGTGATTTATGCATATAGATGCAAATTTAGGCAACTTGCAGAGAAAAACAAACTCCGGCTCCTCCTAGACTTACTCTGAGCTATGGGGTGTCAACAGGGTTGCATTGCACCCAACACTGTCTGTCACACACCTGCACACACCTCTGCTCCCACCTGAAGCAATGCTTTAAAAGGACTTGCCCCGTTCATATGGCTAATCTACATCCTGTCTTTATCTATCCATTCCTTTCCAAGGCTTCAGCCCTGTGCATGGGAGCCAGTCCTATTGTGGATTTAGGTGGGCTTGCTAAGTTAAGGTTAAGGAGGCTGTGTGCGCCAACAATTAATGAAACTTTGGTCAAGCCCTTCCCTTGAGATGCTGTTGATTTATTTATTTATTGCATTTATATCTCATCTTTTCCTCCCAGGAGCTCAGGGTCGTGTATGTGGTTCTTGACGACTACATATTAGATCAGCCTTTCTCAACCTGATGCCTTCTAGTTATTTTGGACTACAACTCCCATCAGCCCCAGAGGTGGGCTGTGCTTGTGGTAGTATCTCCCAGGCTGAACTGCTAAGTTGCCTTTGGCTCTTCATCCAAAAATCCATACTTCTATCTCCAAGGCTAGGGAACCATATGGCTGGGCCCTGCCCAGGTTAACCCACATAACCTTCATCAGACAGAACCAGGACTTGCAAAGGGTCCATTTGTGATGCAAGGATACTGCCCACTGCAATGCAGGAATATTGAGTTGTCTTTCTCCCAAACGCGGCAAATGCCCGATTCTCTCCTCTTGTCTCTTTTGCAGAATGGAGAGATCACCATGCTGGGAGAGATCACCCACCTGCAGGGCATCATTGACGACCTGGTGGTCCTGACAGCTGACCCCCACAAATTGCCATCAGCCAGTGAACAGGTGGGAGAACCAAAAGGATGGAGTGCTGGAGAGGTTTTAGAAAAGGATGTGTAGCTATGTGGGGGTTATTTGAATTTATATACCAAATCTGTATGTGATTCTTCAAGTCAAATTCTCAGAGTGGCTTCCAGTACAAAAGATAAAACATTAACAATTTAAAAGCGACAATAATGAGAACAGAGTAGCAGCTTCCCTAAATCAGAACAAATCCTAGAAGGCCCTTGATTAAATTCTCAGTTAATTTATTGCATCAAGCAGTTTGGGAAATATGGAACTAGTCCAGCCCAAGCTCCAGCTTTCAGAATTTAATTGTGACAGGTGCCCAGATAGCCCAGCATCAAACTTCTAGCAGTGGCAGAGTCTCTAACTGAAACCGGGGAGGAGGTAATCCGAAAGGAAGGAATTGGAAAATACTTGCTAGGTTCAAAATACCTTTATATAACGGAAACTCATTATTCCTTCACACCCACAGTGATGGATACAGGAGCTTAGCCAAACCCAGTAATGACTTATGGGCCTTATGTGCAAACATATGTCTTTTGAGAATTAAACAAAGAAAAGAAGTGCAGGCTTATAAGGTGGAATTGAAGTGGTTAGATGGACCAGTGGTCTCGAGGCAGCTAAAGGTGGTCTTAATGGGGCATTGTCAGAATGTGTGCCTGCCTGTGTGGGATTGTTGAGTGGCCACTGGTGACATGTCCTCCTTTACTGAGAAAGCAGAGTAACCCCCTGGACTCTGCTCTAATTGGGATGACAAATGAGACACAATTGGAAGAACGTTTTGCACCCTGAGAAGTGTCATGAAGCTACCTTTTAATGCCAAATATTTTGCAGGTGATCAAAGATTTGAAGGGCTCTGATTATAGCTGGTCTTACCAGACCCCGCCGTCCTCTCCCAGCAGCTCTGGGTCCCGCAAATCCAGCATGTGCAGGTAGGTGTGTTTGGCGCAGCTGGAGGAATCTCCCAGCTCAAGGGCATGACTGCCAAGAGGAGCATAGCATGACCTGCCTTTCTCTAAGTGGGCCTGTCGCCACTTGTAGGATCCCACGGAGGTAGCAAGTGAGGTGCTATAATTCTTGAGTGACTCTTTTCTTTTTTTAATAGTTCTTTTTGTGGTATTTTGTTAAAAAAATCCCAAGTTCAAATAACTAATGCAAACCTCTCTCCCCATCCCTGTGGGAAGAGAAACTAGCAATTCAACGCTCTGTTGATCAACAGTCCCCTAGCTTGGATCAACAGGAAGCAATGGAGTCAGTCACCTGAACTTGCAAAGGAGACATGTTTAAAGGCACAGGAGCCCAGAGGTGCTTTAAGCACATGTTGCCTGCTCATGCTGCGACTGTGTCTCGGGCTCCCTCAGGAAACTCTGGCATGCCATGTGGACTAAGAAGTGGGGGAACATGGCACTTCCAGAGCAGTGGGCCTAGTGCAGAAACACCCTGGGATTGTGTGTGTATATTTGTGTGTGTGTGTGTGTGTGTGTGTGTGATCATTGTCAGGCCCTCAGCACCACTGCTGTCTCTTAGCTGGGAGAGAAGAATGTGTCACTTTCCCCCATATGCTCCTTTCCTGTCTGTAATGCCACTTAATTCCTCAGTTTGTGTGAGTTGGACTGGGTTTTTGTTTTTTTAATAAATGAAAACAAAACTCTCTCTTCCTTCCTTTGCACCCCCTGCTATTCTCACTCCTACCCCATCAATGCGCTTTGATGATGCGCTTTGTCTCTCCTGCGCGCCTCGTCCTGCCCCCCTCCTGCCCACCATGCCGTCTCATCCTGCTACCCTTTAGCGGCGCTAGCAGTGCTCAGGGTGGCCCCCCGTGGCTCACGGGTTCTCAAACATACTCACCAACTTCCATATGTCGCTACCGCAGCCTGGCACAGCCCGTCAATGCCAACACCCGCCTGTCCAGCGTCTCATCGCATGACTCTGGCTTCATCTCCCAGGACGCCATGTTCTCCAAGCCACCTTCGCCAATGCCCTCGGACCTCACCAGTCAGGTAAGCTCAGTGGGGCAGCCACCAAAGGCCACAGAATGTAAAGGGGAAGCCCTGGGCAAACATGGCAACTATCAACACTCTTCTTGCTGTTACTCTGCTGCAGGCAAGCCCAATCTGGTTGTGCATGCACAGCCTCTTAGGGGAAGTCAAGGGTGCTGGTGGCCATAGGACAGGTGACAGACCCCTTGAATGAGCTGCCATCCCCCACCCCTCCAGTTTAATCAGATTCCTCTGCCCTCAGTCCTTCCTTTTTATAAACCAGGCTGGCTGACTATTTAGGTGGGGTAAGTTCCCAGCACTACATGGGCTGTGCAACGGATGGGTGTGCCAGTCCCCATTTTAGCTGGCTCCAGGTGAGGTGTTGGCAGCCACGTCTCTTTTTTGCCTGGGAAGGGAGTAGGCCCAGAAATCTGTGAGGAAAAGAAGCCTGCTTCTCTCCTTGGCCACCCGGTGGTTGTTGAGCCCTAGGAACTGACAGCCTCAGCTCTCCAGGGGTGATGAAGAACTCCTACATAGGTGTCAAGGCTTCAGATTTGGGGGACCTGCAGCTCGGCGCTTCCCTTGAAGGGCAAAAAAATCTCTCTCATCCCTCCAGCTGAATAGCCAGGTGCACATAATGGCTTCTCTGTGACTGGGGAAGGGACTTAGTGCTGCAGGGAATGTAACAAGCAACCCACCCACTCAAGTAGCTTTTGCCAGCCTGCTGCCTATTAAGATGCCTGGCCCAGTGTGGCCATTCCAGTGCGAATTAAGAGCCCAGAACATCTGGAGGGCTCCAGGCCTGTGAAGGCGGCACTAAAGCATGGATTTCTGAATCCCACAGCCGTGGAGGGTTACAGCCACTCAAAGGTTCTCACGTCCCCATTTCTTTTAAGTGTAAAGAGCCAGCAGCTCTTTCTCTGGGGCTTCTGCAACAGATGGTCCAGAGGGATTTTATCCAAGACTTGCAGAGCAAAGGTTTATCAAGCTACCCTGAGCCGAGGGCGGCTCCAAGAAAAGCAAGTTAAGATATTTATGAATAATGTTGTGTTTTTGTAAAGTGTCTCATGGAGGTGCAAGCAGAATGGCTGGCCTGCGGGCAGGAAGAGGGCAGCTGCCGAGTGTGCACCTGTGAGGAAGGTGCAGGAAGTTTGGGACGTCCCTCTGGCCTCCTGTGTGCCTTGTTTCCACACCCTGGGCGAGAGGAGGCTTTCCCCTCCTGCCTCTCTGCTTCCTGCAGCTGGCCCTTTCCTCTTGCCCTTGCAGAGGAAGGCGGCCTTCCTTCCTCCCAGCTCCTTCCTCATCGCTTCCCCTGCTGAAGAGTTATTGCAGAGGGCCTGGAAGTGCCTGTGCAAAATCCATGTGAGGCCCCTCATGGGCTTCCCGTGAGCGTGTGTGGCTCCTCCGGTGCTTGCACTGCCTGCTGTGATCTAACACCTGGCTCTTGAGTGTCAAGGCTGGCTGCCCTGCGCTTGCATCTGCCTCCTCCGGTCTCTCTCTGTCTCTCTCTCTCTCTCTCTCTCTCTCTCTCTCTCTCTCTGCCTGCTGCTTTCCCTCCACCAGCTGCTTAACCAGGTCTCTTCTCTCCCTTCTCTCCCATATGTCTGTTTTGCTCCTGCTGACCTTTGGACTTTGGGCATGGCAGAAGTCCTCCAGCTCCGCATCGTCCGAGGCCTCAGAAACCTGCCAGTCTGTTAGCGAATGCAACTCCCCGACCTCGGTCAGTTCTAGCTCTGCCCCCGGGGCATGGTCAGGCGGCCGGAAGGTGACGCGCAAATCGGCAACATCCTTCCCACCCACCCACCAACCCACCCATCACACACCCAGGATCCAGGGATACGCACCCCACCCAGTGGCTGATGCACTGCAGGGCTTTAGCATGTCACAAACCTTTGGGGAAATGGACACCTCCTCCTGCTCCTCTGGTTGCCGTCTCCCTCTCCTCTTCTTCCTCCACCATTTCTGTTCCCGGTCCCACCTTGTTGGCTGGCTTTTGGCTCTTGGCTTTTTGATGGTTGTTGTTTTTTTGGTCCTGGCTTGATGATTCCGGTGTGATTCTGGCTTCCTCTGCAGCTCTGCCCAGCCGGTTGCCACGGGCCGCCCCCTTCCCACCCCCTGCAGGTTGGCTGGGTGTGCAGCGGTCATGCGTGTGCTCTGGGTTCTCTTCACCGTGGTTTCTTACTGTGTTTCAGTGGAAACCCCTGAATGTAGCTCATGTGGCCAGGACTGAAGGAAGCTCCAGAAGAAGCCTTAGCCTGGTGTGTATATTGTGGTGTGTCCGTTTCCGAGATCTTGACCAGGGGAGTCAGCTGCTCCAGAGCTGGAACAGGAGCCTTCTGTGGCTCTGTTGGCTCTGGAAACATGTAGCTCCAAGCCTAATCTTCCAGCAGCAGCCTAGGGATACCCCTCTGGAAAGCAATGGAGGTGATGCTGCAGAGGTCACTCAAGAGCAAGAGCCTCTGCTCTGCACAAGTTCCGTTCTGTTTGGGGGTTTTTCTGCATCTTTTAATATGCTCAATGGTTGAACCCAGCCAGGCTCCCACCCCAGCATTTTTAGGTGCAGGTAGCAAAGGCTCCCATGTGGCCCCAGATCAAACCCATCAGGCTGTCTGAAGCAGTCGTTCTTTCCTCTTGCACACTGGCATTGTGAGCACATCAAAATGCTCTGGAAACAGGAAGTGCTGCTTCCTTCTTCCTGAACACAGGAAGCCTGCATCAGGACAGCTTTGGGATGGCAGAATATGAACTATTTCCCCTCAGCTGACCCACCTGCCCCCCCCCCAAGTCTCTGCAATGTCCCTGTGCTGCCATCTCTCTGAGTTGGGGCAGGAACTGCTTCCCATAAACAAACACCATGTAGGGTTTGGTGTGAGTGGAGTGAAGTGGTGTGGGGGGGCTGAGAACAGCTCCTGCCTGGAAGTCCTTCCATTCTCAGATCAGCCATGAGCTCACTGAGTGCTTTTAGACAGCAGTCTGCCTTCCAGGACCACTGTATGGATCGTGCAGAACTGAATGTGCTGTGTTTTGAACACTCAGTATTTATATAGCACTTTCTGTAAGAGGGAAGATGCATTCACCTGACTTTTTCCAGAAAATGTGTTTGAGGAGAGTGAGAGAATTGGGATTCCAGTGGGATGGGGGACACATATTGTTGGAGGTATCATGACTGTCAGCTGCTTCAAGCTCTTGGGGAAGCAACCCACACTTTTAAAAGGAAGCAGGCACCCTCCTGGCCTGGTGCCTCCACCTTTCCTGTCTTTGTTGAAACACTTTTTAAGCCAAGAGGGGATTTCTCCGTCACCAGCCCAACAGAGCAAAATGGTGGCAGAGCCATTTTGTGATTGCCACAACCCCTGCTCTTTGCCCTGGGGTGGCCCTTTTGCCAATTCCTCTCTCCCCACCCCCTTGCCCAATCCCTCTCCATCCAGTCTCATCTCCCATTTCTGCCCTATTCCATACCCACCTGACTTTGCACTGCTGTGCCTGATGTTGGGGCCCCAGCTGTGCCGTCCTACCCATCTCCTCTTGGATTTTGCAGGATTGGTCCAAGGCTAGCCTCTATGAACAGCCGGTGGCAAGCACACTGCAGCGAAGGAAGGACCGCGTAGAGCATCTCCGTGAAGCTGAGCTGGGCTCCACCAGCCTGGTATACCCAGGAATCAGCTTGGAGGAAGGCTCCAGGCCCCGCATGTCCCCGGCCTCCATTGCTGCCAAGGTATAGCCAGCTTCAGTGTCAAAATGGGAGACCGGGGGGACAGGAACTTGGAATAGGTTTGGTACCCAGGTGATGGAGCACTTACTTGTCCCAAACCTTAGCTAGCAGAGAGGCAACTCCCTGGAGGAGAAGACCCGGGCCTCTTCTGCATGTCTTGTTCCAGAAGGAGATTTACCCAAATAGCAAATGGCATCCTTGAGCTGAGTGCAGAAGGGAATTTCAGGGCAGCAGAGGAAGTTCTCTCGGGGAAGTGTTTTGCAGTTGATGGGTTTTGCTCATATGAATTGTGAAAAATTGCCACCCCCAGCATGCCATCGCATGCCAGCAGCTTCCTGTGTAGCCCTTTGCCCTGATGGGGCTGTGGAGCCCTGGAGGAATTGAATGATGCATGTCTGTTGCTTATACTTCATATGTTTGGTGAGGGACCTGCTTGAGTGACCCTGGCAGACGTGATGCCTACTCTCACCAGCTGCTGTATGTGAGTCACTGGGGAATAGCCATGGGAGGGAGAGAGGGAGGGCTGGCCACTGCCTTTAGGCACCACTTTCCTCCTCTTACTTCCACCTTGCCTCTGCCCCACAAAGCCCCCTCACTTCAGCCCCCCCCCCAGTGCACACAAAAGAAATGGGAATTCTTTGCACACCCTGTCTTGAGCAGAGCTGCAATGATGAGGGGCTCATGGGGTGCATGTGGAATTGGGGCACGCATGTTAGCCTGGGAGAGATCCAGGCTAACCACCCTCATGGCACCAGCTGCTTGCCCACTAGGGGTGTTGTGTTCACGGCCAACATAGTTTTGGGGAATGAGATAACTTGATCATTCTCCTATCTCCCCATCTCCACTTGCTTTCCATTAATGTTTTCTGACCTTTGGGTGTAGGTGGCCTGGCCCAGGCACACACATGGTATCATCTCCTACAGCTCAGGGTGCCATTTGCTTTGAGACCAGCTCATCACACCTCTCACTCCCCACCCCACCCCATTTTGTTTCTCCATCAGCATGGGGAGGAAGTGTCCCCAGCCGCAAGTGACCTGGCCATGGTGCTGACCCGAGGCCTGAGTCTTGAGCACCAGAAGAGTAGCCGGGACTCCCTGCAGTACTCCAGTGGCTACAGCACACAAACCACCACTCCTTCCTGCTCTGAGGACACCATCCCCTCGCAAGGTATCTCTGCCAATGGGCTTCTTGGCACCCTGGGAAGGGGTGGGGTGGCGTTTTACTTAATGTGGTTGCCCAGTTTAACGATAAATATTTTTAGGGTGGCATACATGGTTATTATATTTATCTATATCTTGCCTTCCTCCCCACCCATGGGATTCAAGGCAGCTTACAACTAAAATACAGTGGTGCCTCGCAAGACGAAATTAATCCGTTCCGCGAGTGTCTTCGTCTAGCGGTTTTTTCGTCTTGCGAAGCAACCCTATTAGCGGCTTAGCGGATTAGCGCCATTAGCGGTTTAGCGGCTATTAAAGGCTTATCGGCTTATCGGATTAGCTGCTAAAAGGCTATTAGCAGCTTAGCGGCTTAGAAAAAAGGGGGGGGGAGTGAAAAAAAATCTCAAGACTCGCAAGACTTTTTCGTCTAGCGAAGCAAGCCCGTAGGGAAATTCGTCCTGCGAAGCAACTCAAAAACGGAAAGCCCTTTCGTCTAGCGGGTTTTCCGTCTTGCGAGGCATTCGTCTTGCGGGGCACCACTGTAGGCACAAGTTATATATATTAACGGAATCAAAATATATACGTATGAAAGATCTCATATAGTGGAGAGTGTTGTGCATGGGGTGCAGCAATGGCTGCTTGGCTGTGCTGCACCTGCCAGCTGAGAATGCTGACACCTACTCTGTCCATCTGTCGCCTCCACAGGCTCAGATTACGACTGCTATTCCGTGAATGGTGACATGGAAGGGGAGAGCCAGAGCGAATTCGACAAATCCTCGACTATCCCTCGCAACAGCAACATTGCCCAGAATTACCGGCGCATGATCCAGACCAAGCGGCCTGCTTCTACTGCTGGCCTGCCCACCGGCACTGCCCTGCCCACCGGTGCCACGCCAGGGGTGGCCACCATCCGCCGCACACCTTCCACCAAGCCCACGGTACGCCGAACCCTCTCCAACGCCGGCCCCATTCCCATCAGACCCCCCATCGTCCCTGTCAAGACGCCAACAGTGCCTGACTCCCCTGGGTACACCGGCCCCACCCGGGTGGGCAGCGAGGAATGTGTGTTCTACACTGACGATGCCTCACCAAGCGCCATGGACTTCGCCAAAGCCTCACCCAAGAGGCTGAGCCTGCCAAACACCGCCTGGGGCAGCAACGTGATGGAGATCTCTGTGTACGCCGGGAAGCACCTCTCCACTGAGGAGGAGGAGCAGCAGCTGGCAGCCAACCGACACAGCCTGGTGGAGAAGATTGGGGAGCTGGTGGCCAGTGCCCATGCCCTTGGCGAGGGCCAGTTTCCCTTCCCCATGGGGGTCTCTGCCCTCGGTCCCGGGGAAGAGACACCCACTCCTCCCCCGGCAGCCTCCAGCGACCCTCCGGCGGAAGACATGCTGGTGGCCATCCGGCGTGGGGTGCGCCTTCGCAGGACCATCACCAATGACAGGTCGGCGCCCCGGTTTTTGTGATGGACTCTTCCCCAGCGCCTGCTCAGTGCCCACCCTGTGGCTGGAGAGCAACCAGAGTCAGGACTAAACCAGGGGAAATGGAAGAGAAGTAAACGAACCACAAAAGGCAAAGCCACTTTATGGAGATCGTGTCAGAGTCTAGATATAAAGGAGACTAATCTATATGCCTTTGCTAACAAACCTGCACAGGCACAGCCTGGCACTGAACTGGTTTTGGAGCCTCTTTTATACACATTGTTTTTTCATCTGCTGCCCTGCCCAGGTTTCCTTTCCCCTCCTGCACCTTCCTTCATCCTGGCCTGCAGAGAGACCGGTTGCTGCTGCCGCCACAAGGAGGGAGGCCATTCCCTTGCTCCATGATTGTCAGGGAGGAGTGAAAACCTGAACTGGATCTAGCAACTACAGTGTTCTTAGTATAAACTACACACACACCCCGACACACTTGCACATGGCAAAGAAATGGAGGCTGCCATTCCTAGAGAGCACCCACCTCCTCCGGACAAAAAAATGCACTGTTAGTCCTGTGCTGAATCCTTCCTTCACAGCTCTCTGTCTGTCTGTCTGTTTGTCTGTCTTTCCAGTTATTTTCTGTTTGCCATCTGTTTGTATCAGCTACTTCAAGAAAGACTTTACAAGCAGCAGTTAACACCCCCGTGAACAATCCCGGAAGCCTCTCGTGTTCCCTGGTGGATCCCAAATGCGCAGCTGGAGGAGAGGGTGCAAGGGGCAGGGAGTGGACAACCTGCAGGCATGTGACCAGGCAGGAGGGCCCAATCCCCCCCAACAAGAGGCTGAGTCACAGCCACAGACTTATCGGTCTCTCTTTCCTCCATGGCTCTACTGGGAGAGGAATGGGCAGGTTGGTTATATTCAGGAAGAGGATTGTGCTCTCGTCCCAAGTGGGGTAGGAGCTCTGTAATCTGAGAGGCCGGGGGTTGGGCTGCTGTTGACCTGCCCTCAGTGCCACTTCAGGACCGGGCTTGAACCTTTTGGTAAGAGCAGTGGCCATGGTTCTCCCTTGAAGGTGGGTGGGAGGGAACAGAATTGGCAGTGATGGAAAGGTGAAGGTGGACAGCTGTTGCTCTGGAATAGCTGTAGCTAAAGTGGATATAGGGGCAAAAGAAGCCTTTTGTGGATGTTAGTGGAGGACTTTGGTAACTGAGGGCCTTAGAGGGTTTTGGAACCAGGGTGTGTGCAAAGACCGAGGGTGTCTGCTCTTGAATTCTGCTACGACCATCTGGCAAGGCCAAAGGTTGTCAAACTGATGCTCACAGGTTCTGGTGTCACTGGAAAGGCTGTAGCAGAGGGGTAGAGCACCTGCTTGGCATGCAGAAGGTTCCAGGTTCAACTGTTGGCATCTCCAGATAAGAGTAGGAAAGATCTTTGTTGTGGGAGGCTGCAGCCAAGCAGTGTTAGGCAAGGCTGAGTTAGGTGGAGTACTGGGTCTGGGGCAGTGTCCTCTGCCTTTTCCAATGTGAGCCTGTTTTGGCCAGGTATGGGTATGGTTATGACTAAACCTGTGAGTGTGTGGCAGGGTGCCTCTTCCAACAGCATCAAAAGGGGCCCCATTTTGTCAATATTGGGTGGATACTTTGAAAGGGGTAAAAAGATATCTGCAGAGAGGGAAATAGCTGAACCAACCCTCGATTGGTTTGTTTACCTTTGGCGATGTTGCTGCTGCACATCCCATTCATGGTACGATTCCCCGATTCACCCTGACCTGCTCTTGAAATTAGAGTCCACTGCTGTAATTTAATAATAAAAAAGTGCCCCAGCAGAAAGTGAGGAAAGAATTGCCACAAGCAGGCTTTAAAAATGGGGGCAGAGGGGATTTACAGAAACAGGCCAGCTCCCTTGTTCTGGTTTTGGCCTCCAGATTTATAACCAGATGAATATTCAGCACAGCTTCTTCCTCTGTGCTTGGAGCTGAAGGAGCATGAGTTGGATTGCAGCTCCCAGCCAGAACCTCCAGCTTGGGCCATGCAGCTGCTGTAAGAATATCCACATTTCTCACTGTTTTAGGCCAGGGATGGAGAACTTTTCACCTTCCAATGTTATTAAGACTCCCATCAATGCTGACCATGGGCTAGGCCGGTTTCTGGGCCTGATGGGAGTTCAGCAGGGCTGAAGCTTAGGGCACGCAAGCCAGGTAGTCAGAAGGAATACAAATTGTGCCCATCACCTTTTTAAGCTGTTTTGCTTGCTTCCACCTGCCCCCCAAATTTGGAACTTACCTGCCTATTCTGCCCCACAGAAACAACTTGTTAAGGGTTTGGATAAATTCATTGAGTTTATTTATATTAGTTATGTAATGCAACTGTTTTAACAACTGCTTATACCCAGATCTGGAGAGTGCAAGAGACTTGAATCTACCTTGTGCTCACCCTGATATTGTCGCAGAAAGTCTAGAAATCGGCTGTGTTGGCAAATGGGAAGTGATGTTGGGAAAGGGGACAGTCTTGAAAGAAAGAGAAAGTGATGGGGAAAGTCAGTGGCTGGGAATTAAGGTGGTCTAAGATGAGGGAGAAAGAGGGAGAGGCCTTTCCTTGTGCTTGACTAGGAAAGAATCGGAGAATTGTAGAGTTGGAAGGAACCATGAGGGTCATCTAGTCCAACCCTTTGCAATGCAGAAATCTTGTCCAACATGGGGCCTGGTCCTGGGTTAAGAGTCTCATGCTTTACAGATCAAGCTTCCTCAACAAATGAGGGTCCATTAAACGGCCCCTGCTGCATAACCTCCACCTTTTGTGTTTGTTGGGCTCAAGAATGAGCATGTCTTGCTTTTCTGTCCTGGGACTGTCGAGTATCCAAGGATCACTGAACAGCACAGATGTAGCACATATGGGGTTGCTAAAGTGGGGGAGGCAGAGCCCATGCTAGACATTAGGGGGCTTCCTTTGTCTTTGGATTGGCCAGGCATTCGAGTACAGCACTTACCCATGCAAAGAAAAAAATGAAAGATGGGCTTGTGACAATTATTCCAAGAGAGATGCCACCACATTTCTCATAGCAGCAGCATGGTGGTCAACAACCCTTTCTAAAGTAGAGAGAGAGCACAGCTGTGGACAGCGTTGAGTGTTGTGTGGTGAGGCACGAGCAAAGCACAGTGGTGGTGAATACACGAGGTGGCCAAAGCAGCCAACTCAAGGCCCCTTGCAAGGGCTGGGGAGCCTAGAAGCCTCTGAGAAAGCACAACTGCGCCTGCTCCCTCTTGCTGGATCCCCCCTTTCTCCCCATCCTTAGCCCCTGCAAGGCACAGCAGGGCCTGGTGTTGTCGTTGTTGTACATAGAGCCACAGCAGTCCCCTCCACCCTCCCCACAGCCCAGACGTCTTATGTGCGCTTGCGTGGGTGTCACGTTGTAGCCTCCTTAACTCTTATACTGTCGTAGTAATAACAGTTTAGTTTCTAACCAACCAACCTTCCTGTGGGTGCCCCCCCTCCTCCCTGTCATGGCCAGAAATGACAACAGTGACAATGCGTGAGAAATGTTTGCATTTTGCTTTTTATTTTTATTTTGTACAGAGGAAAAAAAACCCTTTAAAATGTCTCTCTCAACTGATGTTAACTATTCTGGTGCTGTTAACTTGTTCTTTTTTTCTAATTTATTTACCCTACCCCCCCCCCTTTTGCTAGCAGCCCTGGCCTTACCCACCCGCCCTCTTTCATTCTTAAAGTTAATTATCCTTCCCTTCTCCCTTCATTTAAAATAGTCACTGCTACAAGTAACGAATGCACTGTGAAGATTCCAGTATTAATAAAAGTTGTACTGTAATTAACGCAAATTGGTTCCTCCCACCCCATCCCACCCATTCTTACTCTCCTACGCGTAAGAGGAACAAAGCAGTTGTTTCTTCAGGCCAGGCACACAACATCCACAGGTGGTTTTCCTACCTGTAACCCTCCTGGAATCACAACACAAATGCTAACACACATTTGTCCCAGCCATTCCAATTCTGAATTTATGGTTACAGAAATGGAAAGGTAAGTGTATTTTTTAAAAACAAAGCACCAGCTTCTATAGTTCTAGCCTAGTAGGGGTTCTTAGAGAGATGTCTTAAGGTGTATTTCAGACGAGCATAAGAGCCTGCTGGATTGTAGGACCCATCCCGCTCTGGCAGAGATAAACCAGATGCCTGTAGGAAACTCAAAGGGCAAAGCACAATAGAAACTCCTTGTGTGATTCCCAGCAACTGGCATTCAGAAGCACACTGCCTCCAACAGTGGAGGTAGCAATCAATAGCTGCCTCTCTCTGTATCTTCTCAAATGGAAAGCAATAAGCATGTGTTGTTGTTTTTTAGCCTTCTGGGGCCTTTCTTTTTCTAATGCTGTTGCTCTAAAGCCGCAGCCCCTGGACTAGGAGAAAGGAGCTGGGCGTTGCTGATTTCAGTTCCAGCCAGTGCATCAATCCCCAACCCTCTCTCTTCTCACAGCCATTTGCATAATTCCAGCACCTTGTAGCAAGAAACCAGCATTTCCATGCCCATAGAATCTAAAGAGCTGCTTAGTATCCAAGTGTGCCTGCTTGTGTATGTGGAGAAGTAACAGGGGTGAAGTCTGAGGGGTATTATTTCTGTAGCTTCCACTATAGCAGCATAGGAGATAGTTCTTCCCCACAGCAAGCTTTACCACAGTCTTTGTCACTGACAGTTGCCCTTCACATCAATCCCCACCCCTAATCACTGAACCATTTCAAGGCTGGGCTGTGTTAGGCCTCTCCACCAGCCCCAACCTTAGTGAGGCAGCTGGGCAGCAGCAGTCCTCAAAGGCTACACACTGCTCCACTCTGGCCTTGTCTAAGAGGGCAAGAGACTTCCCAACCAGACACAGATTGCTCCCTTTTCCGCAATCCCTCACTGGCTACTGGCTCCCTTCTGATGGGCTCTCCTTTTCTTGGAGTCAGAAAAGGTCCAGTGTGGCAGTTTGACACAGCATGTCAGCGCCTACCCAAAGCCGAAATATAGAGATTTTCAGCTGACAAGACAATTTGCTTAGTTCTACTTCTGAAATGGATGATATCCAATCCAGAACTCCCACATCCATACATGGAAGGAGAAATAGCACTTTAAAGTAATTGTTCAGCGAAGACATTTGAAACAAAAGCAACCTGAAGCACCAGGAAAGTCTTGAAAGAGGCCCAGAAAGCCTGACCCAATTCTAGATCTGAAATCACCTGGCTTTGGGCTTAAATAAAATACTGTTCTCTGTAGCCTGATCCGGCAAGTGCCCATTCCACCAAGGGGCTGTACTGCCAGTTCCACTGTATTTCTAGCTGGACCTCAACTAAAGGTGAGCTCACGACTATTAAAACCAGACACTGGTCTCTCAGCAGCCAGCACATTTTGAACTAAACATCTGGTCCCCATAATATCTGAAGGGCATTTGTATCTCTTCAAGCAAGTATCTGTGTTTAGGAGCTGCAGCCAGTCACAAGTTCCATAGACACCTGCACTGTCCTCCAGAGGTCAGGAACCTGTGCCCTCCAAATATTTGCTACAGCTCCCATTATCCCTGACTATTGGGCCAGGCTGACTCGGATGAATCAAACCCCTGTATTACATTTAAAACAAGTAGTCAGCCCACCACAGAAACAAAGAGATCTGTCATTCACATGTAATGCAGCCCTAAGAATGGCTCGGAGGGAGCAAGTGCAAAAGGTTTGCTTTTGAGGAAAGTAAACATAACAGCAATGTTATCTTCTCTGAAGGGGTAGGCTAGGGTAGGTTGGGAGACAATTCCAGAACTTAAGTATAAACCTCCTTAGGACAGCTGAGAGGGCTCAACAAGTCTTCCACAGCAGAGTAAATGGAGAGTAAGATCTCTAGAGAAATACAGAGCCTAATACTGGACACTGCAAGTGCAGGGAAACGTGGCTTTCCTCTGCAGCCCAAAGGGTAAGAAGTGCATCATTTTAAAATGAATGACAAGATTGATCCTCCCATGAATTTAATGTGCCATTGGCAGAGCTCCTCCCTAGCTCATGTTCCCAGGAACAGGTAAAATTCATGAGAGAAGTCACCAAACAGGTTTATCAGCCAACCTTTAATCCAGATGCTGGGTTTTATTAAAGAAAAATCTATGGCCAGTTTCACACAGGCCATCTCTTCAGCAGACAAAAGGCTAACTTGGTACAAGACTCTATTTACAAACACAGAGATAAAAACTGCAGGATGGAAAAATTACACCAGCCACGCCCACAAGGCTTCCCAGACACTGGCCAATGGAAGAGGAGGAGCCCTAACGTCCCTGTGCTCATATCTTACCAACTCAGAAAAGGGGACTTCATCTAGCTAGCTCACTTGACAAGGAAAGGGCAGCAGGGCCTTGTCCAAGGGCAGGTCGGTAGTGGGTGCAGCACCCAAACTGTCTGTAAAAAGCGTGGAGCCAGAAACACACCTGAAAGGGGAGGCCTCGCCACTTGGGAGAACCTGACTGACTTCTGGAACAGCATGGACAGAACAGGTTGATGACATGGTTGGACTTTCAAGTCACTGGAAGAAAACAAGAGTACCAAAGTGGGAGCAACTGGCCAAAAAAGCTCATACCCTTCAAAACATCTTTGGAACAGGAATCCCAGCCACGTCCCTGAAAAAGCGCCTCTCAGAAAGCATAGCGGGTGCGGATGTCCTCTAGCTTCTTGGACACCTCTGGTGGGGTCCTGTCCAGCTCTTCAGACACGTTCTTCTGCTTGTTGGGCTCCATGGAGTTGAACTGCTCACACAGATCCCCATCAATGACATTCTAGCAAGAGAAAGAAAGGGTGGGGGGCTATTTTAGAAGCTGCAGCCCATGGAACGAAGGAGGGAATGGGCTCAAGCACAGAAAGCAGACCCAAAGCATACAGAAAAAGAGGCCATGGTTTCCCAAGAAAAAAGAAGACCCACCTTGATACCTAGGTCAGTTCTAACAGGATGCTACCATCACCAGGGAGAACTGCAATAGGGAATCGCGGGGAGGGGGCTTGAAATCTATACATATCACTTGGAAAAGATAAACGTCCATTCAGACAAACCACCCAGATGGTGAAAAAGAAAAAGTCAGAGAATCACGTAGACATATATGCCCCATTGCTGATTACCTTTCTTAGCACGCAGAATCCTGTCCTGGAAAAGCCATTCCAGCAACCTAAGCAGATGCTCTGACCAAAGCATAAAATGCAGGGGGGAAATTTGGCCTTCACATTGGCAACTTTTACCCATGAGCAGAGCTCAAGTGTTTACTAGCATATGATGGACACATAGAAGACCCACAAACTCAGCCTACCTTCACTGGGAAGTAATAGGAGCGGAAGCTGAGGTGGTCTCGTCCACAGAGAGGAGGGTGTTCAGACCTCAGATGCATCTCAACATGTTGGAAGAAGTCATGATCCTGAAAAGAGAGAGAGCGCCATCAAAGGGAAAGGAAAACAGCTGGAAGCAGCAGTGTCAGGCCACACCCAGTGCCAGCATTGAGAAGAGGAGCGGCTGTGATTGGTACACTAGTTGACAACACACCACCTGAACAAATTTCCTAGAGCAGGGGTAGGCAACCTAAGGCCCGGGGCCCGGGGGCCGGATGCGGCCCAATTGCCTTCTAAATCCGGTCCGCGGACGGTCTGGGAATCAGTGTGTTTTTACATGAGTAGACTGTGTGCTTTTATTTAAAATGCCTCTCTGGGTTATTTGTGGGGCATAGGAATTCATTCAATATCTTTTTTTCAAAATATAATCCAGCCCACCAGATGGTCTGAGGGATAGTGAACCGGCCCACGGCTGAAAAAGGTTGCTAACCCCTGTCCTAGAGAGAGTGAGTCCTCTGCAGGCAGGCATGCATCATTTTGGGGAAGGATGTATATACATAGCAGGAAGTTCATCACAAAGCACTGGTCCAATGTGGATTTCCCTCTTTAGAAACCTGCCTGGATTTCAGATATCACCTTATTTGTATCTGCCCATTCTTCCAGTCTCCCAAGAAGGAGCCTGGCATATAGTTTAGAGGCTACATCTAACAAACTAATGGGTCTATAACTGGCAGGATTTTTCTTATCAACCTTTTTATATATTGGGGCAATTATACTCAGCTTCCACCCTTCCGGTATGTGACCTGAGCTGTTAATATATGAAAACAGTTTTGCAAAAATGGGGACCAGAAATCCAGAGATTTATCTTATAAATCTCCACTGGGCTCATGTCTTCTCCTGGACCTTTATTGGCTAGCTGGCTTATGATTAGCCTCTTAATCTGATTGGGGGGTGATGTCTGGCCATTCTGGCAGTTATAATAACTGAGTATAGTAAACTTGTGAGGGTGAGTCAGAGCGGGGGCCATATATTCCTGTAAAATATGTCACCCAGTCCTTTCCTTGGACAGATGCTTCTAACAAGTAGCCCAGCCCATTTGTACCTTGGGCAACCAAATGCCAAAATTTCCCTGAGTCCTTTTTAGCTCTGCTTCATTCTGTCATGCCTCATGGGCAGAGCCAACTGGCAAATGTGGGTGTCACCTGTGTCAGCAAATGTTTTTAGAGTACATTCTATTGCCAGGTATCAGTGTATGCATTGGGGAGGGGGGAGACATACAGAGAGCAAAGAGAGCCATAGGCAGCTCAGGAGGTCCAACAGCAGCCAAGCTCAGTACGTGCATTAAAGCAGATCCATTTCTCATCCACACAAGGAAGAGCCAAGAGGCCAACTGTGGGCAGGGAGTGGCATAGCTTCCCCACCCTTTCAACTTTGTCTTCCATCCTCCCATAACTCACTGTCACTACTGCAGGGCATTAAGTGCTCCTGCTGCACTATGTAGATGAACAACTCTTAATATTTTCATCATACAAGAACTTCCTACCTCATGTGACGTAAATGGGACCAGAATGCCAATGCCCCCAGATAAGGTCGTGTAGACAAGAGATTCAGAGCCTCCGGGGATTAGAGTCGTCTTCTGCAGGGAGAGGACTGTTTCCCCTACATGGTAGTTCATAATCACCTCTGCCTGAAAGGAAGACAAGCAAGAGTTCAGCAGGTGACCTAAGATAATGCATTAAATCCAGACAATCTCATTTTCATCAAAGAAAACCTACATTTATCACTTCCAGTGGTTGGTGAGGACATTTCTAAACACACTTATAATGCAAACTTGCAACAGTGATTTCCTATGTGTAATGCTTGGGGAAGGAGGTGCTATTAGGCTACTGGAGTACATTGGACTCCTTCCATTATGAGCACAGTATTTCATTAGGACTGTATTTCACATTTCTAAAATGCAGTGTCAATTAAATTATCCCCCCCTAAAACAGGATGACTGTTGAAATATGTCTTAAAATTTACTTCCTGCTAGCTAAGTGTAAAAAATAAAATTGTGTAGGAGGGTTACCTCTCCTACAGTAACAGGGGTGCTATGAACCCCAGAAGACATTGCAAATAAAATAAAAAATTAAGCAAACCTGAATCACTTCATACTCCCTATACTGGCTCAACAATTACATGGGGTCAGTTGTCCTGGGTTGTTTCTCCCCCATACTGTTTCAAGTTTCATTTAACTAACAGGGGTCCAATGTTCCCCTATTGGAAAGGAAAACTGTCCCTCCTATCCCCAGGAACTTCTCAAAACAGAGCAGGGGGAAATCACAAAAGTTTTGCCTGTATCATGTGACAGCATTTCAAGAACACGAAAGAGATTTTTCTGTGAACTTTTAAAAAATCTCTATTCCTTTGTGCACAAAAAAAACAACTACAAACAACCCTAATTACAAAGCTCCAAAGGCACCTGCTTGACCACAGGAGTACAATTTCACTCTATGCAGGGGTTTAACTCTGCTCCACATTGCATTTATGTAGACACAGAAGTTAATTTCAAAAGCCCTTTCAGGCTTCAACCGGCAGACAGACATGTTATTAATTCCATACGGATACTCTGGCTTTTAAAAACCAATTCACCGTAACATGTTTTTTATCAGTAGATTTATGCATAGATTTATATATTCTTAAAAAGGAAGTTGCTGGTTCCAGAAAAAGGCAGGTAATGAAGTTAATAAATAACCAGAGAACTAGAAAGAGCCTCCAGTTTCTCACCTGAGGAAGCACCCCCTTCCCTACACCAAAGTTACCTTTTGAGAAGCCCCATTAAGAAGGCCTCTATCCCACAACGCCTTGTTTCCAGTTGGGTCCTCATCTACCTCATCATTTGTGTTGGGCGGCAGCCGCACCTACAGGAGGAGGCATCAAGAGAGTCAAACTCACGCGTGGCCTCAGAGGCAAATGGGAATAACTAGAAGGTGTTGTAAGCATGAATTCAGAAAAGCCCAAACAAGCAAACACTCTGCATGTCACATCAAACCACAGTGAGTGCCCCAACCTGGGTTCACAGCATGTTTCTCCCCCAACAAACCATGAGAGTTAACCAAGGTTTGTTCTTGACTCATTGGCTGTGCTTGTTGGAAGCAAACAAACCAACAGGATGAGGTCTGGAAGTCACAACAAGCCGTCGCAGCAGCAGCAGCAGCAGGAGAGGAGCAGAGCAAGAACTTTTCAGCAGCATGCACCAACACAACCACATAAATCCGCAGCCTGTTTTTAGCTGTGGGCTGACTGTGGTGTGTAATCCAGGCCACAAAAGGAGAGCAACAAAGCATATGTCTCCATTAACAGAACAGTCACAAGGTGTGCACTTTGGCAGAAGAGTCCAGAGGAAGTTGCCACCGCCCATGACAGCAGCGTGTGAGTGTGGGAGAAAGGTCTCACAGGCCACCAGCTAAATGGTGCTTAGCAAAAGCAAAAGGCAGGGGTTTCACTGGCGTCTCCCGCATCAGGGAATCAAAATAGCAGGACAGTTCTCAAATGAGCCCCAGAAGTTTCCTGGCTGCCTTCAGGCTGACTCACCACACAGATGTTGCCAAACTTGTCAGCCCCAGCCACTGTGTCATAGTCGAGGAGGCAGGCAGTGGTGACCCAGCGGGGGTGGGTGTCATCTGCAAAAATGATCAGCTGGTTCTCGTTCCTCTTGTAGCGCACCCAGATGAAGCTCTCCTGGACATCTGAGACAATCACTCGGTGCCCAATGGTCTGGATCCCACAGATGTAGTTGGCAATGTGCTGGGAAGCGACAGCAATTCAGAAAAGCAGTTCAAAAAGCAAAAAAGGGAGGCTGTTCAAGGCAAGCTCCCAAATCCCTTCCTAAACCACTATGCACATGAAATCTGAACATCACTGGCATCTCTCTGCAAGGCTATGATCATTTATAGTGCAACAGCTGTCGCTTTCTAAAACTAAGAGAGAAAAGGGGAGGTGGGACATTGCTTATCTGTGATCACTTTCTATATCTGAATGTGCACCGAGAACCAGTGCTAACATCATTCTAGGTAGCTCTCTTGATTCTAGAAATACTCAGAAGGCCAAACAAACAAGGTAAAAGCAAATATGTGAAATATGAAAATCTTCCTATTTCTACTTTCTATAACCCAGCACCTGCCAGGTGTTTGGGACTACAAATCCCATCATCCTTGACCACTGGCCACGCTGCCAGAAGCTGATGAGAGTTGCAGTCCAAAACATTTGGAGGGCTCCAGGCTGCACTGTGCCCTTTTGTGCAGATGCTTCACTACACCATTATAAAGTTGGTGTCAGGAACGACTATGAAAAAATCCAAAACTTTCAACTATCACCTTATGTGAATCACAGGCCATAGCTTCATAAACACAAGACCACACCTTTGAGCCTCAGATTCTCAATTTTATTCCCAAGGGAAAGAAAATGATTATCTATCCAGTGAAATATAATAAGGGTGTAAACAGCCCTGAAGACTTGCCCCTTAAGCAATTTGAAGGAAGCCAAAGCTCTGGGCAAGAGAATGTTTCCCTGCAACTTGAAAAAAGTTCAAAGGTTTCAACCAAATTTGTTAAAAGCAACAGGGTATGTCTGCCTTAGGAAATGCAGCTTCCAGGAGATCTGCGCACACAAACACACACACAATGTTCTAAATACCTTATTCTCACACTTCCGGAGCAGCTTCTTCTTGCCCAAGTCATAGACCCGCAAGAGTTTCCCCACGCCAATGAGCACTCTGCCTTGGAAGGGGGCAATAGCAGCTGGTACCTCCTCTACTGGGGTCTGAACAGAAAGGAAATGAAAGAGAAGAAGCCTTTGTCAAGAAGACTAAACAAAGATCATTAATAGTACCCTCACTGCATAGATGACGCCCCACGACTACAAGGATGGGCAAGTTTCAGCCATGGCAAAGGATACAGATCCACCACCAGTGAGTTTTGGGGCTCACTTGAATCAAATACCCATTTGCATCTACTGGGGAAGAGATTGACACTGCAAGCCAACGAGGACAAACTGCCTCTAGGAAGGGGTCTCCTAGTTCAGCTTCTGCCCAACAAAAGAACGTGCCTCCACTCAGGTCCAGGCTGCTAGGTATCAACAAGGAGGGAGAATTCAACTTTTGCAGTGCTCTGTACATTGTTGGTTTTCTTCACGCCAGCAGAAGCCAAAGTATTCAGCAACCACCATCAGGTCTGCAAAAGCTCAAATCAGATCACCTATAAATGACCCATTCACAGGTCTATGCTTGTTTTGCTTCAAATGTCCATTAGATAACTGCAACTGTCACATCATTATTATAATTGCTCAAATTTCCCTGGCAGCAAGCAATGTGCATACATTTTGCATGGCAATCACAGGCAAAATCCAATGTGATTTTTGATCTGGCTGCTGTTTGTGGGCAGAAGGAAAACCATTTGTGGAGTAGTTACTAACAGTGATGGTCTTCTGTTCCCAACCAAGAGATTTCCATCCCAAAGAGTTGGGTCTCATCAGTACATTTTAGCAACCTCATGGCAAGCCCCATCCATGTTCATCTTCCCAGATTCCTCCCCCTCCAACCCACTTGTGGAGGGAATTCTCACCTTGTGCAAGAACTCAAGCTTCTCCCCACTGTTTATCAACTTATAGGTGTAGACAAAGCCTCCAGCCACAGACCGTGGGTTCAGGATAAGGTCCTTGGCTACGCCCACTAGAACATGCCAGTCGTCACCACCATTGGCAAATCGGCACACTGCCACACTGTAGAGAGCCAGAACGATAACGTTACTTGACAAGACAAGGGAAGACTGGGAAGGCAAAAGAAGCAGTTGCTTCACAGCAACAAAGAGCAAGAGAGAACTCTTTGGGGGAAGGCAGCAGTGAAGAGTATGTTGTACCATTTGCTTGTGCTAAGGCAGCATAGAAATGCAATAATAATAATAATAATAATAATAATAATAATAATAATAATTTATTATTTATACCCCACCCATCTGGCTGAGTTTCCCCAGCCACTCTGGGTGGCTCCCAATCGAGTATTAAAAACAATACAGCATTAAATATTAAAAACTTCCCTAAACAGGGCTGCCTTCAGATGTCTTTTAAAAATAGGATAGTTGCTTATTTTCTTGACATCTGATGGGAAGGCGTTCCACAGGTTGGGTGCCACTACTGAGAAGGCCCTCTGTCTGGCAATAGGCAAACTGAATGAGATTTACCGTTTTTTCGCTCTATAACAAGCATCTGACCGTAACACGCACGTAGTTTTTAGAGGAGGAAAACAAGAAAAAAATATTCTAAATGAAACAGTGGATGTATGATTTTTGTGGTTCATGCTGTGGTCACAGACATGTGATCTGACGGTGAGTTGGGGTAGCCCAGTGCAAAAATCCTGAGGATCCATGTGGATCCATGCTTTGTAACCACGTTTTTGCGCCATTGCGGCCCCATGAAACAGTGGGTGCGTGTGTTTTTTGGTGCAGGCTGTAGCCATGGACATGCTATGTGATCCGATGGTGAATTTGGGGTGACCCAGTGCAAAAATCCTGAGGATCCATGTGGATCCGTGCTTTGTAACCACGTTTTAAGTGGGGAGGAAGGAAAAGCACTCAAGGACAAGGAGCATGTGTGGGGTGTGTGGAGAAGGAGCTTTTCGGGGAGCTGAGTGGGGAGGAAAAGAGCACTGTTGCTTTAAAGGTATACTTAAGGTATTTGCCCTGTGCCTGGGGTTTTTTCCATTTAACAGTTTGCAGCCTGTTCCTTCCACTCCTTGTTTTGAGGCAGAATAGATTTGAGCAAGTGAGGAGGACTTGGATTGCAGGGATTCGCCATTAGCTGTGTAAAAGCGCTCCTCCTTGCAGCCTTCTACTTTGTTTGTACACGTGGCTACTGGTATCAGTGATAAGCAGCCAGCAGCAATAGAATGGAGCACAAAAAAGCGATAGGGGCACTAGGACCCAGACAATGCTCAAATCTATCCTGCCTGTAAACAGCTGAGAAGCGGGGGATTTGCCTATTTTTCCCCTCTCCCTCATCCGTGCCCTCCCCAGCCTTTTTTTTACTTCCTGGTTTTCACTGCGCTCGTGGCTGAGAGCTCCAGGTTGTTGTTTTTTTTTGCTGCTGGTTGCTTAAATTTTATCCTTCCTGATCCAAGCCCTCCTGTGCCCTGCTGTCCCTCTGCAGCCTCATTGCTCCGTTTAGAGAGCGCGCGGACCTTTGCTAGCTGAGGCTGCAGCAGCTGTTGCTGGCTACTTTAAAAGCGCCTGCTGGCTTCGAGCCGCCTGCCTCCTCCCAGCTCGCTATGGCTCCCGTCTGTCCCTCCTCCCGTGTAAGCGGCTGTTGCCCGCTTTGCTGCCATGGCTCTCCTTCCCTCCCTCCTCCCCGGCTCCTCCGAGCCGTAGGTCGCTTTAAAGCAAGCAAAGCGAGAGCCTCGTAGAGCGTGTAAGCGGCTCTCGCTTTGCTTACTTTCAGAGAGCCCCTCCTCCTGGCTGTAAAGCAAGCAAAGCTAGAGCCGTGCAAAGCCCTGCAAGCGACTCCCGCTTTGCTTGACTGACTCCGACCCAGTGCATTCGCTCCGTAACACGCACAGGCATTTCCCCTTACTTTCTAGGAGCAAAAAAGTGCGTGTTTTGGAGCGAAAATTACGGTAATTAGGGCCATTGTCAGCTGAGCAGATCATGGTAAATGACTGCCAAGCATTGGTCTCAAGACCCCAAACAACTTCAGGTAGACCACATTTTTGCTTTATTTAATTAGATCCTAGAGTCATCTGGCAACAATAGCATAAGTAAATATTTGGTTTGACTGGTGTACTTCAAGTATGACCAAAGTATGACCCAGTATAAAGAGTATTTCCATTATTTAGCAGAAAGGGCAGCATTCAAAAGGGTAACTTGCTTCAGAGGTGCAGACACTGTTCCTTACCTGAAGGCGGCTTCATTTTGCTCCAGCTGGACTAGATCTAAAGTGTTTCCTTGGATGGGGTTCATCACCCGGACAACAGACGCCCATTGTCCATTTCCTGCCTTTGGGGCACCAAAGATGGACTCAGGAAGGTTCTCGTTCAGAAACGCTGCTGCCATCTCTGCAGCTAGTTCCCTCTCATCTTCCCCTGCAGCTTCCACCATTTCCTGCAAAGCACAAGGGGGCAAAAAAGGACTGTAATGCCTATCTCTAGTGCAGCATCCTGTTCTCACAGTGGCCAAAGCAGATGCCTCTTGGAAGCCCAAGCAGGACCTAAGTCATTCCCAACAACTGGCATTTAGAGGCATGCTGCTTTTGGCAATAGAGACAGAATATAGTCATCATGGTTAGTAGGCAACTGATAATCTACTGCTCCATGAGTTTGTTTAATGCTCTTTTAAAGCCATCAAAGTTGGTGGCCATCACTGCTTCTTGTGATTATGATGATTAGGCAGTCCTAACTGAGGTGCAGAAAATAAGTGAGCTTTTCCATGGGTTACAAAAGCAGACTAGCCTCCTCTCTAGAAAGGAAAGTGGTCACTGCTCTGCACTGTGTTGCAACAACTTCCCCACCAAGTGCAGCAGCCTCAAAAGAAGCTCCAGCTCATAGAATCCTGTCCCTGCCCTTCTTTGGTGAGAGCTAGGCCCCCGGCAGACGCCAGGCATGTTACCTCCGCCATCTGCTGCTTCCTTTGGGCTTTAGTGGCCTCAGTATAAGCATTGTGGTCCGTCTCAATGATGATTAGGTTGTTGCTCTCAGGGTGGATGACAAACTTCCTAGGAGTGTACTGCAACGGGAAGGCAACCTGGTTGAAGACAGCTCCAAGCTTCTCCAGGGCCAAAATCCTATGGGAGCCAAAAAGTTGCAGACATTAAGATTATCCCAGTGAGCCACCTTAAAGGAACTAAAAGGACATCCAAGCCGAACAATGGAGCCTCCCTGGTGGGCCGGCATCTATGGCATGAACTACCTTCCATCAAGCAGACGCGGGACATTTTCAACCTGAAAACTGACAACTTGCCTGGTAGCCATCAGTGATGGGGAGCTCCATGAGTGTGTGAGTGAAAGGCACAGGAGGAAAGGGTCCTTGTGCCCCTCCTCCTTCAGTCTGCTTAGTGGAAGGCAGAGTGTTGTATATTCACCTGCACTTGCATGATGGCTAGAGACTAGTTACTTTTGCAGGCTTATTTACAATGGCCACCCGACACCCAGTTCACAGTACTTTGTAGTCTATGGAGCTTCATGCAGGAAAGCCTGTGGATATCAGCATGCCAGGCAACCTCCTTTAGTATTCAAGATCAGGAGAGACAGCTGCCTCCTGCCCCTGAAGAGAGATCAAGTAGACCTACAACAAAACCAACATGGCTGCTATTTCAGAACCACCTGATGCTTTGTGAAAAAGTAGAGCAGCCTCTGAAGTGAACACTCCACAGACTGGCTACCACCAAGGAATAATCTCCTCCCAACAACCAGTCATGCTTCGGGTGGGTTGCAGGGGGTGGGTGGCTGCCATGTACAGCTCTCCCTCCCATATTGAGCAACTAGGAAGGAGGCCAGATCAAGCTACTCAATGCAGAGTGGGTAAGCCACCTTACCCATGCAAGGTCATGTAGAAAGGAGGCATTCAGGGCAACCCTTTTGGGCACCAGCTGCCCCTGCTTTGTGCAGGAAGGAGCTTGGGACAGACAAGCAAGACAGACAGACAGTCCTGTGTGCCAAGAGAGAAGGCAAACAGGTTCCATTATTTGTTTCCTTTCCCACCGCTGGCATTTTGATACGAACCTCAGTGTGTTTGTTGAGATGGCTACTATGCCCTCTGGACACTGCTCGGAAGCAAAGCCAGAGGCAAACTCCAACGTTTCATATGAGAGGGGTGTTAAGTGGAAGCGGGACTGATAGGAGTAACTCAGCCAAGAACGGCTTGACATGGCCAGCACCTGGAGCAGGAGGAAAAGAAGAGAGAGAAAATTCAGGGAGAGAACAGCAAATGGGACAGAGCAGCTCACACCTCTGGGAACCCAGCTGGCTGCCTTCTCCTCCTAGCAGTCCACAATCAAAGGCTCTGTTGGCAGGGCAGGGCAGAACTAATTACAGGCTCTAGGAGTCCCCAAGCCAGCAGCATAAGAGAAGTTGTGAGGGGGCCAAACTGAGATTCCTGCATTGCACAGTGTTGGTCTAGATGACCCACAGGGTCCCTTCCAGCTCTACAACAATATGATCCTGAAGGCCACAAGCCTGGCTACTTTATCACCAACTTTCAAAAACACCTTGCACTCTGTAAATCAGGTGCAATGACTACAGCAGCAAGAGCCAGGCAAACAAAGGACATTGAGTACTTCCTCCTTCTTTAATGTCCCCCTCCCTTTCCCACAAGCAGCTAAAATGAGCAGGACCCAGAAGAAGGCCAAGATATTTCCTTTCCCCTGGCCTCATTAACACTCTTGTTTTCTCCCTCACTCACCCTCCCCATCCAATAGCATGTATTTTCCCTCTGTACCAGACGGTAAACAAGGAATTTAGTTGTGAACTCATCCCACCCCAAATTTCTAAAAGATCTTAGTCACCAGATTCACAGTCCTCCTGAAGTTTTTGCTCCTCCCCCTTCAGCTTTTCATGAGTGCACTCCTCTGATTCCCCGCTCACTCACCGCTTCTTGGCCTTGCATCCGGACTCGGAAGAGCTTCACAGGGCGCGAGCCCAGATACCTGGTCCTTGTGTCAGAGAGGTCACCAGTAACTGGATCAAGGACAGTTCGGAGAAGTACACCGTTCTGGGTTACAAGGGCAGATGAGCAAAGCAAGGTGGGGGGAGAGGGACAAGGGAAGGCAGAGAGAAAAAGAGGCACCAGATGAACTCAGAATACCAATGTATCTTCAGCTCCTGACTCCAGAAGTCTTACTATTTCCAGGTTTTCTCTGGCATGTACAAAATTAAGCACAACACTGCTACAAAGCTGCTGTTTCCTCCTTTAACAAACTAAGAAAAGGCTTTTTTGTGAAACCGCTTAAAGTGTAGGCTACTCCCACTTCCCACCTAAATACAAAGACCCGCGACCCGCTGGAAGATGAGCTCTAACACTTCCACCCTCCTCCCTGGCAGACAGAAGGTATCCTTCACAATGGGATTAGAGTCTGCCTTAATCAAGCGGGAGAGGGCTCCGTTCCTCGGGAGCTCTGGAAGAGTGAAGAAGGTGGCAGGAGGGATGCAGTGCTCCCTTCTGGGAGGGTGTGTGGAATGCGTCTCTATAGGGTTGTACGAACTCAAGAATATGGCTTCCCACACAGTCCAGTCAAATGCAGCAAGACCTGGTCCAATCCCATATATCAAGGATCTAGCAAAGGTTCTGGGCAGTAACTGCTCACCTGCAAGCCAATGTTCAGGTACAAGAAGCCAATCGAGCCCCGCTCTCCCAGCTCATCTTGCTTCTCAGCTCCACCCATTTCCACAATGCACAGTGATTCTGGTTGGGCAGGGAGAGCTTGCATACTCAGCGGCTGAAGACAGTCCTAAGGGATGGAGAAGGAAGACACCATTACTAAAGCAGAGAGAAAGAACAAAGCATAACACATAAGGTCTTTGTTGCTACCCTGAACCCTGAATAATAAAATTTATTACTATTAAACAAAAACATCTTGAAGGTCCCAGGCCACAGAGAGGTTAGGCTGGCCTCAACTAGAGCCAGGGCTTTTTCGGCTGCGGCTCCGATCTGGTGGAATGCTCTGTCACAAGAGACTAGGGCCCTGTGGGACTTGACATCTTTCCACAGGGCCTGCAAGACAGAGCTGTTTCACCAGGCCTTTGGCCAGGGCACTGCCTGACTCCCTCCTTTGGCAGTCTTCACAGAACTCTAGCCCAATGGTTGCCATCAATTTGATTTGAATTAATTTTATAATGAAATGATTTTAGAATGTTGTATTATTTTATTGTTGTTAGCCGCCCTGAGCCTGGCTTCGGCTGGGGAGGGCGGGATATAAATAAATTTTATTATTATTATTATTATTATTATTATTATTATTATTATTATTCAGACATCAGGTGAGGAACTGTAAATGGCTGAATTCTCCTTTGTACAAAAATGCCTGGCACATTTGAAGGAGAAGACTAGGCTGACCTGCCAATTTTCTATGTAGGAGGGCATTCAACCACACACCCCAGCACTCTGAAGAGATAAGACTGAAGAAGCACATGGCAATGTTGATTATGCCAACCTGCTCAAAGTGTTTCTCCATTTGGAGCAATCTGTGGGAAGATTCATTTCATCTGAGGAAGTCTTTAAAGAATCATTTTTAGCTCTGGCCTTCTTTTAGGCAACCCAGTATCTTCCAAAAGTTTGGAATACAACTCCCATAATCCTCAGCCAAACTGGCTAGGGCTGGGGTGAGCTGTAGTTCAAACCATCTGAAAGTCACCAGGTTGGAGAAAGCTCATGTACAACATACACCTTGATTATTGTGAATTGACCTATTATATGGCCACTGAAGCATGACCAGAGGCTTGATGCTCCTTACTGGCATCAAGCCCTTTGGAATGCCTGAACCTTCAAATTAAGAGGCAGGGGTATCAAAAAAAGAAGGGGAGGGGAGAGAAAGCAACTGCAGTTTGGGTTTGGAAAAGAGCATGCTAGAGTTCAGCTGGAGTCAGCTAAAACTGGAAGACATATTGGGGTACTGGAGGAGTAAGCCATGCCTTTGAGTTTCTGACAAAGCACCAGAAGTTGTATTGCCCACTTTATGAGTCTGCTTGCTTCCAATATGCTCTCCTTTCATATTAGATAACAAACCAAAGTCAGTCTAGTGCATTCTCACATCCAAAGAAAGGAAAGCCCTGCTAACCACCCCTGGAACTTCCTCTCACTCAGTTTTTTTTGGGAGGGCAGTTTTGGTTACAATACTTTAATTCGGGTCAGCAAAGGCTTAGCTACAGGCAAGCGACTCTCAGGAAGCACTTACAGAGGGGTCGAGGGAAATGATGCGCACAGTGTTGTCCACCAGCCCAACAGCAAGGAACCGGGAGCGCTGCTCTCCTGGGGGAACATTGGCCAAGCTCATGCACACCACGTCAGCAGACATCTCCTTCCTCTCTGTGTATTCATTCAGCTGTCCTGACTGGTGTGGAAAAAAGGCACAATGGAGGAAGGAAGTCACACCTGGATTAGCAGAACCAGACTCATTTCAGATCAAGAGCTGTGCAATAAATTCTTTGAACCATGTATGATGACAGGTGACCTTGCTTGTTTGACCTTTTGAGGTAGGAAGCCTGGAGCACTTTGAAGAACACCAAGTTTATCAGAGATAAGCTGGTCTTAAAAAATATGCCAGTCTCTGCAACGGCCCACCAAAGCAACCCCCAAACACCCACCCCACCCAAATGGCACAAATCACCTGAATGTTATCCTGCACAAGAACCCCTGAAATGAAGGAATGTGACATAAGGAGCCCAATAATGCTGTGGTGCAGTTCTCATTTGTTTCCACTGCAAGTCTAGTCTGCAAACCCTCATGAAAACCACACCTCCCTCCAGCTAAGCTCACGTACCGGGTCCATCTCAAAGTAGACCAGCTCTCCCCCTGTCAGTGCGATCACCACTTGTCTCTGATTCACAGCACATTTGACGATGGTTTTCTTCCCTGGTGTTTTCCACTCATTAACTCTTTTATCTGCTCTGATGTGCCGGATGCCATCAGGATAAACCTAAACAAATACAGAAATAAGATGCTGTGTGAGTCCATCTGACAGGAACTGCCTTTGCTGTTCTTTCCATTATTAAGCTAGTCTTGCAAGTCAGTTCACAGAAGTTATCAGCCTAGCCTTTTTTAATTTTTTCCTAAACTGCTTGCTCACATACAGTTTTTTACTGTCATTTGGACACACCAGAGGTCAACAAGGGAAGTAGAAGAACCAGCACCTCTTATCTGGTTTACAAAAGCTTACTAAGCCTGCTCATCTGTAGCCCATTTGCCACAAGCACATGGCAAGATTTCCATGCCTACCTATACAGCTTTTTAGTTTGCAAAGTGATCTATAATCTTTATCTCATTCACACAACTAATTTCTGCTGTTCACCATCAAGTGCTCTCATTATATCTAGCTGAGAGAGGGCAAGGTCAACAAACAGCAACTTGAAAAGTGCCACCAAGGTAAATGATTAAGATTCCACAAGCTCCTATCTACCTTTAAAACAAAACAAAACAAAAATCACAGGGAATATTAGTCTATGCAACCAGTTAAAATAATGCAGTAGAAGACTAAATGTTTTTAGTAAGAGCGGAACACCAAGGGAATCTTACTTTGAAAGGCTCTGGAAACAACCCTTTCCCAACCTTAAAGGTGACCTTATCCTCTAGCCAGTTTGCAGGTCCCAGCTATTAAATTAGCTACCACCACCCCATCCATGCCAGGAGAGCACCACAACCAAACCCTCTCTCCTTGCATCTCTTGAGAAGGCCAAGGGGCCTGGCTGTAAAAGGCAAGCAGAACACGAAGAGGTAAAAGGCCCCTTACCTGCACCAAAGCATCATCTCCCAACAATGAGCAAGACAAGGTGGGCGTAGTACCAAGGAATCCTGAGTCTGTAACCTCCTCTACAGTTTCTCCGATAGACAGTACCAGGGTGGCATTGACGAAGGACACAATGATATAGGCATCAAATTCATCTAATTACAGAAGAAAGAAGACAGGTGCCAATATTTAGAAGGTCAAGAAAGAGGTTTGTAGAACAACTATGGACAACAGAAACTCTTCAAAAAGACTACAGTTATTTCCATCATCACTATCACACACAAGTTCATGACAGGGGGCCGCATGGCCTTCAGACACTTGGACCGTGGTAAAAGGAGAAGAACACTCAAGGCACAAGGAAGCTACAGCTGTGCGAGAAGTGTGGACCTTCTTTGAGAGCCTCCCCCTCCCATTTATATCATAATCACATCTGGGTCAGTGTACAACTGGAGTAAAAACAGTTTTTCTCTCCTCCTAACCACAAGAAAATGATCAGACAAGACGTTTATGCCTGCAGCCAGCCAACAAAACAGTTTATTCTCATTTGCTCTCTCTAAATTACACACACGAACACAGCGTATCTGTAAAACAAAAATTGTGATGCAGATCAAAATAAATCCCACAGGTTAATAAAATACACCAACCCAGACAATGTAACTTAACTAAAACATATGAGATGCAGCTAATTTAGTTCTTTTATAAAAAAAAATGGAGTTGGCAGGAGGGATAACAAAACAGTATTATGAAAACAATGAACTAATGAAGCAGATGGAAGCTCAGAGAACAAATGGTTAGCAACCTCTCACAGCTTTTAGATCTTTCCACCAGAAGTTAATAGTAAGAAGTCACACACCTTCTTTCCACATTCCAGAAAGAAATAAACCCAGAATGCCACTGATCTATTAAGCGCCAGATTGAGGAATCCGAGTCAGAGCAGGCTTTTGCAGAGCTAGAGAAACTTCTATGGCTTCACAGGTATAAATTGCATTGAACCATCAAAATGCAAGATTAGAAGCCACTAGAAAGAGATATGCCCATGGTGGCAAGATCCCCACTTCTGCATCAAGATGCTCATCTCTTTGCATCTTCCCACAATGGAGCCCTACAGGAACTCCAGGTCAAGCAGTTGTCCTCCCTAGAGTTCAGGCTTCCACAACAGATGCTAAGTAGCAAGTCCGGTTTCGTTACCAGCAAAAAGACCAAGGGGATTTCTTGTTCAAGGGGCAGAAGGGAAAGAATTTGGCTGCAGTTTTATTGAAATGAATGGGGGCAAAAATGAAGAAATAAACAGCAATACTGCCAAGGATGGAGATACCAGGGGGGCAACATGGATTCAACTGAAGTAAAAAAAAAAAATTGGGGCTGAAAAAGAGACTGTAATGTTAACTAACATAGTGTCCACTCGGCTTGGAAATGGGGACATGAACACTTTCCAGTTGTCTTCTATCCATAGAAACAAAATAGCTTATTCACATGTTTTAAATATAGTGCCAGAGATTACAAAGGATTTAGACAATGCATAGATACGTTAATATGAATTGTAATTGGCTGTAAGTCGCTTTGGGTTGCCTTGGGAAATATAAAGTGACTAACAAATTTAATAATAAACAAATAAATATGTAACATTTTAACAAACACTTCACTGTTCAGTTTCCTCACATTCACTCTGCCAATGAAACCATTTAGAAATTACCACTATAGCAGAAAACATTTCCCCTGCTGGTGCAATCCCTGGTAGTGCTGCAAATACCCCCCCAAAAGAAAGCCCTGCAGGGACACGGCCAGTTAGGGTAGAAAATACTGAGCCAATGGCCCAATGGTCTGAATGGATACAGGGCTGCTTCAGTGTTCCCGTCACCTATGCTTGCCAAGTTAAGCACTCTCCAGCTTGGCCTTTTACAGGGGCAGCACACAAATCAGGATCTTAAGCTGTGTATTTCTTTTCATCTGTAGACCAGCAGCTTCAAAGAACTCAGATATGGAAAACAGCCATTCTAAAGAATTAAATACCAACAGCGGACTGGCCCACCAAGCTCACAGCCAATCCTGTGGAGGCAGCAGGCAAAGGAACAAGCAACTGAGCAACTCATATAGGAGGGCTCTAATTAGTTCAGCTTCAGAAACTAGATACAGTATACTTGTAAATTACATATATTTAATTTGTGCAAATTCAGCTTTATGTGCTTGGCAAATAAATTGGGGGGGGCAGGCATCGGGGGGGGGGGCACTTTCACAATATCCTCCAACGTGTTTTGACTATATGTGATTTTGACTTTCGGTGCTATCCCCAGAATGTAAACACACACACCCCGCATAAATTTCAGGCTTACTGTATAGCCTTCACCAAACTGGTGCCTATCCAGCTGTTTTGGATTGCAGCTCCCATCAGCTCTGCTGGGGAAAGCTGATGGTCCAAAACAGATGAGAGGGCCCTAAGGCTGGCAAAAGCAAAGCCATTCACACTTTTACTTGCTGACCTGAGTGGAACTCACTCCCACCTCAGTGCAGAAGTCCATGACATGTGCTCCTCTCTGTCACAATAAAGCCTAAAGCCGCCACCCAAGTCCTCCACAGACTCCTAACACAGTTCCAGACCAAGACACTCAGGTGTTCTGATTCACCCATGTCATAAGCTGGACTTGACTGTAATGGATCCACAGGGTTCAGCAACACAGGCAGCAAGGCTTCCTTATTCACAAAGCACCCCCTCTGTCCTCAGTCTGCTGGCACCCGAGAGATGCTAGCTTTTGGGGAAGAGGGCATTCCTGGACAACTATCAGGGTTCCCACGAAGCTTCATCCCTGATGTGCTTCCCCCACTCTTTTTATCTACACAATTCAATTTACCCCTTTTAAACACAAGAAACAAATCCATTTTTTGGAAAATCATAGTGTCCGAATAGTCAGAAGTTCATCATGGACTAGATTGTTAACAGTTTCATTAGCACTAGGAATTCATTCACAAGCATTATTTTTTGTTGAGATTCCTTTCTTGTGGTTGCAGAAGTAATGTGTTAGATCTAATAAAGTGCATACATGGCTTTCCTAGCCCAAACTCTCTTGGAAAAATTCAATGAAACTTATGCCCAGTGTCTGGCTGCTCCATAAAAGACAGCATCAGCAAAGTTTTGAGTGAGGGAGGGAGTGATCACAGCAGTACTTGAAGATCACTGTTTAAAAGTTGCAGATTATGCCCGTGATCTCATGCCTCTTAACTTTGCACATGGATTTTAACTGCTGCATAAACTGCTGTATTTAAATTGTCTTGTAAGTCATTCTGTGAGCAGCAGTGAAATGATAACACCACCACCAACTTCCTGTGAAAGGCAGGGGAAAGAAGTCAAGACAGAGAGGAATCAAGACAGGCAAGCAGCACCTCTTTTCTCCTTCTCAGCACAGAGCAAGGTGAGGCCAACAGGGTGAGTGAGAAGACAAGGTCCATCATATGTCAACAGCGCATCAGAGACAGCTGCCTGTATTGTTCATTTTGTACCCAGAGTGGGAACTCTGGTAAGGAACAACAGTCACTAAACCCATAACTCTGGGGTGTAGAAGGATATGGTATAATGAATATCTAGACTTTAACATCTCTAAACGTGAACTTGGTCTCACCACCCCCATTCAAATACTGGAGTGCCCAGGACCAGTGGGCAAGAACAGATGGCAGTTCCTTATAGTTACAGGCATGTGAAGCTTAACTTTATCTTGAGAAAGACCCCAAGGATGTGGAAAGCAATTGGACAGTAAAAGCCAGTTCTTATCCCAGCTCAGGAGAGGGCTGAGGACTCAGATGGTACTTGGATACTGACTTCTTACATAGTTTCCTGAAAGAAGTGTTTGCAAGAAAAGTAATTTAAAAAGAGCCTCAAGGTTGTGCCTCTTCCTCCTCCCCCTCCAGTTACAGCCCCTGGCTGTAGGTACACACCTGTGGGAGGGGATCAGCACCTCCACCACCAGCCACCTGTGGAAGAAAAAAGAAGGCTTGGTATTGGTAGTAGCAGGAACCACATACCAGCCAAGGTTAGTTTTTGCTTGGAAGGGGTTCATATGGTACACATGTAACATGAGAGAATGCAGAATTTAGAAGCACAAGCCAGACACAGGCAGGATTACCACATTATGACCAAGTCAGTTTTGTACTACTGGCCTGGTTTGAACAGAAAGTGAAGCCATTGCTTGTTTGACCGTGTATATGGCACAAGTTGTACCACAGATAATAAAACAAACCATGGCTTTCTTTTCCCAAGTTTGGTTTCTTTTCAAGCTGATCTTGCCGCATGTCTTTGTGGCTTAGTAGCTTACTGAGGAGGTGGTGAGGCGACCAAAGAAATAGTAATTGAGGAAATGTGGTGGATTCATACATAATGGCAAGCCATAATTAAAAACTAAACAAGGCTCCAAAGCCAACAAGAACCCACAGCTTCAAATTGTGGTTTGTTGGCAGTAAACAAACCATAGTTAAGCCACTGGGCAGGGTACAACCCAACCATGGTTTAAGAAACCATAGCTTGGCATTTTTTGGACACCAAGCCACTGCATTAACACATTACACGGTGAAAACTGGCACACACCTGGTTAGAGGGAGCCATTAATAAATACTAAGTGCATCAAACAACCTTGTGCATGATACAAAACTGAACCAGTAAAGCTCTCCTCCTGACCAATGTATTCTACTCAACTACACTGTAATGTGAGAGCTGGGACTCACTTGGGTCACCCAAACATTTATGAGGCACTGAAGTCCACATATAATAAATTTATTTTCACACATGGAACAAGTTGGATGGCCATCTGTCATGGATGCTTTAGCTGAGATTCCTACATTGCAGGGGGTTAGACTAGATGGCCCTTGGGTCCCTTCCAACTCTAAGATTCTAAGTTCCACTCCATGAAAAACCAGCTACTGTCTGGGAAAAGTCTCACAGGGGCATTTTTTTTTCTGACCACCAGCCATGTGAATGACAAGCAACCCTTGCAGGTCAGGAAAGCATTTTCAGAGCAAATCTTGAACTGCTGAAAATACACAAAGGCTGATCAAAACAGGTCCTCGCTTTCCAGAGTTCTGTGCTAGCTGGACAGCTGAGAACAGCACGATGTCCTGTCTGAAGACCATATACACTTTTTACTCCATCACAGAGGACGGATTAATAGATGAACAAAAACAAACACACACACACACAAAATGAGGAACAAGGGCCTTCAGCAAATGGCAAAAGCAAGTCAAGAGGAGTACCTGGTTATTTCTCAGACATGCCTTCAGGGAAGGGCATTTCAACTTCCCCTAATTCCAAAAAAGCACAATACTCTTTCATGATTAAGCAAATGATGTAGTATAAAGAGTCATAATTGTGCTGCACATGGAGCTTTTGAGCAAAATAATCATGTTACCACCATAAACCTAGGATTGTGCATTAAGGCCTCTTCTTCTTCCACAGACAGGTCAGGTTCTATTGCAATAATACACCCCAAGACAGAATGTCCCAGGACAGCCGCCCAGGTTCATTGCGCCAGCAGAGATTCCAGGAACACACAGAAGGTGTAGTAGCACATAAGATACCAAAGGCTGTATGGCAAAGACAATTTCAGTGAAAGGCGGGGGTGGAGGCTGAAGGAACACCATGAGTGGTAATGATCATGATCATATACTAAGAGACACCAAGAAAGGCCACGACAGTGAGCTTAAAGGCAACACTGCCATGAGAGCACTGAACAGAATGCACCACATCCATAGCAAGAGGAGCAACAGCACTGTCAGTGCTCCTGCTCTCAGCAGGGAGGGGCTCCTAAAAACCTACAAACAGGCAGATTTTCTCTCCTAGTTTGTATGTGCAATTTTCACGCAACATTTGTGCTTACTCCAGTTTAAGAATGAAAGTCATAATCCTGAGGCGGTAGATGCTCTCCAGGCAAAGATAGCTGAACCAAGAAAGGTGACTTGTAGATGAACAATGAAATTCAATGCGCCATTTACCGCTGCATTTGCATCACAGAAGAACTCCTACCTTCAACATGCCTCCTCACTGTCCATACAGCATTGGGGTTACCAGGCAACTCTGAGACGGCCATTTCAGATACCTAGAGAAAGACATATTTATTAATGCTAAAAAGCTTAAAACAGAGCTTTTCTCCACCAAATAAAAAGGACCTAGTTACTACTATTACACAGGAGAAAACAAAAGAATTATTCTGTCCTTCAACCACTATAAAAATGCTTTACACTGAACCCAACCACTGGAAAATCTAGCTCAGTATATTTCTCCAAAATCCCCAATGCACATGCTATTTATGACTTCTTATGATATTCTCACAGTGCAGCAAAGGTGATTCACCCACCTGGCTCTAAAATCCAAACAAACTGTGAGATCAGTTAGGCTGACATTCTAGCCCAGGCATAGACAAACTCGGCCCTCCAGATGTTTTGGGACTACAACTCCCAGCATACCTAGCTAACAGGACCAGTGGTCAGGGATGATGGGAATTGTAGTCTCAAAACATCTGGAGGGCAGTGTTTGCCTATGCCTCTTCTAGCTCTACTCAGCTTCAGAATACACCAGTGAATCCATTCTCATCTAATAAAAAAGGTTTCACCCAAGAGGAAGATCTAGAATGGCTTTGCTCTTCATGTCCTGCCCTTCTTACCTCAAGTCCATGTCTAAGGACCCTCAGTGAAGACCGAGGCCCCCTCCCACAGGCCACATATAACTGAGGGGTGTCTTCATTAGCCAGATCAGCTATCTGCACAGAAAGCAGCCAAGATGCAGGGGAAAGAGAGGAAAAGTGACAGGTTGTTTGATTAAGATCAGTTATCACTTTCAAAGCATCATAAATAGAGCTACAACATTTTACTCCCATTTGCATATGTGATTGCGGCAAAGGTTCCCACATTTGCCACTTGATAAACTGGTAATCTGCGTTAATAACTAATGGCAAATGACATCAAGTGGGGAAGATATTCCCCTGAATTAGTCTCACGGTTGGAGCAAACTTTTATGGAAGAGCTCATCTTCCAACCTTTTACTCCATGTTTTTCAGATTTCAACTTTTCGGATTTCCCTTCAAAATTATATCTAGGCTTTTTTAATATATATATTCATTAAATTTTCAACAAAAATAACAAACAACAACAACACAATAACAACCACAAAGAAAATATATAAACAATATCAAATCCATAAAATCCCACCCCGTTCCTTTAGTTTTCTTTTCAGCTGCATTATCATTTCTACTCCAAATTATTATTTTTTACCTCAGATTTCCTGTACTATTTCTTTAATTTCAAGTATTTTTAAAATCCTGCCAATGTATTAACCTGTTTACAATACTTTTGCAAATACATAATAAACATTTCCCATTCTTTTTTAAATTTCTTGTTGTCTTGATTTCTGAGCTTTCCAGTTAGTTTTACATTTCAGCATAGTCCATTAACTTTGGTTTGCCAATTATGTGGGTTTTTTGAAAGGCTTGAAGTTTTGTGAGGTATTTTAAAGTATTAATTTACATTTTGGTGTTTTGTATAAAATTACCTTTTTATAAATCAGGTGCCGCAAGTGGCTCCCCCAAAGGGTTTTTGTTTCCACTCAAGACCTCCAATATTTTAGGCCTTTTTTAAAAAAACCTACTGCTTCCATAGATCCCCCACTGTCATGCAGGATTGGCAAAAAAAAATGTGGCCTTCAAGCCATCCCTCTCCCAAATTTCACCTTTTAAAAATAAATAAATTCTGACTGCTCCCACTGGGAGTGGGCTCTCTCCTGACAAAATTCCCTCCCTTCAGATAGTCACTTCCGTAAAAATGCTGCAAAATGACCCACAGCTGGCACAATTTAAGAAAATATTATGCTAGCCCACTTTGCAAACTATTGGGGGCGCATAAAGTGTTAAGTCCTGGGCCCCTAACAAATCCTGTGCAAAATTAAAAGTGGCAAAATTCAGAAGAGTGCAGTGCACTGGATACAACTCCCACCAAGTCAGACACTCTCTCATAGGGGTATCACCTCCTAACTTACAACCCAAAGTAGCAGCTGTGAAAATAAATGGTGGGAAGAGGAGGGACAGGCATGTTGCGCTAAGCAACTCTGAGGAAAAGTGAAATACAAACAGGACAAAGAACTAACTCACCTGCTTTGCGTTTCTGATCTAAAGGAGTTTTGGAGACTTATACCATTTTTGGAATTATTCTCAAGGTCTAGTGGGCTATGCAATGTCCAGCATCAGAGGTCAGCACAGAACCCAGCAGCTTGTCACAAGCTATGGGACAAAGCACACAGCGTACCTGACAACACAAGATGGGAGACAGGCTGTCCAGTTCATCCACCAGCACCAAGTTCTTGAGAGGCCGAGGCTGGAAAAAGAATGTGTCTCCTTCCTCCAACGGCATGGCAGAGGAGAACTCTGGCTCCTCATCATCATCCCCCAGATGAGCAATCTGATAGAGGTAGCTGCAAAGAGAAGAGGGCCACTTCTGATGAAACTGGACCGTTTCCTCCCCACTCCAGGCTTTACTATTTCAATTATGTCCAAGATGTAGGGCTGCTTGCTGAAGAAAACACTTTGAGGACAAAGGAGAGTAGATGAGGGGCCAAGTTTAAGACACATCTTCACTTCCTTATTTGTCTATCTCAGGAGTTGTCAACCTGGTCCCTACCGCCCACTAGTGGGCGTTTCAGGATTCTAGGTGGGCGATAGGGGGTTCTACAGCACAAACTGAATCCTCCCTCCATCAAGCACTGGTGGCGGTGAGGAAATTTTACCATCAAGAAAGATGCATTAGTGGGCGGTAGGTATTAAAGGTTGACTACCCCTGGTCTATCTGTAGAAAGGGCAAACAATACAATATGCTCTCTGCCCCAGATCCTTTCTCTTTCTGTGAATAAAATGTCACACCATGAGCTATATGTGTATAGACGTGTTTGGGCCTCACTGGCTAAACAAATCCAAAATTTTATCCCAACATAATAACCCACAACACCCATGCTTGCTGTAAGATTCTGAAAACAGGACATTGACACACTCCTTGATGAAATTAGCAAGATGAAACCAACCAGGCAGGCCATACCTGTGGTTGGTCGCAAGGGTCTGAGATTCGGCCACAACTTGAACAATTTCCAGATTTAGAGAAGGAAAGGCAGTCAGAACTGCATGTGTGCTTTGCAGAACATCAACAGCAGTACCAAGCATAAAAATTCAGCAACCCTTCAGAAAGAAGTCGGAGATTTCACTTACTGGTTTCCAAACTCAGAAGCCACAAAAAGGAACCCAGTTTTCAGAACACACATGGCAGCAGCAACAGGAACTGTATCAAAGTACTTGAGTCGAATTTCTGTTACCTGAAACCACCACAAATGAGTTACTGCTTGAGCTGGATGTGAAAGTTCACACATCACCCATTCTTCCTCCCTCCCTCCCCCTCACACACAAGCAAACATTTCTCTCTCTCTCTCTCTCTCTCTCTCTCACACACACACACACACAAACAAGCAAACATTCATGAACACAGCGGGAGACGTACCATGTCCTCATCAGTCTCCAAGGTGATTTTGAAGATGTCACCCTGCTCAGTCTGAGCCAAGAAGAAGAACATAGACTTGGTCTTGTGTGTAGCAGAGCAGACAAAAATCATGCCTCTTTCAGGGTCATCCAAGTCATTCTGCCAGAAAGAACAGCAAGTCAGACTCAAAGGCAGAAGCTGCCCTAATGGAATCATAGTTAGAAATCACCTTTGTTAATGGCTTCCCCCCTACTGCAAATATCACCCCTCTTTATAGCAGCTTTCCCTCACTGCTTCCTTCCATTCTGGGGAAGTTCTTCTCCTGCTAATCCTCCTTCCTGGGCCCTTCTGGGATGCTGCTCCTGACCCCTCCATCAAGCCACTTCCCTCGCTTCTTTCGCTGGGCCTTGCAGGAGCTATAAAACTCACGATCCCTGGGTCCAGCTCTCCCTCCCCCCCACCCTCACATATCAATTTCCAACATGATCTATTTATTAAATGAATTATATCTCCCAACTCTTGTCAAAGCACCTCAAGAGACCTTACAAGTAAACATTAAAACATAAAATTAAACTACCAACAAAAAGAACAGACAAAGCAATGGTTTGCAGTGGAACAAAAACATGAACCTTAAAACTGCAGCTCAAGGGTCTCAAACACCCTCTGAAAGAGGACCATTTGTAGTTGCTGCCTGAAGGCTAAAGCAACAAAGGAGACTTTTTTTTTTTTTTTTTTTTAAATCATATTTATTAAAGTTTCCAAAAATATAAAAGTACAAAGAAAAAAGACAAAAGAAAGAAGATATTTAAAAACCTTACTTTCATTCCCTACTTTCTGGAACTCCCCCCCCTCCCCCCCCCAATTGTATTCCCCTTTCCTTAGTTTGGTTCTACAAGCTCTCACTCCCAAATTTAAAGCTTAATTTGTTTAACCCACTATCCAAATTGAATTGTACAAATCTTACCACCGTCCCACATCATTAACAGAATAAGAAAAAAGATTTTCCCCAAGATCCACCCCAGTTCCTTCCACAAATTCCCTTTTTTTTAAACACGTCCGATCAAAGTAAAATAACATGCGTAAGTTATGTAAAGAAATAGAAAATAAGAGATATAGAAAAGTTCAAAAAATGGTTACACAGCCTTTGGATTTCACATCTCCCCCCTTCCCGGTTTGAATTCCCCATGTCCATCAGTCTATACATTATCAGCTTGGAAGTCTCATTTCATGACCAGATTTCTCCCGATTCCATCTTGCCGGTTTTCTTTTAGTTTATTAATTTAAATAATATTTGACTTCAAATGTCCAATCTAACAAAGGCCTTTAATTTCCTTGATCTTTACCACTCCTCCCGTTGTTCTTTCCGTGTCGTAATCAGTCCTTTATTCTTCTTATTCCTCACTTTCTCAGGTTTCTTGTCCTGTTCAGCTGCTAAAACTTTCTAATTCAGAAATCTAGTGTCTCTGCAGAGGTTTGTTATTCAGGAACAAAACTTACGTCCAGTCCCTTTCTTTCTTCAATAAAAATTCCATTGTCTTCCTCTGTAGACAAAATACTCTTTCAGTTTTGCAGCTTTCCCAGAAGATAACAAATCCTGTGCGAATCCCAGGGTATTTTTCCACTTACGACCGTTCTTGTAGTATCCTGAAACCCCTCTAGGGGTTTGTAATAACTTTGTATCCTCTAATCCAAAAGTCAAATTGTTGCTTATTTTCCAACAGTTTATATCCATATTATAGCAAATTGTAGCAAAATTTACCAGCAAGGTCCTCATAAAGTCCTCTTTATATTCTCCAGCTTTGACAGCCACTTTGACAGCTGTCAAAGTCTCCGTCTCTCTTCACCAGGCTCCACGAATCGCCCCGGTTCCCAGGGGGGGGGGTTGCATTTTCTTCTCACCCTCCACTCTTCTCCTCCAGCACATTTCTTATAATTTCCCATCGTGAAATTAATGATTTTTATCAGAGACATACTTCCCTTTGGACCTTGGTTACCCAGTCCTTGTTTTGGAATGCTTACAATAGGGGGATTGACTTCCTTTTAAATCGCCCCGCTCGTGCCAAATCCAAAATTTTGAACCCGGTTTCCCAATTACTCACGGGTTGTTGTTAATAGTCCAAATTTTCAATAGAAGAAGTCAGCGCTCTCCGTCGAATGGCATGCGGCTGCGCTCGGCAGGAAAGCAGTGGACTCAAAGCACCACGCCACTCCCGGCACCCGATCCGAAGCCTTTAAAAGGCTCCTTCACGAGTCGGGAGGGCGCTAATGGTGCAAGCCGAGTCACCCATGTCCACGGACTCCGTGCCCGTGGTTTTTAAGGGTCCCCGCGTCGCCGGCGCGGTAGGACCCAGCCCCTGCCGAGCAGACTCCCTCCGGAGCTCGGAGGGAGTCCGCCATTCGGCGATGGCGCTAACCCGGAAGTCGCAACAAAGGAGACTGTACCCCAACTCCACCAGACGGGAGGTACAGTCCTCTCTCAGTAATGTCTCTGACTGTCTAATATAGATTTGCAATTTAAAAACCTCTAGACAGTGTCTTCTGTGTCCTGCACAGCACCAAGTACGTAATCACCAACAATGCTTGATCAGAAAGAAATGCCATCTCCACAATAAGCATCAGAGAAGAGACATCAACTCATCACATCAAGCCACAACAGCGTTTTCACTTTCAGTTTACAATTAGCAGTACTTCCATACTTAAGTAATAATTTCTATCATAATAGTTTCAGCTACTAGGAAATTAATATTTTTGTGGCTGGTCCTATAATGAGCCACTCTACACCCGGGTTCGCGTCTCTGCTCCTCCACATGCAGCTGCTGGGTGACCTTTGGCCAGTCACACTTCTCTGAAGTCTCTCAGCCCCACTCACCTCACAGAGTGTTTGTTGTGGGGGAGGAAGGGAAAGGAGAATGTTAGCCGCTTTGAGACTCCTTAAAGGGAGTGAAAGGCGGGATATCAAATCCAAACTCTTCTACTCTTCTGATTCACTTAGCTCAGGCTGAAGACTAGGCACCCCTACCCTCAAATGACCTGCCTCCATCACCAGCTGCTACTACTGCTAGCCATCCAACTGGGTCCTTCCTCCCATAAAGCAAGGATAACCCAAATGCTCTCCTTGGTGCCTATCTCACACCTTGCTCAGAATAAGGCACAGTGGGCAAGATCACCCTGCAAAGTGCATGCGTTGCTGCCATTTTGCTGTGATGAAAGTAAATACTGTTTAAGAGTATTTTCCACAGTTATGACAAAGTGGTGATGGAGTATGAACTTTCTAGAGCAACCTCATCCACAATTATTGCAAAGTCTACCAGTACAGCTGCTGGAGGTGGCAATGGTGGCCTGCCTGCCTAGCTCAGGCAGCACAGTCCCTTGTGGACTCTTCAGATATATTGTTACATAGATTCAAATTCCTAATGGTCCCTAAAAGTCTTAGCAAGATAATGAGCATTGAGAGAATTTTGCAAAATCATAAGTCAACCTTTTGCTGCCAGCTCTTACTAGCTGATATGGAAAAGGAGTTAACAAGTAAGGTGTGGCATGGGAAGACCCACTCCCCACTCTATGGAAGCCCAAGTTCACTAAGGACCTCAATGAAGCCTACATAGCTTTGTTAATAATGCATTCATCTTCATACAAATGCTGTGTTTTCTGGCCAAACCTGAAAGGTGAACCATTTTTTCAGCTGCCCAGAGAATGCTACTGGGATACTCCTTTAGGGTGAAAACAGCTACAAGATCCTTACCCTTCTTCTGGGAATGGGACATCGGATATCTGGTTGGTCACCAAAGTTTTTGTAGGTGATGTAGTTTTCAGAACAAATCAGCACTCCACTGGGACCATCAGAACCTCCAGGGACTGACGAATAAAAGAAACATGTTGTAAGAAGCTGAAGAAGAGCAGCTGCAGCTATAGTTTCGTCTGGTTCTTGTGGAACTGATTTACCCAAGGTACACTTGAGAAAAAACTGCACGTTTGCCACCATTTTCAGGCTGAAGAGGAGTCTGTGTTCAAGCAGAGGAAATGAAAGCAAGAAGGGACTTGCAAATATCCGGTGTTTCTTTCAACAGCATGACCCAACTGGGTGGCAAGCCAGCTCTCCTACTCTGGCTGCCCCTCTGCCAATCCTGCCCTGTCCAGTATTGGCCTGGCTCCCAGACTACTTGGTAGTAATGTATTCGTGTTTGAATGTCTGCTGCAATAAGACAATGTCAAGGTTTGGGCTAAGGTGCAGACAATCATCAGGGTAGCAAAGAAAAGCACAGGAGTGAGAGGGTTACATATGGTGAGCTTTCATGAATCTGATGGTTTCTGAGGTCTCCACTTCTTAACCTGCTTTAGGTTTCCAATGTAGAGCATAGAATGGAAATACTTGTTGCACTTTTGTAAAGCATGGCACAAAAGCAACTATCAAGGATATGTACTTTTCATTCATCAAGTATCGTATAGCTTGAGCCTACAGAAAATGTGCATTTGTCTCAAGCAGTTCTCTTTCTGACATCTTAGGATAATGCCTTTTCCCTAAAAGGACTGGAAATGGTAGCAGTACCTGTAATGAGGAAGTTGCCATGTTCTTCCAAGGGTTCACTGTATTTCCTGACAACATGGTTCAAACCCAGATCTAACTCATAAAATGTCAAGGTTTGCTGGGTGTTGGCTGCCGCTTCTCCTGTGGGGTCATTGTCAGCTTCCTGTGGAAAACAATACATGTACCAACAATAAATTAGTGTCATACTCTGCCTCGTAAGAAAACATACATTTGGATGCATTTTTAACGTAAGCTGTCCTGGAAATTTCAACTGAAGAATACTACATAACTGTTCATAATAAAGTGAAAAAATTAAGAGTAATAAAGCAGACTGAAAAGGTTTGCCTGCACTGTAAGTGAAGGTCCCGAAAGAAAAACTGCCATGAATAAAAAATTTAAATATCCAATAGTTCAGAAACTGATTATTCAGTCTGCCACCTACCTGTTTATCTGGTGCAGCAACTGACCCTATTGCCACAAAATCAATGGAACGTAATATATAAGAATTACTTATAAAAATTAAAATTATGTTTTGTTCTTTGTAAACCACCCTGTGACCATTTTGGTGAAGGGAAGTACAGAGACCTCTAATATAAACTTATAATCAAACTAACCAATAAAAACACCTCAAAGCATTTCAAGAGACATCCATACAACTCCTGTCTTACAGTGCCTGTCCCACATGTATCCAGAGCTGACATAACTTAAATAACAAACACACATTCTCCACCTGCCTCCCCAATTCCTCTACTGTTTCCCTGTGTCTGTTTTAGAATGGAAATCTCTTCGGTTACAGGAATACATCATACCGGTGCATAAATGACACTATATACACAACAAATAGTAATACTGTTGTTGTTATTAATATGCCACTAAGAACAAGGGACGCGGGTGGCGCTGTGGGTTAAACCACAGAGCCTAGGACTTGCCAATCAGAAGGTTGCGGTCCCTGCTCCTGCCAACCTAGCAGTTCGAAAGCACATCAAAGTGCAAGTAGATAAATAGGTACTGCTCCGGCAGGAAGGTAAACGGTGTTTCCGTGCGCTGCTCTGGTTCGCCAGAAGTGGCTTAGTCATGCTGGCCACATGACCCGGAAGTTGTACGCCGGCTCCCTCAGCCAATAAAGCGAAATGAGCACTGCAACCCCAGAGTCGGTCATGACTGGACCTAATGGTCAGGGGTCCCTTTACCTTTACCTTAAGAACAAACTACTAGTACAAATTCAGGTGAGGTGCCCTCTGATCTTAGGCTGTGTTCTCTCTAAGCCCAAAGTCAAGGACTTGGGCACCTTTGGAGAGCACTTGCTCTCCGCAATCGCTTGCTTGCCCACCAAGGCCTGTTTCCCTCCTTGCCCTTCTGATCTGTTTATGTACTCAGTCATGTGACTTGCCTAACTCTGATAGTGGGGACCTAACCCATGGTTGCACTGGAGGCCTCCTCCACGCCATCCAGAGAAATCTCTATTTTGCTGTATTATGGAGAATACAATGAAAGACAGCTTATTTATAAGAAGGGCATACTAAGCATATTGGAGAACTTGAAGATGGACAGTTGACTTTGTTGACAAAGGAGTCAACAAGGTGTTAGTTGCATTTTTTTTAAGAGACACACAAACAGTTGAGCAGGGAAGAGTCACCAGAGAGACGAATTCCTCAATACCTCATAATCCATTTCCAGACAGGCAAACATGGGATTTTCAAACCCCACATCTACTCCAACTACATGGTAAACCAAGGTGTTGGCTTTATGCGCTTCTAATGGGGAAGAAATTGTGAGTCGGGCTGCGGCATCCCTGTTCAGAATGTACACTAGCTTCTGCTTCTCAATGGCACCTATGAAGAGATAGACAGAGAGAACATTAGGAATACAGAAGCAGAAGATGTCTGCACTTTAATGCTTAAGGTGCCCAATCCCTACCCTTGCATAAGCAGGCCTTGCAGCCCTCTCAAGGCACAGCAGTTTTCCCCTGCTACTTTCCTGTTGGAAGAACCAGTAGTTGCATTCAGATGTAACACTAAACCAGTTTAACATTAGAAGTTGAACCACAGCAGAATTGGGTTTAAAAAAACAAAAAACAAAATTACATTTCAGCTTTAAAAAAAATGGCATGATGCATGCAAAAGAAAATGGGCATTTATGATGAGAACCTGATCAGAATTGGATCCAAATGTCTCCATGTCTTATGTCAGAGAAGAGACATGAATTCCTAATCATCACTTCAGGGAAGAGAAAACTGTTGCACCAGATATATAGGGCTCAAGTGCTTTTCTTCAAACTGACACCCACAGAAGGCTCCACTTACACCCCATTAAGCAAACTTAGCTAGTTCAGTTTTCTAATTCAGTTTCTAGTTCAGTTTTCTGCAGTCATACACATAACCACATCAAGTACCAAATGGGTAGCAGGAAAGTATTTTGAATTATACTACATTCCAACAAATTCTTCGTAACATGGAATCACCCTGATTGGCTGAGTAAATCTAGCTGGAGTGGCTAAGAGTATAAACTGGGAATCCCTGGTCTAAATATCAACTCAACCACAAACTCACTTAGATAGCCTAAGGAAACTCACAACTTCTCAGTTCCCAATTGCAACACAGATCTAGTTGCACTGGGATCGCCAATAAAAGCACTTTTGATTGGAGCAGTTTCAAAACCTAAACCAAGGATAGAAAAACCAACCAATGTTTCTTATCCAAATCATTTCTCCCATTCAGTTATTCAACATTATTATACAGCTACCACTGAAAACAACCATCCCAACTTACTGATCATGACAGCTCGCCCCTTAGGATCCACAGCCAAATACTGTCCAGGAACAATTCTGCGACAGCCACTCTTGCCAAAGGTTTCCTGGTGAATCTTCTCAAACACATTTTTTGAGGGCTGATATTCCAAGATAACAATGCGACCTGAATCACTGCCCACCACAATGTAGTCTTTGGTTCCACCAGTTAATCTGAAGGCCATGAGAGAACGAATGATTCCAAAGACTTCCACTGTCAGCAAAGTATGAACTTTTCCTGTGTTCGGATCAGGACGAAGCAACTCCAAGATTTTGCCTCGAGAAACAACAATTTCTTGTTGTTTGGTACCTAAAAAGAAAAGAAAAACCTGATCAGTCGAAGAGGAAGATGGCCAAAGCATCAGCACTTCTCTATCAAACCTCCCATTGCTGCTTACAAATTCAAAAGTGCCTTGTAGGTTTGTTTTCCCTACCTGAGTTGTGACCACTTTTTACAGAGAGAACACATAAGTAGTCATTCTGAAATTGTGATGCAGACCAGAAATCAGAATGCCAAATCTTGAATCAGAATTAGAGGTCAACAGACAAGTTGCTTACTTTTCAAAAGCATATTGCTCTGCTATGATGTGTGGCCACTTAACCCTGCCCTTCCTTGCCTTTTGATAAGCCAAGGAGAAAAGTGAATGTTGCAAGCCTAACCACTGCCTGATGTCTGAAGAGGTTCAGAAAACTTAGTTTATTTGGCCCAGAAAAATATGACAAAGTTGAGATCCCATATTCTACAAGAATCCTGAAATAGTATCACTGCCATTCTAAACAAAATTGCAGGTATACAACTTCAGCAGAAATACATGCTATGTCAGACTTTGCTTTCACCTTTCATCTAAGCTTTCAGTCATAACGGAGTACCTGAAAAGTTGCCATGGATGGCATAACTGATCCCGGTGGCTCGCTGCAGAGTTAGGTTATAAAGGAACATGGTGTCGATTGATATCACTTCACCTCAGTTCACCTGCTGAGAAAAGGAAACCAAGCAGTTAATACACTATGCATGCTTTTTTAAACTTGTTCAATTCTGACCACACATTAACATAAATGCCAGTTGGTGGAGAAAACTTGAACGTTAAACCCATTTGAGAGATGCTTCATATGAACACTTCACAGACTGAAAAACCTCAACGAGGTGGTTTTTCCTTCCTAACTTTCCACAAAGCAAAATGTTCTTATGAAGGAAGCAAGTGTTAAAACTGAAAGTAACGGGCACCCTGAAAATATTTGTTTCCTAATTTTAATGATGAATCAACATCAACTTGCAGTTTCACTGGAGGGGATACAAACACTTTTTACAATTTGTTACTTAATAAATTCACATATTACAATGGAGCAGACATTCCCAGAGTAGCAGCCATTAAATCTGCTGCAGCTAAAACAACTAAATATCTTGTGGCATGTTAAAAACTTAAACATTTTTATGATATAAGATTTTATAGACTAAAGTCCAGCTCACCAAAGTTATTTTAAAAAGTATTAGACAACTTAAAAGATGTATGGCATGGTCAGGGAGAACAATTTTAGCAGGCCTTATTTCTGAGTAGACATGCACAGGACTGCACGGCTGCATGAATCCTGACCACATTCACTTTCGAGTACACGTGCAGTAGGATGGGCGGAGAAAAATAAGTCTCTTACAAATAAAGAGCAACACCGTCCTCTCCACGTTGACTCAAACATAAGTGCCACCCCGCTCAATGCGGCTTCCACCTCCACAATAAACCTGCCTTGGTATTGCAAGTTATGTGGGCTAAAACAATGGAGGGTCGAGCTTAAACCCTGCACGAAAAACTCCCTCGTGGTTTGCGAAAAAGCAGCGCGCGTCCTACCGCTGCTGCTAGGCGCCCCCCTCCCATCAGTGGGCAAAGTGAAAATGCGGCCAAGATTGTCCAGAGAAGTGTAAAAAGCGCGGCGCCCTCCCCGCCTGCTTGTACAGAGCTCTTTCCCGCCCGCACCGGCGTCGCCCAGCAACGGTCCACTCAAGGGCCTCGGTAACACCGCGCGTGTGGCAGCCTACAAATACGCCATGGCCTCCTCCCGCCGGGGATTAGAGAAGTTGCAGCCTAATTCTGAAAGGGATCTGGCAGCGTTTACCGCAGGAGAAGCGCGGATGACGGCGGATCCTGCCGCTGCTTCACTTCCTCCACAGCCCGCAGTCAAGCACCGCCATTGCCTCAGCGGCCTCCCGCGCTCCTTGGGTCCTTCCACGTAAGTAGCGCGGAACTGAGCGATTGGGCTGGCCACGGCGTGCCAGAAGCAACCCCCGCGCGGCTTGGACTGTTCCAATTTACCCGTTTTAGCCTGGAGTTGTTGTTGTTTTGCTCTGGAAATAATCTCACTATTTTATTTTGAAATAGAAACGCCGCTGTTGGTGGTTGTTTCCCCACCCCCACCCCGAGACACAGGCAATAGCTTAGGCACCTATATTAATGTTCCCGGATGTGACGATTTGTCTGCGATAGTCTATTTTGGATAGACGTATACACGGACGCCGGAAACCGAATTCACTTTTGGACGCTGTGCTTTCCCCACTTTCTAGGAGCTTTTCTAGGTCTTTTCTGTCCATTCTCCTGCTAGCCTTTGTCTGCCTGTGCTCCGTTGCCTAGCGGGTTTTATTCTCCGCTTGTATTCTTTAGAAGACATCTGAAGGCAGCCCTGTATCGGGAAGTTTTTAACGCTTGGTGTTTGACGATGTTTATATATATAAGCCGCTCAGAGTGGCTGGGGAAACCCAGCCAGATGGGCAGGGTATAAATAATAAAATTGTTGTTGTTATGTTGAAACGCTTGGGCTGAAATGCACTGAGCCGGTGCGGGGTCCTGGTGACCGTGTTAGATCAGGACTTGGGAGGTCTCGGGCATGTCCCCGTCTCTCTCGCAGGGGTTTTGTGAGGATAAAGCAGCCCCCGTGGAGCATGGAGATTGCGTCCAGCGCTTTGAGCCCTTTGGAGGAAAGGCAATGAGAGACAAAGTGAAATGAAGTAAAACAGGCGTTGCAGCCATCAAGAGCCAGGGGAGACGCGGGAGACACGGCTTCAACGCTCCCGCTCAGCCCTAGAAGTCAGAGGCTGCCCTTAGGCTAATCGCTGCCTCTCGGCTTGTAGGGCTACCTCGCAGGGTGGTTGTGAGAATAAAATGTGGGAGGAGAGCCGTGAGCTTCCTGGGCGAAAGAGGGCGCAGAAATCTAATTACAGATCAGTAACAAAAGCCCCCATCCCGCGGCTTCTGTGGTCAGTTTACGCTTAGGGCCCGGGCGGGAGGTGGGGTACCATTAAAAAAAAGCGTCCTCAGGAGCCCTGAAGCGCCATTTCCTGGCTAATCGAGCGCGACTCTTCAATTTTCTTATCTCTAGAACGACGTGGGGCCAAAATGGCGGCGTTGGCGGCCGGTTCAGGCCTGAGAGGAGGGAGCGATGGCAGCGGCTCCGGACCTTCTGTTTCCTCATCCTCCTCGCTATCCATGGAGCAAATCCGGGCGCTCACTGACCTGCCGGAGCTGGAGGCCGCCTACAGCCGCCTGTGCGGGGAGGAGGTGCGGCTTCGATTATATTCTCTCCCTCCCCTCCCAGCCCCCGTCACTTCGGATCTAGGCTGCCTCGGTATCCCTTCGGACCTCGCTCCTGTCGAGGGTGCCCCCCCCGCGCTAAATTAGAGGGCATTAGTGTCGCCCCCGTGGACACTAAATTAGAGGGCATTAAAAGAGTATTGGGCAAATTCGTGGAGGAAGAGGAGGTTTGCAGTGGCTATTATCCAGGATGGCTATGTGTTGCTTCCATGGTCAGAGGCAGCGATGCTTCTGAATACGTAGTGGCTTCTGGAATTGCAAAGGGGAGAGTTGCTGTCGCACCCATATCCTGTTTGTGGGTTTCCCTTTGGGGCATCTGGTTGGCCATGGTGAGGAAAGGATGCTGGACTCTGTGGGCTGCCTTTGGCCTGAGCCATCAAACCCCTCTTAGGTTCTCCTTCCTTCAAGATGGGAGACCAGCTTTCACCAACCTGTTGCCCACCAGATGCGATCAAATGATGTCGGGGCTGCATAGTTGGCAAAGGGTGGGTTAAATAGATGCTCATGACTCTCCCTCACAAAACTTAAAACAAGGTAGAATGATGAAAACCTAAAATGTCATATCATAGGGCCACAAATATTCCACAGGTAAAATTCCTGGGTGCATCTGAGCAAGTGTCTGTTTCGGTTTCTGGATAGATGTGGTAACAACCATCAGTACTCTAGTCCCAAACCTTTTGTGGCCTGGGACACATTTGGCAATCTAATAAAGTGTTGTGGGCACTGCAAAGACCCAAAAACTAGTGATACACATAATATCTCATCCTAAGTAAACTACAGGGAAAACACTATCATAAGCAAGTCAAAGGGGAGGCAACCTCCCCCCAAACAAGCAAAAGAGGTATCAGCAAACCTACCAAAACAAACAGCCAAAAGGTATGCAACCTCAAACGCAGGCAATCCAAACACCCCCACAAAGAAGGCAAAACAGTCCCACTAAGCCTGCTGCCACCACCACCCACTCAAATACAGGCAAAACATTCCAACCCACTCAACATAAAAGCCAGTAAAAGTAACATATATATAAAAACAGCCAGGAACACACCAATATCACTTTAAAGGTAGTAGTAACAGGATCCTGCCTTTTTCTTTCCTGAAAAGGCGGCAAGACAAAGAAAGGCATGAGCCTCCAGCTCCCCCACCTTCCTTTCCAAAGAGGAATTTCTCTGGGCCAAGAAAGGGAAGAGGGTACGGCACATGAATGCCTGCAGTTTGCTTGGCAGAACCACACAGTGTTAAGCATGCATGGGCAGGTGCAGTTGTCCTCAGAGTGCACCACAGGGAGTGGCCGTGGGCGTTATGTTGGGGACCCCAAATCCAGCATAATGTGGATTGTGCCATATGATTGGGTAGAATCAGAGCTAGTGATGTGCAACAAATATTGGTCATGTGTGCAAAGGTCCTGAACCCAAGGAGACAAAAGAGCCTTGATGGATCATTCCAGGGCAGTATCTGCCTCTGGAAGCCCAGGAGGAGGATATGATAGTGATGAATATCCCATTTATCTAGTAATGGACTCCATTGTTGTTTGAGAGGAAGCATACCCTCTTTCATGGAAAGGATAAACTGATGCAGAATAGAGCATGTGATGTACCCAACCCCTATTAGCAACCTTTTGCTTGGATCTCTGATCTGATGTCGCATTGAGTTCTTAAGTCATGCCGTTACCATTGATCTTGAAAGGGACATGCTGCAAATTGGGCATTGATTATGCCTGCAGCATTATATTTCTGTTTTTCAGAAAGCCGTGGAAGAAGAGTTGGAGATGCTTCTGGAACAGCAGAGCTCCATGGAGAGCAAGATGGCTACCCTTCATCGCATGGGGTGAGTAGCAGTCGTAGTATGGTATGTGCAGTGCTGCATCGTTGCCGGAACAAATAGAGCCAGATGAAGGTCAGGCCGATTGTCATTACCCTTGTGGATGCTGTTTTTCCCAAAATAGACATCCTACTTTCCCTTGTTTCTTTGTTTTCAGTCCTAACCTGCAGCTCATTGAAGGCGATGCGAAGCAGCTAGCTGGAATGATCACTTTCACCTGCAATCTGGCTGAGAATGTCAGCAGCAAAGTCCGACAGCTCGACCTTGCCAAGGTAACTAGATAAAGCCATACTGAGCTTTGAGTCCAATTGGGTTGTCATGACATGGCTGTGTGTGATTGTCGACATTTAAGGAGGAATTTTTCTTTCCCTCCCCCATCACTGGTCCTTTCATACCTGTACAGTAATAATAATATTGTGGGAGTATTGTTTTGGTTTTCTTTTTTTTAAATGATATTTATTAGATTTTTTTTTAAAGTTACAAAAGAAAACAAAGTAATAAAAGAACAAAGAAAGAACAAAGAAAAACACAAACCACATCCAACAATACAAATTCAAAAAGAAAAAAAGAAACAAAAATACACCGCAAACATTTAAAAACAAATCCATTATTCTCAAATCCTCAACTGTCATTACCTTCTTTCTTTGACCTCCTCCTCCTCCCTTTTTTTGTATCCTAGTTGTTAATTGTTGCAGCAAATCCTTTCCATATTTCATAAAATTCTGTCATTACATTACCTTAAGCTATTTTAATCTTCTCTTACTATAAACCTTGAAACTTAAAACTTAAATCTTATTTTTACCAACTTCTCATAACCATAATATTCTTACATAATTCTTTAAACATTTTTACTAAAGCCAAGTAATTTCATTCCAACATTTTCCTAACATCCATCAATTTTATAAAACAATCCTAGTAGTAGAAAAAGAAATAAAAACAATCCAATCTTCATCCAGCGTCCCTTCCTCCTGGTCCCGGGTTTTGTCAGTCCTTATTATCCCATCGATTTAGTGCATTAACCTGGTAACCTTATATCCGAGGCCCTTAAGTCTCTTCCATGTCCCTTCCGCAGCTCTTCTTTATATTTGTAACTGTATTTTCCCTTCTCTCCTGCTCGTTTCACTCGTGGGAACTCCAACTTAACAATATTTTTGACCCTTCTCAACAGATCAGCCCCTTTTCCATAATCCACACTAAATTCCATGTGGTATTTAAGAACATATTTCAAAATCCCTCCAAAATTAGGAGCCCCCGCAATCCCAGACATCTCACGGCCCATTGCCAGACTTGAAAAGTCCAAACATCCCTGCATAGGGGGGTCTATCCAGCCCCCCATTTCCAAACCAAACCAAACTTTTTCTTTCCAAATCTGGCTTTTTCCAAGTTCATTTGTCAAATCCAAAGCTCATGTTCCTGTTGGGCCTGTTCTGTCAAGGCACACTCCTGATTTAATTCCTGGGTGGGCTCCACATATTTTCCCACTGCCTGTTCAAAATTTCCCACTGCCTGTTCAAAATTTCTAATCGAATCAGCCATCAAATTCGTCTTCTCATGTAGCTGTTCCAGTAGGGCATTTGTTTTATAGAAAGCACACAACAGAGCTTCTGAATACATTGTCCTGCAAGGTCAGATGTCTATTCCCACGATTGTAATCTGTAACAGCTGCCAGCTCCCCGGAGTTGGTTACAGTTTCACAGTCTCCCTCTGGGGGAAAACTTCTATTTGTTCTTTCTTTTAAAGACAAGTCTAGCAACAAAAGTTTCCTTTTTCAGATATTTTGTCAATATTTGTTCCTTTAAGAAGCGAAGGGGAACAATGGAGTCAAAGTTTCTCTTCTTATAGCTATCTGTCAAAAACGTTGTCTCTGGTCAATGAGCTTCAAACGTCAGTCCTGACACCCCGCTCCAGGATCAGGGCGGTGGAAAGTTACTTTACTTTAAACTCACTTCTGCAGGTTTAAACAGTCCGAAAAAGATCCCCCTTCTTCTCCTGCTTCCGAAGGGGGGTTCAACAATTTTAAAATGATGAAAGTTAATCTTTTAGAAGCTATTTTCTGAGCTCTAGTTTACGTTGTCTTTGCTTTATTCTGTCTACAAAGAAACGGAAGGCTGACTTCCTGTTTAGACCTTCCCGTTTCAGTGCCAAATTGAAGTAAATTTTTAAGTCCAATTCCTTTCTGCTCGCAAGTCCTTATTTAAAGTCCAATTGTCCGAAATTTAAGTACTCACGGGTGATTATTTTAGAAACCAAATTGTCCCAGGAAAAAGGCAGCGCTCTCCGGCAACGGCTATGCGGCTTCGCTCCACGGAAAAAGCAGTTGACTCTCAGCACCGCGCCACTTCCCCCTCTTCGCTTCGGAGCCCGTTAGTGGGTTCCTTTGCGGGTTGGGGGGGCGCTAAGGGTGCCCGCTGAGTCCCATGGTCACAGGCTTCATCCGCCTGTGATTTTTAAAAGGGTTCCCGCTTCGCCGTAGCGGAAAAGACCCGTTTCGCGCGGAGCTAGTCCCTCCAGATCAGAGGGAGTCCGCCATTGCCGATGGCGCCACCCCGGAAGTTATTGTTTTGGTTTGTTATCATGGTATGTATTTTTGTGTTTTTATATTGTGAACCACCGCGTGATCTTCATAAGTAGGGCAGTATAGAAATTAAATAAAAGATAAGAATACAAGGCTGTCCCATTTTACTCATCTGTTTTTGAGATGTGGTCTTTATTTGAGTTGTCAAGGGTTGCAGAAATGTTTCAGACGCACTTGTTTCAAATACGACTGTTCCCACACATTCTCCATTTACATGGGCATATCCCTTCATATGCATAATCAAGAGACATGTTGGGATCTTTTAACCTGGAGTTAAAGTGGGCTATGATCACAGAAAGGGGAAAGAGCGAAGAGACAACAGGCCAAGGTCTAAGGTATTCAAATATATTAGTTACCACAGGGATAGGCAAGGAAAGGGTGCATTGTAGGCATGCTGGGACAAAAATGTCATTGCTTGGCATCTGAAAACTGTTAGGAAGGGAGCCCATCTCATCTCCCAGGGCATGGAATGCCTCACATACAGTGCCATGACAATGGTTGTCCCCCACATTCCCACCAGGCACCCTTTCGGTGCTGGGAGCAGAGCCTCCCCTGTATAGATGGGCAGGATCCTTGTGGGAAGAGATGGTCTGCCTCCAAGCTGTTTAGGACTTTAGAAGAAGTCATTGGAAACCATGACATCTGATATAGCAATAGCAAGCTGCAAAAAAGCTTGCCACAGTCAAAACTTCAGCTTAAGTTTCCAAATGTTTTTCAAAGACATCCTGATGCAGCATGTGCTGCTTTGGCCCAGCCTTGATGAGACGAATGTGTGTGATCATGGCCAGGCTAGTTGCATCCTGGAGAACTCTTCCCTGCTGTGCTGGATCTTGGGGGCCCTGCTTATCGTATCTTGAATGCATGCTCACAGAGCAGCAATCTGGCTGGTGGGATTGGCGCGGAGCACCCATAGCTGGGAAATCATCATATGTAGCTTCCTCAGCTGTTGTGGTCTCCATTAGCCTCTTCTGCTCCTGCCTTGCCAATTTTGGAGGGGAATTAATTGGGGCCCTTCTTGGCAGAATCGCCTCTATCAAGCCATCCAGAGAGCAGATGACATTCTGGACTTGAAGTTCTGCATGGATGGAGTCCAGACAGCCCTGAGGAATGAAGATTATGAACAGGCTGCTGCGCATATTCATCGCTACCTTTCTTTGGACAAATCTGTCATTGAGCTCAGCAGGCAGGGCCGGGAAGGTATTCATTATGTTTATTGGTTTATTTAATTGTATCTAATATCCCACCCTACACTGTAAAAACAATATTTGGGGTGGATTCCAATATATTAACAATAGCCAAAGAGGCACCTGATTGTTGTGAAGTACATTAAGTGTCATTTGGTTTTACAGAATACACCCAGAGTCATCTTTCAATTCTGTGTTTCTGTGATGATTTCTGTTGTTACTAGTAAAAATGAACAAAAGCCAACTTCGTCACTACGAACAAATGCTGCCTAAACTTCTACTACTTTCATTCCACTTTTTTTATTTCACATATTTATAACACCCTAGCGGTTCACACAAGGGTCTCAGGGCAGGGCATGACGCATGTTTTAAAAACACAATAAACAGTATATAAATACAGAACCATCATAAATCCTAATTAAAAGTAAGATTAAATGTCAACAGGGATGAAATAAAAAGATAACCAGCAGAAGCAAATCACGGTGCCCTTCCAAGGTCTGAACAAAAAGGAGCATTTTTTAAAGTGATAATATTGATGTGTGACCCACCTCTGAGGGGAGGTCCTTCCTTAAGTATGGAGCCATTTCAGAGAAATGATATTGAGACTCTCCTTTCTTGGCAGGCAACATAATTGAGGCCAACTTGAAGCTTCTGCAGGAGGCAGAGCAGCGCCTGAAGGTGATTGTGACTGAGAAATTTGACATTGCCACAAAACAGGAAGACCTGCCCCAAGTGGAGCGCTTTTTCAAGATATTTCCTCTGCTGGGCTTGCATGAAGAAGGACTAAGTAAATTCTCCGAGTACCTGTGCAAACAGGTAAGTGTAGCTTGAGAGCTGCTGCTCATTTGCAACTGAGATGCATTCTGAGCTTCTTGGGGTTGAGCCATTGCTCCTGTTCTAGTGGGTCAGTCATATAGAAACTGGGACTTTTTAGTTTAGAAAAAAGATGGGTAAGGATGGAACACAGTAGATGTGTGCACAGTTACAAGCAGCCTCATATCCATCACGTAACACATAATTCAACTATGGAACTATCTGCAACAGGTTAAAGTGATGGCCACCAGCTTGGACTGCTGTAAAGATTTGATTGATTGATTGATTGATTGATTGATTGATTAACAAAATATTAATTTTTAAAAAAGGCTCCTCGCAAGGATTGTCCTTGCATGAGTTTTGACTGAGGCTGTGGGATAACATAGGCTAAAAGTCTCCATTCTTTTCAGGTTGCAAATAAAGCGGAGGAGAACCTGCAGTTGGTGATGAAGACAGACATGAGTGACCGTAGAGCTGCAGCTATCTTTGCAGACACTCTGACCCTACTTTTTGAAGGTAACCCCCTGCCACCATTGAGAATACCTCATTGAGAATATCTGCCTTATGCTAAGTCAAACTATTGGTCCATCTAATTCAGTACTGCCTATACTGACCGCCAAGGACTTTTCATGATTTCAGTTGGGGCGTGTTCCCAGAGCTACTAGGAGATGCCATTAAGGACTGACTCTGGATGCATCTGCATGCCCAGCAGATGCTCTACCACTGAGCTGTGGCCCTTCCCCATATTACTAGAAACAGGATGCTGTTTTGACAGCATTGCACAAGCAGTGAAGTGTTGAAGGAAAGTCTTGGGCTTCTGTTTGGAATGATCCTTTTGTCCTCACAGGATGGGGTGGCAGCTTTTTCTGGAGCACTGTACAACAGTCTCATATCACCTGTTTTTTCTTCTTCTAGGGATTGCCCGTATTGTGGAGACCCACCAGCCCATTGTGGAGACCTACTATGGACCAGGCAGGCTTTATACACTGATTAAGCACCTACAGACAGAATGTGATCGACAGGTGGAAAAGGTTGTGGACAAGTTTATCCAGCAGAGATCCTATCACAGACAGGTGAGAGACTTGCCAGTGTGGCCTGAGGAAGACATGGAGGAACCCACTTTGAGCCAGTTCCATGAGGCTTCTCTTGAGTTTGCTGGTGCAAGAGAGCCCTTTATGTGGCTTGTAACAATGGGGACAGCACATGCAGACCTCACATTGTGGGCTGCTGCTGGGGTCACCTGTGTTTTCTTACTGGTGGTGGCATGCCAGTGCAGAAGGCTAGTCTCTTGGCTGGTTAGGGAACACAAATGCTCTAATTACTAGTGGCCCCAGTGACTCTCACCCACACACCCCGTCCTGCCTGCTGTATACCTTCAATCCCTGTTGGTTCAATTTTTACAACATCCCAGTGGTGGCTGTCACTGTTTCGGTCCCATCTGCAAAATGGGGCAGAATCGGGGCAGAGTGTGGCCATCCAGTGCACCCAGACCGATGTGCCTAAAGGGTCTTGAGGTTCCACACAGAAAAGTGCCCCCAAATGTCTGCAGCTCTCTGCAGACACAGCCCACACCCTCCCCTTCCCTCTCACTCAAGGCATGTCAGAAGGTGAGTGACTTTTCCTGTGGTCCCTAAGTTATTAACTCTGCAATGTGCCATGTAAACCAATGGGTAACAATGCTACCCGTTGCCTTCCAACTCTCCTGTGTGTCAGTTTAGCTGGCTTGTCCAAGGCCACCCAATGAGCTTCAGGGCCTAGCAAATTAAATGAGCTTGCTCGCTGTTTCTGTTTCTCTCTCTCTCTCTCTCTCTCTCTCTCTCTCTCTGTACTGAGTCATGCTCTAAGGCTTGGTGGTGATTTCTCTGTAGACTCCTGTTTTCCAACATAGCAAATACTTCTGGGGTTTGCTTATTAGTGTGTTTTTTCTTTTCTTTTTAATGCTTCTTTCAAAAGCTTCTGCAGCATCCTTCTGTTTCTGATCTCTCTGTAACCCCTATGTAAATTCCCCTTGGGTGTGGAATGAAGAGGTCATCCTTAGCTCTCCTTCCCTCTACCTGTTGCCTTATTACTGCTCCAGCGGGAGGAGACTGGTAATTTAGGAGTCAAGCAGAAAAGAGGTTTCTAACAGCTCTCTACTTCTTACGCTTGCAGTTTCAGCATGTTCAGAACAGCATGATGAGGAGTTCAGTTGCGGAAAAGATTGAGCCAAGGTAAACTGGCCAAAATCTCCCCCTCTTTCCTTCCTGCTTTTCAGCCACAACTCTTTTCATTGTGGGAAATTGTGGTTTGACCTGGCACTTAAATGTCCAAGGGTATCCTGGAAAGGACCAGGCCCAGTCTTACGAAACTAGTGTGTTCTCCCTCTGTGATGCCATCCAGTGTGCTCTCCTTTGTCACCACCCAATGGGCCAGGCATCTGTCCACTAGGAGGCAGGGGCTCTTTCATAGATTAGGGGGGGTCACCTGCTTTCTCCCCTGGCCTGTCTCACAATGGAAGACTGCACGAGATGGAATTGTGTTGTACAGTATTTGTGTGTTTGATGGAACCATTTGCATCAGAGAGTGATCATATAAGCTGCAAATTGGAATGGAAAAGGGGGAAGAGTGGATTAGAATAGGTAAGAATGTAAAGTGGTGAGGATGAGCAGGCCAGGGACTTATGAGGTGACTTACACCCTGGAGCAAATGATTATGACAACTACCACTTGGTTGCTAATGCTTTCTCAGGAAGGTACTCAAGAGGGTTGTGGCAGTTGCTGGCTCTGTTGAAGACTGGCCATTAACTGGACCCAGTTCCAATCTAGGTTCAGGCCTGGCTGGTATTACATTTCTCTGCTTGAGTTGTTCAATTAGCTGGGTGAATTTATAGGATTGAAGGCAATTTGCAGCAGCCAGAGGTTTGCATCTCTCTCTGGAAAGGAAGAGTGTGTGTGTGTGTGTGTGTGTGTGTGTGTGTGCATGCACCAGTTTAAAACCCACTCTCCAGAGCTACTGTGGCAAGTTTTACCTACCTTATGAGTTTGTCTCTGGTCATTGCTAAGCTCAAGTTTTAGCCACCCAGCTGATGACTACACTGAGGTGTCTAGGGATTCTCGTTCCTGCCAAACCCAAATGCACAGTTAATAACAAATTTCCTTGCAGGAACAGCAAGGCCTCCCCTTAAGCTTGTTCCTCTGCTATGAGGAACAGGTTTTCACAGCACTGGTAAACAAAAACCACAAATCATTGGCATGACAGGAAATGGCAAAGCCGGCCTTATGGTCCCAGAATGGCTCATGGCACTACATTTCTACATCTGCAAACATTTGTTTGTTGACTGGAAGCATTGTTTCACATGTGGCAATTTCAGGATTCCAACATGAGCTTGCTGGCTGTCCAGAGCTGTCTTAGGACTTTGTTCTACCACCTCATCTTGTTGTGAAATGCCTGCTTTCTCAGTGGTTCTGCTATTGACTGTCACTTTTCTTCTCACAGGGAACTTGACCCCATTTTAACAGAGGTTACCTTGATGAATGCACGGAGTGAGCTGTATCTGAGATTCATTAGAAGGCGCATCATCTCCGACTTTGAGGTGGGAGATTCCATGGCTTCAGAGGATGTGAAGCAAGGTGAAAACTTAAGTGCTCCTTGCACAAAACCAAATCTGAGATGCTCTTTAACTTGTGGCTGGTTTGGCTTACCAGATGAACTTGTGTAATGGGCAAGATTTCACAACAGAAATAATAAGTTAACAAATTATGCTGCATTACTAACTCCACTTACTGGGAGTAAGCCCCATTGAATTCAGTTGGACTTGCTTCTGAGTAGGTATGGTTAGGATTGCACTATTAGGATTCCTTGGCCATGCTTTGTGGGCTCTGGATCAGGCAGGATTTCCAAAGATTCATGTGCCAATGTGGGTAGGGTTGGGATGGAAGTGGGCAGAGTAACAATGACTCTCACCTTTGTACATCTGGCTGAATTCCAGCCATGCAACAAACAGTGCAAGATGTCTCCAGGCACACACTCAGACATATCTGTCCCAAGCCTCCATCCAGGCAGGCAAGAGGCATTAACATTTTAGGAAGGTACAGAGCAGGACTAAGGAATTGCTCACCCCACCCCCTCACCTCTGCAACTTCAGTCCTGCCAAGAAGGTTGTGTTCCCTTGGGCTGTGGTTACCAAGGAGGGTGTGGAAATGGCTTACAAGCTGCTTGGTGTTGATATTGGGAAAGAGTCAGAGCTTGCAGTCCATAGCTCCTACTCCTGCCTCAGGATCTAAGGAAGCCTTCCAAAAACCTGCAGCCTAATTCATTCTGAGTGCATTTTTCCCCCTGCCCCAAGTCTTGTGTGAGCATCATTCCACTGTTCTTGTTTTCCTCCTAAATAGGCTGTTGATTGCAATACAAAGTGGGTGACTTACCAGGGATGGGGAATGTTGTGTGCAGGAAATTGCAGTTGCTCAGAAGGAGCTGGACTGGTGTCCTGTTACTGCAGCCCATGGCCTGCTTCTCTGCTTGTACTCCACAGAGCATCAGAAGTGCCTGGACAAGCTGCTGAACAACTGCTTACTGAGCTGCGCCATGCAGGAGCTGATTGGCTATTATATTACCATGGAGGAGTATTTCATGAGGGAGACTGTCAACAAGGTAGGGGAAGCTGCCCTCCTTTTCAGGATGGGGGGATATTGAGTTGAATCTTAGGGTACTGAGTGCATCATAGTGGATTGAGGCCCTTCTGATTGACTGAGCTCTGAAAATTCCTGTGGGGTGTAATGTTGGGGATTTCTGAATTGCCTATAGTGTGAGCACCAGAAAGGACTGTTACGGTTTTGAGACCCCTTTGAAATTCTCTTCATAAATTAAAAAATATCCTCTATTCTTCAGGCACAGCAAATTCTGGAAGGCCCATGTCTGGAGGGCGCACCTGCCTGCCAGAACAGTTCATGATCAGCTGGCTTTGCAGGTTGTGAAGAGTCTTGTTGGCCCTCCTTATTTACTTGTCTTACTCTAAGTGACTTACTAAAGGTTGAACGACATAACATATAAGGCAATACATTTCAGTAAAACCTTTCCACTAACCTATAATCAAGTCCAGCAGAAAAACCAAAAACATCAGCAAGAAGAGCATGCAATCAAATAGGTGTCATACTAGGTCATATCCCTGGTAGAAGAGACAAGTTTTAACCTGGCACCTGAAGGATGTTGTTGACCGTGCCAGACAGACCTCACTGGGGACAGCCTTCCACAGACTGGGAACCAGAGCTGAAAAGCCATGCTCTCCCTTGTTCCTTCTCTCTGAATCTCCCTCAAAGAGTGCACCCAGAGAATGGCTCAGATGAAGATCAATGACTCCAGCGAGGTCCTGAATCATATAGGTGAAAACGGGCACTTTGAATTAGGCCGGGAGACATGCAGGTAGCCAGTGCAGCTGCACCAATGTAGGTGTTCTGTGGAAGTCATTGATATGTGTTGATTTCTTTGTCAGGCTGTTGCTATGGACACATGTGAGAAGGGTCAGCTGACCTCCAGTATGGTGGATGATGTCTTCTATATTGTGAAGAAGTGCATTGGGCGGGCTCTTTCCAGCTCCAGCATTGACTGTCTCTGTGCTATGATCAATCACTCCATCACGGAGCTGGAGTCAGATTTCAGGTGTGTGGTGTGAAGCTTTTTGGCCCTCCTAGACTGCGGTGGTCCAGGCAGTTCACCTAATATAGCACTTACGGTTACAGATTTTCAGCACATAGGTTTTTGGCCTCCTTGGTCTCCACCAGATGGCGCCATGAGGTGCAGGTTCCTACCTGCCTTGTAGGTATCTGCTCCAAGATTCCTAAGCTTTTGTCTCCCCCTTTGAAAGGGTAGTCAACTTCCAGCCTCTTTTTTGTGAAAGGCTTCAAGAGGATCAGCAGAGAGGAGCAGGCTAGCTTCTTCTTTGAGCAGAGAGTGAAATTCTGAATTTGACACAGGGGTCACATCATGTCTAGTTCCACAATGGCAAATGTTACATGCAAAATTCCTTGGCTTCTTCATACTGCAGCCTTCCAGATTCCTGGCCATTATTGCGCACAAGAAGGGCTGTGACTTTAGGGGCACTTCATTGGCATGCAGTGAATATTCCTGGGCAAGAGAGCAGAATATTTATTATCTAAGCCCTCTTGAGAACTGTGTATGTCACTTCCATGTGCTGATGAGCAGCTTAAATAGAAGCTGGTTCTAAATAAAGGTGGTGAGTAGGAGGGTGGCAGGCAACGATTGGAAGAATTGGGAGGAAGGAAATCCTTGGAGTTCACTGCCTTTGTCGCCTTTGCCCAGCGTGGTATGACAGTGACTTGGAAGCGGTCAGATCTCACAGGACATCTTGGCAACTGCCATCTCCTCTCTTGCCCTTTCCAGGGAGGTCTTGTGCAACAAACTCAAGATGGGTTTCCCAGCCACCACATTCCAGGACTTCCAGAGAGGTGTGACCAGCGCAGTGAGCATCATGCACAGCAGCCTTCAGCAGGGCAAGTTTGACACCAAAGGCATTGAAAGTACAGATGAGGCCAAGCAGTCCTTTCTGGTGGGTGTGCAGCTTTAAACACCTGAAATACAGGTGGGAGACATAGGGAAGGAATAGGAGCAAGCATTGTGATCTTTTCTATGAACTGCCCTGAGACCTCTGTGTATAGGGCGGTATATAAATTCTATTATTATTAATAATAATAATAATAATAATTAAGCATTAGCCAGGATCTGGAAGATTAAGCTATGGTGTCAGAGCAGTGCAACTGGGTGAGAAAGGATGGATGTCACCAAGTAGAAGTCAGTGTGATGGGCTCCAAGAATGAATGTCAAGTATAATAAGGTTTTGTATTTGCAATGAAGAGAGTTGTACTTACATCCAGGTGAATAGGATGGAGAGGGAGTGGTGAGGTCGGTCACAGTGTTCTGTATTCTCTGTCCAGAGGGAGGGAGAGAGGCAGCCAACCAAACAAACAGGTGGGTTGTCTTAACCCACTAGCCAAGCAAGCAGTGGCAAGTCTCAAGAGAGCATCTGGCTATGTCCTTCTTCGTGCCCAATCCTAATTGTGCCCACAGCAAGGATCTTCCCAGGAGTAGCAAATTTCACAAGATTCTGATCCCCCTTTCCTCTCTGACTCCTCCCATTCTTTAGGTGACATTAAACAATGTGGAGATCTGCAGTGAAAACATCATGACACTAAAGAAGACCCTGGAGGTACTGTCAGCAGACCTTCCACCACTGATTACCAAGAAAGGTCTTTAGGGCATCTTTCTCTTATCTGTTGTTAGCGTTGTTAGTCTGCACTCTTTGCTCTTGGGAGGCTGCCTGTTGGCCTGACTCAAATCTGCAGTTGGGAGCTTTTATCTAGATTGATTCATTTTCTTAAACTTTTTAACTGGCTCATCCCAGCTGTTTAGGGTGGTAAACACACTTAAATCAGACTAATAAAACTTCTCAATAAGATGTCTGTTAAAATAAGCTACTGGGTTTAAACTGCCCACTGCCTGCTTAGCCCTAGCTGTGATGGTTTGCATGGTGTGAAGAGGTAGAGGCTGTCAGTGAAGTCCTCTCCCACCTCAGCTCTTGCCTTTTTCCTTCGCCCTTTAAAATGTTACCCTTTGCATACTGTGTTGAGCCCACAAAACAGGGGGTTGTGGCAGCGTGTCTTCCCACCTATTTCTAAGGCCAGCCCCCTCCCCCAATTGTTTTCTTCCTGAGGGTTAGTGAGCAGAGGATTCTTCTGTGTTTATTTACACTAATGTATGAGCCCACTGTTTCCTGCTTGCCAGTCTAGCTTCAAAGGCCATTTCTTTAACTTCTCTAACTATGTTCTCTCTCACAATCACCAGTCATATTTCTCCTTTGCTCCTGGTAACAAACAAGGCTCTTCCTGTGCCTCAGGTTCTTTTGTGCTTTCACACAGAGTGACTGTGCCAAGCTGCTTAGCCAGGGGTTTGGGGGTGAACAAGCACAACCCAAGATTGACAGCTGTCTTTCAGACATGGCTGCCATGTCCAACAAGTTTCGAGATCTGTTGCAGGTAAGCTTTCCAATGTTTGAACATGGCCTCTTAGCTCCGTTCAGCAGACAAATCCCAAGGACTGTCTTACAAAATTGCCTAGTGATGGTTTGCTCAGCAGGCTGCCTCTGATTTCCAGAAATCAACAAGCCTGGGCCCTGCATGAGGCATTCAGCCTCTGAGGCATGAGAACCTTCACTGTAAAGGGAGAGACATCTTTTTGGCTGATGCTTAAAGTGGAATCCAGAACAGGGGCTATGATGTTGCAGAGTGGGAAGCCTTTTGAGGGACTGCCTGAGGCAGCACCTACCTAGAGCAATATAAGACCAGGCCAGTACCTGACAGGTTGCTGTGACACCCCTTCCCATCCTTAAGCACCTGTGTCTTGTCTCTGGGGCTTCCCAGGACTTTGCCACTTCAAATTGCAGGTGGCCATGCTGTGGCTCCATGGTTGGGAGGCAACCCCTTCATCCACTGCAGGAGTCACTCAGACTCAGGCATATATACCTGTGGCCATAAGCCTGCTACCCAGTGTTATCACACTCCTTGGTTGCTGCAACTGCAAGCAATCTCCCTCTGTCTTTTGGAGGCAGAGGAGTCCCGTGTTCCATTTGCACCTTTGTCAGGAGCTGCTCTCCTGAGCAAAGTTGGTACACATAGGCCAGCAATGACTAAGAACAGCTCTCTGGTACCTGGTTTTTTAAATATGTTAGTAGATTGACAGAGGTTTTCTCTTTTTCTCCACCTGCTTCCCCACAGGAAGGGTTGAATGAGCTCACTAACTCAGCTATCAAGCCACAGGTGAAACCTTGGATCAACCTCTTCCTGTCAGTCTCCCATAACATTGAAGAGGTGAGTCCTACTGCCTGCTCATTTGAACTGCTCAGATGGTACAGAGAAGGGGCTGTTGGAACGAACTCCTCCTACTTTCCACCAGAGAAATACAACCAAAACTGTAAGCTAGAGAATGGCTGGGCTAAAACCGACTGGTACAGCTCTCTTTTATGCTGCTGTTAGTTTTAAGTACTCTTGTGGGTTTTAAAGAAAATAACCTTCAATGTTATTTTTACTATATCTTGCACCATCTCAAGCACTTGGAGAGCGGCAGGATACGTATTTTAAAAATCCATCCTCAGGGGGTGTTTCCTCAAGCCTTCAGGCCTGCGGAAGCAACACCCTCTTAAAAGGAAGTGAAGAATTGCATGTGACACTGCAGGGAAACCTGCCAGGTGCTGATTAAGATGCTTTGGTTAAAAATGCCAGGGCAGTTGAAGGGGATCCTGTGAGCCCTTCTAGCTACAAAGAGGTTGGAAGGATAAATGCCCACCTGAGATTCGGGGGTTTGAAGATCTTACTGCCCTTTTCACATTTGAATATATATCTTACAATATTGCTTGAACACCTATTTGGGCATATGGATAGCTTGCATTAATGTATATGTTTAAATTAAATTCGATAGGTTATTCTTATCCTTTTTGATGGATTATTCTTGTTAACTGAAACTAATATGGGTTTCCCTCCTTTTTTTTCTTTGGTAAATTGGGCGGGGGGGGGGAAAGCTTTTAAAAAATTCATGGGCTTGTGCTGGAATGATGGGAGGCCCAATCTGTATCCTTTTCCCATTGTAGGAAGAGTTCAATGACTATGAGGCCAACGACCCCTGGGTCCAGCAATTCATCCTCAATCTGGAGCAGCAGATGGCAGAGTTCAAGGTGTGTTTGGGGCCGTGAGCAGGTGTTATGTACTCTTTTGTAACCCAGCTTGCCTGTGGCCCTGACGATACATCACAAGCAAGTGGATGTACCACCACAGAGGGGGCCATTAGTGCCCTCAACTCTTCCCTCTCACTTGTTTTCCAGTAACATTGCCCTGTGAGATGCAGCCCTTGTTTTCTGTCTGTAGGCAGGATTGTCACCGGTGATCTACGACAGCCTGACCAGCCTGATGACCACCCTCATTGCTGTTGAACTGGAGAAGGTTGTTCTCAAGTCTACTTTCAGTAGGGTAAGGAGAGACCTTAAGCAGGAAGGGCCAAAGAGCAAGCAGGCCGACTGCTCCCTTCTTGCCACTCCTCAGGATTCTTGTCCCGTTGCTCTTCTCTCGTTGGAGCTGGGTTTCTCACAGTGAAAGGCAGCAGCTTCAGTCTGAGAAGCTGAATCTTGTAAGCAAAGCAAATGCTGACAAGAGACATGGCAATGTGAATCTAAACTATTGCAGATTCCTGGAGAGAAGATTGCATCTGCTTTGCTTCTCTTCTGGTCCTGCTGCTGTGGACTAAGCCATGGTTTGAGGTATATTCTATGGCTTCACCTTCAAAATAGCCCACAGCAGCAGAATCAAAAGAAGAGCAAAGCAGCTGCCCCCTTCTTTCTGGGACCCTGCCCATTTATGCTGCACCAAGCCATGCCTCATCTGGGCTTTATCAGTGTTGTTTATTTTCACTTTGGTTTGGCTTTATTACCTGAGACCGAATGTTCTCCATCACCCTGTAGCACACCTTTCAGTGTGGCAGCCCCTAACCTCTTGCTCTCCTTTGGCTTCTTCAGCTGGGTGGGCTGCAGTTTGACAAAGAGCTGCGCTCCCTAATTGCCTACCTCACCACAGTGACCACCTGGACCATCCGTGACAAGTTTGCCCGGCTCTCCCAGATGGCAACCATCCTCAACTTGGAAAGGGTGAGCAGGCTTTTGCTCTCTTTGGGAACTGGGAGTGGGGAGGGAGCAGGAAGCAATGACAAGATATATATGTTCCAGGGTGGGCTCTGACCCATTTGTTCCACTCACCACAACCCACCAGCTCTCCTTGGATTTGCTATGCTCTGAGTCAGGAACAGAGTAATTGTTATTAATGTTCCCAGCTGGCAACAAGACAGTGCAGTAGAGAGCAAGTCACAGGCCTTGCTTTCTCACTCTAGCAGCATCCCATCCACTCAGGACTGTGGAGAGCACAGGCATATGAAAGCTACTGCTACTTCTTCCACCTGGCTTTATAGAAAGGGTCCAAGATGCCTGGCCAGGCTCCCAGCGTTCAAAACAGGCTGCTTTGAACAAGTGCAGAATGTCTCTCCCCTCCCCCACTGGGTAAAGGGCAATCAGCAGCAGGAGAGCAAGGCAGGCAGAGCAGATGCACAGACAGGAGCAGAGGGCTGGATGGCTGACTTGACTTGACTTGCTTAGTCTCACCTTTAGAAGTTCAGAAAACTGATGACTAGAGCAAATATAGCATAGACTAAAAATAGTATGCCTCAGTCTCTTCTGTTCAGGTGCTGGTGTTGAGCCTTGCAGCTGGAATTCTCCGACGTCATACGCTGGCTAGAGAGGAGAGCACTTGTGGGCCCATGTTGGGTACATGCTTCTCTTCCTCCACATAGAGCTTAGCATCCAACCCAGCAACATATCAGTCCCACTGCTGAGGACAGGCACAGCTATTGTGTTCCAAGCTGCCCAACTGCTTTTTGGATGGACTGTCACTCTGTTCTTCTGCCTGGTGAATCACTTTGCTTTCCCTCTTCCGTTCAGGTAGCAGAGATTTTGGATTACTGGGGGCCAAACTCAGGCCCACTGACATGGCGCTTAACCCCCGCTGAGGTCCGTCAAGTGCTGGCCCTCCGGATGGATTTTCGCAGTGAAGACATCAAGCGGCTTCGCCTCTAGCTGTCTTTGCAACAACCTACTCCTGCTAGTGGAGATCACTGGTGCCCTCTCCTAAGAAGGCCTTGCTATGTTCTTAAGACTGGAGGGAAATGCAAGTCCCTTTCCCAGTGGGATCTCTGAAGCTGAAAGAACAACCACCTCAGTATACGTTGGGTAAACTTCAAAACCTTAGTTCCTTCTTCAGAGATTTCCCTCTTGTTTTTCTGCAGGTTGGTACAGCTCGCCTGTTTCTACATCTTTATCATAATGCACTAACATTTCTACACAAATTCAAGTTAAATAGCAACTGAAATTGCCAAGCAATTATTGTAAATTTTAGTTAGCAAGTGGGGCTAAGACCACAGATCAGCTAAGTCATAGGAACAAAATGGTGCTTTGGGGAATGTAGACATTGTCTTCTATGCCAGTAGATTCTGCATTCTGTCCTTGGTGTCTCCAGTGAAAAGGCTCTTTAGAAGCAGAGACAGTTAAGATGCCTGACTATGACCCTGGATAGCTGCCTCCAGTCAGAGTCAACAGTGCTGAGCTCCACCAATCAATGGTCTGAATTCATTTAAGATCCCTTAATGTGTTCATCATATGCTGTGCGGAGGGTGGGTTGATTTAAATAAAGGAGATTTACATCAGCAAGGAAATAAAAAAGTTTTTCATTGATTACTTCACGTAATTTCCTGAAGAATGCTGCAGATCTGACTGCCAGGCCCTACTAATTCACAACTAAGTATTGTTTTTCACTTGGGTGAGGCAGCTGCTGTTTTCACCCCATCTGCAGTGAAGGAGTGCATGAATCTTCCAAAGAAATACTAAACCAAATTCAGCCACTGAGTCATTCGTCCATAGATCCTGCACAGCTGTAGGATGTGGGCAGGAAACCCTGCAGTGCCTATGGTTCCCAATCCTCCTCCAGAAGCTGTATTTGGAACCCAGCTGTGTCCACCTCCACAGTGTGGATGCTGAAATTCCCCAGGCCCTGAAAGGAAGGCATGCAGGGGGAGTGAAATCTTCACTACAAAATACTTAAGTCAGAATATTTTGTTCTGCAGCCTGGTGGAACTTCAACACTACAGGGGGGTCAACTCCAACTCCTGACCTGACATCAGGACTATATGCCCTGGAAGGTCACAGGCCAATGCAGAGGCCACTCTTCTCTTTGGCCAGGAGGCTACATTCTAGCTCTGAAAAATTAGGTTTCTACTCACAGCCACATGTCTCCATCTGACCAAGCAAAGAGGCATCATCACAACTGAACAGCCCAGCCAAAGCACTCAAAGATTATGCCAAGCAGTGTTGGTGAGAAGTGCAGCCTTGGCAAGGGGTGTGGCCTAACCCTGGCTAGAATCTCAAGGGCCTGTTAGAGAGGCCTGGAGGGCCAAACTCAGCTACCAAGTGTGAAGCTCCCCCTCCCTGCAACTACATGGTACCCACCCACCACTGAATTTCCCCTCTCCGAATTTCCTTGGGAGAGGGTGTGCTCCTGGACCCCAAACCTGCAAAATGTGCCCTGCTGAAATTTCTGCAGGGAGACACCAATTGATAGGCACTTGGGAGCTGGCTCCACTCACCTCTGTTTCCATCAAGATCCTTTGCAAGGCTTCTTGGTTCCTGGGCTCTTTAGTTAAGACATAGAGAAAGCCACCTCCTCCAGCGCCAGCCATGCTCTGCCCATAAACATGAGGCTGGAGCACCTCCATCATGCGCCGGACAGCCAAAGGCTCACACCCAGGGGCCATATTCTTCTTCTGCAGCCAGTAATGATTCATACACTTGCCCAAGAGAGCCAGGTTGCCTGGGGTGAGAAGGAGGAGTTACAGGACACTCTGGCATTGAACGATTAGCCCATTTTAGAGCAAAGTTGCTAGGTCTCCTTTCCCTGTCAGATACAGCCAGACAGTGCTCCTGGCTCCAATCACATGGTGTGCATGTCAGCCTTCTTTCTTCTGGGGAAATCTGACACCTGGGCTGCCTACCACAGAAGTGGGAAGATAGTAGCTCTGGCTGCTCTTCCCTGCTGCTTCTCTGCTGCTTTCAATCTAGCAAGAAGAGTGCTACAAGATCCAGCTAGATAGAATTGCTTTCCCCAAACCAGTGAGTGCTGGCTGGGGCTGATGGGGCTTGCCCTCCAGATGTTTTGGGCTACAGCAATTTGGGGAAGGCTAAAGTCCATGATGGGGATGCGGGTAGCGCTGTGGTTTAAACCACGGAGCCTAGGACTTGCCGATCGGAAGATCGGCGGTTCGAATCCCCGCGACGGGGTGAGCTCCCATTGTTCGGTCCCAGCTCCTGTCAACCTAGCAGTTCAAAAGCACTGCAAAGTGCAAGTAGATAAATAGGGACTGCTCCCCGGCGGGAAGGTAAACGGCGTTTCCGTGTGCTGCTCTGGCTCGCCAGAAGCGGCTTAGTCACACTAGCCACGTGACCCGGAAGCTGTATGCCGGCTCCTTTGGCCAATAAAGCGAGATGAGTGCGCAACCCCAGAGTCAGTCACGACTGGACCTGATGGTCAGGGGTACCTTTACCTTTACCTTTAAAGTCCATGATGACATCTTAAAAGATGCCCCCTCCTACTCCCATTGGTTGTTGCCTGGGGTAGTTGCTCTGAAGCACACATACGCACACAACTATCCTAGTAGCTCCTGCAAAATGAGAGCCTGTTCAACATAGGAGATGGTTTCTGCGCAAGGTGTTTTGAGCAGAGGCACTGTAGCCTCTGCCCTGGGTAATGAGCTGTACAGATGCCCAAGGAACAAACTGCAGTACCTTGCCGAAGGGCCTGGGCACACTCCTCTGCATTGTTCACCAGTGCGCTGGCATTCTGCACAATGGTGGGTAGCCGGGCATACCAGTTCCTTAGAACATCCTGAAAGAAAAGGAAGCAATTAAAAATTGCCTCCGTTTCTGATGCTCAAGAGTGCTTAGAGAAAGAAAGGCTTAGCAAATGCCTCCTCTACAACCACCCTCCTGCACCTTGGGGAAAGTGCCAGTGTAAAAATACTCTTTTTAACATTGTGTTTTAATTGAGAGCCATCCTGGTGTCATTGGTTAGAACGCTGGACTAGAACCTGGGAGACCAGGGTTCAAATCCCCACATGACCATGAAACTCACTGAGTGACCTTGGAGGCCAGTCAGTGCCTCAGTCTAACCTACTTCACAGGGTTGTTAATGGAGATTAAATTGAGGAGGGAGAGAACCCTGTAGGCCACCTCAAGCTCCTTGGAGGAAAAGGTGGGATATAATTGAAATAAATAATAAAATAAATTGCATTTTACATGACCCTAGGACCTTAGGGTGAAGGGGGGTTAATAAAACAATAAGAAAACTATTAATAAGAATACATGCAACCCTACCAGGTGAGTCATCCTACCTGTGTAGACCAAAACTCAAGGGTGAAATGCATCATGCCAACAGCACAGGGAGAAAGGTACACCTGTTGTAGGACAGGTACAACTCTCTGCTCTAAGGTACGTCAGAGCTGTGGACCTCAGGCCACAACTGGCACCTCCAAGCACCTTCCGTACCTGGAGCAGGTTGCGGGCCAGGCGGGTCTTGCCCGTGTACAGCAGGAGCAGGTGCTCATTCAGGGTGTGTATGAAGCCCTCCGGGACGGTGATTTGCTCCACTTCTACCTTCAGTGGCAGCTGAGGCTTTGAACGCCCAATCTTGAGGCCTGGCACCAGCCCACCCACTTGGTCCTGCCACCCTCCACCTGCAAGGAACAAGAACAAGTGTTGAGGAAGAGATCCTGCTTGTTTACCAGTTGCCAGGTGAATCCCTTGTGGGAGGCAGGAGGGGTCTCTGATCCAATGGAGAGAAGACTTATCTATAGTTGGGAACCCTCTTCCTTTCTGAAGCAGTAAAATTGCTGATGTGGGAAAGGACAAAAGGACCCTGCTTTGGTTTAATCCGGTTTCAATTATTACACCATGTTTTTATAGTTTAAAAATGTATAATCAGACATGATAAAGCATGGGATAGAATTCACATTATTAACATCACTTGAAGTCCTTTTATTTGTCCAGGCCTGCAGAATGATGATGGCCATTTAATTATTGTATTTTGCTGTTGGTTTTATCCCGTTCTATGTTGTAAGCTATCCTGGGCACCCTTTGAGTAGGAAGCGTGCCATGGAGAGGGGTTAATCAAAAGTGATTTTCCCCGTCAGATTGAGCACCTTTCCATGATGTCTCATCCTCAACAATATTAGGAAGTAGGAGTAAGAAGCAGAATACCAAAAATAGATCCTTGCTTCAGCCAATATAGATACACCCACATTGGTTTATCTGAATGTGAATGCTCTGCCCCAGTGGCAAAGCAGCACTGAATGTAATTATCAAAAGAAAACGACACTGAGAAACGGTAAAGATCCCCCTCCTATGCATTCCATTGCATATCTAAGAGATGCAAATGAGGATCCCCCTGCCATCAACCTAGCCCTTCCCTTTGGCCTGAAAGGGCTGCTCTGCCTTCACCCTCACTCTCATGCATCCCACCCACTGCCTTTTCCTCTTTGACCTAGAACCCTGCTTGCTTCTAATCACTTTTGGCTCCTCTCCACCGCTGGGCACAGGCCCAGATCACAACTCTGAAAAGCTGCCTCTGAAAAACTCTTTCACTGCACAAGAATCCTTTCATCACAAGGCTAGTTCTCCTGTCTTCCTAACAAGTCTGGGGCAGGGCTGTTGGTGGGGGCTCTGCCTTTTATTATGCACATTCCTTCAGGGCAAAGTCAAAAACACAACCAAAGGGCAGAAGCTACTGGACTGGCCCAGTTGCTTGGAAGGCACCAGAATCCAGACTGGCGTAAGACCTGTTTATGTGTTACTCAAGTGGAGGGCAAAAGTCTGCAAAACGAGGACGTCACTGACTTAGCTGCTTGGCAGAAGGGCAGGATATGACATTTTAAAGGGAGCAGCATAGAAGGAATAAAAACATTCATCCAATGAAACATACAGAAATGGGAATCATACATGGCCAGGACTGTGGAAAAGAGGGAGCAGTTTTGTGCAAGTGACAGAAACACCCCAAAATATCTTCTGGAGGAAAACAGCCAACAGCACCTTTGAAATCACAGCAGTCAAATAAGCTGGAGAGATTTCAGCCAAGTCTTGATCACAGAATTGTAGAGCTGGAAGGGACCACAAGGGTAATCTCGTTCAACCCCCTGCAATGCAGGAATCTTTTGCCCAACATGGGGCTCAAATACACAGCCCTGAGATTAAGAGTGTCATGCTGTACCGACTGAGCTACCAAGGCAGATGAAGAAATGCCTTCAAGGCCCTGCTAATGCTATATTTGAGGCTAACTTCAAGAAAAGGAGGACAAGATGGCACTGAGTTAGACATCTCCCTTTCTGCGGATTTTTGGTTTCTTTGGCATGTGCAGCAGAACAAATAAAAGGTCTTACCTGTGGTGAGAACCTGCTCCAAATGCAGCACGGCATGGATGAGGGACTCAACGCTGGTGGAGTGCCCAGATGCCTGGTATAAAGAAGCCATCACAGCCCCTGCAAGGATGCTGCTGGTGCCTATAGGAGAGAGCAAGTGAGCACAACATGGCTAGCGGGGGTGGAGGGTAGAGGCCACAGCACCAGACCAGAACCTTGTCATGAGAAGAGCCAGACTAGGCCCGGACCAAAGGCCTCTCTGGCCATGTAGATGCCTCTGAGAAGCCCTACAACAGCCATCTCCAGCTGTTGCTCCCTGGTAGCTGGTACTAGTCAATGGTAGAGTGCCTGGAAACTGGAGGTTCCATACACCTAACATCTCATATTCTATTTCTATTTCTGTTCTTCTGCAGCCGAAAGAGCAACAGTGGCAAACAAGAGGGAGGTATTGGAAAACTCAAGGGAAGGAGCACAAGGTCTGCAGAAGTATATAAAAACAACACCACACACATAACTAGCTGTAAAGTAACATGATATGTAATAAAACTGTAATTTTAATCATCATATCAAAAAGCACAGTTCCTGATGGCAATGCATCATATCTTCTATATATATTGGATTAGTCCAAGGATTGTCAAGTCCAAAGATTACAATGCAGTTCCTGTTGGCAATGAAATGGCATTGCCAACAGGAGCTGCATTGTAATCTTTGGACCTGACAATCCTTGGACTTTACGATACCAATATATATAGAAGATAAGATATGTTGCCATCAGGAACTGTGCTTTTTGATATGATGATTAAAATTACAGTTTTATTACATATCACGTTATGTTACTTTACAGCTAGTTACGTGTGTGTTGTGTTCAAAAGATGGTTCAGGCAATAGGGGTGTTTGTTGAAGTATATAAAAAAGTACTGAAGTTGAATGGAGGAAAGGAAGGAGAGGTGGATGGGGTTCTCATCTCATGCTTTTGGGGCAGGGCAGGATACACGAAGCCCCTCTAACATCAACAAGAGAAATGCTGCCAGAGTGGACCTGAGGTCTTTGCTAGCTCCCCTTGAGAAATGCCAGGCATACCCAGTCCTGATCCGTGAGGAAGACGTGACCAGGTGCGGAGCTCAAAGCCGCCTCCAAAGTGTTCCATCAGCTGGTCCTGCAAGGAATTCTGAGAAGCAAGGTCCACAATGTGGGTGCAAATCAAGGCTGCTTTCAACAAAGCTCCTAAGAAGAAGAAAAAAGATGGGGGTGGAAGCCAGGACAGCCCCTTTCTGGCCCACAGTGGAAAGAAATGAGACCTGGACTCGGGAAGGGGCTGGTGGGGTTGCAGTTAGGATCTGAACTCGGGAGTGGAAATGCAATGAAGCCTAACAGGCCATGGTGGGGAGATCAGGAAGGGAAGCACTTCAAAATTCAGCAGGAGTGACGCTGGAGGGAGGGCACAATTCACAGCAAGAGTCAAGATGGCATTGCAGAGAAACAGGCCTCATTCCAAAGCACTGTGATCTAGCAGGTGAGTAGCTGGTCCTGAGGCCCATTAAAAGAGGAGCAAGAGGCCGGCTACTCTCAGGCCTCCGACAGACATGTGAAAACAAAAGGCACATTTTATAGCAAATGCAACTCTGCCTAGAATCATAGGAAGCTGCCTTATAACATCAAACGTTGGGACCATTTAGCTCAGTATTGTCTACACTGACAGGGGGCAGTTCTCCAGGATTTCAGGCAGTCCTACCTGGAGATGCTGCCGGGGATTGAACCAGGAACCTTCTGCATGCAAAGCAGCTATTCTACCACTGAGCTACAGCCCAGCCAGTACAGGGCTCCCTACTGCCACCTGATAAGTCTCTCACAGGGTCTCCTCACAGCAAGCAAGTAAGCTGCTTTGGTAAAGTTGCTCCCTTCCCGCTCCAGGAAAAGGGGCTCTTACCAGGTGCGTGAGGCTGGCAGTAATCCCGCAGGTCTTCCAGGTCTCTGCAGACCAGCTCCACCACCATCTCTCCCTCCAGCCTCCCGCTGCGGCTAATGAGCCGCAGCTCTGGCTCGGCAATGCGCCGGGCCTGTGCACCAATGGGCCTGTGCCCATCAACCAGGACGGCCAGGTCCACCACTGCGCCTCCGTGTTCATACGTGATGGGAGGGGTGTCGCTCCAGCCACCTGCAAAAATTAGCCCAAAGGGAGTCACATAAGAAACCGCCTCCTGCCCAACCACCCACCCAAGCCCATAACCAAAGAGTGGGACTCTCCCCAGGAGACCTTGCAATGCTGCAAAGGATGCTGGGTGCTGCTTGCACCCAACTCATCCTCTGTGCCCTTGCATGAGACCCTGCACATCATGCTTCTGCTCCTCAGTGAACCCAGGGCTTGCTTCTGCCTTGCAGGGGAAGGATCCCCTGGCACTCAAGGCAGGAGCCAAACGTCACTCACAGCCCCTTCCCTATCAAATCCCCCCTGCACAAGCTCCCTCTCTCCATTCAAGACCACACTGAGTCGTGTTCTGCGGAGCAGAAGGACAAGGGCCCCTGCCAAGCCTCCCCAGGCTTGCCAGCTTGGCCCTCTGGGCACAAGGCACCTGGGGTCAAAAGAGGCAAGCGGCTACCTGGCTCCAGAAAGGGCAACTTGACAAGCCCAGGCCCAGAGGTCTATTTACCAGAGAGGTCTATTCTGGCTGGGCAGGCCGCTCTCAGCCAGCGGCCCATGGGAGGCAGTGTGGCCAGCCTGAGGCTGATGAACTGGCAGGAGGACATCACAGCCTGGCGGACAAGGATCTGCTCGGCACCCTCATAGTGTCGAGCAGCGCGGACAAGGAGGACAGGCCTGCAAGGAAGGAGAAAAGGGAGTCTCTGGTTGCTTGGGCTGCTTCTGCCAACAGCCTTCTCCAACTGGGTGCCCTGCAGTGGTCCAATACTTCCATCAGCATGAGATGCTGTCAGTCAGCATGGTCATAGATTATGCAGGGACTGATGAGAGTTGTAGTCCCAGGCTGGCGAAGGCTGCTTGATTGGCCAAGTGCTTTTCCGTCTCAGTTGTGTTTGCCCACACAGAGGCCATCCTGAAGGAAACTCTCCTTCCCATTTTTTCAGTGGGGTGAGTTCCACTCAGAGGCATTCCAGGACAGAGGCAGCTCTCTCATGCAGGCCCCCAGATTCTTCTCCCGTCCTCTGTCTGCCACCACAGGCTTGCTCTGGAGGGCCACTTGTGAGCCTCTGTCCCTTACACAACTCCAAAGGCCCCCATGGGCCAAGGCATCTGCTCTGCAATACCCCATGGACATCAGAAGCAGAATCAAAACCTTGGTCTCTGACTGGCAGCGGCTCTCCAGCACCTTGGCGGAGGAGGGTCCCTCCCATACATGCAGCGTTTTATTTGTATGCCCCCTTTCCATAGTTAAAACCATGCTCAAAGCAGCTTACAACATGAAAAACATACTTAATTAGAAATATAACAAAAACAGCCATAAACAGTAAATAGAACACACCAGAAGCTGCACAACCAATTTAACAATTCCCACATTAAATCTTAACGAGATATAAAAATAAATATACATAAAATTATTATCAACAACAGTAACAACTGTCCCCGCCCCCCACCAACATCCCAGCCCAAGAGCCTGTTCAAGAGCCTCAGCTTTTGTAGCTGGAGTCAGTCAGGGACCTGCCCAACCAGGCCAGGTGGAAAAAGGCCTCCCATCATCTGATGCCAGGATTTGAGCTTGGCTCAGGTGCTTTGCCACTGCACACCTGCCCTTCCCCTGGGGCCTCGGAAGACAAGGCCAGCCCACCTGAAGCAGCTGAAAGGGGGACACATTGAGCATGTTCCTTCCCTCCATGCTCCCGGTGAGTGCAGGAAACAGCATGGCCTTGAGCAGTGATGGCAAAGTGTTCCTGGTCATGTGCAGACTGAGCTTTGCACAGAGAACTTGCCTTTGCCAGGCAGATGGACAGGTGGGGCCAGCGGGAATACAGCTTTATCACTACACACACACAAACACACACACACTTGCAGTACCTGTCCAGCCACTTCTTCCTCTCCTTGGCCAGCTCCTTGACACCCTCAAGGATGTCCCCCTTCTCAAGGTGCTGGAAGGCCTGGGCCCAAGCTGCGTTGGCTGCCGGGCCGCTCCGTAAGCCCCCTTCCCCTTTGGCCAGGCAGCCCAGGAGGTCAGCAATGCAAGCCAGGGATCGAGCAGCAACACCAGGGTCTTTGGCCATGGAGGCAACTAGGAGGCAAACAAGAAGTGTCCTCAGAGCCTGAAAAGTGGCTCTTTGGCTTGAAACTGGGCTGGTCCTGGGAATGGCTACACCTGGGAACATTGGGAGGTTTTAATGGATGTCAAAATGGTCTGCAAGAACTCCCCAGAGCCAGTGGTCCATGGGAGGGCTGGGAGGAACCGTCTCCACAAAGCCTGCGTGGATTCACAACACAAGTGTCCCTGGAGCCAAGAAGAGTGGAGGGGAAAGAACCCTTTCTAGGAAGACCTTCACCCACATGGGCAAGGCTAGTCCGCCATCTTTGAAACCAGCCAGGCTGGGCAATGGCAGAGCTGCTCACTGAGGCGCTGGTGGGTGGAGCTGCCAGACTCCCAGGGAACTCTGGGAATAGCTAAAGCAGAGCTGCCCGCTTCCCCAGACTGGGGGATAGGCAATCCAGCTGCAGCCAGAAGGAACCAAGGTGGAATTCTCACCCAGCTGCTGGCAGGCATTGGGTAGGAGCCCCCCACTTCCTTCCTTCCTTCCACTCCCATATATAGGCACCCTGCAATTAAAAGGGCAAAATGCTGCCCCGGACACACAAACACACACACCCTGCCAGTATGTCTCACCCTGGTCCAGTGTCTCCAGCATGGCCTTGTGGTAGCCCTCCAGGGCTGCGGAACGGATCAGCGGTAGGAGGCTGCAGTTGCTGTGCTCCATCAGGACCCTCTTGGTCTTGCTCTGGGCCTGCAAGAAGAAGGTGGCCCTGCGGGCAGCCAGCTCCGCCTCCTGGTCCAGGCTCCCCTTCAGCTCCTCCCAGGACATGCGCCAGGAAGTCCGCCAGCGCTGCAGCTGCTCAGCCCCTGGAGGAGAAAGCGGGGAGCCCACGAGCCAGAGGACGTCCCCGACTCCCAGGGGCTCGGAGGCATGCAGCACGGGGAACAGGCGGGCATTCAGCAGGCAGCGGCGGCTGGAAGGGATGTCTGGGCTCCAAAGGTCGTGACTCCTGGGCAGGGCAAGGATGGTGGCATGTCAGTCACTACCACCCAGCCAAGCATGGAAAAGCAGCCTCAACCCCACAAGGAAGGAAGGTGGCAGCCCCCAGCCAGCCCTTCCCGCTACAAGGCCACAAACCAGTAAAGTCCCCCACTTCAAATGATGAACAAAAAGGCTGCTTTGTCCCTCATTTTTAACGGGACTGTAAGGAACAAAAATCCAAACTTGCAACACAGATTGTACATTGAATATGAAATACACCCTGAAAGTGTCTCTTGAATGAGTATCAGTTGCACAAATTGAAATCTTGTCTTAATTAGTTAATGATGAGCCCCAGCACCTAGAGCTCGTGTCCAAGGAGGCATTTTTAATTTATACAGGTAAAGGTAAAGGGACCCCTGACAATTAAGTCCAGTCACGAACGACTCTGGGGTTGCAGTGCTCATCTCGCTTTAAAGGCCACAGGAGCCGGCGTTTTTCCGCTTCCACAGACAAATTTTCTGGGTCATGTGGCCAGCATGACTTAGCTGCTTCTGGCAGAACCAGAGCAGTGCATGAAAACGCTGTTTACCCTTCCCTCCGGAGCAGTACCTATTTATCTACTTGCACTGTGTGCTTTCGAACTGCTAGGTTGGCAGGAGCTGGGACTGAACAACGGGAGCTCATCCCATTGCTGGGATTCTAACTGCCGACCTTTCAATCGGCAAGTCCAAGCGGCACAGTGGTGTTATACTTTTCATACACTGTTCAGGGGCAATTGTAGATAAGCAGTACATAAATAAAATAAATGGAGGCAGAGCAGCAGCTCCACAGCACAGGGTGGGGGTGGGATGGCTGATGTGTGGGGCCCTCAAGAGAATGGGCTGGGACCTGCACACGTACCGTATTCCAGTGCGGAGGAAAAACTCACTCCAGGGCCTGTTCAGGTAGGTGCCGCCTTCTTCTGCCATACTCTAAAGAGAGAAGAGGGCAGGTGTGAGTGTCTCAGAGAAGAAGGAATAACCAAGAGAACAGAGGCAGGGTGGAATGGGGCAGATAGTTCTGGGGTTCTTGAGGTCACCTGCCTCAAGACAAACTGCCGCCCCCAGCTCTCTGAAGGAAGCAGCAGAGTTGCTGTGGGGAGTGGGATTCCCCAGAGACTTGCAAGATGCCTCAAACCTGTACAGACTCCTTCCCACCAAGCCAAGCAGACTCCTGTTACACACCTGCCAGTCATCATGATGCCCACTCAGGGTGAAAACCTTGCAAGGGATCCCTCTCAGCCTGACAGTGTGTCCCTGGACAACCACATCCCGAAGCAGGTAGCTCCTGAGGGCCACGGAGGATGCCACGTCCAGCCCAGTGAGGAGGCAGCCAGTGTGGATCTCCAAAGGACCCTGGAGAAAAAGACCAAGGGGACTTGGGCATTTGTAACACACACTCAGCTCTCCTGCCACTGCAGAGAGTCCACATGGGGCTTGTTCTTTGAGTAGAGTTGGCAGGACAGCTGGGAGAGAGGGGAGACTGATTGCCCACTGCCCCAGGGCAAAGCCCACCCGGAGAAAGCAGGCCTGAGATCCTGGCTCAAGGTTGCTGCAGTTGTCACCCTGTCTGCCTGCATGTCAGGCAACTAGCTGGCTGGGGAGAGTAGAACTCTCAAAGCAAACGAGGATAGGCAAAACACCAACAGCTCTGGCTCCCTGCAGCCTGTTTACAGCATTTCTGCCCCCCTCCTTCCCTCCAAGGAGCTCAAGGTGACGGATGTGGTTCTCCACCCCTTCAGTTTATCCTCAGAGCAGCCCAGTCAGGTAGGTCTGGTTGAGAGGCCCTGACTGGGCCAAGGTCACCCAGTTAGCTTCAGGGCTGAGTGGGAGATTCAAACCCCGGTCTCCCAGGTCCTAGTTCAACCCTCTTAACCCCTACACCACACTGAACCTTGGGTCCTTGTCCTCCTCATATCATCTCCTGCCCTGGGCCTGATCCTGCCAAACCTCAAGGCTTGGCCTAAATATCAGCTCTGGGATTGGTTCCTGTTCCAAATCCACCAAAGATGACCCTGTGTCGCCAGAGAGAGAACTTCTGGCGCTCAGCAGAGAACAAGGGCAGTTGCCAAACTTCTTACTCCCATCCCCAGCATGGCCCACCTTCAAGCGGCAGTGCTGGATGACGCTCCCAGGCCCCACTTTCACTGCTCCCTCCAAGAGGCTGTTGGTGACAGAGCAGCCCTCAGCCAGCAGCTGAGGCTCCTGCATGGGAAGAAAGAGAAGGAGGGGTCATGGTGAGGCAGGGAAGTCCAGGCAGTCTTGGTAGACTCTGCCTACATAAGCTGCTAGTCCTTATGGGCGGGGAGCAAAACATGCAATCAAGTGGGGCAGCATCAGGTGAAATGCAAGGCCCCAGAGTAGAGCTTAGCAGAAGGAACTGCCCCATATGAGCCCCATAGCAGCTCTTTGCCCCTTCCCCTTTGGCAAAAGCTGCTTCTTCCGTCCTCAGTTTGTGCCCACGCCTTCTAAATTACAATAAAACCAGAATTTTGGAATCTTAATTGTGGAAAGTTGTCTCATCAGCAGAATGCACATAGACTTCAGCTTCACCCAGTTGCATATCACACCTGCTGCCCCACCCTGCCAAGCACACACACAACTGTGCTGCAGAGAAGGGCTGCTGGGGTGGCGTGAGGGACCCTCCCACCAAAACAAGGCACTCAAGAGCCTCTGAGGCATCCCCCAACCAGGGGTGGTACTCACAGCCACATGGGAATGTGCCACTTTGCGGAAGGCCTTGCTGCGGGCATTGCCTGGGTGGGGCGTGAGGTGGCGGATGTGGTCGCTGGCAGACATGGTCATGTAGTCATAGCAACCCTCAGGGATGTACGCTGTGAAGAGGGAGGAGCCAGAGGCCACAATTGGCACCTCAGAGGGTATCCCACACCAACAAGGCCTCCAAAGGCCTCAGGAAGGAAGGTCAAAAGAGGGAAGCCAGAAACATGTTATGTAGCCAGCTCAAGTCCTGCACAGAGTAGACCCACTGAAATCAATAGACACAGCTGTCTCTGGTGTGCTCTGAGTAGAACTTAGCTGCCTATACAAGCCAATGTGTTTTGTCTGCCCCAGGGATCAGGATGGCAGCCCCTCTCCTACCTCCTGCCAGAGGAAAACAGCCTCCCGCCACTGCAGAGGAGGAGATGGAGAGATATGCAAGCTTGTTTCCCTGGAGGCAGATTTTGGGATTTTGTGTGCAGTGTGCCCCTTGCCTCCCCGCTGGGTACCCTTGCCCACACCCTAGGACAGAAAGCGATGCGCTGCCCCAGAAAACCAGCATCACCAAATGGTGGAAGGGAGGCCGATTTCACCAACCAGATGTTTCTGACAACTCGCATCAGCCCCAGCATTGTATAGCTGTGCTAGCTACAGCTGATGGGTCAAAGTTCAAAACATCTTGAGAGCACCAAGCATCAGACTGGAGAGGCTGGCTGGCATTGGACGAGGCAAGTTCACAACCTCACCCATTGTGAGAGGCACGGCATGGAGAGCTTTCCACAGCACGGAACGGGCACTTCTCTCTGACCCTGCCGCCTGGACATTGTCGCCGCTGCCCATCCCTGGTCTCTGACCCTTCACAAAGGCCTCTTCGCTGACTCCCTGGGCCATGCAGAGCAGGATGTCGAAGAAGAGAGAGAGCTGGCATGAGGGAAGAACAAGGAGGGGGCGAATGAGTCTTCTGGACAAGGAAACATCTGGCTCCACAAGGAGACACCCAAGCAAAGCATTTGCACATCATGACAAGTGGAGGGACAGTTTCCAAGCTGTGCAATGGACTGACTGGAGGAACAAATGGGGTGGGTGGGAGAGATTGAAGGAACACTTTCTCAAGTTAAAAGCTACCCAGAGGGGCTTGCGGGGATCTGCAAGGAAGCAGGCTTAAGAGCATAAGGAAAGCCTGCAGGATCAGGTCGGTGGACCATCTCGTCCAGCCTCCTGCTCTCACAGTGGCCAGCCAGATGCTTGGGAGAAACCCACAAGCAGGAACCGAGCACCAACAAACTTAAAGTAGCACGGGGACAGACAAAGGAGGACACCTTCACCCCAGTGTGGCTCCCCTTTATCGCATATAGAGGCCAAGAAGATAATGACCTATCCAACCCAACAACATATGAATCAATATGACTAATCTGACCCAACGACCCCATTCTCACGCATACAAGCAAACCACATTGCAATCAGCCAAGCTCTGATAGAGGACCGAAGCACATGATGCTGACACAAACACCCTGCACAAACATTACGAAACAGAAAATCATTATCCCTACCGTCTCTCCCCACCCCACCCCGCCCCATCTCTCTCTCCTTTCTCTTTTCTCCGAACTGCATAATGTAGATGACAACAGTGTTTCATACCGAATGCAAACAAACTGTGGTAAAGACTCTTATGAAATGAAAGTGGAGACACTATATGTACTTTTCTTTGTTTATTCTTTGCAACATTGTCTTGTAAGTACCATCTTCGTACTCAGAAATAAATGGGGCTATTTTATCCAGCCCACAGCATTATGGGCCTTTCAAGGGAGGTGGTTCAAAGTTGATTTAAGTAGCTTTGAAAGGGAGGGGAGGTTTAAAAGTCCACCCGACAGCTCCTGGAGTCTTTTACTGATAAAAGTTGGCAGATATTTTCATAGGTTGAGCCTTTTTATCAGGGTAATTTGATCATTAGAGCTCCTACTCACGCAGCAGAGACTCAGTTGAGACTTGACCCGGCGCCATCTTTTTTTCTCTTTGTTTATTTGTTACACAAGAAAATCTTTAATAAAAACAAAAAAAAATTAAGAGCACATTTCTCTCCTGCAACTGCAGTTTCTAGCAACTGGTATTCAGAAGGCTACTACCGCCAATGGTTGAGGCAGAGAATAGCCATCATGGCTAGTAGCGGAGGATCGCTGGGCTCAGACGAAAGCTCACTCACTGTTCTGCAAGGTGCAGAAAGAGGGAAGCTGTGCAAGCTCCAGAGGTCTCTGTCTTAGGGAGGTGTTATTCCGCCCCCCCAAAAGGGTATTGCATATGGAAAAGGAGAGGAGAGAGAGAGGGAAGGGGCTTCTCAAAGTGCCCCCCCCATTGTTAATGCCCATTGAGAAGTGGAATAGCTGCTTCAGGGGGAAACACTGAATACTGTTTAGGCTGCTTCCTTCTTGGCCAAAGGCAGCCTCACTTGTATAAGTCACAAGAAGAGGGAGGGAGGCCACTCCTCCACCACACAAACACACACCCCTGCAAAAAGCTGCCAGGATTCAGGAGTAGAAAGAAATGATGGGGGAAGACCACAAGCAATTATTATTTGAGACTGCATCATGGCATAAATTCCACCGAATACAAGATGAAAGCAGAACAAGATGCAGACACAAATATCTGAGAACAATAATAAGATCAGTTAAACAAACTCAGATCTTCCACACACACACGCTAAAGAAAACATTTCATCAGGTACAAAATTGATCTTCCACAAATGGTAAGGTTACACCTCAGGGAAAGCCTTCCTCTAAACAAAAAGGACTTCCATAAGCACTTAAACATCATCTCAGGGGGTGCCTGACTGTTTTTGGTTGGAAACTCATTCCAGAGAGCTTATGCTGCAATACTAAAAGCCTGGTTTCTAATGCAGGCTAAAGACACCTCTGGGGCCAGCAGTACTCTGGAGCTGCAGTTGCAGGACAGCCATCTATGGTGCAAGGCAGCTCTTTGACCCTTGAGATATGAAGAAAACGCTATTGTGACAGATTATGCAAAAAAGCCCTCTCAGGGTCAGATCATGATGTCCTTGGCAGCTTGAGGCATTCTTCCCAATACCCAAGAAACCATCACTGCAATTGGAACGCTAAAGCCAGTCCAGCCTCAATGCCACCTGCCTCCTCATAGGGGAAGATGGGGAGTGGGCAACACAACTGCAGCTCTGTTATAGCATATTTTGGTGCACATGGGCGTCCCAACATTTTGCAGCTGGAGCACTGAGCTTCCAAAAAAACCCACCAGGAAGAGGTAACTCAAATGGAGGAGAATTCACCATGGCAGGGAAGCCTTGAAGGGCTTGCAAAGCTGCAATAGGACCTGAGAACACTAGTGTGCCCACAATCCTCACAGCACTGCTTCCTGCAATAGCTGTTACTGTGAAGAAGTGGAGGGGGGAGCACATTCTCCCAACAACTCAATGCTGCAGTTGGAGAACAGGGGAAATGCTTTGCCCAGGAGAAGATGTGCTAGGAGGTGGTGTTGGGGACATCCTCTGGATCACTCGCATTGACTGGAGGCAGCAGCCCATTCTGGGCCTGGGAAGACCCCAGTTGGTGCCCTCCAGGTGTTGGCTGCAGATGGCGGGAGCTGTATTCCAAGAGGATGCCATGTCAGCTGCCCCCCAGCTTGACTTGGCAACTCTTAACACAATCTTCAAGAGCACTTTGGCCTCAAACTCAGGTTGTACTGGCCTTTTGAAGGCTGACTCAATGGGCCCAAAGCCCCACAGCTCACTCACCTGGCCTTCGCCCTGCGACCATCCATTGTGGGGGTCTCTGGCCAGGGGCTTGCTGCCAGCCACTTGGGACTTCCCCCAGACCAGCTGCATTCACACCTGGGCAGATTCATCTGCAGCCACCCAGGTGAATTCCTCTTCCCTAACCTGTCTCTTCTTAAGGGCCTCACCTGGATGGCGGGGGCTCCTGAGTCCAGCCCCAGGTAGGTGCAGGCATCAAGGGGTGGGATGACATGGGTGGCCAGAAGCTGCTCCGCTGCTTCAGAGGAGAAGAAGACAACCCCACACACCTGCAGGGGTAATAAGAAGCTCAGCTTTTCTAGGGTTTTCAGCCCTGCAGACTAGTGAGATTTCAAGAGTTTTAGGCAGATGGTTCTGCAGCAGGCTTGCCCTGCAACTGAGGGCTCACCCACACTTAATTTTTGCCCTGCACTTTCTAGCCACAGGTCCATGCTCCCTCCCCCCCCCCCCCCAATTTCCACAGGAAAACCAGCTCTTTGATGCAGAATCAGAATACATAGCAATTTGGGTTTCCACGGATTGCCATTTGTTCTGGTTCAGTCTACCTCTGAATACCAGATGATGGGGAATAACAATGGGAAAGGTGAAGTTTCACTCGGGTCCTGCTTGGGGGCTTCCTTTCCTTGGGGGCATCTGCTTGGCTATGGTGAGAATGTCAGGTCAGCCGGGGGCATGGATGACCCCCAGGAAAACGACAGGAACGTTTCCAGCTTGTCCCTCCCATCAGCATGCAGCTCTAGGGGGTTCCGACAGCCTTCCCCGACAATTTATAGTGACTCATGTCTTGGAGACATTGAGCACACATCCAGAAACTCAACAGAGAATAGGATGCTGCACTAGATGGGTCAGATCCAGCTGCAGGGCTCTTCTTGTGACTCCAGCCCAGGCCCAGAACTCACCAGTGGGACCTTCCCGTCTGGCCCCACACACTGCCGGATTTGGTCTTCGGGGCTTTGGTAGAAGATGTCTTGCACCACCCCCTGGAGGGACAAGGATGAGCAGAGTTACCCCAAGGAGCGTCAACAGCTAATGCACTTGGGCAGCAATTATCTGTGAGAGGAGGGCCTAACGAGACATGGTGCTAATCACTTGGTTGGCTTTTTAATTTTTTTATAGTAGCCCGGAGACTGAGGCTTTCACCCTTTGTCTCCTCCACAGTCCTGATCTGGGCTGCATCTGCCAAACCACATCTACAGTATCTGCCCTGGAAGGAAAGATACACAACTATGTCTTCTTACGGGACCCATGAAAGTAGTGGGGCAACTGAGAAGAGGCATCTTCAGATGCTGCTGGGTTTGTAGCTCCCATCAGACCCTGCAAGCAGCATGGTTAATGGCCAGGGGAGATGGGAATGGGAGTCTAGCAATGCCTGGAGGAAAGCAAGCAGCCCAGGAGAAGGATGCCATCAAAGGGAAAACACCCAAAAGAACTCTGGACCTGAAACTTGTTGTCCATTACTTTTGGGAATTGTAGAGGCTTTCCAGCCCAAGTGCCGAAAGGGTCATCCAGGATGCTCCTCTGCCTGTCCCAGGCAGGGGGTTATAGGGGCAACTGGGTGGCTGCTGGGAGAGGCTTGGGTGAGGTACCTGAGTGTCAGCGAGGTAGACTCCATGCTGCCTGGCATAGGAGATGCTCCCGGGCACAGCAATGACTCTCACTCCCTGGAATCCATGCCAGTCGATCTCTGGGAGGAGAGGGGAGGCATGCAGCTTTACATCAGATTTGGTAAGTTTTGCCCATTGAGGAACACCCACCCACAACCTCCCAAAATAGAAATCAAAATTAAAGGAACACCTCAAAATGAATCAGGGGAGGAGAAAGAAGGCACTTTTCAGCCATTCCTCAGGACGCAATCTGTTCCGGCTTGCAAAGAACCACCACTCTCTCCCAGCCAGTCCTTGCAGCCTCCCATACACCTTACCTGTCATGATTGGGACTGTGAGAAGCATATCTGTGCTGGAAACCCAGACCCCTGGTGGAGAGCCTCTGCACACCTGGAAATGGAGGCAAGGAGGAGGAATCTGAGCCTGTAGGAGCAGGAGCAGCACCTCTGAGAGGAGATGAGTGGAAGGCTTGCCCACAATCTCAGCAGGGCCAGGGCAAAGCCCACCAAGGCACTGAAACAGGACAGCCTGCAAGGATCCGCCCCACTGACCTGGTGCATCAGGGTTGCAAGGAGGCTGTCCAGGTTGCAGGTGAGTGCCTCAGCGGGGGCCGCAGGCTCCTCCAGGGGGAGGCAGGTGAATGCTCGGCTGCAGTCATCAAATAGGAAGTCCCGGCCCTGGCAAGAAGGAAAGCATAATAGCAGAGCAGCAGAGGGAGCAGGCCGAAGGCACAGCCTCCAGGTACTTGGGCTGAGGATTAGGAGCAGGTCGTCCCACCGAGAGGAGGGAAGTCTCCTGCTGTGGAAGCTCTTCTCCTTGGTGCCTGACTAGAAACAAGGCACCGCCTTCTTGCTCTTCTGAGGATCGCACCCAAGCACGGTCAGTGCAGCCCCACTACAGAGCTCACCATGTGCAGAATGAGGATCCAGGCCTTTTGCAAGACATCAGATGTGACCACCTGGAAGGAACATCAGAGGGGGGTCTCTTAGATTAGGAAATACAATGGTCTGGAAGCTGAGAGACAAAAGAGGTGCCATGAGCAGGGCAGAGGAGGCAGAAGGAGGCAGCCTGGGGTCAGGGATCCTAGGAGTCCATTCTAATTACTGCTTTCATAAATGTCTACATCTTCTATTAGTTTGATTTAAAAAAAATTAAAGAGAAATAAATAAATGTCATAAATGCATAGAGAAGGGGTGTTGGCACCTAGCTAGCCACTGTGAGAACAGGATGCTGGGCTAGGATGGGGCCTCGGCCTGATGCAGTGCTGTGATGGTACCAGGGCAGATATCACAACATTGCCGTCCCATACCTGCTCAGTCAGTAGGTGCCCTTAGGCATGAGGGTTGGGGGATTCTGCTGGCGGAGGTCAATTGGCGCTTGTGTTCTCCCTTGCTCACCGTGTAGCCTGCTCGAGCGCTCAAGTGCTCAGCTGCCACCAGGAGCGCGTTGAGAGTGGCTCCTCCACTGCCAACCTGGCCCTTGGGGTCTTCAACCGTGAGCAGGATGGGCTGTCGCCCCAAGGAGCCCCGATCCCTGCGGATCTCCAGCTCTGGAAGCCAAATGAATAGAGACTCAGTTAGTAAACACAGGTCACAGCATAGAGAGGGCGAAGGAAGAAGGATCCCTGCAGCTTGTGAGAAGCCCCAGAGGTAGGAGTGGAAGGGTCAGTGGCTCCCTGGTTGGTCCCAGCCTTTCCTGCATCCCTCAGTCCTGCCAGCCCCTGTCTGATGCTGGTCCAGCCACGCCTGCAGGTGGATTCCAAAATACTAAAAGATTTCACGGTGACGGAGGACATTGCTTGGGCTTGCATTTGGTTAGGCAACAGAATATTAAAAGCTCATAATTAGCTGCTAAGCCTGCCACCTCCCCAAAGACATCAAATCTAGCCTAAAGGGCGAGAGTAGCAGTTAAAGTATTGTCTAAGATCAACAAGATGTAGTCAGTGAAAAAATTAATACCATACTGCCAACTCATTTTTTAAAAAAACCACAGTGCTCTTCAACAAAATCATGAAAGCATAATGAAATTACAAAATCATAAAATAGCTCTGGATTTTCAACAAAGGGTTGAGTGAGGCGGCCTACAAGCTCCACTCCAACTTCATTGTTCTGAGTCCCACCCCACCCCCCTCATTTTTAATTCAGCTCCAGCCCTAACCTTGCCCTGCAACGTGTTGGCTCAGATCCCTGTGTGGACAGGAAGGCCTCCACTCACCTTTTTGGAAGGCAAAGACGCTGTCCTTGTGCTGACATGTCAAAACGATGACGGTCCAGTCCACCTCTCCTCCAGCCATGCGTTTAAAACAGGCCTCTCTGCTTTTCGAACTGCTGAGCCTGCAAATAAGGGAGCCACCTGCCAATCAAGCTCAGCTTAAAAGCCACTGATCTGAGTGACACAATTACACAAGTCCTGCCAAGTCACAAGGTTGGACCCCTCCAGTATCTATTAGTGAACATGGAAAAGGGGGGTGGCATATGTCAGCCCAGCCATGCAGTTCTTGGGTCTACTGAAGAGCCAACATGTTTTTTTGTTGGACTACAACTCCTATCACCACTGAACACTGGGTCATTTTTGACTATTGCTGGTGGGAGATGGAATCCAACAATTTCTGGGGGACACCATATGGGTGCAGTGGGTGAAGAGAGCAGGGGAACCAGTGTTCCAATTACTGTCTGCTTATGAATCTTGCTGGCTGATGAATGTGAGCTACCTGCTGTCTCATTGGACCCTGTGCCTGCCTGTAGGTAAACCTAAGTGGGTATAACTTCCCTAATGGGTACACTGTTCTTTCCCACTTCCCTCCTCCTGCCCATGCAATCTCAAATATACATTGGATGCTCCTTGCGGGAAAAAGGGTGGGTAGGCTCTCCTCTGGTGCACTCTATAAACACCAGGAACATCATGGATGATGTTATATGTAAAAATAAATAATAGAAAGGTTACTGCATATCACCAAAGGGCATTGCATTTATCATACTTCACTCAAAAAGAGATTGATTCATGTTCACTTCCTCCTGCATAAAGTTTATTTATGCTGATAAAGTTTTTTAGTCTCAAACTTCCCCAGAAGGCAAGGGATCCTTGATAGGTCTGTGGGGAGCTTTGGGTCTCTGGCTTTTGTGGTCACTTCCCACCACTCTGGCAGCAAAGCAGTTGTGAAGATCCTGCTCTTTCAGCTCTTTTGCGAAGCCCTCCCATCCCAAATGAGTTGGGCATCATTCCTTCTTTCACAAGCTGAACAAATTAAGCTGAATATATAAATATAAAACATGCAAAATTAGCATGATTTATACCAGCTGCAAAATTTGTTTTTCTCTAATGCCACCGAACATAGACGTAAGTGTTTTAATCAGCACAGCCCGGCGTAAAAACAGTCCTCGGCATTAACTTGGGCAGGGAAAACAAAACAAATTGCGCCAGGACTACTTGGCATTGGCATCCTGGCCCCCCCACCCCACCCAAGTAGGTGACCCTATTTTGTACCACAGTGAAACAAAGAGTTTGTGGGAACTTGTCACAGTCCTCCCCTCTCAAATATTTGCATTTTTGACAGGCATGTGTGCAGCCAACACCCAGGCCTTCCTAATGGGCTCCCTGCCAACAGCATCCCTGAAATTTTATCCTTTCCCAGTTCCATTGTTTAGAGAGGGGGAAAACCCACCCCACAGTCTCACCCCAGAGGGCTCAGCATCTGAAGAATTCTTACTAAGCTTTTACAGGTTTTACTTTTTTGTCATTATTGTTACATTTCTATCCCACTACCTTTCCTACAAAGAGCTCATGGAGGTGTAGATGGTTCTCCCCTCACCTCCTCATTTTTATCCTCACATCAACCCTGTGAGGTAGGTTAAGATGAGAGAGAGAGAGAGAGACTGCCATGACTGAACGGAGTTTTGAACCCAGGTCTGCCAAGCCCTGGGAGACCAGCACTACACACCACATGGCCATTCAGCTGCCCTTGAGGCTGCCCGTGGGGGGGGGGGGGACGGACATTCCCTCCCTCATAGGAGCCAGGCTTCCCCTCCACTTTTCGGCCCTTTCACCGGGCTTCCTTCCGTGAGGCCCACTTTGCAGGTAGCGAAGCTGCTGCAGCCCGAAAGTGCATGACACGCTTACATGGGAGTAAGTCCCAGGGGAGCCAAAACGACTTACTTCCGAGTAGACGTGCAGCAGAGCACGCTGAGGCTGCAAGCCCCTTAATAATATCGGATTAATCAGCCCCTCCTTAACACGCCACGACAACTTCCTCTTGCACTGGCGCTTTAACTGAGCCCTCTCCTCCCCCCCCAGATCCCCACCCCACCCAGAGATTTGCACTCTGGGAAATGTAGTCCATTCACTCACAAACAGGGGAAGGTCCCTTTCCCCGTAGAACTACACTTCCCAGGAGGGGTTATGCTTCGAGCCGGGAGAGCGGGCTGCTCTTCCTTATTTAAAGGTGCAGGCCCTCCTTCGCTCACATGGGTGCCTCCTAAGCAGCGCCTGCGGCGGCGATATTGCAAGATTTGAGTCAGCACCACCTTGCAATACTAATTACTTGGAAGTTTTATACAGTATGTGTGTGCTTGCGTTTGCGCACCCAGTGGTCCTATACGCCTTACTTTGAAGAAAAGCCAGCAGGCGTTACCTCTCAACTAGATGTTCAGCCGGATCCTATGCTCACCTACTAGGAATGAGCCCCTAAGACCTTCATTGGTGCCCTTGGGTGGATGCCCCAAACCCTGAGCTTTCACTTATGTTATGTACTGAAGTTCTCACCCTGGGCCAGCAGGGGGATACTGTAGATAGTTTTCACTCAGGTCCACATATGCAAATAAGGAATTGAAAGTGACGTTCAGTGATTGGATAGTTACAGAAAGTTGCTACTGATGCTTTGTAGTGGAGCTCTGTATAAGCAGGTTGGCTGAACCCTTCAGTTCAGTTCAGTTCAGTTCTGGCCTGTGAATAAACAAGAGCTGTCTGAAGAATCGCTGTGTCGTCTGATATGTTCACCCACAACTTAACAACTTAAATATTAAAAAGTAAGTCTCTGGACCTCCGAGAAAGAAATTTAGGAAGCAAACAATGAGGGTACCTTTCTAAGCAAACTGTGAGAGTGCCTTTCTGAAGGAGCCAAACGCTTTTCCCGCCTGCGGCCTGCCACTCTTCCTAGCTAAACAGCAAAGTCAGAGTTATGATTGACGACAAGCATGTTGTTCCAACACCAGGAGAAAATAATCCCCAGAGTCTTAAAAGCGGACGTTTCCTCCTCCCATTTAGTGTGCTTTCCCTGCATCCTCCTCATTTTCTAGACCTTGGAATCTCCACCGTTTCCACTGCCTTTACTCCCAGGCAGCAATACTGTATGCATTTTTCTTCTCAGAAAAGTGGTCCCTAAAAGGCTTCTTCTGAGATCAGGTAATCTCTAAAGAAAGTCATTTTCTGCAAATGCTATGACATAGTATGTGCAGGCGGATGTTAAAGAGAAAGCCCCTCTCTCCCCCGCCCCCTCTGCAAACTTGAAAACATCTTAGGCACGTTTCCTGGTGTGCTGCAGCTGAACACCAGGCACTCCTTAAGAATTTACTGTATTGTTAGCTTGCAGCACCATAATATATGTCTATTCAAAAGAAAGTCTCTTTGTGTTTAAGAGGGTTTACTCCCAGGTAAGCGAGTATAAGATGACAGCCTAGGTTTTGGTTTAGGTTGGCGCTAGGGAAAACTGGTTTTTTTGTACCTCAAACAGTTGCATGGCAGGCAGAATTTCAACAGGTTAAGACTTTTCTGGTATTAAAAAGCCTCACTATGACTGTACTTGTTCTAATTTTGTGTTATGCTCTGTTCCCCTCCTGGCAGCCATCCCTGTGCCTTGAGTAGTACAGCCCAAAAGTCTTCAAGCAGGAGGCTTTCTCAGCCTTGCCTGAAGGAGTTGAACCAGGAGTTGCACCTGGGACCTTTTACTTGCAAATCAGGTGCTCTGCCACCGAGCTGAAGCCTGTGCTCTTCATGGGTCCCCTTAGCTTGCTCAGGGGGACAGAGCAGACTGTCTGTGGACCTGTGGGAGTGTGTAGGTTCTGGGCTATGATTCTCAGGTCCCATCTGCACTATACGGGACATTTAAAACAGCATCTTGCTACTTTAAATGGTCATTGTTGTTGTTTAGTCCTTTAGTCGTTTCCGACTCTTCATGACCCCATGGACCAGAGCACACCAGGCACTCCTGTCTTCTACTGCCTCCCGCAGTTTGGTCAAACTCATGCTGGTAGCTTCGAGAACACTGTCTAACCATCTCATCCTCTCGCCCTTCTCCTTGTGCCCTTCTCTTCTCATGAGGTGGCCAAAGTATTGGAGCCTCGGCTTCAGGATCTGTCCTTCCAGTGAGCACTCAGGGCTGATTTCCTTCAGAATGGATAGGTTTGATCTTCTTGCAGTCCATGGGACTCTCAAGAGTCTCCTCCAGCACCATAATTCAAAAGCATCAATTCTTCAGCGATCAACCTTCTTTATGGTCCAGCTCTCACTTCCATACATCACTACTTGGAAAACCATGGCTTCCCACAAAGATTTCTGGGAACTGTTGTGTTATAAAGGTACTGGGAGTTGTTAGGAGAGCTCCCCTCCCCGGAGCTGCAATTCTTATTGGGAAGAATAATTGATTTTTCTTTCTTTCTTGTTTTTTTATATAAGATATTTATTAAAGTTTAAACATTCCCAAAAAAAGAAAAGAAAAGAAAAACAAAAGAAAAATACAAGCAATAAACAATTACAAAACCTCAAAAACAAAAATAAATACAGTAATACAAAACATCAACAATACAAAAAAGGCAAAAAGAAAAAACAAAAACATTTTAAAAAAACCCAAAAAAGAACAAACAAAAATAAAAAGGACCCCGTATTTTCATATCCTTATCTTTCATTTGCTTATTTCCTTGACTTCCTCACACCTCCTTTTTTGTATTCTAGTTCAATTAATTATTCCAGCAAGTTCTTTCCCTCTTTCTCAAATTTAGTTCCATAATTTATCTTAACGCAATTTAGCCTTAAATTTACACCTTTACCCAATGTCAATCTATTCATACTTAATTCTTTATAGTATTTCTACTAAAGTCATGTAGCTTCTTTCCAGCACCCTTCTAAAATTCATTAATTTTAGAATATTTCTGTAAATATACTTTAAATTTTTTCCAATCTTCTTCCACCGACTCTTCTCCCTGGTCTCAGATTCTGCCAGTCATTTCCGCCAATTCCATGTAAGCCATCAGCTTCATCTGCCATTCTTCCCTGGTAGGTAGGTCTTGTGTCTTCCAGTGCTTAGCGATGAGTATTCTTGCTGCTGTTGTAGCATACATGAAAAAAAAACTCTGTCCTTCTTTAGCACCAATTGGCCCACCATGCCCAGGAGAAAGGCCTCTGGTTTCTTTAAAAAGGTATATTTAAATACCTTTTTCATTTCATTATAGATCATCTCCCAGAATGCCTTAATCTTTGGGCATGTCCACCAAAGGTGAAAAAATGTACCTTCAGTTTCATTACATTTCCAGCATTTATTATCGGGCAAATGATAAATTTTTGCAAGCTTGACTGGTGTTATGTACCACCTGTAGATCATTTTCATTAAATTCTCTTTTAAGGCATTGCATGCCGTAAACTTCATACCAGTGGTCCATAACTGTTCCCAGTCAGCCATCATAATATTATGTCCAACATCCTGTGCCCATTTAATCATAGCAGATTTCACCATTTCATCCTGAGTATTCCATTTCAACAGCAAGTTATACATTCTTGACAAATTCTTAACTTTAGGGTCTAACAATTCTGTTTCCAGCTTTGATTTTTCCACCTGAAAACCTAGTTTTTTATCCTGATTATATGCCTCCATTATTTGATAATAATGGAGCCAATCTCGCACTCTGTTTTTTAATTTTTCAAAGCTCTGTAATTTTAATCTGTCACCCTCTTGTTCCAAAATTTCCCAATACTTCGGCCATTTGGCCTCCATATTGAGTTTTTCCTGGGCCTTTGCCTCCATAGGTGACAGCCATCTTGGGGTTTTATTTTCTAACAAATCCTTATATCTTATCCAGACATTAAACAGTGCTTTTCTTACAATATGGTTTTTGAACGCTTCGTGTGCTTTGACTTTATCATACCACAAATATGCATGCCAACCAAATACATTATTGAAGCCTTCCAAATCCAAAACATCCGTATTTTCAAGAAGCATCCATTCTCTCAGCCAACAAAAAGCGGCTGATTCATAGTAAAGTTTTAAGTCTGGCAGGGCAAATCCACCTCTTTCTTTAGCATCAGTTAAAATCTTAAATTTTATACGAGGCTTCTTGCCCTGCCAGACAAATCTGGAAATATCTCTCTGCCACTTCTTGAAACAGTCCATTTTGTCCAAAATTTGCAGTGATTGAAACAGAAACAACATTCTTGGCAATACATTCATTTTTATCACAGCAATTCGGCCTAGCAACGATAGCTTCAAATTTGACCATATTTCTAAGTCTTTTTTCACTTCAGTCCAACATTTTTCATAGTTATCCTTAAATAAATTCACATTCTTAGCAGTCATATTGACCCCTAAATATTTCACTTTCTTAACCAATGTCAGACCTGTCTCCTTCTGAAACTTCTCTCTCTCAATCACATTTAGATTTTTCTCCAAAACTTTAGTTTTCGTCTTATTCAGCTTAAAACCTGCTACCTGACCAAATTCTTGAATCAATTCTAATACTCTTTTCGTACTTGATTCTGGCTCCTGTAAAGTCAATACTAAGTCATCAAGAATAATTGATGTTTGAACCCACTCTGGAAACAGGAAATGTAATACAGGAGATGTATTAGTGCACGTGGGGAAACAAGTGTCGGAAGTCTCTTGTGCTAACCATGTGCTGGAGGAGCTGTCCAAAGAGTTGAGAGACAAATAATGAATGACATCCCTCCTCGCGGCAGCAAGCTTGGCTATTGCTCCATAAGATGGGACAATCTGAACATTTGTGGGTAGTGGGCATTTGGGGGCGGGGGAGTCTGCTGATTGCTCAAGAACTCCCAGATCAACTATGGGTGCTTCCAGGCAACAACCTGCTCATTGATTTGCTTGCACATCCCCCCACATTCTTTTTATTGCTGTTCGTTTGGGGAAGCACGCAGCTTTGCAACAACTTCACCTGAGTTCGGCAGTACGTGATGAAGGCAGTACGCTTCTAGACTGTCGCTAACTCAATCAGGCACTGGCAAATTCGGGCCTCACAATTGCTGCAGGTTAGGAGGTTTTGCACATTAAACCAACCCCCCCCCCCCCCAAGATCGAGTTCGGGTTGTTGAGACTTTTGGGTTAAGGAAAGTGCCGGGAAAATGCTCTTCCTCGCAAACAAATCAGTATAGTTCAATAAACAGCCAACCCCCGGGGTGGGGTGGGGGGTGAGTTTTACCAAGAGTGGCTCAAAGCTCCCCCACCTTTTAGAGGAGCTGTCCCTTTAGCAAACACAACCACCGAGCTCCCCGCACCCCAGTTTCCTCATCTCTATCCGCTCTCTTCGGAGGTCGGTTTACGCCGCCTTGCAAGGAAGCTCCCAGCCTGGCTTTCTTGGCCACGGGTAGCGCATCGGAGGCGACAAGACCTGCAGCGCGCGGATGCCCTGAACGAGCGCGCGCTCCTCCCGGTGCCCTTGCTAGATGCCTTGGGGCAGAGATCTCGGAAAGCGCCGGGGACGCGTCCCGCAGGGCTAGGACTAGCTACGCAGCGGCGCCCACCCGGTCACAGAGGCAACGGCAGCCCCCTCCCTCCGCTTTCCCACCGCCGAGGCGAAGCTGGCGAGAGGCCGAAGAGGCGGTCTTTTCTTCCCGCCCGGGGGGCCGAGGCAGCTGGGAGCCCCCCGCCCCTCCGCAGAGTCTCCGCCCCTCCCCTCCGACGGCCGGCCTCGCTCCCTCCTTCCCGCGCGCAGCTCGGCCGGCGGAGCGGCGCTGAGGATGGGGCGGCGGGGCGCCTGCGGAGGCAGCAGCCAGGAGCCCCGCGGCAGGACAACGACGCTGCCGCTGCTGCTGAGGAGGCCGCTGCCGCCGCCTGGTGAAGCGGGGCTGAGCTGAGCTGGGCCCGGTGTCGCTAGTCCGCCCGCCCGCCCGCTGCCGCTGAATCCCCCCAACGCCCACCATGGATGGGGCCCGCGGCAGCCGCCGGCCGCAGAAGCAGGTAAGGGGCAGGACGACGACGACAACGACGAAGAGGAGGCCTGCGCGGGGCTCCTTCCGCCGCCTTTGTCTCTCCGGCCCTCTGGGGGAGTGGACCCGGCCCGCAGCGCAGCCCAGTGGAGCGGACCGCCTGCCTGCCTGCCTGCCGCAGCGTCGCGAGGGGCTGCTGAGCTGTGGCAGAGGCCGAGGGAGGGCCCGGTCGGGGGCTGCTACTGCTCCCTTCTCGCTTCTCCTGCTCCGCGAGGCAAAGGGGCGCTCGGTCGCCGCCGCGCCTTCAGGGGCTTTTCCCTCTCGGGAGGGCGCCGCCGCCTTGGGTTCTGCGCGCCCCTCTGCAGCCCAGCGGAGCTCTGCCGCTGCTGCCTGTGAGGGGTCCCAGGTTCCGACCCGTTTTTGCCGGGAGGCCGAGCCAAGCCGGGATCTCTATTCTGGCAGGGGGGCCGGGGATGATCCTGGGTCCCTCGCCTCTCCAACGCGGAGAGCCGGGTGGCTTGTGCCTCCGGGATCCCTCCAGCTCCTGGCTTGGAAGAGGGGCTGCCTCCGGCCGGGCCCCTTGCCAGCTGCCCCCTACGAAGTCTTCCTCAGCCCCGAAATCGGTAAAGTTCGGTCTGTAACCGGCGTGTTACCTTGCCACGGCTGTTCCCTCTGCAATCGGTTGCTTCTGGGCATGTGCAGAGTGGACTGCCTGCCGCAGCTGAGAGCAGTTAGAGGCAGCACCTCTCTCGTTGTTTTGCGTTGGTGCCCAAGAGTTTGAAAAGGGGTCGGATTGCCTCCTGAGGGCACTTCAGTGGCAGAGAGTGCTGGAGCGGAAGACCCCGGGTCCAGCCCTGGAAGAGCTGCTGCCAGTCCGTGTAGGCAGTACAGGACAAGATGGATCCATAGTCTGAAGGCAGCCTTCCCCAACTACCTGCCTTCCAGAGGTTTTGGGCTGCACTTGACCCCAGCATCCTACAGCTGTGCTGGGTGAGAGGAGTTTTGGTCAGAAACATCTGGAGGGCACCAGACTGGGAGTCCACCCACCCCACCTCATTCTCTGTTCCCAGCACTGGTCAGCCAGGAGTCTCAAAGAGAAGCCCCACAAACAGGACATGATGGCAACATTGCATGCTCTCAGCACCTGCTGTCCAGATGTAGACTGCCTCTGGATGTAGAGGTTGCATTTAACTGTGATGTTAAACAAACCTATAGAGGGAAGGCCTAAGTCAGTGGCATTCACTGCCCCTTGAGGTGAGGGGTTGCCCATAAGCTGATGGTTTGTTTTGCGTGACTGAATGGACTTTTATCCTTACTTAACAATCTGTTGTCAGTAAACTTCATTGCATGACCCTGAGGCCTAGTTTTTAAAAGAGCTCCGACTTCTTAACTGTGTGACGTCCTATGTATCAAATTTTTGCATCTTGATACAGAGCACCACCGAAACCTGTGTTTCAGGTCAGCCTTGTAAATGAGCCCACAAAAGTCTCTAGTCTGCTTAAGAGACTGCTAACAGCCTGCCCTGGTGGATTCTCGGCTGTCTAGTAAGCAGACTGGGGGAGGAGGGAGGAAGAGATCATTCTGCTGCCCTTGAGCATTGGGCCAACCCATTTGCTTTCTGTGCTGGTAGCCACAAGGGAACTGACCTTCCTTCACAGCTCAGCACAGAAAGCAAGTGGGCTTGGATCTGCTCCTCCGCTAGCCTGTTGTTGTGTTTCTGTTTTGGCTTCCCTCTCCTCTGTGTCTACAACAAAAACCAAGCCATGCCGTGATCTCTCTCCCCACCAACCCACGCACTTGCCTGCATGGAATTCCTTGTTGCCTATAGCGACTAGGCTTGCTATTTAAAGCTGGTTCCGATGGGTTTCTCTCTCCAGCATTTTGCACAGTGAAGATGGATAGAAAGAGTTGACACAGCTTCTCCCTGCAATTTCGGCTCTCCAGCAGCCCTTTGCCATCATGGCCTTGGCTGGCTTCCATTTCCTGAGGTATTTAAATTGTTTGTCTTTATGCCTTTAGGAAATAACACTTCAAATGTCTTCATTTGCTGTTTGCAGTATGCACTTGTCTGCTCAGGGTTTGTGTTCCTTTTTGTTCTCATTCAGGGGCAATATGCTTTGCACTCCCCCCCCCCCCATTCTTATGACTTCCATAACCCCAGGCAGAGTTGCAGTTGACAGTCAGTAGATGCAGTAGAATGGCAGCTTGTATATTTTTGAATTTGCACCTTCTTGTATTTAAACACTATTGCACAAATATTTCCTTTCCCCTCCCAAAAGGCTTTGCATAAGTTAGTTAAAGACCAGTTAAAAAGTGAGTGAATGAAGCATATCTAGTCCATGATAATATTATTAATGTTCAATTAAAAGCAACACTGAATTATTTGATGAAGAGGATCTTAAATCAAATGAATATATAGACAAAATGCTTCATTATGCAGTATGCTGAACTCTTGTTCCTCTGTGATACATACTATCTGAGCCTCTACTATAATTGTTTCAAAAGAACCTCCAAGTTTCCTTAATGGATTTTAATTCTTCCATGTAACATCTCTTTTACTGATCCTTCATTGTTGAGTAATTTTCTGTCCTGAAATTAAATACGACTTGAGTAAGACTTTCTAGACATGTTGAATTTGATCATGCTGTGCTTGCTACTGCTCCCAGAAAGTTTTTCCTGTGCTGACACTTAACAGTTTCCTGTAGTGCTCCATGATTCAGATTTCCTAAATGGATATTGAGGGAAACCAAGGAAAGGGTTAATGAAATTAGGAGGGTCCAGGGGGAGCGGCCTGATATTTTCATAAAACATGTGGCTGGAGACCTATAAATTAAAGCTCAGGTTTTTCCAGGATGCCAAATTCTGTGCAAGACAGCAGGTTCTGTGACTGCCCAGGAGCTGCATCGGATAGCACCCAATAAGATGGTTGGAGTCAAAGCTGTGAGGCAACTGCATCCTAATCCCTGAGCATAGTTTATGTGATGCTTCTGTGATGGATGTGGGCCCAGAACAGAAGTGCTTAGTGAAGGAAACACTTCTGTGCCCATCACTGCTTTCAAAACACCACAGTATAAAATATTCTTTTATTGACATATCTGCACTGTTGGCATAGCCTCCCACTTGTTGTGTTTGTGTGGCATGGTGTGCTTTGCAAAGAGTTGGGGGTCCAACCTTGTCGAGTTTCTCGGACTGCAGGTTCAAGGATTGGGCTGGAAGGGTTTTAATGAAAAAATATTAGCACCCAGTTGGCTCCCATCTTAGACTCAGGAGCCAGTTCAGACTTGCAGTTGAAAATAAGCAAGTTGATGAGCACACTTGTTTTAGTTTGTGGGCAATACAACACACATCATGTTACCAAAACCCCTGAAGTCACTGCATGATAAAATCTGCAAGATCCCAGGCACAAAAGCGTACATGGCAGAGTAACAAGCCTGGTGGTTTCTTTTAATTAAAGTCCTGGTTGAAACCTACTGTTACAAGATGTAAAAGGCAAAGGCAAAGACATTTTAGAGAGTGTGAGAAAAGTTACTGTGTAACACCAAGCTGGCTGTTGCTCCATCAATATAGACTGGCAGCCGTGGGGTCATCTGGAGCCTGCTGTGCTCCTGACGATACCAAGGGCTGCAAACCAAACCTGCACTGAGGGGGCAGCAGCCAGCTTGAGGCTGCTCAGGAATTTTCTGAATTGTCTCTGGATTTTTGTTGTTTCTAGAGCATCTGTGCACACTGCACCTCCTCTTAGATGATGGGGCCTGCCACTTTGACCCATACTTTTGCAACTGCTGAGCTTGACTGCTTTGGTATGCTTCATGTGGGGCTGCCCTTGATGATGACATGGGAGATGCAAAATTCTGCAGCCCATCTGTTAAATGTCAGAGCGAAGAAGCAAGGAGCATCTTTTCCTCCTTCAGTTCCAGAGGAGGGGTTGGCACCACAGCTCATTGGCCCAGTTCAAGGTGCTTGTGCTTAACCTATAAAGATTCCCATAGTCTAGTACGCAGATGCCTCTGACACAAGTCATCTCTATTGCTTTCTTTGTTTACCCAACTAGATCCTGCTTCATTAGAGCATCTGTTGCTAGGACGGCACTCTCTCCCTCTGGAACTGAGGATTTGTTCTTCTTATAATTTGAAAGGACTGTCACAACTTTTACTTGCCTGCTTCTAGCACAGTCTATCCCAGTCTGGTGCTCTCTGGATCTTTTGGACTACAACTCACATCAGTTCTCACCAGCATAGGTGTATGATGCTGGGGCGGATGGCAGTTGTGGTCTAAGACATCTGGAGGGCACCAGATGGGGGAGGGCTGCTCTAGGATTTCTCCTTGGGAGTTTTTTCTGAATGGCTGAGAACATCTTCTAGCTAAGGTTTTTGGTTTTTTTTTAAATTGTGGTTCATCAGTTGTTTGCAGTTGCCTTGAACCCATGTCAGAAAAGCAGCAAATACATATTTTAAAATAAACAATTTAAACCATTCATGGATGGCTAAGTTCGTAGATCCAGCCCCAAGACAGTTTCACAGGCTAGCTGAGGTGCAGTAAAAGTTTGCCTAGGGTTCTTACCTGAGAGGAGAAAAGAAAAGAGTTCAAAGTTTTTCCTCACTTTAATTGCCTCTTTATTTTCTATGTGACATCTAAATTGCAAATCTTACATCTGCACGGAGTGCAAGGGAGCCAATAGCAAAAGTGCAAAATGTACTTCTAGCCTTTGGAGCGTGGCCTGCAAAACCAGAGGTCAGGTTCTCGAGAAGACAGTTGATGGCCAAATTCGTATTTTGTCTTTTCAGTAACTGTGGCAGTTAAGAGGCCTCCTTGCTCTTTGTATGTGTGTGAGAGACAATGCTTCTAGGGGTACTGATGGACAAGTGTGTGATCTGCATTGCACTCAGATCTGTTTATGTGCAGTGCTTTTGTAGAGAGCTGGATGGCACAAGAGCCATCTTAGTTAACTTCAGCACAACACAAAGTCATCGTTTTTTAGCAGCAGATTCTTGCGGGGGTCTTTAGGTCTGACTGTATAGGTGCCTTTCCCCCCTATCCTTTTCTAGATCTGTGTGCCAGAGCTCCAGAGGAGGTGACAATGAAAATGTTAAAGGCTCACGCTGGACAGCAGCAGCCACACATTCCACCTGCATAAAGTACAGTGGTACCTCGGGTTACATACGCTTCAGGTTACAGACTCCGCTAACCCAGAAATAGTACCTCTGGTTAAGAACTTGCTTCAGGGTGAGAACAGAAATCGTGCTCCAGCGGCGCAGCAGCAGCAGCAGCAGGCCCCATTAGCTAAAGTGGTGCTTCAGGTTAAGAACAGTTTCAGGTTAAGAATAGACCTCCGGAACGAATTAAGTACTTAACCCAAGGTACCACTGTACTTTAAACTGTACAATTGAATCTCTGTTCTCTGGTGCCCAGTGTGATATAGTGGGCAGTTAATTATAATTGTAACAGTTAACCTTGAAGGATAATCCAGTTGGACACTTCAACTCACTTAACAACACCATTATTATTATTATTATTATTATTATTATCATCATCATCATCATTATTATCATCATCATCATCATCTAAAATGAGCTGGAGAAATCTATACTCAGGCAGTGTTACTATGTATGGCCCAGATTTCTGAAACTTCTCAATATGTATGAAAATCCCCAGGCACTCACTCTCTGTCCAGATACCTTTTAAAAGGGTTTCATTATTGGTTTCATTGGCCCACACAGACTTAAGAGGAAGAGGAGCCCTTTCAAGAGCACAGAGAACTGAGGAATGAGGGGGGCACATGGGAAAGGTTCCTGCCCATTTAGCAGCCACTTTCCTTCAGGTACTGTGAGGTTTGCGGTTTTGCTATTCATGCAGCCTCTCTTCGGTCTCCTGATTTTCCTGTGGATAGAGAGTAGGCTCTTGGCTCTGTTTGGCTACCACCGCCACTGCCTCCTGCTCCTGTGAGCAGCCAAGCCTTGTTCATCTACACAGGAGGATGTGGAGTAAGCCTGAATCATGTGGCAAAGTGACTTAATTGGAAAGTTTAAATACCAGCGGTTACTTCAAACCCCTTACTTGCACTGTAACTTCTGCCCCCAATCAGAGAGTGTTTTAAGTAAAGAGGGAGCTGAAAACATTACCAGAGTGTGATCTTCTCTTAGAATGACTCTGTTCCAATTCTAAAGCGACTTGGTGTGTGAAGTTCCTTCTGGCCAGCACCACATCTCAATCTGTTTGCCGGTCCCCACTCAGTGTAGGAACTCCATGCAAATGAAATGTCGGGGTTTGTTTCAGCATAACCTTTATTTAACTTGTAAACCACCCTGTGATCTACAGATGAAGGGCAGTATAAAAAAATTAATTACTCATAATCCTAATGATACATTTTATTCTATAGCTCACCCTTTCTCTAAGAAGGTAAAGAACTTGCTTCCCTCCATCTCTTCCATTTTATCGTTGTGCCAATCTGCATATTGTATCACATCCTATAAGAAGAGCCCTGCAGCTGGATTTGACCAGAGGTCCTTCTAGGTCAGCCTCCCATCCCTCTTGGTAGACACTCTTTCTGACTGCCCCCCCCCACCTTGCCCTCTCTCTCTCCCTGGGCCAAGGCCTTGCCAAGCTGCCTCGGATTTATCTGTGGTTGGCTCAAATTCCCCCTCAATTGGCAGTTTCCTTTCCACCTGGTGGAGTCCGCAGGCTGATATCCAGCCAATGGAAGGGTTTCAACGGCTCCAGCAGAGCTGCTTCTTGCTGCAGTGCAGCACCATGAAAAGGAGGTGGGGTTCCTCCTCCTCCCAGAAAGTGTGCCAGATGCACACTCAAGTCTAGTTTTGCTTTTCTGCAGCAACTATTATGAGAAAAAGGAGGAACATCCTCTTAGTTGATGGCACAATGGATTCAATATGCAGCATGGGCCCTCTGGAGAAGGTGACTATTTCTGCAGAAACTGTTATAGGCTGCCGACCCTCCGTTCTTCCACCACCCCTTCCCTACCAGATGCCCAAGCTCAGTGCTTATATTGGGGAAACACATGTTTTCCAAATGAAAATTGAAGAAGGGCTTCCCTTTTGGCACCCAGCAAAATTATTTGGCCCCAAAGGAGCCATCCCCTCTGTTCTGATTGGGCAGAAGAAGGAAGTCCAGGGCAGCGAGGCCAGATCATCCAGTCTGCATGAGGTGACAGTTCATTTGCACCTAGTGTCCAGCATATGGAATGACAGGCAGGGCAAATTGATGAAGCAGCAGGCCCAGAATGCATCAGATTGCATTAAGAGCAAGTTTTAGCTCCCAGGATTCTTCATGAAAGTGATGGAGAAGAGCAGAAAAGTTGCAATCACCATAAGCTTGTTCCATGCTGGAGGCTGGATTGAGCCTTCAGGAAGCAAAAGAACTGAGAGTACCCAGTGCAGCTGACTCTGGTCATCAGCCGTCAACAGGACCCCTGCATTCCAGGGCAGGAAATGCCTGTAGTTGGTCTGATAAGGTGGCTGTTTAGAAGGCAGTAAGACCAGGCCCAATTTTTCCTTTTCCTTTTTTGAAGGCCACTTCCTTTCTTAACCTCTTTTCTTTTGCTGCAGCTCTCATTTGAATGGAGGGCGACCAAGAGTGCATCTCTCTTGACAACAGGCTCAGACTCTGGCCTCATCTACACCTCCGTTTGCCCCACTGCTTTCCCCTAGGAAAACACATTGTTTAGTGCTGAATCGGAACAACGGGTGCATTCTTCTTGAAGCTGTCAAGCTGTGAAAATCATGTCCACCTGTCCCCCTAGAAGGTCAAAAACTCATTTTGGGATTCAGGAAGGGTAGCTTTGGATATTGTTAGGAGATGGTTTGCTAAGATCCTTGCAAGAATTTTGCTAGCTGCAGCTAATAAAAAGACGCCTCGATAGTTTCCGCAATCCATTCTATCACCTTTTTTTTAAAAAAAGAGATTGATAATTTTGGTATGCCTAAAGTCTGCTGGGATCTCCTCTTTCTCCCAGATTTTTCTGATGAGCTTGCGAAGTTGTTGTGTAAGCACAATTCTGTCCACTTTGAAGACTATGGCAGGTATCCCATCAGGTCCGCTGGCTTTGTTGTTTTTCATTTGGTTAATGGTTTTGGAGATACCGCAAGCTCATCTCTAATTTGTTTTTGAGAATTTGTGAGAGGACCTCAGCAGCTACAGGGGAGTTGCAGCTAAGGAGATGCTGACAATGTTCTTTACAGTGCAGTGCAATAGCTTCTTTTCTTTTAGAAGTGTGGTACTGTCTGTTGAGCGTAGGGGGCATATGCCATGATTTATTGGCCCATAGAAGGTCTTTGTGGCCTTAAAGAAACTCTGTGCATCATGAGTGTCAGCTAAGTGCCGGATTTCTTGAACTTTTTTTTTAAATCGACTTCGTGTTCTTTAGTTCTCTGGTTCTTCTTTGAACCTCAGCATTAGTGTTGTCATAGGGTTTTTTTCTTAGTGGCACAGTTTCTATATCTTTGCCAGATTTGAAAGGCCTTCCTTTTCTTGTCAATCTCTTACTGTCATTCTCATCAAACCAGTTTCTTGGTTTGGTATCCAATAGTTTGTTCACAGGCTGCAATAATGGATTTTTTAGCTTGGTCCAGTGTTCCTCGATGTTATCGGGGATCTTCCTCAATATCAAAGTAGCTTCCTGGATCTTCCTCTGTTCTCCGCCTGCTCCACTGAAAATAAGTATTTGTAAACAAACACAACACCTGTACAAAACATGCAAAAGGGATTCAGCTAATCTTAGAATGTCGTTTAACATGCTCTGTAGAATCAGGAGTTACTTTTGGAAGTGTCAAAAGAAATGTGGTTATCCTATGTGCTATGTAAGGAGTTTCCCGAAAGACAGATTGCTGATGGGGGGAAAGAGGTTCTGCATCCAGCTATTTATGCATGAGACGGATTGGAACCATTATTATTTTTTAATTGTCTTGCTTGTGGAAACATCATGTTAATTTGGTTTTTCAGCTGACACACCCTGCCAAAGTTGCAAGATCCAGCTTTGCATTGCGTAGCCCAAGGCACTTTTCCAGTACTTAGGCATCTCCACTTTCGCTGCTGTTAGCACCAAGTCTTTTGTAAATAGAGAATGTTGTTCATAGCAGATTGGGGTAATAAAATAAGAGTTGGAATCGGCCTTGGAGGTTCTCTGGCCCTACCCCATGCTGTTTGCCAGATCTGCAATGCAGGATCCAAGTGAAGACTCCCTGGCAGGTGGCCCAGCCAGCCACAGACAGCCTGTTCCCCTATTGAAAAATAGCTTTTCCCATTAGCATAGCTGAAACCTGCTTCCATGCAATATCTGCCACTTGGTTCTAGGCAGCTCTCATGGGATCTCCAGCCCCCTCGGAAACCCCTCTTTGCTAGGCTAACCATAGCCCAACTCTTTCCACTGTTCCTCAGAGGGGTCCCTGACCACCATCCTGGTCTTCCTCTTCTGGGCTCACTCTATTTGGCCAACGCCCTCTTTTTAAAAATTCATTTCAAGTTTTTCTTTTTGATGTTTTATACAGGTAACCCTTTGGGTGCTGGGGGGGACAGATTAAAAAAAATGTTGAGGAGGGTGTGCACAGTCACTTGACATGACTTCCAGAATGTCCTTCATACAGCCTTAAGGAAACATGTCCATATATGAGATTGATACACCTGAGACCTTTCCATCTTGTCTTAATTTTTGGAAAGCTGCTTCCTCATATGCAGCACAGTCAAGTCACATCCTCCAGCCATTGCACTATTGAACAGGGCAGAGGGTGGCTGTTCTTTCCAGTCCTGGAATAAGAGCTGGTTAGCCACCATGACTGTACGTAGGAGCCAGTCACATTCTCTATCAGTCATTGCTATCTTCTTTTTAAAAGAACCCCAAGATATGAATCAGGCTTCAGACTGTTGCAAAAGAAATAGCATTAAAGAATTCTGAGCCCAAGATTTTCTCCTGAGTACTAAAACTGGATGGACTGCACAGTCCTTCCATGTAAAAATCCATTGTGGTGATCACAAGTGTTCTCCATTACTGCAATATACTTTGTGGGAGTGGGATGGCTAATATTGTTAAACATATGGGAGTAAAAAAGCATTGCCTAGATCCTTCTGCCCACCTTCAATCTAGATCTAGAGGACTTGATGCCGCCTTAACAAACTCCCACCACAGAGAAAGCTGGCATGTTGAGGCATGCCCTGCCATGCTAGCTTTTGTATATGCATGGTGGCTGTGTTGTGGTTTTGGTCTCTTTGCCAGTACTGCAGAACCAACTTCAAGAAGGTGCTGCCTATCTGAGCTATTTAAATATTCATAATCCATAGCCAGATGCGGTTGGTGGTGGCGGCATACATAGCTTTTGAGGTGCAGAGAGTGGGTGGGGAGAGATGCTTCAAGTGAGCTTTCTTGCCCCAAGTCCCCCTTTTGTAAGCCACTCTGGGGATTTTGCTGAGGGGTGGGAAGTGCAAATCCCTAACTGCTTCCAGCTGTGCCAGAGCTGCTTTTGCAGCAAATCTCTCTCCCATTGCAGGGATTACCCTGGATTCCTCCAGCTGCTGTTTTAAGAAAGAGCCCATAGAGAGAAGAGCTTGCTTTGCCTCTTGGCAGATAATGTAAGGGGAGGGGCTAAATCCAGGCAGGGGGAGGGAGAGGGTGTCATCGATACAAGCTGAAGCAATTGATGGCTGTTGGGTGAGCATCAGAGTGACCTGCTGGAGGAAGAGGAGGAGGAGGAAGGAGGACAGGAGGACATGAGATGCTGAGAAGAGGAGACTGAGAGTTGTCCTCTTCAGCCTTGAAATACAAAATGTGCTGGTGAAGGGGAGCCCTTGAAGGGTCATCACAGGTCAGTGGGAAACAGCAAAAGCCTAACACCCCTGAGCCAGGAGAGGAGAGCATTTTCATGTTAAGGACTGCATTTCTTTGGGTGGCACATGTAAACTATTATGGGCCAGATCCTGGACCATACTTTCTCTTGCTCTTTTTCTGCATACATTCCAATTATTTCCTGTTGTGGAGCTAAATCATTGAGCTTATTTTTGCCTTTTGGCCATGCCTTGTTAAGCTATTCAGTTAGTGAGTTGCTTGACCAGCTTGACATCCTTTAGGATTCAGATCACTTTCCAGGCGCTGCAGCATTTAAATCTCTGGGTGGGGGAGGGGATCCATTTTGCCTATTGCACGTGTAGGTAAATGTGTGCTGGCTCCACACGGAAACTCCACCGGAGGTGCTTTTTGTCAGTTCTTTTGCTGAATTGGTTGATAAACCTCCTGATTCTAGGGCATAGCGGTTGACTCGCATGTCCTTAAGAAGAAAAACAATCTTGCATTTAAATACATTACAGGCAGGGTTGTGTTGGAATAAATAAAGGGAGCATACGGCTTTGTGGGGCAGGGCAGCTTCCCCCAGCCTGATGCCCTCTTGATATTTTGGACTGCAACTCAGAAGAAGGGATTGTGAGGAGCTCCAGATGGAGAATGAGCAGCAAAATGGCAAGTGCAGTTCGGTGTAACAACTGTGAAGTGATGCACGTTGGGGCAAAAAGATATTGATTTCACAGCTACGCTCCCAGGGTGGTGACTGACCAGGAATGAAACCTTGGGGTCACAGTACATAACTCAATGAAGATGTCATCCCAGTGTACAACATTTGTGGAAAAGGCATATTCTATGCTAGGGATCATTAAATTAAACTGCCAATATCATCATGCCACTGCAGTATACAAATCTATGGTGTGATCACATTTGGAATGCTATGTACGGTTCTGGTTGTCTCACCTCAAAAAGGATATTGTAGGGTTGGGAAAAGGTTCAGCAAAGGGAAACCAAAATGATCAAGAGGATGGGCGTGACTCCCCTATGAAGAAATGTTTTGGCATTTGAGTCTTTTTAGTTTTAGGGAAAAGGTGAGTAAGAGGCAACATGATGAAAGTTCATAAAATTATTCATGGCTTGGAGAAAGCGGATAGAGCTAAGTTTTTCTCCCTCTTTCATAACACTAGGACTAGGTTGGAAGTCGACCAGGTTACTCATAATGGTTTTATTGTACCTAGAATATTTTTGTATATTTTAATTGATATGTATTAATTATTGTAAGCAGCCTTGGAAATTTTATTGACAGGTGAGGTATAAATTCCTATAAAAAGAAATAAATAATTGTGGTTTTTTCCTACTATTATGAGGCATGCAATGGTATTTTGGTAGCCAATATTTCTAGCCAAACTAAAATATATTGATTTCATTGACTATTTCAGATAACAAGGTAATTCTAGGATCCGTTCCTATTAGGTATCAAAGTATCTTAGCAGAATTTACAAAACATATTGCTGTCACTTCCATATTTAGACACCTCCCCCATCCCACCCCACCCCAGGTGTGTATGAAGCTATTTAGCAAATTTGTGTGTTTGGGCTTTCTTAAGAGTGAAGACATAACTTACCTTTGTTCATTGAACCTGAGTGCCCAAGTCATTCTTGTTGCTAAAGAACTTTAGGAGTGCCCTGCTGAATCAGGCCAAAGTGCTGGGTTCTTAGCATGAATCCCAGGAAACGGCAAGTTCCAAGCAGTCCTGACCAATCAGTTGTTTTCCATGAAATACCTCAGTTTCTCAGCTAGTAATTTTATCACCTGTAGCCAGGACTCTCCTTCACTGGAGGCTTTTAAGTGGAGGTTGTATGACCATCTATAATGGGTGCTTTAGTTGAGATTCCTGCATTGTAGGGGGTTGTACTAGATGACTCTCAGAGGTCCCTCCAAACTCTACAGTTCTATGAATTGTGTCTCAGTCTTAAAGCTAACTTTAAGATCTACCAGCACCTAGCATTCTGTAAATGTATGATAACCTTTGTAGTTATGAGCCCTGTTTACTGTAGGAACTGTTGTCTTCGACAGGCACGCTGTGGTTGCACGCTGTGGTTAATGTTAGCTTATTGTTTGAAACAACCAAAACTGCACAGCCAGAGGAGGAATCAGGAGGGGTGAGAGGCTGCAGGGCTCAAGCAAGATAAAAACAAGGCAAAACACATAAACAACCCTTGCAACACTTCCAACAAATCACAAAGGGCACACATTTTGTATAAAGGTCATTTGTTAATCTGAGGAAGGCAGACAAGGTGAAGAATTTTTAATATCGGAGGTCGCAGGAATGTCTGGGAAGCAAGGCAGCTGGTCTGCAGTTGAAGTCCAGAGTGAACAATAGGAGACCTTTGGTTCTCCTCTCGGAATCTTTTGACTTTGAGACCTGAGTGCATCCTGAAGCTGTCACTTTTATGCCACTGAATATCATTCAACCAATTTATTGTACTATAAAATAATTCGCATATACAGTGGTACCTCAGTTTAAGAACAGTCCGGTTTAAGAACGATGTGGTTTACAAACTCCACAAAACCAGAAATAGTGTCTTGGTTTGAGCACTTTACCTCAGTCTAAGAACAGAATCCGAACGGTGGAAGGGCACTAGCGGCGGTAGGCCTCACTAGGGAAAGCTTGCCTTGGTTTAAGAATGGTTTTGGTTTAAGAATGGACTTCCAGAACAGATTAAGTTTGTAAACCAAGGTACCTCTGTGTATGTGTCTGTGTGTGTTTGTGTGCACGTGTGTGTTTTATACAGAAACAATTGACACAGACTTTCATAAAGAGCACACTAGCAGTAGCTCAGTTTTGAAAGTGTGGAAGCTTACAGGCCAAACTTGCCAGTTCTAAAAGCAGAGGCAGAAATGCAAAGCCAGACCTAGATGGGGTAAAATTGGGCAAGTTGGAGAAAGAAACTTGAAGCAAGGAGGAGTAACAGGTGAGGTGAGGAGATGAAATGGATGGTGACTGGGGCTGTTTGCTGCCAGAAGAGAAACAGAAGTTTCCAGAGGAGGAAGAAGGCTTTTGGGTATTGACTTTGTGAGGCATAGGCATTAGGTAAGGTTCGGGCAAGAATGGAAAGAAAGCTGTGGGAGACTTGGGGGGCATGGCTGGCGAATGGGCAAGTTATATACCAGCAAAAAAGCAGAAGTGCAGATGAGGAAGGAGAAAAGGGCAAAGCAAAGAGCAGATCTCCGAAAGCAAGATTGGGGAAAGGGGGGCTGAGAGTGAGCGAAAGCTGGTAGTCCTGTAGGGGAGAGATTGGAGGCAAGAGGGAAAATATAGAATTTGGCCAGCTAATGGTCCATGCACTCTGGCATTCATCACAGTGTCCCATTGCGCCAGAAGCGGTTTAGTCATGCTGGCCACATGACCTGGAAAGCTGTCTGTGGACAAATGGGAGATGAGCACCACTCCCCATAGTTGCCTTGCACTGGGCTTAACCATCCAGGGGTCCTTTACCTTATCTTTTGCCTTACTTCTGCAAAGATGAAGACTTGGTGGTGGGGCTGAGAAGAGACAAGAAAGGGTTTCCACATAGAATGTTGTTGTTTGTGAAATGAGTGAGGTTTCTTTTCCAAAGGTTCCCAGCTGCTGAGGCAAAAAGCAGTTGTTTTTATGCCCAAGATAAGGGCTTCGTGATGTAAATAGAAGCAAAGACTTGCAATCCATTTTTTCCTGTCTACTCAAACTCCCTGGATTCAGAGATTGTTGTTTCCTTGGTTAAAGGCCTTGGTCCAACAAAAGAAAGGGTAAAATCAACCTGAGTTGCAACCATCCTTTTCTGTTGCTTCTAAGTGGGGGACTTGGTTTTTCAATTTAACAAGCAATTCAAAAGGAGCCACAGGTGTGGGGGCTGAGACAGTGTTGTAGATGCTTCTCCACCAGGCTTATGGTTATGACTCAAGCTGCTCAAATCTCTTTGTATGCCTAGAATTTCAGCTGCCATAATTTGAATCAAGTTGGTCTCATAACAGTGACTATATTAAAAATAATGCACCAGGAGCACTCACGGACTTAAGTAAGGGGCAGCTTCATCAGGGATTGAATCTTGTGAAAAGCAACATGCTTGCTGCAGAATGAATAGACCATTGGTCAGAATAATGGACATACTGTGTGTTTGCATGTAAGTGGGGCGGACAATGCAATGCAGAGGCTCTTGTCCTTCTATTGACAAAGTCGGCCTTGAAGTCTTGCCAGTGAATCCTCTCTGTGAGTTTTCTGTTTTAGCCAGAGGAAGACTTCCTTTGTTTTAGGGAAGAAAAGAATCTGTGTCTTTTCCTATTGCAGTAAATTAAACAGATTCTTATTAGGAGTCCTCCCCTCCTCCCCTAACAGAGTTGTGGGGCCTCTCAGCCTCATATATAACAGCCTGATGATTTGACCCTCTCACTGGTACTTTTGTAACATAAATTGGCACCTCATTGGAGGGTGATTTTAGGAGTTAGCATCCTCTTGGGACCTGGAGCTTAAGGACTACTTTGTAATTCTAATTTATGTTTGCTCAAATGAATTGTTCTCAGGTCCCCCCCCCTCTCAAATTTAAGGTGCTAACTGTGTTCTGGAGACTGTTGTGCAATTGGTGATCAGCTGAGTATGTAGTGCTCATCCCAGTATGGAAATGTCATTGCGTCTTAACTTCTGGGTTTTTCCACATCTGCCTGGAGAGGTTCTCCCTAGCTATTCTAGGCTGCATCAACAGAAGCATTGTGTCCACATCAAGGGAAGGAATAAAAGGTAAAGGTACCCCTGACTTGACCGTTAGCTCCAGTCACGGAAGACTTTGGGGTTGTGCATTCATCTCGCTCTGTATGCTGAGGGAGCTGGCGTTTGTCCACAGACAGCTTCCGGGTCATGTGGCCAGCATGACTTAGGCGCTCCTGGCGAACCAGAGCAGCGCACGGAAACAGCATTTACCTTCCCGCCAGAGCAGTACCTATGCATCTACTTGCATTTTGACATGCTTTCGAACTGCTAGGTTGGCAGGAGCTGCGACCGAACAATGGGAGCTCATCCCGTCGCAGGGATTCGAATTGCCAACCTTCTGGTCAGCAAGTCCTAGGCTCTGTGGTTTAGACCACAGCACCACCCACGTCCCTAAGGAATAGTACTGCTCTATTCTGTCTTGGTCAGATCCCACCTGTTGTACTGTGTCCAGTTCTGGGCACCACAATTTAAAAAGGATATGGACAAGCTGGGACATGTGTGAGGGAGGGTGACTAAGCTGGTAAAAGGTCTGGAAGCCAAGCTTTGTGAGGAAATGTTGAAGCAGATGGGCATGTTTAGCCTGGAAAAGAGGAGACTTAAGAAGAAATATGATAGGCATCTTCAAATATCTCAAGGGCTGTCACATGGAAGATGGAGCAAGCTTGTTTACTCCTGCTCTGGAAGGTAGGACCCAAACCAAAGGATTCAAATTACAAGAAAGGAGATTCTGACTAAACATCATGAAGAACTTTCTGATGGTAAGAGCTGTTTGACAGTGAAATGGACTCCCTTGGAAAGGGTGGATGCAGTGGCGTAGCATGGGTTGTTAGCACCCGGGGCAAGGCAAGTAATTGCGCCCCCTAACCCATGGATTTGCGCCCCCTAACCTGTGGATTTGCGCCCCCTAACCCTAACCCCCAGATGTTGCGCCCGGTGCGGCCGGCCCCCCCTGCACCCCCCACGCCACGCCACTGGGTGGATGTCTGCCATGGATGCTTTAGTTGAGATTCCTGCATTGCAGGGATTTGGACTAGATTCTAGGATTCTGTGATTCTTTGGAGAAGTGTTTCAGGGAGGTGGGCTTGGAATACGGCTGTGGGTCATATTGTTTTGGATGCCATTGGGCAGTTTGAGGTTACCAGTCACTGCTTCCTTCCTGCCTCCTTGTAAAAGGGATGTTTATGAATCTGAGGCTTTGACTACAAAGATTTATAGTGGATTTCTGTTCATGGCACAACTGATACAAAGGGAGAGAAGAAGCCCGTGGAAAGCAGTCTGCTCTTTTTCTTATTGTGATACCCTGGGGTACGACTGGCTTGAGCCATGCGTAGCGACCCTTCATTGTCTATCCTGCAGGAGAGGACTATTTCACACAAGTTCCCTGTTTCTTACAGGAGGGAAAGGGGATTTGCATTGATCAGATGTTGCAACCAAGAATTTGCCTTCTCTGAGGGCTGTTGGAGCATATTGGGGGGCAGGGGGGGTCCCTTCCACCAGGCACCCTTGACCTGAGGCTTCCTCCCTCTTGCTGACCTTTGACAATTCTTCTTTTACATATGTATCATTTTAAAATCCTCCTCTTTCTCTCCAGTTTCAGGGCTTCATTGCAGCAGAACCTTTTCTGGGCCAGCAAGTGGAGAGGGAAAGATTGCCAAGGGATTATTTAAAAGCCTAAGCAGCTGAGGAGGAGGAGGAGGAGGAGGAGGATGAGCCACGGGGACACTGCACTTCCACGTCTGCCAGATGCCAAATTGGAGAGGAAGTTGCAGGGCTGAGCGGGAGCTGCGTCTGCAGACTGAGCGTGTGTGGCGGCAGCGGAGGGCGGAGAGAGCGCCTGGGCCACCCAAGTGGTGTCTGTCCCCGGGCAGCGCTGATCCAGATGTGCAGCTGCCAGCTCAGAGGCGAGGTCCTGGGATGGGAACTGGCAGGAGCTTCCCGTCTGCTGGAGTGGTGGTGCTGAGGGAACGTGGCTCATTAACCCCGAGGATGGAGCTGCTCTGATACTCGGCAAACAGCTGCTTTCTCTTTCTCCGGCTGGGATGCAAAGCCTTGAAATGTGTGTCCAGGAGCAGACGGGACCATGGCGTTCTCCTTTGTATTAGGACAGGCTCTCCCCCTCCTATCAGGAAGGAAAAGTACTCGGGCAGAGTTGGGGACCTAGTTTGCTGGGATAACCTGTGGAAACGGCTCTCTCTTGAGTCAAGCAGTGGACGAGGGCACAGGTTGCTCTTATTTTGCTCTTCTGTGGCCCAAATTCTGTATGCAAAAGGCTTGGGCGGTGCCATAGAGGTTGTGACTGATGTAAGAAGAACCCAAAGAGAGGCTACCTGGGATGGTCTGTTCCAAACACCTGCCTGCGTTTTCATGACTAAGTTGGTCTCTGCAGCACCTGGAGAACTGTGAGGGTTCCCAGAGGAAGCTTTTGAGAAGCCAAACACTTTCTCTGCCAGCTTTTCCCCCTGCCTTTTTTTCTGTTGCAAGAGAGACACAGGCCAAGTGACCCTTCCTGGCCTTCCCTCCCCTCCCATGCCCACCATGAAGTTTTCGCTGCGCTTCTGGTTCCTCTCCACGGCTTTCCTGCTCGTCTTCATCATGTCCCTCCTTTTCACCTACTCCCACCACAGCATCGCCTACCTAGACCCCAATGGGCTGAATGGCATCCACCGGGTGAAGCTTGTTCCAGGCTATGCTGGTATGCAGCGCCTCAGCAAGGAGGGGCTCTTTGTGCGAAGCTGCACCTGTCACAGGTGCATGGTGGACGTGAGTGACTCAGAGTGGTTCGACACCCGCTATGACAGTAACATCTCCCCAGTGTGGACCAAAGAGAACATGGACTTGCCGCTGGATGTCCAGAGGTGGTGGATGGTGAGTTTTTTTGGGACCAGGGACCGAGGGGTGGGGTTTGACATTCCCACTCGTATTACAACCACTTAGGGCAGCAAGACCAGGGCAGCCTGCTAAGTCTAAGCACCGTACAACAAAACTCCCAGCCTCCAAGCTGCTTAGTCTATATCCTGGCAAGGGAAATTAGGCTGGGAGATACTGTCTTAACTAGATGCGGCACAGTTCCTTATTTTGCACAATGATTCTTAAGCATTTTTGGACGAATTTGGCAGCTCTTGGTGTGCATTCTTCAAAATCTGTCTTTACTTACTGGTATATTATGAATGTAGATCTGAACACATGTTTATATCTTTGAGTCATAAGCTGACTTTCATAATCTTGAAACAAAGCTGCAGATTTGAAAATAAACTTTAAAAGTTTACACTAATGTATGAATAATGACCAGCTGCTCATAAAACTATTCTGTTTTTTCCTGTTTTCCTTAACCCTTAACATAACAAGCCAGTTGGATGGCTGGAGCAAACCCCCACATATTTTTCATCTGTTCTTTTAAAGTAGGCACCGCTAAGGTTTTCAGTCCTTGCCATATAGGATCCTTGTAGCTGTCATCCTATAGCTTGCCAAGGCAATGTGGTTTTCTTTTCTTTAATAAATTTTATTTTTGCATTTTCTGTTTTACATAAATGAATGAATGTATTAAATAAACGTATAATCCCTTTTGACTCCCCCCCCCCCGCAATTGTGGATCTTAATGTAATGATTTCCCCCTTCGCATCTCTTTCATAACTCTATTTTTATAAATCCTTTGTCAACCCATAGTTCACATTTTTACTACAAGTCTTCTCTTACTTTGAGGTTTCCATCACTACTGCACCACCTTACCATTGTTTTGAAACTGATTTCAAAATTCTCTTATGCACAAGAGAAGGTCATCCCCTGTTCACCATAAATACTCCCAGACCTGCATTTGAATCTTATTGCTGAGGCCTGGAGCCCAGTTGTGCTTTCAACTCTTTAACCTGCTTGTTTTGCATTCATACTGTGACAATATCTTTTCTATATTAAAAAGCAGGTGCTTATTGTTTTCCTCAGTCTTTTCAAAATCTGTTCTTTCTCCTTATCTCCCTGTGGTTTGTTCAATATCAAATGTTAAGGAGGGGCCATAGCTCAGTGGGAAAGCATCTGCTTTGCATGCAGAAAGTCCTAGGTTCAATCCCCACCACCTCCAGGTGTGTCTGGGAGAGATCCCTGCCCTGAAACCCTGGAAAGCTACCATTGCCAGTCAGTGGATGCAATATAGTGGGCTGAACAAACCAAGGCTCTGACTTTATGTTCTGTGAGTACAGGACAAGTTCAGCATAAAATTAAGTGCATCTGAATCTCTATTTGCTTCAATGGTGTAGATCTATCTACAACTGAGTTCCATCGCTTCCCAACAAGTCACAGTTTATGTGTGTGTATTCTGTTTCATTTCCAAAATCCAAATTGCCCAAAATCAGAATTATGTCAAAATTAAATATCCTTGGAATGGTTATAACCCTTTGCTGTTCAAATATTATCAAATTGTATCCTTGATGTTTGTTTGAGAACCATAGTGGAGATGAGTTGTTGTTCTTGTTCTTGTTCTTGTTGTTCTTGTTGTTACTATTAAACTTTTCTTTGCCACCCTTCACCTGTAATAACAAGCCAAAACAATACCCCTCCACTCCAAATTCAGTTTGGAGTTTTTTTAAAAAAGATTATAATGCAGTTCAAAAAATTAACAAGTTGCTTAGTGGTTCCCATCAAGCTCTCTGGTACTACTACTGGTATAATTTACAGTGCTGTGATTAACCCAGGTGAAGTGCCTAGATATGATCACTGTATAGCAGGGCTTCTCTCCCCAAAGGCCAGATGGAATGCAGTTCCTGGGTTGTCTTAGTGAAGGGATGACTAAAAGTCACATTAAAGCCTCTCCCTAGATCTCTGAAGTTTTAAGAGTGATTTACCTCCCGGCACCCCTCCACCACCCCAAAAATAAAAAATCCTGGGATTTTTTGTTGATTCTTCCTTTTAAGCACCTCTAATGCACCATCAAATTCTGTCCATTCCACATTTTCCATGTCATGACATCATCCAAAAGCCCTTCTTCTGGTACCAGGGCCATTGTGTGGCTAGCAGTTGGCTGCCTTCGGCTCCTTTGGGTGGAAAGGTGGGCTAAAAATGGAATAATCAAACTAATAGTGTGTGCTCAAGTAGCAGCTGACCAAGAGCGCTTTTTGTCAGTTGTACATGGTAATAGGGCTTCCTAGACGTGTGGGTTGTTATCTTGCCTGCAAATCTTAAATATCTATTCTTCAGCATCTGCAGACAATGCCTTGCAATACAGTGGATTCATAAAAGAAAATCACAGAAGCATATTTCATATCAGGGACACAGTGATAACAGCACTGAATACCAGGCCAAACTATCAATCACCTCTGCCTAATCCACTGCAATACAGGGTCAAGTGACAAAGATGGTACAGGCACCATTTCATTGAAAGCTGCTTTGGTTTGCTTTTCTCCTCTGCAGGAGTTTTCCCTTTAGTGCAAGGGGAGGAGAAGCAGAAACCTGCAGTCTAAACAGAGCCATGACTCATGCATGTGTAGGTTGCTTGGCTTTTGCTTCCCTCTGCCGTTTGGGCAGAACCAAGGTTTGTGCCTCTCCGGATGTGTTCTTAGTTTGGGTGTTGGGAAGCAGCAACCAGCTCCAGCCTCTGCCTGGGATAGCCTGCTTCTTCCTCTCCTCTCCTCTCCTTTTGCCCATCCAGCAGCACCATCTGTTTGATGAAAGCTGCAGAGATTTTTGCTGAGTGACTGAGGCTGGATTTGCTGCAGGGGCTGAACTTCTCACCTTCCTTAAAAGGCCCAGATTGGTGCTCTCTTTGTGTAACTGCGAAGAAGAATAAGGAAGCAGCAGGCCAGCTGTTCCTTGCCTCTTGCCTTGCCATCTATCTCTTCCAGGAATGTTTCCTTCACCCTTCCCCAGCCTAGTGTCATCCATTTGTCAGACTAGCTCAGTCGGTGGAGCTAGGGCCATGGGTTTGAGCCCCATATTGAGCAAAATATTCCTGCATTGCAGGGGTTGGACTAGATGGCCCTTGTGGTCCCTTCCAGCTCTACAATTCTATGGTTCTACAGTTTCTACCAGCATGGCTTTGCTGGCTGAGGCTGATGGGAGACGTAGCCCAAAGCATCTAGGTGGGGGTGGGGAGGCACCAGACTGGAGGTGGCTGGTTTGCTCCTGCCAGGAGTAGCTCTCCAGGGTCCTCAGCAGAGAAGGGCTTTTCCTAGTCCTGCTACCTTTTAACTGTGGATTCTGAGGAGCCAGGTGAGGATACCTGGGGGGAAGGCACCATCCATCCTCTTAGCATCTCTGACACTGGGAAGAGGAAGAGGCCATATGCAAGAACCACTTTCTGCCTTCCTGAGGATATGATGAAGAAGATTAGAAGAGATTGGATTTGATATCCCGCTTTATCACTACCAGAAGTAGTCTCAAAGCAGCTAACATTCTCCTTTCCCTTCCTCCCCCACAACAAACACTCTGTGAGGTGAGTGGGGATTAGAGACTTCAAAGAAGTGTGACTAGCCGAAGGTCACTCAGCAGCTGCATGTGGTGGAGCGGAAACTCGAACCTGGTTCACCAGATTACGAGTCTACTGCTCTTAACCACTACACCACACTGGCTCTCAATATGATAGCTGGTTCTTGCTGTATAGTTTGGTCTGTCCCCCTTCGGCCACCTCTGCAGAGGAGAACATTCTTCTTTTTGAATTTAATGTTTTGCAGGTAAACAACCAACCAAACAGAACAGAGCAACAACGCAACCTATTCTTATGTCATCAAGGGAGTCGAAACCATATCTCACCATTTGTTGTCCTCCAGAGATATGTCGCCAGTCCTGGGAATAGTCTTTCATTTCTTGTTTTTAACCAAAGTCAGTTCTCCAAAGATTTAGTGGAGAACTTTCTTAGGGCCTGCTGCAGGAAAGACTGGCCCCCAACCACCCCGCCCCACTGTTTCTTTTGTCCAGCAGAGTGTGGACATGAAGGGCAGAATTCCCAGGACCAAGAAGTACACAGTGCTTCATATTCTTCTTTGGCTTCCTCATATTTCTGAATATACAGCAGCAGGAAATGCCATCTCACACTCTGCTTTTCAGCCTCCCATCTCTTGTAACACATCTCCCCCACTCCCCATTTCTTTATTTTTCAGTTTCAAAAAACACATATAACAAGCAATCCCCATATAACCCCCAAGAAACATTCCGTGAATATACAAAGTAAATGCTACAGTCAAACAATAAGCAGGTTAGTACAATAGTTCATGGTTGATTATGGCAGTTAAGGGTCTTCTACTCTCTGTTTTAACAGATTGTTCCAGAGTAAGGCATGGGTAGATGGTGGTGGGTGGACAACATTGTCCTTTCCGCTGTACTGGATTAAACATCCACCTTACAGTTCCTCTTGTCTTTGTCTTCCTGAGCACTCTAAGATGTTTCTCCATGAAGGCTATATCCCATAGTCTATACCACCATGCCTCCAGAGTTAAGTTAGTAACTGTTTTCTAATATTGTCTAACTGTATTTCTAGCTGCAGACATGAAAAAGATTAGTAGTAGGTTCTTAAATAATTCTTATGGTCATCTGTAAACAGATAGCCTTGGATCAGGTTGTATCACCTGTCCTGTAATAGAAGAAACTTCTTCAAAGACTAATTTCCAAAACAATTGGAAAACAGGTATGCATTCACACCACATATTGCAACACACCTTGACTCCTGGGGAAAGAGCCTTGTTAATACCCTGGATTGGATCTTTATGTTATATTTGTATGTTGCTTTTTCCCAAATATGCTTGAGCTAGTGCAGCAGCTCATATCAATCGTAGCCCCATCAAATTTCATTTTGTCAGAATAAAAAAAGCAATACAATATATATCTGAAATTCATAAAAGAAAATCACAGAAGCATATTTCATATCAGGGACACAGTGATAACAGCACTGAATACCAGGCCAAACTATCAATCACCTCTGCCTAATCCAATACAATTTGTATCACAAGAAGCGAATAATATTATTGTAAAGGGATCTCTGCTCTCTCTCAAGTCTTCAGCTCCTAGGATATGTTTGGGGGAAGCTTTGGTGTTAAGCTGGTCCGAGTCCAGTTTCAGAGCAAGCTGTAAATGTAGACAAAGAGCAGCATGTCCTTCTTCTACTCCCATGTGTGAAGGATTTAGTATACCACACTAACTAACAGCTTGCTGCTTGGTGTCTGTGGGGTGTTCACTTTGGCCTCATGTTGCCCTCTCTTTTCCCTGCAGATGCTACAGCCACAGTTCAAGTCCCACAACCTGAATGAAGTCTTGGGGAAGCTCTTCCAGATTGTCCCTGGAGAGAACCCATACAGCTCCCAGAACTCTCAGCCGTGCCGCCGCTGTGCTGTGGTTGGCAACTCGGGCAACTTGCAAGGCTCTGGTTATGGCAGGGAAATCAATGGGCATGACTTCATCATGAGGTGAGTGACTGGGAGGGCCAGATCCCTCTGTCTCTTGGGCTGTCTTCTCTCCATCATTGCTGAGCTGGCTCTTGCATCAGAGAACAGCAGCCTGGCAAACATTGGGGACGAAAAATCAGCAGCAACAGCTGGCGCTGCCTGCCTCTTCCACTCCAGTTTCTCTCCCTGCTGAGGAAGGAGGTTTGACTCCCAGCCTCTCTTGCCTGGCCAAGTTGCCATCTGACTTCTTGGCGATTCTCTGTTGGTCACCTTCAGCTACCCCACCAGCTGTCCAAGGAACAGATACCTGTGCTTGCGTTTAGTTGCTGCTGCCTGAAAGTTTCCAGAAGCTCTGCCGGCATTTGGGGTCTGTCACTCTGCAGACATTGCTTTGCAGTTTGAAATAATATGAACTTGTATCTGAGTTGGCTCAAAACAGGCCTAAAGTGGCTGAAACTGTGTCCCAGAGAAAGGCCTGGAAAGTTGGCATTTCAACTGGAAGCAAAAAAAATAAAATAAACATTGATGAACTTGGACAAGCTTGGACCCCAACTTTGTTAGTGTCTTGACTCCTCGTCATTGTTTCTGGTGGCTGCTCTTGAGTCCCCTGAACTGGGTAGTTTTCCCTTGAATGCATGAGGTGGGATGACCTTCTATCACTCTGACAGGATTGCCTGCAGTGCAGAGTCAGTTCAGGTGTTTGGCTGCAGGTCAATATGGCATTTGGATGGTGTTGTTAAGTGGACACTTGCTTAATCGTATTCGTTCCTCCACCTCTTCTCTCCCGCTTTCCCTTCAACTCCCCGCTCCTTTCATCTCATGGCTTCCTGCAGTTGTAGCCCTGTAGGTAGGGGGCTCTTGTGTTCTTGTACAGCACCTAGCACATATGAGATGCTTTTGCAAATAACACATAAGTGGTGTGGGGAACCAGAGTTCTCATTCTGAATCCAGCTGACTGTGGAAGAGCGGTGCCTTAGCAGTGTCTGCCCCACCACAGCACCCCTTTCTGGATCCTTTTTTGTCACTATAAGAGCTTCATCCTTCATCACCTTGCTGCCATCTAGTGGCAGATCTCTCAAAAGGCAGCTTGAGGTGAAGCATGCTGCAGGTTCCCGGATGGACAGGGTTGCCAGCTGCCTGCTCTGGAATCGCATCCTGGATGGGACTTGGCTGCCTCCTGTGAAACAATGCAGCCTCTCCTTTCTCAGTGAAGCAAAACCCAGGGGTCTTGCTTCTTGGTTACTATAACTGGGCCTAATGTTGTGATTTTGCCTAACTTGGCAACTGGTGGGTGATCCAGGACTGAGCTGAAAAACTTTGCTCCCTCCAGTGTTTGTCGGAGATGGGTGAGGCTGAGTTCTGTCACTGTTTGCATTTGAGGAGAGCTAGAGTCAACAGTGTGGTTGTTTTCATCAGAATTGCCCCAAACTATAGGGCTGCAGCTATTGGGATGGGTAGGATAACCGGTAGCTGCATCTGCTGTTGCAGAATATTTGGGCTTCAAGGCGATGCAAAGGAGCCACCATTTATAGTTATAAATAGTTATAAAGGCACTGTGATTCTACACTGTATGCTGTTATCACTGCAATGTAAAAACTGTGCAAGTACCCCCCACCCTCAAAAGAATATTTTTGTGTTCAGAGGCTAGGTTGAGCTGCAACACACACACACACACACACACACACACACCTTTTTGTAATAATGAAATGCTCCAGACCACAACTTCAGCAAATGATTCTCCCTGATCCCCTATTCTTTCCTTGCAGAATGAACCAGGCCCCTACAGTGGGCTTTGAGGCAGATGTTGGGAGTAGGACTACCCATCACTTCATGTACCCAGAAAGTGCCAAGAACCTGCCGGCCAACGTTAGCTTTGTTCTCGTGCCCTTCAAAGCCCTGGACCTGCTGTGGATGGCAAGCGCCTTGTCGACGGGCCAGATCCGATTGTATGTATCCTGCATTGCAGGGGGTTAAGCTTGGAAGACCCTTTGGATACCTTCCAACTCCACAATTCCATGATTTATCCCACCCAGTGAGGCAAAGAAGGACAGCCCTGGCCAACAGGCACCGTGTCATTGCCTGGGGATGAGTAATTCCCATTCCTGTGCCTTCAACCCTTTCTGGACCTTTTCCAAAAGATTGCTGTCTTGGGTAGCATGCTGGTCCCACCCATTATTATTTTTCAGTGTATGGCTAAAGGTTTGAAAGCAAAAAGTTGCTTCCAGGGTGTAAGCAGAATAGACAGTCCACATTTGAATGTTGTACACAAAATGAGGGGTGTAACATACATAAAGGTAAACGCCAGAGCTGCTTGGTTCAATTTCAGGTTGGTCCAGCCCCCAGATTTTCACGGTGGTGTTCCTTGTGTCTGTTGGCCCCTCCATGCCCCTCTCTTCCTTTAAGAGTTAATAGGGAGAAGTGACAGAAAGAGGGAAGGGAGGGCAGAGGGAGCAATTGAGCAGAACATCTTTTTAGCAAGAGGGGGGCAAGGAGCATCTCATTCTCATTCTTTCTCCCTTCTGCTTCTTTCATAGCACTTATGCGCCCGTGAAGCCTTTCCTTCGGGTGGACAAAGACAAGGTAAGTCTGGCCCTCATGGAGGAGAGGGAAGGGATGCTCTGAAAATATCCATGTTGGCTTCATCTGCATGGCTATTTTCTAAATTCTCATCTCTCTTAAGATAACTTGAGAAGCAAGTTTTTTGGTTTTTTTGGGTTGGTTGGTTCTGCTAAAAATACAATCAGTTCTTGAATACTATATGCATTACTATAAACATACACACTACAGGTTTCCTAAGGCAATCAGATACATTTTTTAAAATGGAAGTCGCTCTGCACCACGAAGGGCAACTGAGCATCAAGCAACAGCAATGAGTCCAGGATTGCCCCCAAGCTGCTTATGCACTCCTTCAGAGAGTGTGTAACCCCATCAAGAGCAGGCAACTTCCCAGCCACCCGGTCCAGGGAACCACCCACTAGCAGTGCCTCGGTTTTTTCCTCTGGGCTGTGTGGACTGAGACTGAAATACTCAATGGCCATGTGGAGGGGCTTACCACAGAGAAAGCCCTGCCTGTTGTGATGTTGTCTTCCGTGATTTGTGTCCTTAGGTTCAAATCTACAACCCAGCTTTCTTCAAATACATCCATGACCGATGGACAGAGCACCACGGACGCTACCCTTCCACGGGGATGCTGGTCCTGTTCTTTGCCTTGCACGTTTGTGATGAGGTGGGTTCTTAAGTAGCTGAAGAGGCTTCCAGCCTGTAAAGAGAGATTTCATGTTGCAGAGAGAGGGCCAGCACCTAGGAATTTGGCAGGCTCCTCTAGTCGATTTAACAGGCTGGATGCAAGAGTGTGTGTGTGTGTGTGTGTGTGTGTGTGTGTGCACACGTGTGCCTGTGTGTGTTTTAGAGGGGAGGCGAGGGAGACAGAATGTAAAAAGGTGGATCACAGTTCCCGACCACTCAGCACAGAGATTCAACACAAGGCAGGACCATGGACAGGTCTGCTAGTTTTACTTAATTATACGGTAGTACATTAATTAACACACACACACACACACACACACACACACACACACACACACTTTTGGACATAATAGTAAAATATGCTGTAAATTGAGAGATAGAAGAGATTATAACCAAACAACCTGATGGGGACCAACAATGCCAGGTGTCTTCTATGGCTGTGTCCACACTGGGACGTCTGTGTGTATGTGGGTTGCTCTTTCCATGTGTGCATCTGTGCAACTTCATCCACACATGGACGCATTTAAATTTATGTGTCCAAAATCTGTATTAGTATTTCCCATCCACACTAGTTGACAGTGTTGATGGATAGTATTTATGCTCCATGTTGCAGTCCTCTCCCACCTAATGTTCTGTAAACATGAGGCCCATTGTGGGCGTGTGCACAGGTAATCATAAAGAGTGTGGGGGGGAATCAGTTTATTGTTGAAATACAAGTTTCCTAATATGCCAGATTTGCACAAAAGAGCAGTGAAAAAACGAATGTGCCCATTTGGCTCCAAGCTGTGCAAGTGTGTGGAGCCTCTCCCATGAAAGGCCTACCACTTCCTCTCCTCCCATTATTATTATTACTACTGTATTATTATTATTTGAATTTATATACTGCCCTATACCCGGAGGTCTCAGGGCATTTCACAGAATAAAATCAAGACATAAAACCACAAAACACACACACAAGAAAACAACCCAATTGCCCCTCCCCAAAAAACCACACTTTAAAAGGGCATAGGATGTAAATCAGATTAACCAAAGGCCTGATTGAAAAGGAACATCTTTGCCTGGCACTTAAAGGTGTATAATGATACGGTGAAGCCAGCTTTGCAAAGTCTGGTAGTCATTTACACCTACAGTGCCCCCTGCCACTCCATTGTCTCTTAGTGGGTAATCCCACTGAGTTTCACTTCAGTGGATGTTTCCCTTGCTGACAAGGCCCCTCTCTTTTCTTTCCCTGGCTGTAGGTGAACGTTTTTGGGTTTGGGGCAGACAGCCGTGGCAACTGGCACCATTACTGGGAAAACAATCGCTATGCAGGAGAGTTCCGGAAAACTGGGGTGCATGATGCTGATTTTGAAGCCCATATCCTTGATATTCTGGAGAAGACAAACAAGATTGATGTTTATCGTGGCAACTGACCCCTCCAGGCTGCTGTGTTCAAGCACTGACTTGGTGACTGGCCTGCAGGGGATGATGGGCCAGGTAGTGTGGCCAGCTACCTGTTGGGCCTGGGCAGAGCACTGGGTTTCCCCTGAACCCATCAAGATGGACCCTGGGAAACCTTTGCCCCAGGGAGGCCCCAGCGAGCAAATGAGGTACACTGTTTCTGAAAGCAATTGCAGCAGAAAGATACTCTCAAAGGGGAGTGAAGGAAGTGTGTGTGTTTTGTTGGTCCTCTCCCCTCAAATCAAGAGGATTTTCAAATAGAACAAATCAAGTTTTGAGGATGTAGCACAGGCTTTCCACCTGGTGGCTAAAAGGAGATACATTGCTGCACATTTTCTTTCTTTGAAGTAGGAAGGGGTGCACAAAAGCAGCCAATGGAGGAGGAAATCTACCTGGTGGCTGGCCAGGTTTGGCTGTTCTTTGACCAGTTCTCAGAGGTCTGCCCTTCTGAGTCTGCTGGGAAGCCTGGACACTGACTGGTTGCTAAGAGCGAGGCACTGCAAGGCTGCCTTTGAAGCTGCAACTGGAAGAAGCCTTTACAATCCAGAGAGACTCCGCTGTTGTTATTTTTTTAAAAAGCAAATGAACAATCAACTTTCCTTTGCTAAATGGCACTTCTCGCTTCCCACTTTTGTCCAGGGAAGATCCTTTTTTGTGTGTCTTCATTTTGTACAATCAGGTTTAAAATGCAGAGAGCAGCTGGATTGTATTTGTTGTTGTTACAATCAAGTAAACTCTGGAAGATTTTGCTTGCGGAAGCCAAGTCTGGGAGGTGCGGCGCCTACGGAAGACTCTGTCGTTCAGCACCCTGACTCTGGCAGGTGATTATGGACACAGGCGGTTTTCAGGGAGCCGGTGCCACTTGGGACAGGCACCGCCCCCTTGTGCTAGAAACTAAGGGGAACCCATGCCAAAGCCACCCGAGTTTCAGACCCGGTGACTTCTACCTTTCTCTACCATTCATGTCTGTAATCAAGTTGGCCGCCATCTTGGGTTTGGGTGAGCAGGAGGTTCCCTCTCATGGCAAACCGTTTCTTGTGATCTCAGAGCAGGGTGCCTGCATGTGTTTGCCTACTCTACCTCCACCTTTCTGCCCCACCCTTTTACTCAAATTGTTTCAATGACGGGGGGGGGGGGAGCCAAGGAGGTGGCCCCCAGTCTGAAAGGACTGGCCAGCTGCCTCCAGATAGTCCGGACCTTGACTGAAAGAACTGCTTGCTGCCCAAAACTCCACCAAGTCTCCCTGCCATTGGACTGATTTGTGTAGCTAAGTCCCTTGCAGCAGAGAGAGGGAGGGAGGGAGAGAGGTGGTTTGGAAGGGTGGAAGAGCACCAGGCTGCATTGTTGGAGGGTAGCAAGCTAGCTGAGGGCAGAGTAGGAGGAGCTAATTTCCTTCTTGTTGAGTTTGCTCACTTGCCCTAGAAGCTAGGCTGGTGAAAAGCAATGTAGCATGTGGAGAGCTGCCTAGTTTTAGGGTTTGTTTGTTTCCCTTTTCTCAGAATCATATTCAGATGCAGCAGGGGTTCCTGCTGGTGAGCAGAAAGTCAGGGGGCGGGTGAGCCATGCTACTCAGGAACATGTCCTTCATGAAAGGAATCTGGTGTTTGCGTCAGCTACCTTTGGGCAATTGAAGAGGACTGGCTGTCTAGACCTAATGTTTTCCATTCCTGAAGGCTTCCAGGATTTAACCAACACAGGTATTGCACACAGGTATTATTTAATGTTTTGCTGTTGGGCCGTGGGTGAGTTCTGCTGAAATGTTTTATAACCACTGAAAGGAGCAGGCAGACTTGTCCTTTGAAACGAGCCCTGTGGCATCCTCACTTCGCACTGTCCATGGGTTTGCACTGGCCTCGCCTTTTAGTTGGGGGCAGGAGGCTTAGGAAGTTGGGCTACATTACATTTCTTGACCTTGGAAGGGAGGAGAGCAGGGGCGAAGGCAAAGCTAAAGGACTTCTCTCTTGTTTGGGCATCAGGCATTTGTGGGTATGCAGGCCAAGACCCCAGGCACCAGCCCTCCCTTTTCTCTGCCCTTCAAAACTGCAATCATGCCAAACAGTATTGAATAAGTATTTCTTTAAAAAGAAAAAAAGATGAATTGTGTAGGAGGGAGCAGCCCTAAAGGGGACCAATCCTGACTCCTTGTGGCAACAGTGACTTAACTGCACAGCCTAGAAAACCCTGTTTCTTCTCTTTCCTCCTGTACCTCCCCCACCCTGTTTACATGCCTCTCTAGAGGGTTGTGTGTGTTGAGGGAGTAGAGCACATTAGAGACCAGAGAGATGTTCTTTGTTTGAACCGCAAAGTCTTCTGTTAATGAGCTTCTGCTGCCATCCGGATGCTGAGAGGCAGCAGGACTGGCCAGGCTCACTGTGCAGCCTCCCAGCTGCTGTGTATGGTCAGAGTAAAAGGGAGCGAGTCTGTCTCTAGAAGAGCATCGACCAGGCATGTACTTCTAGGGGGGCAGCCATCCAAGCACCACCCTCTAGGGGGTTGAGACTCCTCCAAGCCAATACTGCCTCATGCTGCTGTGGCTGAGAGTCCAAAACCCCTGGAAGGCACATCTGGTTGGGCATCTGGAGCCTCCCTCCTGCCAGCTGGCTGAGGGAGCAGGTGGTCCACCTGTTCTTTTTTCTTCTTTCCAATACTTTCCTAAAATCTCTGGGCACTTTTTTGGCAGGTGGGGTGGGGGATAAATTTTGAGCATCAAAGAGTGCCTTGACTTGCCCTGCTGGCTCCCTTGGACTCTTTCCACTCCCTGGTGGTTTTGTCTGCTATGTGCTTGCCTTTTTCCCTCTGTCTCTCCCTTCCTGCTGTTCTGTGTATGTGTGGAGAGGTTTTGCCTGAGCGAAAGAGCCAGCTTGGAACAAGGCTGGCCCCTGCCTGGCTCTCAGCAGCACCTGCATGGCTGCTTTCTGCTGGGGGTGATGGGACAATTTTTCCAGGCCACTCCACCCCTGGGCCTTCAGAGCAGCAAATATTCCTTATCTCACTCTGTCACTTGGAAATGGAAATCTTCCCCACCCCTCCCCTCTGCCTCTTTTGTAAATGGGTTGCAATTATTCCTGCTGAATGGCTTGAAAGAATCTCTTCTGCCTCTTCAGCAGCCTGGTCACTTAATGCCTGCAGGAGACATATCTGGTAGGTTGTGATGGGTGACTATATCCAGGTAGAACTTGTACGGCAGAGCATGAATTGCGTGGCGAGTTCCCGCCCCCCACCAGGACAAATAAAGACACGAGACACCATAATTTAAGGTTAATTGGGCGAATTAGGCCACAACTTTATTGAATTCAGGAATGAGAGGCATTGGCTTAGGCATTGGTCCTATCGACTATCCGGCTGCAGCCCATTTGCTGGAGACACAGGGAAGGGTTAACACTATATCGGGGGAGTCTCCTGCCGAGGCACGTCGACTAGGAGCTCCCCCGGGTCACCGCTCGGGGGTGTGCCTTTGGCCCACACCTCCATAGGCTTCGGACAGGGCCACACCCCCTGGAGTCCTTTAACGGACCACCCTTCGCTCACTGGGGGGAGGTGATGGCGTTCCTCCCCCCCCCACATCCTCTTAACCCCTTCTTACCAATGCCTACCGCCCACACATCCTCTTAACCCCTTCTTACCAATGCCTACCGCCAATGCCGAAGAGTTGCTACGAGGTAGGCGAAAAACCAAAAGGCTACAAGTTGCCAATTGGGAAAAATTCCTACCATGCCCCTTGCGGCGACAGACCGAAGTCCATAGCAAAGTCAAAGACCTACCTAAAGCCTACCTAAAGGGAGGGAGGGTGGGAAAACGTGAGGGCTAGCCGGCGAAAAGAGGGCGAGCCCCCTCTGCGCCGGCCCTAAATAGGGCAGGCCACGCCCCCCCAGCCAGCCGATTGGCTGGCTGGGGGGGCAGACCCGGCCAGGATTCCCCTGTTCTCGCGGGGGCTGAAACCAGCCCCCGCTCACGAGGGGGTGGGCGTGAAGCCCGCAACCCCACCTCCTGGGCAGGCCGGAAGTGGCTATGTTGTGCAACCTTGGCCAGATTCTGCCTTACCGCCTGCCTTCTCCTTGGGACCATCTCTGTTCCAAAGAGAAAAGCTCCTCCCTAGGGAGGGCTCTGCTTCCTACATTGCCGACAGTGAGCTGCGGACTGGCAGGAACAGAGTTCTGGTTGTGTAAGTGGCCAAATGAATGTTCTCAGTTTGCAAAGATTCTTTAAGATGCTCTTGCTGGGCATCTCTGTTGGCTGAACCCAGGTTTCCCCCCCACACACACACACCTTCAGTGAGGTAATTTCCACTTGACTTTGGTTTTGCCACCTGGTCAAAGAGTCCTGCATCTCTAAGCCACCCTCCCCTGGCTCCTACAAATGAGCTGCCAGCTGGACACATGGCCAGCCCATCCATAGGATAAGGCAAATGGTTGTTCCTGGTGGATCATTTGCAAGGGAGCTTCCCACTGCTGCTGTGACATGATTCCTTTCTCCACAGTAGCTGACCTTCAGTCCCCAGCCAGCAATTTTGCTGAATAACTGGGGGGGGGGGTTGGAACTTTAGAACTGCATGGAACAAACCTCTGCCCTTTCAGAGTTGCCAGTGGCTGAGTTGGACGACGTATGCGGTGGCTGCTGGCAAACCCCAGGACGATTTCTCAAACCAGCAAAATGGTCTGAATAGAGGTTGCAGGTGTGAGAGGTGTGCCCCATGCGTCTCAAGGGAAGGAAAAGTCTGGAGGAGGTCTGGTGCTTTCCCCAGAGTGATCAGAAGGACTCCTGCTTAACTCCCCCTTCTGCTTCCTGAGCTCCACAGACTGGGGTAGACTTGGAGGCCTGGACCATCCGCTCCCACCCATGGTCCAAGCCCCAAGACTTCCTTTCTCCTCCTCTGAATGAAAGTTCTGCCTGCCTCCCCATCCCTTCTGCCTTGGGCTGCCTCTGTAGACAAATCTCTTATAAGCAGCTACTTATAAACTAAGGAAATTATGGATCCAAAGCTGTTTACCCTCCTTTTCTAGCCTACACTTCACTTTATCAGTATTACATGCACTTCTGCTGCCTCCGTTTGTACTTTTTGACTTCACATGCCACAGTTGGAAGAAACTGGATTTATTTTGTGTTCTGTTGTACAAAATAAAATCTGTACCTTTTTCCTTCTGCTGATTTCTGCAGTGGCTGTGTGGGTGGAGCTTTTTTCTTTTCCTTTCTGTGTTTGTGTTTCTGGCCCCCTAAGCATCTCCCAACCCAGGTTATTGTTGCATTCTGAAGGTAAAGGAAGGACTTGGCCAGCAAGACTCTGGGAGGAAGGGCACATAATAATCTGCCACACCCTGGCCCAGGTCCCTTTTATTAACAAAAGAACTTTTAACACAGCATTTGTAAGAACCAATCAGATTTCCTCTGAGCATTTCAAAAAATCCCCATGTGGGACAAAGTCAGATGAGAGAAATCCTTTTAACTACAAAGAAATTATTTCCTACTTGAGCATGCATACATGGTTAAGCTAAATGAACAAGAACCAAGGAGGAATGCATTTAGGAAACCCTTACCATCCCCAGGTATACTCTGTTCCTGGCCATTAAGATCTATCTAAAGATTAACAAAAGCTATATCAAAGCTGCCTCCTTAGCATTATGACCAGGACGCCTGGTGAAGCAACTGGTCTGTGTACAGATTTGTCAAGCCTAGAGAAAATGGGCAGAGATGCAGAGGCTTGTGGGATTATTTCTTAATGTGAAATGATTCCAGCCCAGTCAAAGCAATGCTTTCATCGCTGACACAATGGCTTGCTTCATTTTTTCATAATTCCTCATAGCAATCCCACGTGACCACTACAGGTTATCAACCATCACCTGGGGGTAGGGAGCAGCCAGGCAGCCTCTCAGGTTGCACTTGGTGAGCTGGCATTCATCTTCATGGATGAAGGTGGTGATGGTGGAGCAGAAGTCATTAAAAAAAACCCCACACATTTCCTAATCTTGGAACTGCATTCCAGAATTGTCTCTTAATAGATACTGCTGGATCCAGAGATATAAGAAGTATTAGAATTGGCTTATTTCATGTATTTTCCTTAAATTTGAACTGACTTTTATATTGAAACACAGAATGTAATTCTGCAATCTCAGCTCTTGTTTGTGACTTCCTGGCTCCAATGGTTTGGTATAATGAGCCCCCCCACCCACACTTGGGCCCCATTTGCACTACACATTTAAAGCACTATGCTGCCACTTCAAACAATCCTAGCTTCCCCCAAAGAATCCTGGGAACTGGAGTTTGTTAAGGGTGCTGACAGTTGCAAGGAAACCCCTAGTCCCCTCCCAGAGGTACAGTTCCCAGAGCACCCTGGGAAGACCCTGCAGCCTCTTCAAGAGAGCCCTACAGTTGCCACCAAGGATTGGCATATTCTTCATAGATGCATTTACCACCTCAGGCCTTCTGTGGGCATACAGTGCCAAGGACAGGGTCTCACTGATGAGACAACCCCCCTGTTCTCGTTGAGAGTCGGGGTGCCACTTTCCCTCCACACAATGGGGGTTTTCTAGGCTTAGTTTCTCCTGCCTCAGGTGAAATTTTTGAATGATGCTCTGAGAGGTCCCTGGACAAAAGAGGAGCCTTTGAAGAATAACACATTTCTTCCACCACAATAAATCTTCCTGAGTTTCAGGTGCCACAAGATTCTATTTAGGGTGTGTATTTAACATTATTGTGCACTTCTTGGTGTTCTAGCATGTATGAATGGGACTTTTAAAAATTGTTTTCAGAATTAGATATAGTTACCTGGCTTTAAGGCTTAAGAACTTCAGCCGTCTCTGGTCTAGGTCAAGATTTTACCAGTTTTGGGGGGCCCCTTTCTATAGATGAGAGGTTGGGCAGTTTTGTAGCTGGCTTTAGCAGTTTGCTAGCGAAGGAGACAGCACCCAGAAGGTCAACAAACTACTACCAAAGTCTAATCCAAGAGCTCCTTTTATTGCTTTGCACACTGAGTAGCTGAAGAGCCCAAACTGTGGCTCTTCCCATCTCCTGTGTGAATCTGGCATCCCCCTCAGGACTTCTGGAAGGCCCTCATCTTCTGCCTTTGCATCCTCTTCCTCACCAAGGGACAGTTTGTCCTTCCCAGTCTAAAAAGGTTCCGTTGTCCTGGTCAGAGAGGCGGGAAAGCACTTGGATGATCCCTCTTGTGCTGGAGGCCACACTCAAGACTCCCTGGAACAAAAAAGCGACATCATGCTGCATTATTAAGTGGCCAAAAGCTGCCATCTGTTCTACCAGCAGCTCCACAGAGGTTCCTGGCATTCGCAGAAGCAAGGCTGGCACCTCCTGGGGACATGCCTGCTGCAAAAATCTGACAAAGCAGCCTTCCTTCAGGAGTGCCAGCCCATTGCCCTGTGCATGCTGAAGTAGCCTTGCCAGGCAAGGGACGAGGCAAAGGATGTGGGGGTGAAGGGCTGCAAATGGGATTTGGGGGGGGGGGAGCTGAAGGCTGGGGTGTGGCACCACACCAGCCTGGGTGGAGGGCATGGAATTATTGAGACAGGTGGAAGGAGGCGCCTTGGGAAATTGTGGTGTGCCCCCCTCCCCCCAAAAATGCAAGCTAAACTTTGCTTCAAGGTATAAAATGAGCCCAATTTCACAATTTCAGCCTCCCTCTCTCTGCTTGGGAACTGGTAGGAGGCCGTGCCGCACCACTGCTTCTCAGAAAGAAGAAGCTATGTTTCACCCTTGGCTCTTACAGCTCCTTCCTCTGATACATGAACTTGCCTAGTGGGGCTGGGAGAGACCCTGCCGTACATTTCCATGGGGCTGCAACACAGCCCAGCTCCCCTTGGTCACAATGGCTCCCAGAGCTCTCGCAAAACAGCCCAACTCTACATGGTTCCCTGCTTGTGTTCCTGGTGGGGCAGAGGAAGAGGGCAACTGGCAGCCCTTTTGGCCTTGTTTCATGTGGAAAGGAAAAGCCCCACCTACTCCTGGTTCTGGCTCTGCCCAGTACCACCCACTGGCTCCTGACAGATGACTCTATGGGAAAGTGGCCTTCAACAAGGAAACCCCCTCCTACTTGCCTCCTTCCTGAGTCATGGGATGCCTCCACCCTCCCCTGCTTTATGCTGCCTATGGGTGTTAACCAGATGCTTCTGGTTGGGCAGCATTTCTTAGCCCATCCATAGGTGTCAACAGCAGCTACAGATGATGTGAAGGAGCACACCAAGGAAACCAGGGGATCCAGCTCCTTGATTGCATTAATGATGAACCTGAATTTTTGTTCAACTCTCACCTCAGCCTCATCCCATGGAGACATTTGCATCTTGGAATCTGACCAGCAGGCCCCAAAACGCTGTCATTGGGGGGGGGGGTCCACTCAAAAGGTGCTCAGAGGGAACTGCTGCATGGAAACCTTGCAGACTGCGTTTCCCCTGCTGCCGTTGACCTGGATGAGGCTGACCTCATCTGTGACCTCCTGCCAGTGACTGTGCAGTCCAGGAAAGTAAGGATGATCATGTGTGGGTGCTGCTCTCGCTTATTTAATATTCCCTAAGTGCCTCTTTCCAAGCTCCCACAACAGCTTAACTGGTCTGTATGTGAAAGCTTGTGCCTTTTTCATCCCATGGGTACACAAGCCTTCCCCTGAGGGTTGTAGAATTCACTCCCCTCCCCTTTCTGTGCATCCTCTCTGTGACTAAGGTAGCGAAGTCCAGGAGGGTCTGACCTCCCTGCAGGCACATCAAAATCCACCCTATATCGTTGCTCAGAAGTGGGCCCTGAGGATTCTTCTTTGGAGGTGGTCAGGCTGAAATCCACAGTGCCATGTGCCCCCCCCATTCCATTATCACTTGGGCTGGTGCCTACCTGCTCTACTCCAAGGTGGGTCTTCACTCCTCCAGGGTGGATAGAGACACACAGGATCCCATAGGGGCCATACCCGAGAGACTGGCAGCGCGTCAGCATGTTCAGAGCTGCCTGCAGAAGCAGAAGCACAGTCAGTTGGGGCAGGAGAGTTGGGACCTATTGGTTCAAGGGATGCCTAGCCAAGTGTGAGGCTGCAAGAGGGGGTTACATTGTTGCCTGCTTTCATGCCCTGGCTGGACCCAGCCATCTACAAGCATCTTGTGGCTCTCAGGCCATGGAGCGCCTATCCCATCAGTGCCTGACAGAACCATCCATGGCCTGGAAGGGCGGTTGGGCAGCTCTGGAGGAGATTTGTAGTCAAATCCAATAATACATATGCTTGCTGGTTTGCATGGGGAGGGGTTAAGACCATAGAGCTGTATTGCTGATAATCCAACTCAGTCCATAGAAACATAATTGGTAGAGAAGACTCTCTGTTGTGTCATTTCCTCTCCTCTCTTAGGAGGGAAGAAGCAAAAGAAGTATTTTCTGTCCTCTCCCCCTCCTCACTCACTCTCTCTTCAACCAGCCATGAAGGGGGACCTGTCTCTGATCACTCCTGAGGCTGTAAACACAAGTATTTTACCTGCCTTTGGTTCTAATGCTTTTGCTGCTATGGATGAATGCTTGACTGTGAGTAAAATATGTTTCAAACTGCCTTTTCAGTCTGTAGCCAGTTTCTTTGATAAACGTGGTAACTGTTATAAGAATTTTAAGGTCTTACATATATAAAATAAATGTTCATAAATGTACCAAGCAAACACACACACCACATGTCTGAAGCCCACAGAAAAAGTCATGAAACCATTTTGTCCCTCCCAAATTGACCTCAGATATTTCTCTGCAAGGTCAAAGGAAATGGGAAACCTCCCCATAGTCTATTTGCTCACAAATCCTCTCTTAAGGGCATATTTAAGATATGAATAGGGTGAGCTTGTGACCTGGATTCAGGAATTAAGTAGCTATCACCACAAAAGAATAGCCAGGCTCTCCAGGTAAACCCATTAGCAGCCAGGTAAACCCATCAACAGGTTTCCTGCCAGCACCTTCTCTATGACGTATTGGGTTTGGTCTTGGGCTACACCCTTCCTGTGATGTATCTATGATGTTTCTGGGGGTGGTCTTGAGCTCCAGGGTGGGGAATTTCAAAAGTAGGAGTTCTTGGTCCCTCCTGCCTCCAGCATGTGGTTGTGAGCACCCTGTTGCAACAGTTAATAAAGATCAGGCTTACTAGCTGCTTTGCTTCTCAATAGTCTCTGGTTGGCCTCTGTTATTTTCTCCTACCAATAGAGAACCTACAAAAGGTCTCTATATGGGCTCTTGGGTACCCCATAAGGAAAAAGGAGCCGTTTTTTCTTATAACAATTTGGCGAGCCAGGCAGGAGTTTCAGTTGCCCAGATTCTGGGGGCGAGGAAGGACTGGTGATCCAGCGCGCACCAGGCCATTTGCCAAGAGGAGTCACCAGTCCTCCAGTGATCCCAGGATCCGGAAATAACGAGTTCCAGTGGGTCTAACCAGAGGAAGCAAAGCTCGATTGGGCCAGCCTTAAACAACCAGTCAAGAGATCCCAGGATTGCCAGGAACAGCGCATGCGGAAGTGAGCATGAGAGAGAAAATGGGGAATTAAGGAAACACGTGTAGTGGGCGAACTAACCGCAGCAACTAAAAATCTCTATCTTTACTATCCAATAATAAAGGGGGAAGATCAGCCTAATGCTTTCAATTAAACGGCATAAGATGGGATTTAAAGTCTGTTCAGCCCTGCACTTTTAAGCACAAGTGGTAAGCTGAACCTATTGTCTGTTAACACCGCCCCCCTGTAGGTATGTAGAGGGATAAAATATAGTTAATTGTAGCCCATCATCTACCTAATAAAACCTAGCAAGCTCTTTGCCTCTCATGGGGCTGCTAAAGAAAACCCTGTGTGCCCTGAGCAAAGGTAGAACTGATGGATCCCAGGCCCACGGAGCACCCATCTCATTAGCTCCCAGTCGGCCTGAGAGGCCTCTGCCATTCTCTGCATTTTATATCATTTATTTGCTTTAGTGTTTTGAAATTGTAATCTACCTTAGGCACCTATAAATACATTAAATAAACAAACCTATGTGTCCTGATAGACAGTACAGTGTGCCTCAGATTCACCCTGTGCCCCAATCATCTTTCACTTGGCCTAAAGACACCCCCCCCCCCGCTCTCTCTCTCCTCCCCACATCCTCCAGAAGTGGTACTTCAGGGTTCCTTGGCAGGAGTCCAGCCTCTCCCCCTCCTTTCCCACCTTGCTGCAGCGGTAGCTGACGTCTTGCCTCCACTCCCACCCGTCAACGAGTGAGATGGAGCCGTAGCTGCTGGACATGTTGACCACGGCGGCTTTGCTGCAGCTCATCCCGCTGTGCCTGCTTTGCTGAGCCGCCATTTTGAGCAAAGGCAAGAAGGCCTGTAAAGGGAGAGAGAAGCAGCACCCATCATCCATTGTTGTGCTTCACCCTACAGCCCCCCACCCCTCTCATTCTCTCTCCTCCTAAGAAGCCTCAATTCTTTCCTCCATTCTTTTCAAATTAGCTGGAGACCCGCTTCCTGCTGCTTCCTCTGAGTGGGAAGAGGCCCAGAGCTGGAGAACTGGCTTATGGGTAGGATCAGTGGCCTTGCAAGGCTTTTAGCCAACTCTTTCCTCACCTGACACACCAGCATGGGCCCAATCGTGTTCGTGGCGTATAGGGACATCATATTCTGGGCGTTCTCAGAGCTCAGAGTTGTTTCACAAGCAATGGCAGCATTATTTATGAGCAGGTTGAGACCACAGCCTGCCACACGCTCTTCCACTTTCTTGGTAGCTTCCTTGATGCTGTGAGGATCTGTGACATCTAAATCAACAGAATTTAATAAGTTTGCCAGCTGCTGCCACTCTGCTCCTTCCCGTGGCAAAAAGCAAAATATTGCTGTAGTAATTCTGCAGTTGTGGAGAACCAGGATAGGGTTAAGGAGAATGGCAAAGGTATAAAGGTAAGAACTGAATTCAAATCTCTCTTTGGCCACTGTCTCTTACCCTAGCGGGTGGCGCTGTGGTCTAGACCACTGAGCCTCTTGGGCTTGCTGATTGGAAGGTTGATGGTTTGAATAATAATAATAATAATAATAATAATAATAATAATAATTTATTATTTGTACCCCGCCCATCTGGCTGGGCTTCCAAAGCCACTCTGGGCGGCTTCCAAAAAAAAAATTTAAAATACTCTAATACATCAAACATTAAAAGCTTCCCTTCAGATGTCTTCTAAAAGTCTGGTAGTTGTTGTTCTCTTTGACATCTGGTGGGAGGGCGTTCCACAGGGAGGGCGCCACTACCGAGAAGGCCCTCTGCCTGGTTCCCTGTAACTTGGCTTCTCGCAGTGAGGGAACTGCCAGAAGGCCCTCAGAGCTGGACCTCAGTGTCCGGGTAGAATGATGGGGGTGGAGACGCTCCTTCAGGTATACAGGACCGAAGCCGTTTAGGGCTTTAAAGGTCAGCACCAATACTTTGAATTGTACTCGGAAACGTACTGGGAGCCAATGTAGGTCTTTTAAGACCGGTGTTATGTGGTCTCGGCGGCCGCTCCCAGTCACCAGTCTATCTGCCGCATTCTGGATTAGTTGTAGTTTCTGGGTCACCTTCAAAGGTAGCCCCACGTAGAGCGCATTGCAGTAGTCCAAGCGGGAGATAACCAGAGCATGCATCACTCTGGCGAGGCAGTCCGCAGGCAGATAGGGTCTCAGCCTGCGTACGAGATGGAGCTGGTAAACAGCTGCCCTGGAAATAGATTTGACTTGTGCCTCCATGGACAGCTGCGAGTCCAAAATGACTCCCAGGCTGCGCACCTGGTCCTTCAGGGGCACAGTTACCCCATTCAGGACCAGGGAATCCTCCACACCTGCCCGCCTCCTGTCCCCCAAGAACAGTACTTCTGTCTTGTGAGGATTCAACCTCAATCTGTTAGCCGCCATCCAACCTCCAACCGCCTCCAGGCACTCACACAGGACCTTCACCGCCTTAACTGGTTCTGATTTGAAAGAGAGGTAGAGCTGGGTATCATCTGCATACTGATGAACACCCAGCCCAAACCCCCTGATGATCTCTCCCAGCGGCTGCATATAGATGTTAAAAAGCATGGGGGAGAGGACAGAACCCTGAGGCACCCCACAAGTGAGAGCCCAGGGATCTGAACACTCATCCTCCACCACCACTTTCTGAACACGGCTCAGGAGAAAGGAGCAGAACCACTGTATGACAGTGCCCCCAGCTCCCAGCCCCTCAAGACGGTCCAGAAGGATGTTATGGCTGATGGTATCAAACGCCACTGAGAGATCCAGCAGAACTAGGAAACAGCTCTCACCTTTGTCCCTAGCCCGCCGGAGATCATCAACCAGTGCGACCAAGGCAGTTTCAGTCCCATGATGAGGCCTGAATCCCAACTGGAAGGGATCCAAATGGTCCGCTTCTTCCAGGTGTGCCTGGAGTTGTTCAGCAACCACTCGCTCAATCACCTTGCCCAAGAATGGAAGATTTGAGACTGGGCGATAGTTGGCCATCGTGGCCACATCTAAAGTTGGTTTTTTAAGAAGCGGTTTAATAACCGCCTCTTCTCACCTCACAGAGTGTTTGTTGTGGGGGAGGAAGGGAAAGGAGAATGTTAGCCGCTTTGAGACTCCTGAAGGGGAGTGAAAGGCGGGATATCAAATCCAAACTCTTCTTCTTCTTCTTCTTCTTCTTTCAGCGGGTCTGGGAAGGCTCCCTCATGGAGGGAAGCATTCACCACCCCACGAAGCCCATCGCCCAGTCCTTCCCGGCTAGCTTTTATAAGCCAGGATGGGCAAGGATCAAGGAGACAAGTGGTTGGTTTCACTCGTCCAAGCAGCCTGTCCACATCCTCGGGGGTAACAGATTGGAATTGATCCCACACAACTTGACTAGACAGGACTCTAGCACTCTCCCGCCCCGGCCCTGCTCCCACGGTGGAGTCTACCTCTTCTCGAATCTGAGCGACTTTATCTGCAAAAAACTTTGCAAAATCATTGCAGGAGATCATGTGGCCCATATTGGGCCCTGATGGAGCAGGTGGTTCCGCTAAATTGCGAACCACCTGAAAGAGTCTCCTGCTGCTGTTTTCCGCAGATGCAATAGAGGCGGTGAAAAAAGTCTTCTTCGCCGTCGCTATCGCCACCTGGTAGGCTCGACATTGAGCTCTAACCCGTGTCCGGTCAGATTCAGAATGGGTTATCCGCCACCGGTGCTCTAGCCGTCTCAACGATTGTTTCATTGCCCTCAGATCCGTGGAAAACCACGGGGCTGTCCAGGCTCCATGCAATCGGAGAGGGCGCTTCGGAGCCAAACAGTCAATAGCCCTGGTTAACTCCACATTCCAGCGGGCCACCAGGGAATCAGCTGAAAGGCCATCAACATGGGATAAAACATCCCTTACCACTCTCTGGAAACCATTTGGATCCATTAAGTGGCGGGGGCGGACCATCTGAATCGGTCCCACCTCCCTGCCGAGGGGAAGGGTCACAGAGAAGTCCAGTTGCATCAGGAAGTGATCTGACCATGGCACTTCTTTTGTTTCGCTTTTACTTAGTGTCAGACCACCAACATTCATAGAGGTAAACACCAGGTCCAAGGCATGTCCGCGGCTATGGGTTGGGCCAGACTTATTCAGGGACAGCCCCATGGAGGCCATGCTTTCCACGAAGTCCCGAGCAGCCCCTTGTAAGGTCGTGTCGGCATGGATGTTAAAATCCCCTAGGACAACCAAACTAGGTGTCTCCAGGAGAACATCCGCCACGACCTGAAGCAGCTCAGGCAGGGAATCCTTGGTGCAGCGGAGACGTCGGTACACCAATAGGAATCCTGTACTGCCCCTATTGCCCAACTTCCAGAACATACACTCAGAAAACTTGGTTTTGCCAATAGGACGCCTGGTGCAAACTAATCACTGCAACCCCCCTCCCTGCCCACAAGGCCTGGGTTGCTGTGCGTAAGAGAAACCTGGTGGACAAGCAGCAGCAAGGACAGGCCCATCTGCTTCCTCCAACCAAGTCTCTGTCACACATGCCAGGTCAAATCCTCCATCCACAATCAAGTCATGGATCACAGTGGTTTTATGGATCATTGACCTGGCATCGCACAGCAGCACCTTCAGGTCGTGTGGGTATCCCTTGCTGATTCCAGTATCCATCCGGTCAGGGCCAGCCCTGGAGGCAGGGATAGTCCTCAAGCAACGACTAAGCCTGCTTCCTCGGTAATGACATGGTCTGGTCTTAGCGTAACTCCTCCTCCTACCCGTGATCACTGAGATCGATTGTCCCAGTGCATCCCCCCTGTGGAACCTGCCCCAGCCATTTTGATTGCTGGGACCCACTCCCAGGCAGCCCTGACCCCACCCCTTAAAATCAAAATAAAACCTATACAAAAAACAAACCAACAGAACAATAAAACAATAAAAACAAAAAACAGAGAAAGTTACAAACACAACATAATTAAATTAAATTAAATTAAAGTAAACAAATTCCCACATCCAAGTAAACACCCACCCCACCCCACACACCCGAGGCCTCCTTGGAGCCTTATATGCTGTGGTGGAGTATGGGGCCTGCCCCCAAGCCCAAGGTGGAAAATGGGTTTCAAGGGGGAGCAGTCCTCCCCAAGACTCACCAGCAAAGCGGAATTCCTGTGACCAGGTGAGCTCCCGTTGCTCTGTCCCAGCTCCTGCCAACCTAGCAGTTTGAAAGCATGCCAGTGCAAGTAGATAAATGGGTGCCGCTGCAGTGGGAAGGTAAACGGCATTTCCGTGCGCTCTGGCTTCCGTCACAGTGTTCTGTTGCGCCAGAAGTGGTTTAGACATGCTGGCTGCATGACCCAGAAAGTTGTCTGTGGACAAACGCCAGCTCCCTCGGCCTGAACGCAAGATGAGCGCCTCACCCCATTGTCGCCTTTGACTGGACGTAACCGTCCAGCGGTCCTTTACCTTTTTTTACCTTATGCTAGCCTGCCTCAGAGCATTGTAAAGAATAAAGATGAGAATTGTTATCTGCTCCCTGCGTTCTTTGGAAGAGGTGGAGGAGTTTGGAAAGACAAGGAGCAACAAGAAATGGGTTGCCAGTGGGAAGGGCAGTGTAAGACTATTATAGTTCATGGTAGGTACATACCCAGTTGAAGTAGAACAAGAGTTGAGACATTTGAATACCTGCGAGCCAGTTCCTTTAATACCTGGAGAAAGAGAAATCAGTTTGAGAAAACAGGCAAGTTTTACATGCTAGTCCCTAGTAAGCGCTTGCTCCAAAATTCAAAAGCAACTGGGCTATGTCTTGGGGGGGAAAGAGATAAATGGAATCCCTACACATTCCATTTGTGTAAGGAGTGGAGCAGGCACCTGTTATATCAGGCCCAGTTTCAAAGTCACATTTTCTCCTACCCTTTGTCCCAGCTTTCATATTATTATTATTATTATTATTATTATTATTATTATTATTATTATATTTTATTTTATTGGCTTTACAGGCCAAGGGAGCTGGCATTTGTCTGCAGACAGTTTTTCCAGGTCATGTGGCTAGCATGACTAAGCTGCTTCTGGCGCAATGGAACACTGAAACCAGAGCAGCACACGGAAACACCATTTACCTTCCCGCTGGAGCGGTACCTATTTATCTACTTGCACTTTTTGGCGTGCTTTCAAACTGCTAGGTTGGCAGGAGCTGGGACAGAGCAACGGGAGCTCACTCCGTCGCAGAGAAGGTTCTGCATGGGGTCACAGGTGGCAGCTGTGACCAGCCACTTCTTACTACAAATTTGCAGAGTTTTGGAATGGAAAGGGACGGTGGCTTTGCTGCTTTACAACTGCACCCATCACTGGCTCCATTTTAACTTCTAACTTTTAACCAAAACAACCCAAAACACTTCAGTACTTAGCTTAGCCAGCACAAACTGCTTTTGAACCAAATGCAGATAAATGTTGTATATATTAATTAACAGAATCCCTATTGTTGCAGTGTAATCTTGTACAACATGAATGCAACGCAGGAAAATGATTATTTGGTATATCTTCAAGAATGCACATGCAACACCCACCCACTGGAAGATTTCAAAACCATTCCATTCAAAAATGCCCAGAGTTCAGTGGTTAGAGCCACTGGTTTGCATGCAGAAAGTCCCAGGTTCAGTTCCCAATGTCATCTCCTGGAAGAGCTGGAAGAGACTCCCAAGCCTGAAACTCAGGAGAGCCATTACTGGCATTGTAAACAACACTGAGCTAGATGGAGCAATAGGTCTTTCAGTGTCAGGCAGCTTCCCACGTTGCTCATTTCTCATTAGCTCCTCCAGTGTAGCCGTTCCAAATAATGGAACACTCTCTGCCTGCTTGAACCCTGATTTCATTAATTTCCTCCCCTGTAAACAAGTGTAAACAAGTCATCTATTGAAGGAGCCTTCTGAAATCTCCTGGCTCTTGGCCCTCCCTGTTTTAGCTGGTGCCAATTGGAGTAAGGTTGGCTCCCATCTTGCCTTCTCTGTATTCTTACCCAGATACTCAAGAGGTATAATGGATGGATATTTTAGCCAGTGGATTGGCCAATGTCCAACTGTTTCATCCCAATCTTCAGGTGCTTACCTGTCCTTCAGGTCCATCTGGATGCCGGCAGGTGGCAAAGATGAGCTGAGGTGGATATGGCAGCTGGAGAAATTGCTCCACCAAGCCCAGGCCAATCCCCCGGTCGCTTCCTGTCAACAATATGCTCCGAATTCTGAAACCTTCCATGTTGTCTGTCCGTCTGTCTCTCTGCGTGTGTCTCTCTCCTCTGACTGGAGGAACTTGGGTGGAGTGGAGATATCTGGGCCATAAGAGACACTGCCCATCTTCAGCTGATATCCATGGTTATGCAAGTTTGCAAAATGTAAATTAAGTTGTCTCAGCACCAGAGTAATCACACACGAGCAGCTTTAATTTCAGCAACAAGAAACTATTTAAAATGATGCATCACCCAGATGTGTCAAGATCAGGCGTGGCCTGAATGATGTTGAGGCATTTGAAAAACAGGTCTGATCACACCATCTTCCCTGAAAAGCATTAGCAGCGGGTGTTTGATGATGATGACGATATGATCAGTTTGGAGAGGTCTTGCTGCAGCTCATAGAATCATAGAACTGGAAGGGATCCTAAGGGTCATCTAGTCCAAACCCCTACAATGTTGGAATCTCAACTACAGTATCTATGACAGATGTCCATCCAATCTCTGCTTAAAAACATCCAAGGAAGTCCATGGCCTCACGAGCGAGTCTGTTCCACTGTCAAACAGCTCTTACTGTCAGAAAGTTCTTCCTGATGTTCAGTTAGAATCTCCTTTCTTGTAACTTGAAGCCATTGGCTAGAGTCCTACATTCTGGAGCAAGAGAAAACAAGCTTGCTGCATCCTCCATGTGACAGCCCTTCAGATCTGAGGATGGCTATCATATGTCCTCTCAGTGTGCTCTTTTCCAGATTAAACATACCCAGCTCCCTAAACTGTTCCTCATAAGGCTTGGTTTCCCAACCCTTAATCATCATTGTTGCCCTCCTCTGCACATGTTCCAGCTTGTCAATAATCTTCTTAAATTATGGTGTCCAGAACAGGACACAGTATTCCAGGTGTAGTATGATCTGTTGATGCAGCCTAGAATAACATTAGATTTTGTTTTGCTGCTGCATCACACAATTGACTTGTGTTAAACTTGTGATTTACTAAGATCCCTAGATCCTTTTCACGTGTACTACTAGTAAGGCAGATGTTCCCCATCTTATATTTGTGCAGCTGGTTATTCCTGTCTAAGTGTAGACCCTACTGAATTTGACCCTAACATTTGACCCTACTGAAATTCATTCTGTTAGTTTAGGCCCAGTTTTCCAATCTGTTAAGGTAATCTTAACTCCTGTTTCTGTCTTCTGAGGCATTGGCTACCCCTTCCAGTTTGGCATCACCTGCAATTTTATAAGCAGGCAGAGGGCCTTCTCAGTAGTGGCGCCCACCCTGTGGAATGCCCTCCAGTCAGATGCCAAAGAAATAAATAACTATCTGATGTTTAAAAGACATCTGAAGGCAGCCCTGTTTAGGGAAGTTTTTAAGGTCTGCTGTTTTAATGTATTTTTAATCTTTTGTTGGAAGCTGCCCAGAGTGACCGGGGAAACCCAACCAGATGGATGGGGTATAAATAAATGATGATGATGATGATGATGATTAAGCATTCCCTCAATTCCTTCATTCAAGTCATTTATAAAGACACAACAACTGTCCCAGGGCAGAACCCCACTTGTCACTTTCCCCCCAGGATGATGAGGAACCATTAATGAGTACACTTTGGGTTCAGTCAGTCAACCAGCTACAAATCCATCTAACAGTTACCTCACCCAGCCCACATTTTAGCAGCTTTCCTTTGCCTGTGTATAATGAAACCCAAGAGGGCATGATCACTTCCTCCCAAGGTTCCCTATACTTTCACCTCGTCAGTTTCTCCCTTCTGATGAGGACCAGATCCACGAGAGATGACCCCTTTGTTGTTTATTCCACCTTCTGGGAAATGAAATTGTCAGTGAGTCAATGGAGGAATTGGTTGGATCTTACATTCCTGGCAGTGTTAGAGTTCCACTCCTGCCTCTGTCCCCCTCCGTAGGGAGTCACCTGTCATCACCACATGTCTTTTCCTTCTCTGGAGAGTGGCAGGAATCGTTCTCTGCACTGTACCTTCCACTGCCACCTTGGTGTTTTCTGAGGTCTGCAACCGCTGTACTTGCATGGAATCAATTTTGTAGCTCCAGAGACACAGCATGGCTGCTGACAGTCCTGCTTTTTTGTGCCATGTTCCTCCAGGGGTTTGTCTCCTGCATTGGGCAATCTTCCTCCTACCTAGGGGCACCCCGCCTGTATCTCTGTCCCCAGACAGTCTGCTCTAGTGCATCAAAGTGTCTGGCCCCAGGTTAGTAAGTTAACGCAGGTAAGCAATTTTATGTAATTAAAAAAATACCATTGCAAAGAAGCCAGGGCAGCTAATGACATACAGTCTATACAGCCATAAAGGGAAGATGTTGTAAGTCCCAACCACATATCAAGTCATTTCCCCTCCTACAACTAGGCAGCGCTGCTCCTTTGTTCTCACTGTCTCTTTGTTTTGAATTTAAGTATCACCTGCCACTGGCAGATTTTCTCTTACCACTTTTTCCTCTTGTATCTTAAACTACTTAGGACTTTTTCCCCCAAGGATTTCCAAGTAGAGTGGGACTCCCTTAAACTGGGCTCATTGGCTCTTGGGTTTGTTTGTTTTTACTCACCTTCCTGGTATTTCGTCTTTTGTCTTTTCTCACTCTTCCTTCCCAGGCTTTATAAAATCGCCACATCAGTTACCAGTAATAATCCCCAGCATCAAATCAAATCAAAATGACCAAAGGCTCAGCAGTCTGAGCCTCATTTGTTCCATAGTCTGGTGCCTCTTGGTTAATCTGGAGATCTCCTGCACCAGTAAGATATCTAATATTGGTGTTGTTGATTGTTGACATTTGTCTGTCTTGAGAGTCAATGGAGTGCACCTCCGGGGGTGGAGTCAAATCTCTGTGTTAGCAGCGCCAAAGTGACCTCCCTGAGGAGCAAGCCTGGGTAGTGTGTATGGAGGTCCTTGGTCTCACTGATGTGGTCCAAAGGAAAGCAGAGCAATATGTTTGGCATTGGCTTGGCTGCAGGAGTTGCCAGAAGGAGGTGTACAAGGTACCATCCAACCATCTTAGGGACTCCACTCCAGATTCTGTAGGGTTTATTGTGTAGGTGGACCCACTATTAGTCTCATCTGTTCAGTCCGCCTTTCTTTCCACACAGAGGAAGTCCCTAACTCACCGAGTTTAAGACCCCTCGGCTATACACTAACTTGGTTTAGCCAGCCAGTAGAAGCCATTCCAAGGATGTGGCCGCTTCTAGGAGCCACAGGGCAGCTGTCTACCAGCTCCATCTAGTATGGCGGCTGAGATCCTATCTGCCTTGCCAGTGGTAACCAGAGCATGTATCCTTTAGCCAGGATAATGAAGCTGCTGCATTTGCAAGCTCACTCATCTGTTGTCCAATCAATACTAGATAATGGGCATGTGCCAGTCACTCACCAGCTGGAAGAATTTATTGTGCCCTGGGGATGTTTTGTATTCCAATAGTCACCTTTTCCCCAAACGAGATTGCAGACATGTCTCATGAGGAGAGGCGGAAGGAAGTTGGAATGCTCTTCTCTGGAGAAGAGAAGGCAGAGGGGGGAATCTGAAAGTCCTCTCCAAAGGGTGAATGGAACAGTCACAGAGAAGAGGACAAATACCCAATGGAGACTTCCTGCATCAGGCTAGGGGCTGGATTCCTAGATGGCCTACAACACACACACACAACTCTAAGCTTTTAGTCCTTTTCACTAGCAACCAGAATAGCCTTTTTAAAAGCTTTATAGCAGCTGCGGAGTAATAAATGGGTGCCAACTAAGGCGCCAGTCCTGCCTGTCAAAGTGACTTGGGGCAACTCCCTTTGTGCTCATTGGTTTATTTCCAAGTAAAGGTGAATAAAAGTGGGTGGCAGTCAGTGATGCAACTTCAGGGATGCTTAATAATGGTACCAAAAAAAGCATTTTGGGGCTTTATGCCTGGCTTGGTGTTTTGCCCTTCACAATGGAAGCTGTGCAGTGAGCAGAATTAAACAATGCCAACCCCTGGATTGCTCACCAACCATCTAAGCAGGCTAGCAGGGTAATTAGATGACATCCACTCAGCCCAAGGGTCGGGAAAGGACTTGAAAGGATTCCATTATTCAGTCCCTAAAGCAGTCCAGTTCTGAGCTAAGAATACTTGCAGAGTTTGGTCTTGAGTTGTGGCCTAGAAACTTGAAGTTATTTGGGTAGTCAGCCTTGACTTAGTTCTTACTGGAGGTGTTTGGAGAAACTGTGCTTGAATACTGAAGGAACCTGATGCTGTGGAAAAACTCCACACCGCCTTGTCCGTCTCCAGGTGGGACTAATACGAATAGACAGAGACCACTTCCATAAAGCAAAAGCACCCAGGAGGTTGATACTTATTTCACTGCTGCATTAGGATCCCCTGGTCTTTCCAAGGTATGGTGCGGGTCATGAGATGCAAATGGCACAGAACCAAAATCTTTTATACCCTTTCTGAGCACTCTGAGACAAAGAAGTTTAAATTGATTGGTTACATTTCACAGAAGTATGAGCTTGTTCAGTTCATATGCTCTTATTGGTGATTACCGTACATTCCTAACATAGCATTTTAGTAGACACTGCCCCATTTCCTTGACATGCCCCTTTTCTTATCTGTCTTACTCATTAGATTTTCTATCAAACCGTTCCCAACGGGTCAAGATGGGTTCCTGCATCTCTGCCAATCTCAGCATGAATACGGGGATGCCGCAGGGGTGCGTGTTGAGTCCACTTTTATATACGCTCTATACAACTGACTGTGCCCCCAAATACCCCAGTAATAAGATCATTAAGTTTGCAGATGATACAATGGTGGTTGGTTTAATCATGGCTGGAGAGGGGGAGGCAGCCTATAGGAAGGAAGTTGAGCAGTTGGGGGAGTGGTGCAGGAAAAACAACTTACTCCTTAACTGAAAGAAAACAAAAGAGATTATTGTGGACTTTAGGAAATGTAAATGGAATATTCAGCCACTTATTACTGAGGGGAAGTGCATGGAACAGGTCTTGGTGTTTCGATTTCTGGGAATGGAGTTGAGAGATGACCTAACCTGGGGCGAAAACAGCAAAGACCTGATGAAGAGAGCACAGCAGAGGTTATATTTTCTGAGAAACCTCTGGAAAAACAATCTCTCAAAGGACCTGTTGATGGCATTTTACCATTGTACTGTTGAGAGTGTATTAACTTATGGTCTGTGTGTGTGGTTTGGGAGCTGCACGGTCAGAGAAAAAACAATGCTGTCCAGGGTTGTAAAGACTGCGGAGAGAATAAACTGGGTGCACTCTTCCCACATTGGATCAAATCTATGCTTCCAGGTGCCATAAGAAAGCTGCAGAGATAGCGCAGGATAGTGCACGTCCTGGAAATGATCTCTTTCAGCTTCTGCCTTCTGGAAGAAGGTACAGGGTTATAAAGACTAGGACTAGCTGCCTGAGAAATAGTTTCTATCCAAATGCGATTTTGATTTTAAACGCTGTGTAAGGAGTCTCTGTGGAAGTATATTGTATTTTAAAATGGGGTATCGGAGTTTTTAGGGGGCTAACGGGGTTGGGATGGCTGGGGTAGCAGGCTTGTTGGTTTTTTAATGTCTTATGTAGATTTTTTTCAATTTCGTTGTTCTGTATGGGACAATGACAATAAAGAGTATTGTATTGTATTGTATTGTATCGTATCGTATCATATCGTATCGTATCGCATTGCATCGCATCGTATCGTATAGTATCGTATCATCTGTCTTACAAATCTCAGGTCACATAAATATTGGACTTTGCACACACCGGGCTGGGCCTTGCTCAGGTTAACTTCAAAGCTTCTTCACAAAGCCTACCAGTTATATTTAATTGGAAAGCATCTTTCATGAGTCACTGAGGAAGATGCTTTCTGAGAATTTTCTTGTAAGGCAGTTCAAATGTACACACTGCTGTGTTAAAATGTTGTGCATTCTTTTGAGTCATCCTAGAACACAGGTGCTATATAAGAAGAATTCTGAAGCCTGCAAACCAACAGCCATGGATAAATTTCATGTCCAGAGTGTTCTAGTGACAGGATCCAATCAGGGGATTGGCCTGGGACTTGTCAGCCAGTTCCTGATGAAGCCAAACCCGCCAGAGTGGGTGTTTGCCACCAGTCTGGATCCTGAAGGACCTAATGGGAAGGTAAGGCTGGTCCTATCCATTGCACAAGCAGAAATATGGGGCAGTAATATCAAGGAGAGGAAAGAAGCCACTGGAAGCCTCACGCAATTTCACGGGGGCTGTCACATAGTTCCAATTCTGTGCAATTCCATTTGCACAGGAGAAGCAATTGCTCCAAAGAGATACAGAATGAGGCATCCCCTGCCCAGGGTATTCCAGCTGTTTAGGACTGCAGTTGTCATCTGGGAATTGTAGTCCAAAATATTAGGTCACATTAGGATGGCAGATTATGGAGGAATAGATGACATAGCAAGGGGAACTTTGGATGCTTGGGATGTGGCCACTTCTGCACTAATATCCTCCACTGGGTCTCATCATTTTGGTGTAAAAAAGGGGGTTTCATAAATGCTTTTTTCCTTTTTTCCTTTTTTTTTTCTTGAAGAAGTTGAAAAAGCTGGCTCTGCAACATCCAAACCTGGTGGTGCTACAGTTAGGTATGTATGTTTTCATCCTGCTAACACTGCTGATGGATGCAAAATTTTACACATTTCCCCTGCAAATTCTCACTTACTGTCTTCATCTTGTTGTTGGCATCACATATAGTTTCATCCCCACCTGAATAAAGGTGTTCCCAGGGAGCACTGGCACTGTGGAACACAAGCCAGAAATAAAAACTTGCCAGAATGCTCTACTGCTCTTGTGGCTGATGCATGAGTGCAAGCCTCCCAGAAATTGGCTGAGAGCTTAAACACAGGAACTTAAGAAACTTCCTTCTACCAGCTCCAACCATTGGTCCAGCCAGTCTGATCCTGTGGTGAATTTGTGGTGAAATGGTCATCTGATGGCTTCATCAAGCAGGCAAAGCATAGTGTAGTGTGCTAAACTGAGGAGCCATAGCTCAAGATGAGAACATCTACTTTGCCTGCAGAAGGTCCCAAGTTGGTCTCTGGTATCTTCTAAAACTTGGACAGCCACTGCTGCTAACACAGGGCTAATTAGCTAAATCAATCAACAGGGCTTGCTCATCGCTATCCCTTTTCTTCAAGCAGATATCCGAGATCTGAAGAGCATTGAGGCTGCTGTGCAGAGAGTCGAGGAGCACGTCAAAGAAAATGGCCTGACATTGCTAATTAACAATGCTGCCATTTTGGTCAAGTTTACCCACTTGGCTAATGAAACAGCCAAGAACATGTCCAACCTGTACAACACAAACACTGTGGGAACCTTGCAAGTCAGTCAGGTGAGGATGTGCCAGGTTGGGGGGGGGCAAACTCTTCATTTCTCTGGAACCCTCCAGAAGTTACATGATGAGAGTGAGAGCAGGTGCAGGAAGGAAACGGTCCTGTGAAGCTGTTACCTCTCCCAAGAGCCACAGAAGTTCTAGTGACAGATATGTGAGACTTCTTCATCTTAGACCAAGTCTGCTCAAGGCAAGCATGGCCCCAAGAGTCTGCTCAGGTCAGATGGGCCCAGAATCCTGGTCACAAGGAAGACACTTGGACTTCAAGTTCAGGTTCAATCATTTGGCATCTCCAGGGAAAGCTAAAGAGAGACTCCTATCTGAAACCCTGGAGAACTGCTGCCAGACAGTGTAGACAGTACTGAGTTAGATGAACCAATGGTCTGACTCAATAGAAGACAGCTTCCTGTGTTCCTGTTTGTGTGAATGAGACAATAGTTACGACAATGTGATGGGTTGTCTGACAGTGACCCTAAACAGGAAGATGAAAGCATGCAAGGAGAAAGACGAGCCCAAACTCAGAGATGTCAAGGCTGCTGTTCTGCCCCTTCTCCTCCTGCAGTTTAGCCCATTCATTTCCACACTTCCCCCTTTCCAGTCCTTCCTTCGCTACTTTCCTGCCACTAGAAATGGCTTCTCTGAGTGGCTGTCCATCGCCTGGGATCTTCCTTCCATCTAATGAGCCCAGTTGTGCTGGTTTCTCCCAGGCCTTCTTGCCCTTGCTGAAGGTTGCTGCCCAAAGAAGCCTCCAAGAAAGGCTGAGCTGCAGCAAGGCAAGCATCATCAACTTAGCCAGTGACTTTGGCTCTCTGGAGAAAATGGCTGGATGGGGCCTCTCTCAAGTCATCTCCTACCGCTGCAGCAAGGTACCTCTCAAGGCTGTGTGCTCCTAATGTTTGAAGTATGATTAAGATGTGGAAGATGCAGCTAGTCCAAAACAGCAGCCCACACCAGTTAGTCTAAAGGAAGCACCAGATTCCAAGTGGTTTGTGAATTAGCCAAGTTATGAAATTTCGAGTTCTTATGTAGGGTAAACGTCAGAGCCTAGTGGATGTGTTGGAAAATGTGACGTTGATGAGATCCACTTTTAAACTTATTCTGCACCAGGGTTTTCATGCGACTTCACCCTCATGACAACAGTCCACTGGGGTAGCTCCTCAAGGCCTGAATTTTTAGTGGCAACAGGAATTATAATGCCCAGAAACAGCATAAAATTTATGTTTGTGTAGATATACCGTGTCATCTACCTTTCATTATTTATTTGGGTGACGTAATGGTAATGGTGATATGATATGATAAAATCATATACAGTCGTTATCAATTGCACCACCATTACATCACCCAAACGAAAAATGCAATGTCATTGATAATGATGGCCTTGTTTAAATAAATGAAATAATAATTCTGAATGGTGAACTCACCACTTCTTGGCCACACTCAGAGGTTCAGCATTTAACCACCCAGCCTTCTGTGCTCTGGCTGCCAGAGAGTGGCCAGCTCCTCCTCCTCCTGCTGCTGCTGCTGCCTGAGTGCTGCTTTTAAGCTGGATATGCTATGAACTTCTCCAGGCAGCACAGGTGCCCTGTGTGTGCATCCTCCCTAATCCTAAACACTTGAGGGGCAACCAGACATTGGACACCACCTTTTTGTGTAATTATCAGGGCAACTGGACCCTGGTGCTCCTGAGTCTTTAAGGGCCCTCTGCCTGGAACACCTCACACCTGATGTGCCCTCTTCTCATGGCACCTCTTGCCCTCAGGCTGCTGTGAACATGCTGACCAGGTGCCAGTCCTTGGAGTATGGTCCGTTGGGGATCCTTTGCATCTCCATCCACCCTGGCTGGGTGAAAACTTCCATGGGGACATGTCTGGTAAGTGAGGCCAGATCCACCCATTAAAATGCCTTGGATGGTCAGGCATTTTAGTGATTTTCCCCTTTGAGGAAGTCTCTGTAATGGAAGGCCAGGGAGTATCAGGGAGTCTTCCTGGGGGCTCCACATTTGCTGCATAAGGAGCAGCCTCAAATCCATTGCTGAGGTCTTTCTTGGGCAGGTGTAACACTCACTTTGAGCTCCAACTACACCTTAGTCTGGTTGTACTTCTGTAAACTGCCCTAAGACCTGCGAGTGTGTATAAATTCAATAATTAATAATAATACCTTGAATTGGAAGAATGCCCTCTTTTAGACTGCAAAAGGCCAGGCTCCTGGGGAGGGACTCCAGCTCAATCAATGAACCCCAACAGCATGTTCCTTGTGAAGATGGAGAGGATATAAACTTGGTTAATTCAACCTATGCATTGGGAAACATCTGTATGATACTTTAAAATATAGATAATTTCTTAAGGAAGTGAGAAAGAGGTAAATAGGAGGCGCAAACAATTGGGGGTCATTGGTACATATCTAAAACAAAAACAAAAATTTCAATAAAATAGTATAATACAAAAGTTGGAAGCAGGCACAGCAGCAGGTGGCGCTGGTGAGCAGCTCTGGGATTGGAGAGGAGATGCCAAGGCCTTCTCGCTTGCACATGTTCATGCATTCCGTTGTGTGGCAGATTATGACAAGGTCTGTCCCTGTGCTCATGAGGGTGAGAGACTGATAGAACGGAGCAGGTAGTCAGCCCTGTCAACCAGGGGAAAGGCAGATTCCCTAGTAATTCCCGTGGCGTTTCTAACTGTTCCCTCTCAATTTCATAGGTCCCAACTACAGTGAGTGAGAGTTGCAGTGGGATCTTGAAAGTGCTTTCTGCTGTCACTGACAAAGACTCAGGGTCTTTCATTGACTGGAAAGGGCATGTTGTTCCTTGGTGAGAAAACGAGTCACAAATCATGGGCCTCCATCCATCCATCCGCTCCATGAAGTCTGTGATGGCAATAAAACACAGATAAAGCTATGTGAACTTCCTGAGTTGCCCACTTCCATTTCTTTCTCGCTTGCTTGCTTGTTTCTGTTGTATCTAGAAATGCCTGTTGATGCCAACTGATAGATCCCATTTCAAGTTTGCAAGTTGTTTTGGTTTTCAGTTTGGTGGAGGGAAAGAACCGACTTGGCAACAAAGCCCCACCTCCACTTGCTCCTTCTTCATAGGAGAAGACCTTGGTTTTTTTTAAAATGATATTTATTAAAGTTTCAAAGAAAAGATTACATAAATAAAAAGAAAAAAAAGAAAAAAGAAAGAAATAAAAAAGAAAAGAAAATACAAAATACAGAAAAAAGATAAAAAACACTTAAAAAACACATCAATCTTTCCATGCCTTACATTTCATTTCCTTGCTTCCCTGACCACCTCACACCTCCCTTTTTTGTATTCCAGTTCTATTAATTAATTCAGCAATTCCTTTCCCTCTTTGTTTTTATCTTAATCCTTTAACTTAATATATTACAACTTTAGATTTTCACCTGTTAACAATCCATTTTTACATACACCTTAATAACATTGCTGCTAAAACCACTTAACTTCATTCTGACATCATTCTAACATTCATTAATTTTGCAGTATTTCTGTAGATAGTCTTTAAATTTCTTCCAATCTTCTTCCACCGACTCTTCTCCCAGGTCTCGGATTCTGCCAGTCATTTCTGCCAGTTCCATATAGTCCATCACCTTCATCTGCCATTCTTCTAGAGTGGGTAAATCTTGTGTCTTCCAATACTTTGCAATAAGTATTCTTGCTGCTGTTGTGGCATACATAAAGAAAGTTCTGTCCTTCTTTGGCACCAATTGGCCAACCATGCCCAGGAGAAAGGCCTCTGGTTTCTTCAGGAAGGTATATTTATATACCTTTTTCATTTCATTATAGATCATCTCCCAGAAAGCCTTAATCCTTGGGCATGTCCACCAAAGGTGAAAGAATGGACCTTCAGTTTCTTTACATTTCCAACATTTATTATCGGGCAAATGATAGATTTTTGCAAGCTTGACTGGTGTCATGTACCACCTGTATATCATTTTCATAATATTCTCTCTTAAGACATTACATGCCGTAAACTTCATACCTGTGGTCCATAACTGTTCCCAGTCAGCCATCATTATCAAAGGAGAAGACCTTGTTGTCCCGCAGAGGAGGTGCAGGATGTTGGCTATTTGCAGTATGGTAGCGCTGCAGAGAGCTTGCTGGGGAGACCATGCATTAAAAAGGGACTCAAAAATAACTTAAACAAGGTTTTAATAAGAAAAACAAAAACTCCATTTACACTAAATACATCAACAAACATGACCCAACCCCAGGGTGATGGGAGAGCTAGGTGCTGCTCCTTACATACTCTACCCAATTGCTGACACAGCTTAATCAATTCAACTCAGCAGCACCTGCTATGTTTCACAGCTGTAAAGCTGGGTCTCGTTATTTTGCTCTGGCCCTTGCTCTGGCCCCTTAAAGACATACACATCGGGTGGAACAATGATGAACCTTTACATTTAAAGAAACCATTCAACACAGGGTTCCCTTTCTCTTCATCCAGCTGCTCTTGGTGGCTGCAGATTTTCTACCCATCAAGAGTAGCAACTGCACACTCATCCTGAATAGGCTGTCCGGGGCAAGCCGTCCTTTGGGGGCACAGCTGTTTTAGCCTCTGGGTTGAAGTTCAGCCTTGCTCAGAAATCTCCCCTGCGTTGAAGTAATGGCATTCACACCTATTGTAAGAATACAGAAACTGTCTATAATGAATAACACCAATCCACAAATGTCAAGCCATTTATTCAATGGATGGTGGAAGCTCATTCAGGAACCTTCAAGTAGTGTTTTCCATATACGGTACATCACATAATGCCTTATGTGATTTACACAGTACAGTGGTGCCCCGCAAGACGAATGTTTTATAAGATTGTAAAACTTTGCTCTAGTGGTTTGTTCATGAGGCATTCGTCTTGCGGGGTACTGATTGCATTGTGTAAACACATATATTATGTGATGCATTGTATATGGAAAACACTACTTGAAGGTTCCTGAATGCTTCACTCATTCATTGAATAATACACATTTGTGGATTGGTTATTCATTATAGATATTTCTGTATTCTACACAGTGCACACACAGGGTATTTCCTGAGCAAGGGCTACAACAGCTGCAGATTTTAGTTTCTGTCTCTTGACAGCCCATTCAGGATGAGGTGGCTGCTACTCTGATGGGTGAAAACTGCAGCAGCTGCTGGACGAAGAAGGGAACCCTGTGCTGAATGGTTTCTGTTCATCATTACCCACTGTGTATGTCTTTACACAGAGGTTAAAAATACTTATTGCTGCAGCAGGTGCTGCTGATTGGTCACAAGCTGTGTCAGCACCAAGCAGAGAGTGAGCAGCACCTGCACCCAGGGTGATGGGAGAGCTAGGTGCTGCTCCTTACATACTCTACCCAATTGCTGACACAGCTTAATCAATTCAACTCAGCAGCACCTGCTATGTTTCACAGCTGTAAAGCTGGGTCTCGTTATTTTGCTCTGGCCCTTGCTCTGGCCCCTTAAAGACATACACATCGGGTGGAACAATGATGAACCTTTACATTTAAAGAAACCATTCAACACAGGGTTCCCTTTCTCTTCATCCAGCTGCTCTTGGTGGCTGCAGATTTTCTACCCATCAAGAGTAGCAACTGCACACTCATCCTGAATAGGCTGTCCGGGGCAAGCCGTCCTTTGGGGGCACAGCTGTTTTAGCCTCTGGGTTGAAGTTCAGCCTTGCTCAGAAATCTCCCTGCGTTGAAGTAATGGCATTCACACCTATTGTAAGAATACAGAAACTGTCTATAATGAATAACACCAATCCACAAATGTCAAGCCATTTATTCAATGGATGGTGGAAGCTCATTCAGGAACCTTCAAGTAGTGTTTTCCATATACGGTACATCACATAATGCCTTATGTGATTTACACAGTACAGTGGTGCCCCGCAAGACGAATGCCTCGCAAGACGGAAAACCCGCTAGACAAAAGGGTTTTCCGTTTTTGAGTTGCTTCGCAGGACGAATTTCCCTATGGGCTTGCTTCGCAAGACAAAAATGTCTTGCGAGTCTTGAGATTTTTTTTCGCTTCCCCCCCCTTTTTCTAAGCCGCTAAGCCTTTAATAGCCTTTTAACAGCTAATCTGCTAAGCCGATAAACCTTTAATAGCTGCTAAACCGCTAATAGCGCTAATCCGCTAATCCGCTAATAGGGTTGCTTCGCAAGACGAAAAAACCGCTAGACGAAGACACTCGCGGAACGGATTAATTTCGTCTTGCGAGGCACCACTGTATATAGAGAGAGACAAAAACTGATAAAACAATAAGGTTTATTATTCAGACAAAGGGTAAGGGAACGAGTTAAGTCTATACGCTGTTAAGCCAAAACCCCAAGCTCTAGATTCCCTTTGTTGCTCTTTCAATACTTCCTCTTCACATTCCTAAGGGTGTGTCCCCCACATATAAATGTTAAATACAGTGGGACCTCGGGTTAAGAACTTAATTCGTTCTGGAGGTCCATTCTTAACCTGAAACTGTTCTTAATCTGAGGTACCACTTTAGCTAATGGGGCCTCCTGCTGCCGCCGTGCGATTTCTGTTCTCTTTTTTTTTTTAATGATATTTATTAAAAGTTTAACAATTACAAAAAAAGCAGAAAAAAGAGACAATAAAGAGTTACAATACATCAAAAAAATAAAAAACAGAATAAAAAAAAAGGAATTCAACAATACAAGTGAATAAAAAGAAAAAAGGGAAAAAACAAAACACACAATACATCAAAACCAAAAACAAAAGCAGACAAAAAATTTAAAAACGAAATCCAATATTCCCAAATCTTTATCTTTCATTAACTTGTTTCATCGACCTCCTCACACCTCCCTTTTTTGTATTCTAGTTATTAATTATCTCAGCAAATCCTTTCCATCTTTCACTATATTCTGTCATTAAATTACCTTAATTTATTTTAACCTTATCTTACTATAAAAAGCCCTAAAGCTTAAAACTTAAAACTTATTTATACATAATTCCTTAAAGCATTTCTACTAAAGCCAAATAGTTTCATTCCAACATTTTTTCTAACACTCATTAATTTTACAAAAATTCTCTAAATGAATTTTTAAACTTTCTTCTAATCTTCATCCATCGTCTCTTCTTCCTGGTCTCGGGTTTTGTCAGTCCTTCCTATCCCTTCCATCTAGTCCATCAACCTGGTGACCTTCTATCTGAGGCTCTTAAGTCTTTTCCATGTCCCTTCTGCAGGTCTTCTTCATATTTATACCTGCACTTTACTTTGTCTTCTGCTGATCTTATTCTTAATTTCCTTCCTTTCTCACTGAGGGGTAGATCTCGGGGAGACTCCAACTTGACAGTATCTTTATCCCTTCTCGACAGGTCAGCCCATTCTCCATAGTCAGCACTGAAATCCAAAAGATATTTGAAGGCATATTTCAAAGTCCCTCCAAGGTTAAGGGCCCCCACAACTCCAAACTCCCCCGGGCCCAAAACCAGATCCCAAAAGTCAAAACATCCCTGCATAGGCGGATCTATCCAGCTTCCCATCTCCAAACCAAACAGTACTCCATCTCTCCAAATCTGACTTTCTCCAGGTTCAGTCGTCAGAGACAACAACTTATGTTCCTGCAAGGCCGCGACTCTCTCCATTTCTGTTACTTGAGGTTCAGCCACAACCTCCTCCTTTGTCTTCTGCACAACTTGCTCCATTTCTATTGCTTGAGGTTCAGCATCAACCTCCTCCTTTGTCTCCTGCACAACTTGCCCTGTCAAAGCAAATTCCTGGATTGTTTCCTGCGTGGTTTCTATATAGGTAGTCACTGTTTGTCCAAAATTGCTAACTGCAACAGTCATCAAATCCATCTTCTCATGTAGCTGTTCCAGTAAAGCACTTGTCTTGCAAAAAGCAAGCACTAAAACTTCTTCTGGGCACATTCTTATTCAAGGTCAAATGTCTGGTTCTCGCGATCTTTAATCTCCACAGCTGTAGAATTCCCCAGATCGACTCCAGCAACAGTTTCACAAGCTCCCTTTAGAGGAAACAATTTCTGTTTGTATCCGTCTTTTAAAAGCAGATCCAGCAACAAAATTCCTTTCGTTTTTCAGATATTTTGTTCCTTTTAAGTGCAAAAGGAAACATTGGAATCAATATGTTTCTCTTTTTTTTTTAAAAAAAATGATATTTATTAAAGTTTCACAAAAATACAAAAAACAAAGAAAAAAGTATAAATTACAGCAAAAAAGTAAAAAGTAAGAAAAAACATACAAAATAAAACAGTTAAAAACACAATAATGTTCCATAACCTATCTTCCTTACTCTTATTTCCCCAGACCTCCTCATACCTCCCTTCTTTGTATTCCAATTCAGTTTGTTGGTTCAGCAAATCCTTACCATTAATCTTTTACCCAATTGTTAACCTTTTTTTCATGTCTCTTAAAGCATTACAGCTAAAAACCTCTTAATTTCTATCCAACATCCTTCTAAAGTTCCTTAATTTTACAATATTTCTGTAAATAGTCCTTAAATTTTTTCCAGTCTTCTTTCACCGACTCTTCTCCCTGGTCTCGGATTCTGCCAGTCATTTCCGCCAATTCCATGTAGTCAATCACCTTCATCTGCCATTCTTCCAAAGTGGGTAGATCTTGTGTCTTCCAATACTTTGCGATAAGTATTCTTGCTGCTGTTGTAGCATACATGAAAAAGGTTCTGTCCTTCTTTGGCCAATATGTTTCTCTTTTTTAACTATCTGTCAAAAAAGCGTTTTCTTCACAGTCAATGAACTTCCCCAAAACGTCTGTCTCTGACACCCCGTTCCCAGGTTCAAGACGGTGGAAATTTATCTTTCTTTACTCTCTCTCCTGCAGGTTTAAACAGTCTAAGATTTCCCCCCTCTTCTCCTGCTTCCAAGGGGGGTTTGGTAGTTTTAACTGATGGAAATTTAGTCCTTTAGAAGCGACTTTCCAGACTTTAGCTTGCAATGTCTTTGCTTCAATCTATTTACAAAAGCGGAAGGCGGACTTCCTGTTTAGACCTTCCCGCTTCGGTGCCAAATTAAGATGTTTCATAATCCAATTTTCCGTTCTACTCACGGGTAGTTGTTTAAAGTCCAATTGTCCACAGGAAAAAGTCAGCGCTCTCCGGCAACAGCAATGCGGCTTCACTCTGTGAAAAGAGCAGTCAATTCAAAGCACCGTGCAGCTCACCCCATGTCGCTCCAGATCCCCGAAACCGGGTTTCCCTGCGAGTAGGGGAGGCGCTAAAGGTGCCGGCCGTATCCCACGTCCACAGGCTTTTCCCGCCTGTGGTTTTTAGTGGGTCTCCGCCTCGCCGTGGCGGTCCAGACCCTAGTTTCACGAAGCGGATTCCTCCCGGTCAGAGGAAATCCGCCATTGCTGGAGGCACTAACCCGGAAGTCTTCCGTGCGATTTCTGTTCTCATCCTGAAGCAAAAGTTCTTAACTCGAAGTACTATTTCTGGGTTAGCGGAGTCTGTAACCTGAAGTGTCTGTAACCCGAGGTATCACTGTACTGAGTGCTCAGTGAGGTGTCAAAGACTTAGCTGCATCCTGTGAAACTTATCTGTAACTGATGTACCTCCCTTCTATAACGTATTTCTGATGTATGACTGACGCTCTGGCTGGATAGGTTGTGGGAAGGTCCACCTGTGGATTGGAAGGTATAAACTTCTGTTTTTCTTTTGTTTGGGGTTCTCCTCCCTCCTGCGTGTGGTGAGTGGGGACCCTGTTGCAACAGTTTATTTTCTCTTTAATAAAGCTGCTTTGCTTTTCAATATACACTTCTTGTCCTCTGCTTTTTCTCTCCGACCGATAGGGAACTCCATCTAAGGACTCTATACAAGCTCTATATACCCCATAAGGGAATTAGAGGTATTTTTTTTCTTTTAGCATACCTCCTAAAGGAAACAGGCTACCACCTCTATGCATACATGCTATTACTAATAGTATTATTGCCAGCCTGGTTTTCTTCTGGCCTGGGCTAGTTTCTGATAGTCCTGAGCTTGGTGTAAGTCAGAGACCTCTCACAGTTGCTGCCACTGCACTCCCAACATCCCTTCTAGTTTTCTGAAAATTATTTATTTTATACCTGATTGTAAAAAAAGAAAGGAAAGGAAAAGGAAATACTAGTCTACCTCCCTGGGTTGTAATCGGCTACTCTCACCTGGTTTAGCCAGCCAGTCGAAGCCGTTTCCCAGGGTGTGGCCACTGTTGCATGCTGACAGCTTCTAGGAGCCACAGGTGAGAGCTGAGTGTGGGGGGGGGGGGCGACAAAAGGTGGACAAACTACCCCAGAAAGAGCATGACATGTCCCCCACTTCTGCTGTGTGCCATGAGTAAATACTATTGAAGATGTGAAGGAATTGGAATTTGTCCTTACTTGTATGGACTGTTTCAGGAAGGATGATGGGATTTGAAAAGAGAATTTACAGCTTATCCACACTTCCTATTGCCCTGCTGTTTTCCCTGGGAAAACAAATCTTTAGCGCTGAACCGGGGCAAACAGCAATTTGGGTTTCCCCTGGATTGCCATTTCTTCTGATCTGTCACTAAAGAACAGTTTTTTCCTTGGAAAGGAGGGGGGGTAAACCACTCAGACCCATGCCTAGAAAGCATAGGTCAAGTGGAAATTTTTACAGGTGGGTCCCAATTCAATCTAAAATACTTGAGAAGCACTGGTGCACACACACCCATTTATTTCACAGGACTTGGAGGCTTATTTATTTTTAAGTCCAAAAGCCTGCAAAACTTGTAAAAACTTCCTCATGCTTGACCATATCCCTTCTGCCCATTGGTTCTGAGCAAAGAGCAGTCTGAGCTTGCCTACACGGAATCTGATATTCTTCTGCAGCCAGCCAGTGGGAAGGAAGGCGGGTGCCCCAGTCACGGCAGGAAATGACACACGCCCAGCCCACTGGAAAGAAAACTTGGGGCAAGGCACAGAGGAGCTGCAGAAAGGAGTAACGGCTTCTGTGAGAACAGGATGGCATCAGGTCACATTCGCAGTGTCTTGGTGACAGGATCCAACCGAGGCATCGGACTGCAGCTGGTGAAATGTTTCCTTGAGAAACCAAACCCTCCCCAAGTAGTGTTCGCAACCTGCCGGGATCCAGAAGGGGCCAGAGCACAGGTGAGTTGTTAGACTCTCTTTAGCTGACTTTGAAGGCAGAAAGTCTCCCTCTCGGGACACACACACACTCCCCTCGACGATAGGAGGACAAACACTTTCTCTCTTCAAAGCTGATGTGTCTGAGACAGGCTTCTTTCTGCAAATCCCATTGTCTCCCCAACCCCTGCACATTGTTTATAAGCAGAAATATCTTCTTTCCTCCAGTTTAGGGATTTCAATTCCTGGGTGTGCATGCAAGAGAAAGATCCACTTTTTTCCCTCCCCTGAAGCAACTGTCAGGCATCCATCCACACTCCATCCTTTCCAGCTGGAACTTCTCCTTCCCTGCTGCCAGATTGTGTTACTCTGACTTCCATAAGTCAGTGTTGCATGCAAGAGCCCTTTTCAGAATCTGTGCTAAAAAGTTTCCAAGTTGTTATATAAGCAAGAGGCTCGTCTCAGCCAGGGAATTTAAAACAGGAGATAGGCAAGTTTGCAAAGCCTTGTTTGAGAACTCTGGTTAGTTGGTTGATTTTTTTGTTTGTGGAGTTGCATGCTCTAGACTTCCCTAATTTAGGGGCCTCTCCGTTTGGAGGAGAGAACAGGGAGGCTTGGATTTATTTACAAATGCGGAAGTTGAGTGTTGCTGGAGGCAAACGGAGTTTGTAGCAAAGAGAAATAAACATGAGGCTGAATATTAGAATGACACTTATTGTTCCAATAAGAGAAAAAAGACTCTACTGATGTGGTTTGCAAAGAAACTCCTTAGCACATGACCTCGTTTTAACATGGTGAAGTCAGCCTACATTGAATACTTTGGAGCTTTCACAGTGGTAGCAGCCATGTTCAACTAGCTCCAGGGCATGTTAAAAGTTAAGCTGGGCATTTACTATGGAACAACCACACCTTTGTTCAAGGCACCTGCACAATGTGAAAACATTCCCCTCTAATGCTCCCCCTCTTCAGCTTCCAGCTGTTGTTTTCTGAGCACAGAAAATTTAGCTTTTTAAAAACTTTGGAATAGCTGCACAATTTCTCAGGGGCAGATGGCCCCTCACTTGGCTCTTTTGGTCAGTTAGTTGCATCACCAAGACTATTCCCATAGGGCATAAATTTCCAACCTTTTCAGACCCAGAACTCACCTATTGTGGGATAAACTGCCTCATATAACCAACCTGCTTAAGTTTAATTAATGCATGAAGGGGTTAATGCCATAGAGCAAGCTGTCCTGCCAGGTTTAGCTCACCTTGGGAGGAAATGGGTAATTAAGTATATTGTTCTCCTTCAGTCTACATGTGAACTTTAGCTGTGAAGAGGTTTGAACTTGTTGCTCCAGCTCCACCACATGGCTCTCACCAGCCATTCTTGAGTTCTTTCTTGATGTTGTTCGAGTTCAGTCCCACAATGCCCTTGTGGGAGATAGTATGGAAGCCTCAGGCTGCCACCTGCACAATGGGGCTAAGACTGGCCCACTTACAAGATAGTTATAACGACTCTGTGGTAATGTATGTGGGGGAACTTCGGACACATTACAACATGATATAACTTGTTTTCTTTTGTTTCCTACAGGAGCTGAGGCACCTGGCATCCAAGCACCCCAATCTGGCAATTCTGCAACTCGGTAAGCCCTCTCCGCTCTTTCAGCAAACAGCAGCAAGGCTGTTGCTTCTTAATTTGAGCCTTGGCAGCTTCTTCTCCCTGTTGTATCTGGTCATTTCTTAAGGCACTGGCTGCATTTAGATGCTCCTCTAGACCATGTACTAGATAGAGGATCTTTAACAAGCCCTCTCCCCTCCCTTAATGTGCCCCAAAACAAGCACTACAAGTCAGAATCTGTTGGACAAATTTGCCCTAAGTAATCCGTCCAAATTTCCCTCCTACATTGTCCTATTGGTTAGGAGACTGTAGTTTATAGACTTCCTGGTCCACTTATTTCATATTTTCGCCTTAATATGTACCCCCTTCGCTACATACATCCCATGATCATGCTGATTAGCTCTAGCTCCAACTGGGCGGTTTGACTAATATTCATAGCCTTTTTAAGCATGCACAATAGTTTTCTAACTGTTCTCCTCCATTTCCCCTTGTGGTTCTAAGTCACCCACAAACCTTCCTAGTACCTTATAAGACATTATCATTTTCATCAGAGAAATGTTGGAGGGTTGTGATACCCACCCAAACCTTTGAGAGAGGCAGCACATTTAGCTCTAATTTCATAACAGGCATTAGACACATAGTTTTGGAGGGCTGAGAATACCATCCGGGTTCATGAATTACTTTCCAGTAGATCAAAATGACCAAATGACCATGCCTTGCTGTTGTAACTGCTTGCATTGCAAAGAAAGACGAAACATGTGATAATAAGTCAAGAAATCACTGAGAGTAGCCAAAAGATAATGGCTTATAAGGTACTAGGAAGGCTTGGCATGTGTGCAGAGATTAGCAGTGGTGCGCTGAGCCAATAAATGGCCCCCACCCAGCAACATTTGATAGCAATAGGCCCCAATGATCGGATCCAGCTGCCATGGCAATGGAATGGGTGTGTGCAGCTCCTCTGTAAAGCTGAATGAGGGCCTCCCTCAGCAGAGATTAGGTGTTCTGCTTGCTTTTGATGCCCCTCCCAAATACTGACAAGTGCCCAAGGCTTTTTCAAAAGGCAAGCTTCTATTTGCTTATGAAGGAAATAAGATAGGCACCTCTTGATGGCATTTCAACTCTAATCCTCACTCCTCCCTGCCCCACCCAGCTCCCCCCCTGGCTATACAGAGCAAAACTGCATGACTGCCCCTTAAAGAAACAGAAGTTTGCAGAGGAGTAAGGAAGTATGATTGAAAGGGATGCTTTCTCCAAAATGCTCTTGACAGCGGGCCCCAGTATCACCTCGCTTAACTATTTTTATTTTTTTAAAAATTGAGCTTTAAAAGGTATTGGGCCTGGTCACCTCAAGAGCCATCTGCACCTGTATTAACTAGCCCAGGCTTTGAAGCTGTGCCTCAGATGCCCTCCTCTCTATCACCATGAATGGCTGAGCGAGAATGAGAGCCAAGCCCTCTTAGGGATGGTATTCCCTCCAGAGATCTGCCTGGCTCGGATGGAGTGGTGTGTGTGTGTGTGTGTGTGTGTGAGAGAGAGAGAGAGAGAGAGAGATGCCCCCACCAACCTCCATGTACACATCCAAGAGAGAGAGAGAGAGAGAGAGAGAGAGAGAGAGAGAGAGATGCCCCCACCAACCTCCATGTACACATCCAAACATGTGACCTTACATAGCTTACAAGTGTTCAGATGAAGACACTGAAGTTGGAAGCAGAGCCACAAGATGCAATCCTGCTCTCCCTGCATTTCTCCTACGTGAATGAACATGCCAATAATCCCACCTATTGTGAATAGGTGACACAAGCAAGACAGGTGAGAATGCAGTCAAGTCCTACACAAAACAGAGTCTTGTCTCTTCTTCTTTGTAGAAACCACTGATGAGGCAAGTGTCAAGGCAGCTGCCAAGAAGGTTGAGGCCCGCCTGGGAGGCGCTGGGCTGAACGTGGTGATCAACAATGCTGGGGTCATGCCGCCCTGTACTTTGGAGTCAGCCACTGCTAAAGACATGCTGGACGTCTACACCATCAACCTTGTGGGCCCAATGTTAGTGACCAAGGTCAGTTTTTTCTGCACAAGAAGAGCAACCCCTTCTTGGACTACAGGGTGGGAAGCAGGCCCCCTTGACGCAGAGTGGATTAGGACTTGCCCCTCCCAGGCCAGCTCCTGGCAGCACAGCTGGCCGGAGACAGCAAAGGGCAATACAGCAGCCTTTCCTCTTTGCATATGCAGACTGCTTCATTGTTGAGGGTCAAAATTATTAAGAGAAAAGAATGGGGTTTGTGGGCTTGGTCAGTGGGCTGTAAATGGTGACACCTGGATTTGAGTTAGGGAGGTCACTCCTCCTATCTTCAAAAGGCCCCTGGAGAATAGCCTCTGGCTAGGTGAATTCACAGGCTGAGTTGGTAAGAGAAAGTTCTGCAAGATCAGCCCAGCTCTGTGACAGCATCTACCCTCCATTACTCCCAAACAGAGCTGAGTCTTAATATCTTCCGTTTTGAAAAAACCAACTAGGATGTTGTGGGGTAGAAACTGAGAGGTGTAAGAAACAAGGCCAGAAGTAGTTGGTCTTTGCAATCTTGTGCCCATTTACTAGCAGATCTTTATGCAGACAAGTTTTGTACAGCTGCAGAGCTTTTGCCTCTCTTTAGGAATTATTGCCGTTGCTGAAGAAGGCTGCCCACGGATCCAATCAGAAAGGCATGAGCTGCGGGAAAGCAGCCATCATCAACATGTCCACTGTTCTAGGATCCATTGAGAAAACACCAGAGCATTATTTCGCTTTCCCAGTCGTCTCCTATCGCTGCAGCAAGGTCAGGCTTCTCCTGTGGGACATGGGTTAAATCTGGCATTTCTGTCCATTGCCTTCCTTGAGAAAGTTTTTCTATGTACCCAACAATGGCTGGCCTAGTGAGTGATGTGCTACTGAAATGCCTTGTGTAACACCCACCAGCTTTCTCCCTCTCCAAGTTGGACGTTTTGTCCATACTGAAATTGTTCTGTCTTACGAGTGGATAAAATTGCTTTGTGCACCTGAATTCCACAGTAAGAATTCTTCCAAAAGTCATGTAGTGGCCATGCTGGCTGAGACTGATGGGAGTTGAGGTCCAAAACATCTGGAGGGCACTAGGTTGGGTAAGGCTACATTATATAATTCTGGTACCTGTTGCAGTTTCCATGCCAGTGGTTGTTACCTCCTAGAGATGTTAGAGTTGGTGGGGGAAGTTTTTGGACCAGTTACAAGTGATGTGGCAACTGCAACTACACCTTATGGCCATGGCAGAGACATCATCATCTTTTTAGCATAGTATATTCCGTGTCTCAGTAGCAAAACTGTCCCAGAATTTAGGAGTATTCAGCTTCGGTGTCTGCCCAATCAATGTTGGTTATGTGAACAGCAGGGAGACTTTGGGTCCAAAGTGAGTGGTCTTATAACCTCAATTTATATTGAGCCAGTAGCCTAGTTGACCTTTCTGCTCTCTGTGCATCTATGATTGGGGTCTGCTCATGTCTTCGTCCATCCCCAGGCTGCTTTGAACATGCTCACCAAGTGCCAATCAATGGGCTACAAAGATGATGGGATCCTGTGCACTGCTGTTCATCCTGGCTGGGTGAAAACAGAGCTGGGAAGTGAGCAGGTGAGTCAGCTAAGGATTTCTTCTTAAGAACTCTCTGCATTACTTCATTCTAAATCAGAACTATACACACATACTAATGGCTCATCCACACTTCCTTTTGGGCCACATTTCTGGGCACGCGTCTGGGATTTTCAGGTCCAGGCAGAGAGAGAGATAGAATATTGCGAACTTCCGGGGTGGCGCCTCCGGAAAATGGCGGAATTCCCTTCGGACTGAAGGGAACACGCTGCACGGAGGCTTGGGTCCTGCCGCTACGGCGCAGCGGGGACCCTCAAAAACCACAGGCGGAAGAAGCCTGTGGACGTGGGACTCGGCGGGCACCGAGAGCGCTCTCTCCCCTTGTACAGGAGCCCGGTAACGGGCCCCGGAGTGGGAGGTGCGTGGTGCTGTGAGTCGACTGCTTCCTCCGTGCAGCAAAGCCGCACTGCCGTTATCGGAGAGCGCTGCCTTTTTCCTGGACAATTTGGCATCTAAAATATCTATCCGTGAGTACCTGATCTTGGAAGAGTTGAACCACTTTTAAGACTGGTGAATAAACAAATAATATTGGACTTGAAATTGAACTTAATTGGGACTCGGAATGGGAAGGTCTAAACAGGAAGTCGCCTTCCGTTCTTTTGTTATGTGAAGAAAGCAAAGACAAAATATACTAAAGCTTGAAAATTAAATTCTAAGAGAACTAGAATTCAACATCTAAGATTTCTGAACCCCCTTTGACTGCAGGAGAAGAAGGGGGTTGTATTTGGACTTTTCAATCCTGCGGAAGTGAGTTTAAAATAAAGCAATTTTCCACCGCCCTGAACCAGGAGCGGGCTGTCAGAATTGACGTTCTGAAGTTTATCCAGCTCGACAGTTAGTTAAAAGAAGGGTAACATTTTGATTCTACTGTTGCCTCTTGAATTTGGAAGGGGGAATTTTGGATAAAGTGTTTCTGGAAAAAGAAAGATTGTTGCTGTTGCTTTTATTCCTTTAAAAAAAAAAAATTTCCATCTAGTGGAATTTAGTGAAATTGCAACGCAGAGAGATTAAAAGAGAAGGACTATTGGACTATTGTCGTGGGAAAGAATTTTCTTCGACCTTGAAGGACAATGCTAGTACAAAGGCTTGAACAATTGTTCCTGGAAGGTTTTTCAAAACTAAGTGCCCAGCTGGACCAGATGCGTCAGGAGACGACCTTGATGATGGAAGTTACCAGAGCACAGCAGCAAACAAATGAAATTCAGTTAAAGGCTATACAAGCATATGAACCTGCTGTAGTGACGGAGGCTTCAGAGATGGAGGGACCTTTGGACGGGCAAGATCAGCCTTTGAACTTGATAAATGAACTTGGGACAAACCAGATTCGGAAAGATGAAATGTGGTCAGATTTGGAAATGGGGGATGGATCGACCTCCTCCATATGGTTATTTGGACCTTCCGAGTCTAGTGATGGGCTATCAGAGGATTGGAGTAGCCGAAGTCTCCAAGCTTTGTGGAAATTTGAAGTGGTATTATTTGCTGTCTGGCTTGGGCAATGGGTTTGGGATGGACTTGCTGCAAAGGGTCAAAAGCATTTTCTTGCTGGAGCATCCACGACTGGAAAGGAATCATCAACAAGAGTGGCGAAAGGGGCAAGAAAGAGACTTGAGGGCCTCGGATACGAGACAACCAGGTTAAGGAGCCGGATTATCGAGGTTGAAAGGACTGACAATCCCGGGTCCAGGGGAGGGGAGGTTGGAAGCTGATTGGACTGAATTTGACTTATTATTTTTTCCTTTTTATTTTTTAATATTGGGAATGCTTACAAATGTTTGAAGGATGTTGAATGAAATTACATGGCTTAAGTAAGGATTGGTAAATGATTCGTAAAAAGGTAATGATGCAAGAATTTGGTAAATATTGAATATAAGCTATGAGTCTTAAAGTTTTTATATGACAAGAGGGAAAATAGAATAAGGAAACGTAATGACAGATTGTTATGAAAAACAGAAAGGATTTGCTGTAAAAATTAAAAATTAAGAAACAAAAGAGGGGAGGAGGAGGAAGTCTAGAAAGGAAGTCAATAGAGATTGTAAAGGACTTTATATTTTTGTTTTTCTGTTTCTCTTTTTTTTTCTTTGCGGCTGGGTTTTCTTTTCTTTTTTGTTTATGTACTATTTTTGTTTTTTGTATCCTCAAATTTTTTTGGAAATTTTTGTTGTTATTTTTTGAAAACTTAATAAATATCAATTATAAAAAAAAAAAGAATATTGCCCTGCCACTTTCCTCACAAAAACCAGTGTTTTTACTTCTGAATTGGAGCAAATGGCAATCAGCTTTTCCACAAACTGCTATGTGCTCTGATTCAGCAGTAAAACACAGGGTTTCCTGGGGAAAGTGGCAGGGCAAAAAAACAAAACCCCACACTCGGAGGACACAGACCTGGAAATCCTGGATCTGTGCCTAGAAATGTAGCACAAAAGGAAGTCTGGCTGAGCCTAAGCCTCACCAGTTCTCTTGCTGAAGGTCTTACTAATATTGTGCACACCCAAGGGAAGAGGCTCCTCCTGGCAGACCCAAGCATTGACCTTCCTTGCCCACCCCAAGGAGCTGGCCACTAAAATCTGAGTTAAGGAAGCCGCCGGTTGTTGGGGTGTCTTTGGCAGTGGAAGCAGAGCATTGTTGTCATGATGGCTAGTAGCCATTGATAGCCTTATTCTCCACGAATTTGTCAAATCCTCTTTTAAAGCCATCTAAGTTGGCGGCCATCACTGCCTCCTGTGGAAGTGAGTTCCATGTTTAACTTTCTTTTGTCTGTCCTAAATCTCCCAACATTCTGCTTCACTGGATTTTCACGAATTCTAGTTTAGTGTTATGAGAAAAACTTTCCTCTATCCACTTTTTCCACGGTATTCATTCATATATACATCAACCTGGAAGCCAAGAGCTCACTAATGGATGCATTTTTATTCACACTTGCCTGTAATAAATACACTGCTGATCACATTTTTGGTGGGAGAATTGCATTACAGATTTTTGGGGTGTGCCGATTTCCAAGGATAGCTGCATATAGTTTTGCTTATTGTTTGGAGAAGTGAATATTCAGTCAGGCCCACACTAAAATTACAACCAAGGACAAACTTATCCCATCCCTCCCTTCTGGCCAATCCTTTGGTAGCTAGATAGGCAAAACCATCACTCATGTGGTTGGCTGAGCTCTCATCCATCACTGCAGATTTTCTTGTGCCTCTGCAGAATCACTATCTAACCATGGTTTGTACCTTGCAGGCTGACCTGACTGTTGAAGAAAGTGTGTCTGGCATTATGAAAGTGCTTTGCAACCTCTCTGAAAAGCAACACGGGGTGCTGGTGACTTGGGAAGGGAATGTTTTGCCATGGTGAGAGCCTCGGAAGGAACCAAAGGAAGGGCCAAGGCATAATGAGGATGGAGCAGCCTGAGGCTTTCTAAAGCTTTATATCATGAGTCTTTTGAATAAAAATTGAAGCGGCATCTCTTGGGTCTCTTGTCTTCTGTCCCAAAATGTGACATGTAAAGAAATGGGATTCCATTCCCAGCCCTATTTCCACTCACCAGCCCTGGGTTACTGGCACGCCTCCCTCAACGAAACATGCACCCATTTATATCCTACTTGCTCTCCCTCGCAGAAGCCAATTTATAATTAAGGCAAAACAGAGCACTGGTGAACCCAACCTCAAAAGGCTGCTGGCAGTTTTGCCTTCACCAGTACATCACAAGGTTTCTCAAATTAGGAGGCAACTTGGAGTGAGCTGGCCACCTCTGCAGTCATGTGTCCTTAGGGCTCAATTTTTAGACTAGGACTGCTCTTTTGAGCACTGTAAGTGCTGTGACACAAGAAGACTAGGTATCGGAAATAAAAAAGGTACTTTGTATGTGAGATATGGCACTGGCAAAATTGTTAAGATTTTTTAAAATACTGAAGTCTTTCTTGTGCACGAGTGATAAAGAGATCTTGTGCTAGACCTCTGTAGTTGGTACTTTTCTTATCACAGCCTTGAAGGCAATTCTCCACACATAGTGGATTGTTGAAATCTGCATGCCTTCCGTGTGCAGAAAGTGGTGAAAACAGGCACAGGAGTGTCATCAACATGGCTGGAAGCAAATGGAAGGAGGGGAGTGGCATGAATTGCTGCCCACTAAAAACACCACCACACCCCACAAATCACTCATCATCATAAAGAAATGTGCCATGAGCCTTTCACAAAAGAAGCACCTGCAGCTGCATCCTGGGCTCTTTCTACTTGCCAGATTTTCCACAGTAAAGGGAAATTCAGATTAAAGTGCAGAAGAAAGTCTGGCCTGTCATTCTGATGATGCAATATATGGATGCTGCAAAAATGCTTATTTGTACAAGCAGCACCAATTCCATAATAAGCTTCCATCTTATTACTCGTCTGGGTTGGGTGGAGAGAGAAGTTGGCCAGGTCAGGCCAAAACCAGAGCAATTGGCCAGAAGACCTCCACTTCTCTCCCTATGGCTGCAAGATGATTTTGTGGGTTTGCCTTGCAGCAAGTCCAGATCACAGTTTAGAGCTGCACAAATGCATGACAATGGGCCAGGATAAATGGGTGATACCTCTCAATTCAAGCTTAGTGTTAGCTACATACTTTCAAGCTGTTGTTATCAGAGACGGTACATCTTGAATTCAATTATCATTTTAACAACACCTACAATTTCCCCTTTTGCACACTCTGGTGTGTAATCCCACTAGCTAAGGATTATACTCAGCATTAATACATTGTGTTACTACATCAAACCATTTCCATCTGGATACTGTGAGACGATGAAGCCTTGGCCACTCTATAAAGTTCTGAAGAAAGGAAGCCTTCTGGGCCCAGGGAAAGGACTGAGGGGCATGTGTGGAAGAGAACAGCAGAAGGGTGTTTTTGAATAGGGAAAAGGAGATGGAGTTAACCATAGGCACTGTAGGATGGCCACTGGAAAGCTGGACTTTGGTTCAGGCATGGAGGACAAACTGGGAGATGGGGGCTGAAGCCAATGTCCCTGAGGAAAAAAGGTAGAGCAGGGAGGCTGTGGACTCTCTTCCTGGCCTTGGAGTGTGTGAAGTAAGTATGTTTGTGGGTGCTTCTGTTTTGGGATGTCCTCAGAGCACATCTGGACACGCCAGTGAGTCCCTCCTAGGGCCATGAGGAGTCAAAGAAATAGTACCATTAAAAGCAGTAAAGAGTAGGCACACCTGCCAACAGGCTTTCATACTATACTTATGTGAAAATGAAGAATACTGGTCACTGCCTGTAATAAAGAGATTGATTGATTGGTTATGTGAAAATGAAGCATAATTTGTATGACAGTCACCATGGGAAGAAAGTGATTCTGTGCTTTCTGTCAGAGAGGACAGCCGCTTAACATTTCTGGATTCCAAGCAATGGGAGAGGTGAGGGAAGCACGATGGGACGTCCTCGCAGGGCAAGAGGCATGACAAGGAGCATCAGGGATCTTCTCCGAAAGACGGCCTGTTTTGCCTAAGGAAGGGTCTTGTTCTTTATTCAGCTGCTGCAGAAGGAAGTTGTTTGTGGAAACAAGAGACCTGGCAAGAAGGAAACAATGAACAGGAACCACCCTTGACTGAGCTCAGCATCTCTGAATGAGTTAGCTTTCTTGGACTTTCAAACCAACAAGAAAAGCTACTTCAAACAGGAGTTTCATTAGTTGCCAACCTGTAAGTCTCCAACTTGATATTTTCAATCATTGGACATGTGGCATAGGGACTAATCCTGACCCTAACCAGAGGGTTTAATTGTCCCATAACCCATGTCCCCCTATAAACCAGGTCACATTGCTCATGGCATTAGTTAATGGACAGGAGGGCATGGTTCAATCCTGTCTTGGGTTTGCAAACAGGTACTTGCAGCCAAACCAGGATTTTGCCTCTTGCGTTTTCCCTGCACAGCAGCCAAGGCAAGAAGAAATAAAAGGTGCTTTTTGTGAGCATCGGCAGAGCACAGGAGAAGTCCTGCCTGCTGCACTTGCTTACAAAAAGCAGCTTTCTTTCTCCCCTCCAAAAGGTGTCTATCACAAGCATCAGCAAAGGACAGGATCTGCTATCAATGCTCTTTTTCTTCTTCCCTTCTACATCAAATTTGCAATCCCCATGCAAGAGCTTTTGACAGGTGGGAGGGACAACCTGCTTGTCAATTATGTGTCATGATAAAGATGGACTGTGACTCTTTCAACTAGTCACTTTTTCAGATTAGCCCACCTCACAGCGATGTTGTGATGACAAAAGTGTGGGGGGACACCATGAATGCCATGTGAGCTACTTTTAGGAAGGAGGGATAAAAAATTGAATGATAGCCCTATGTTCCCTCCCCTAAATGAAACTGCCAAACTTAATTTACCTTTGACTCTCCTTCAGCAAACTGATGGTGTCCTGTTGCTTTTTAAGCTGCTTTAATTCAAAAGTTAAGATGTCCACCTGGGCATTCAGCTGCTCATTTCTACTTAACAACTCATCTAGGAGAAAAATATCAGCAGATGAGCAAACCTAGAGTTGTGCTTGATCAAAGGCATGGGAAAAGGTACAGAGCAAAGTGACCCATGGAACCCCACCTATTATTCTATGATCATTTGAAGTCTTTCAAATGGCTTTTTGGGGTATCCATTTTATTCTGAATCTAGGTGCAGCAGAAGAACAGAGATAGTATGAAAACTGAACTGGAACATGCACCCCTTTGGAGACTTTGTTTTACCACCTGTATTGTAGACTTCAAATGTACTTTTGTATTGTTGAGATGCTGCTACTGCTGCTTAGTTTGTTGCAAACTGCCTTAAATTGTTATCAACACTTTTAACCTTTTTTTAAAAAACACCACTATTTTATTTATAGCCTGCCTTTCCTCCAATAAACTCATGTCCTCACTCCTCCTGCCCCCTATTTTATCCTTGTGATTGGCCCAAGGAGGTGCAGTAAACTTAATGGCTATCAGCAGGGTTCAAAATCTGGTTCAGCTCCTTTGTCACCCTGTCCATCCTTCTATGTCATCTTGCATCTCTCTGGCTTCACCCCAAGCCCCTCCCCCGTGGCTGGATGTTGTGGTATAAATCTGCCTTCCCCAGCTGAGAGGAAGTTCTCCCAGGCAAGCTCTGTAGCAATGGGCACTGGTAGTGGAAATGGCACAATGAAACATCCTATGGGGGACATTGTTTCTTTTACTGGGGTTGGGGCTTGTGCCTGTGATCCTCAACGCCAGCCTGAGTCTTGACTCGAGCAGGAGAGGTAGTCAATCTCTCATTCATCTGGAGCATGTAGAAACAGCAGTTAGGCTGACTGATTATGTGAAAGCCTCCCTCAACACAAGTGTAGAAAAGATATGAAAGTCCTAGCATTGACAAGTCCAGTCAGACATCCGTCTGGTATTTAACCAGTGAACTTACCATAAGAGAGAGAATATATTCCGTGGGAGCTGGAACTGGAGGTGGCGGCGGCGGCGGCAGCAGCAGCACCTTCCACACCTCGTTCTTTGAAAGGTGGGCTCTGACTCTCTTCCACCTTCTGTTGGGGAGGGAAGGAAAGAGTTGGTAGGGTAGTTCAACAAGGGGGAAAGGCGACTCTGTTGGTCTGACATAAATATGTGGCCACACATGTGAGATCAAGAAGGTTTCTTCTTTAGGCTGGGTTAGAGATTTCTGAAGACAACACCATCCCGTCACCAATCAGCCCAGGACCTTCTAAATAAAGCAATGTTTGTTTTTTGGCATTCAGATGCAATGCATGTAATGAAACCGCAACATAAAACCCCCATGACTATGAAGAGAGTATAGAGGTTTTGAGAATACTGGGTTGCAAAGAAGGTGCTGTAAGGGCCTGTGTTTCCTGGGAGAGAAATCCAGAGGCTGTAGGGTACTGTTTATGAGAGTGTGTGGCCGTGGGAGGCTACCCAGATACCCAGAGGGAAGCTGTGCTGTGTGGGTTTTGCATCACATTCTGGTGTTTAAAGAAAAATACAAAGCGCTCAGGCCCAGTGTCAGATGGCAGGAGGCCCCAGTGTGTTGGGGGTCTGTGGACATTTCTTGTTCTGTCATTCGGAGGTGGCATAGCAGCCGAGGGGGCTGGCATGGAGGGTGGCAAGTGCTGGCGCAGACAGGCTGGGTCAGGGAGGGGTCCTTCTGAGTCCATGGGGGCTCTCAGCCACTGCCTGACCACTGGCACATGGTGATCCACATAAGTCACAGGCTCTGGGCTGGATGGCTCCATAATTCAGAGCAGCAGCACGGACTTGCGCACATGGCTTATCAGATACCTGGACAGTAAGTTATCTTAATTATAAAACATTAAAGATTCTCTCATAAAACAGAACTAGGTTTGCTTCCACTTTACTGAGGAAGGAAGAGGGAAGCAATGGTGAACAGCACGTACCCTCCTAGCCTTGTCGATGGCACTGCTGCAGTGCTGCTGAGAATACGTTGGTTGTTCCCTGGGAAGCTGGCAACTGAACCCCGAGGAGCTAGGGCCTAGCACGGCTTTGCGGGCTGAGCAAACGTCCTGCTGTGAACGGGCAGCCGCCATCAAGTATGCAAGCAAATCGCGTGCTGGAGCTGCAGGACAATAAAAGCACAAACCAGATTAAAACATGGTAAGTGGGACCTGCAGCCAAATGTTGCAGTGTGGATATTGCTCCTGATCAGGGTTCCAGCCAACCAGCCCTGCCCTGTCTCAGGATAACCCAGTCAGCCCCACCCCACCCCATCTCTCCTGACCCTGTCCTTCACATTCTTTGGCTACTGCGCATACTCAGTCCCCAGTGACCTGCTTTGGATATTGTTGCTGTCATTCCATTTGTGTTTTTTCCCCTTCTAAAGATTTTCTGTACTATTGCAAATTTCAGGATCCCCCAAAATATGTTGGTATATCCTGGTTGCTCTGTAGCTTTCAGCTTTTAAAGTTAGCTTTAATTTAGTTTTAATTTTGTATTAATTGGTTTTAACTTGCCTTATCAATACTGTATTTTACAGAGTGGTGACCAGAGGACGTAAGTCTGGATTTTATCTGCTTGGAGGTCTGGTTTTTCTTTTTAAAAATACATTTTTATTAAAAGATTTTTAATGAGTAACAAAAGTACATTCAGTGTCTGTTTTCAAGTTGCAGAGTCCTTCATGCAGGGCAATTACATTATATTTTTAATGAATTCAGACTTGCCTGTAAAGGGAGTATTGCATAACACAGCGTTTTTCAGATAAGAGTGGCTGGTCATCTCATAACCATGAAGAGCTGCATTTTTCTGTGGAATAAAGTATCTGGGTGGTGTGCTCTCTACCTATTACTGCTGTAATCTACATAGTGTTTACTTTAGGTAAGAAAGACATTGGGTGCTGTAACATCTTGCATGAATTTGCTTCGGGCAAAAAGAAAAATCAACAGAGCTGGTCTTGCCTAGAGATTAGTAACTAGGCTAGGAGTTGCTGAGTCATTAAAGATGAAAGAATCTGCCCTACAGTTAAATTTGAAATATTACTTTATTTACTCAAATCTAATGCTCACCTTTCTTTGGCCAAATTAAGGTGCACATTTTGCAAAAATTAAGGTGCACATTAGATTCAATGGCACATTTACATTTGCCAGCAAATACTTATTTTGGTTTCAAGGTTCTCAAAATTGAGGTGCCCATTAGATTTGATGGCGCATTAGACTTGAGTAAATACAGTAAGAAAAATAAGCAGATCCATCTGATAGGAGGTATGATGGTCACAAGAATGCAAAAAAAGAGAAGATTAGAAAAAGTTAAGCAGGCCAAACAAAGCCAAAATTTGCGTTTGATCCTACATGGTCCAATTTTGGCTACTATGCTGTTGGCACTCACCAGTCAAGTTCAGGGTTAGAGGTAGTAAAGACAAGAGGTGCTGAGCCTTTAGCTAGCCTGGGAGTTATCCTGTTTACCTAAAAGTGTTTACCCCAATGCCCAGGTGTATGTGACCTGGTTATCATTACTGTGTTGTGAGGGAAAGCCATTCTGCACATCCTCAGAGGTATTCTTCCTGTTTCAAAGGCCCCATGATCACAGCCTTGCATAGAATACAAGAATTGCATAGAATTCTTTGTGACCCCTGATGCAAATAGTCTGGTGATGTGCACAGCAAACAAGGACACTGAATATTGCCTGGTGACATGCTTGGCATGTGGTCTGCTTCCCTTCTCTGAAAAGAAGGGGGTGGTGGGAGTTTTAGGCACATAGCCTGAGCCTAGAACAGCATACCAAGGAAATCCTTATTGATAAAAAGGGAGCCAGAGCCATTCCAATAACGATCCACTAAATCCAGGAGTTGCTGCAGGACAGTGACAAGAAGACATGGTTTCTCAGTGCTGCTGACAATACTTGCTGTCTGGAGAGGGATATTGCTATGCTCTCTGGAGTGAAGCTACAAAACACATAAGTAACATTTGTCACATCTGGACATATGGAGGCATTCTGACAAACATCTAAAATTTATTTATGCACATTTAAAGAGGTGGATTAAAGTTCGAGGGTAGGAGAGAATTTCTGACAACTTGTTTCTCAAATAAATCATGCAATTTCTTGGTTTTTTCAGTTGTTTTTGTAGCTTAGAATTTTTATATTATTATTACTAAGTAATTAACACAACGTAGACAACAAAGAGGCTGATACTGGTCTGCTCCTGGTCTAGCCCTCAGCCTTGCTAACTAGCTGTATGCCGTGCCTCATTGCCAATTTTTATCAAACTGGGTTTGTCCCACCCCCAGTCTTTATAACTGAAGTTTAGCTAATCTAGGCTCTCTCCTCAGTATATGAATCTGGTGTCTATCCTTTGCCACTGAGCTATGTCCTTGTTTGAAATCACAAGAGCAGGGCAAAGGTTCAATTCAGGATCAGCATCACTTTGACAGCCCATGATCCTGAGGATGAGGGAAAGGTACAACTGGAACCACTGTTTGACGTCCCTTTTGAAAGGCCTTATACAGTAATGAGGTATGTAAGAGTGGGGAACGGGATCCGGGGCTGGATGCCTAAGTTTCCCACTCCCAGGCCAACTCTGACAGGTTGGCGGAACTGCTCACTTGTCAATCACCTGATGTCATAATGTTGTCAGGTGACTGGTACCAGTCTAAGATCAAAGGAGGTTGCTGTAATGGCAGACCAGTGGTTGCAGTGATTACCTTTGATGATGCACTGTTCATGCCAACCAACTGACTGGCACTGGGAGCAAGCTTCTTGTTTAACATTCATTAACCACACACTTTTGAAAGAGTTGTTTTTCTAAAGTGGGTTTGTTGCACTAGGCTAGGGCAACAGAGTATTCTGACTCATTTTAGCTCCTCAAACCTAAAGTTCCAGTAAGAGTTTGAATATCTCTCACAAAATACTGAGAGTCTGGAAACACCCTGAGATACAATGGCAAGTTTATACTGTGCTGAAGAAATCAACTGCTGCAGAATGGGGCTGGGAGGAACAGATGAAAGGGCAAATGAATGTCACTCAGAACAATCTGAGGCATGCCCATAAATGTCTCACATCCATGCTAAAGAACAGATACCACACATGCTTCATTAGGCAGCATACCACCCCATGATCCTTCCCCTGCTCTACCTGCTCCACAAAGAGGATCCAGAACAAAGCACTCACCTCCGTTACTGGCTCTCTAAAACAGTGCTTGGGGGTTACTGGAGTGTGCTGGCTGCTGGTATGCTTAAACTCCATTCTTGAAGGACTGAGAGATCGGCAGGCTGGCGGGTCTCGCCCTTTCCTGGATGTGGATGTTAAGGCTGTAGCCGATTGTGAATTCCCAAGAGACACCTCACTTAACAAAGAACGATGCTTCGACAGGAAATCTCCAAAGCTTGTAGAAGCTGAATTGAATAATGAAAGAAAGGAACTGTTTGGTTAGCAGATGGGAAAGAAAGGCTTACACTTGTCACAAGGCATCTTTAATTCCCAGCCATCTTGAAGGTGGGCTGTTAGTCCAGTTCTATCCTCCACCAGCCCAAAAAGGGCCTGAATTATTTTCATAGTGGCTAAGCATCCAAGCACTGTAACAGAGCAAAGAATAACAGTGAAGACACCCTGTCTTCCCCACTCTTGATCTAAATGCATGATCTCTCCAGAGTTGATGTCTGGAAAAATAAATCCTGCAAGTCTGCAGGTCACTGTACACAGTACTGCTTCACTGATGCCCTTGGTGTCATAATTCCTCAGATAGTTTACACTTTTTTTAAGGTGTCAAAACAAATAGATAAATACTAATCCAGCATTTGTTTAAAAGGTAATTAGCTTACCCAAAGCACTGGGGACAAGGTAGCAAGTTAGGCTGTTGAGCCAAGCTCACTGGCATGCATGCCCATAATTTTATTTCTCACCCACTGTGAGCTCCTCTTTTCCATTTCCCCCCAAGATTGAAAGCAAGCGGCCATCAATTCTACACTTGTGGCCAACTCTCGAAAACAAATGAAACCAAAGTAAAATTTAGGCCAACCAAATTCCAAAAATTCTGGTAGCCATGCCCAAATCCTCCATGCTTTCTATGGTTCACAATCAGACCTGTGCAGGGGAGGGGGCAACCAAGTATACTTGCCCCGGGCCTCGGAGGGCTAAGCCGGCTGGGGCCCCCTGCTAGGACTTAACACTGTCATGCTAATAATTTTATTCTAACAAGACTCCCACTCCAGGTCTCAGACAAGCTGTGCACAGGCCTGTTCATCATGCAACTTTGGTGTAACAAAGTAGTCCTTCCAAATGCTCCTACAGGTAGAAAGAGTACACCATTATCCATGTGTGAAAATTCTTTGGAAGAGTGGGTTCAATCCAAGCATGTGTGGTGACAAGAGCTGTAAAATCATTTTCCAATGGAGAAGCTCAGGATACTTTTACCAATGGAGAATGGTAACGGGCTAAACATAGCAGAAACAGTTGTGAGGATCAACTTTGTTCTCTCTATTCATTTGTGCCCTGTTTTTCCGCCCTTTTGTGGGTATTTCTCCTAACTCCCAGATTTGAGTATCAGTCTCATAACTACATTCAGTTACGTACTCAATAGATAGAGGAACAAGAATCTTTGCTGTAATTATTAGTTTTCAAGAAAATGTACTTTATAAAGTTTGAGAATGGAATCAAATTGCTCCCCCATTCCTAGTCTCACTTTAGGCCTGCCTCTTTTAAGCTAAGTGGAAGAGATAGAGTAATGATCTTCTCTTCTACGGCTATTGACTATTGACAATACAGTGGTACCTTGGGTTACATATGCTTCAGGTAACAGACTCCGCTAACCCAGAAATAGTACCTGGGGTTAAGAACTTTGCTTCAGGATGAGAACAGAAATCGTGCTCTGGCAGCGCGGCGGCAGCAGGAGGCCCCATTAGCTAAAGTGGTGCTTCAGGTTAAGAACAGTTTCAGGTTAAGAACGGACCTCTGGAACGAATTAAGTACTTAACCCAGGGTACCACTGTACACTGAATTCTGAAATTTAGGAGAAGGCCCATTGCTCAGTGTTTTTGCCTTCATGCCTCTTTCTTTGAAGCTGAAATTTGTGAACAGAAGCTGGCTGCTCATTATACTGTTGACCACCTTTATTTTGCAAAAGGAGAAGGCTAAGAAATATTATTAATAGTGGCAGAAAGTTGACATTTTGCGTCACCAGGAGAGAACCAAACAAAGATTTCCTCTCATTCAGAAAGGTTAGGAAAGACTGAAGAAGTTACATCTTGAAAACTAAGACAATAAAGCCGGCCTTTACCTGAGCTGAGCTTTAAGGGACTTGCATGGTCTGCATCCGCTTCTGAGTGCTGTCCCAGGAAATCTCCACATGAGGACCGGGCAGGAGCCAGGACTTCGTTAGCAAACTGTGAGGTGTAATTACAAACATCATCGGCTGCCGTCTTCTCATTCCTCTCATCATGAAGCCTCTTCACCAGCTCCCTGCGATTAGCAGAGGATGGGAGGTACAGGTGCTCATAACTCTCTGGCCTGAGGTTGGTCTTCCCTGCATCATCACTCAGACTCAGCCTCCTAGTTGGAGAAGCAGCCCGGCCAAGGTCAAGAATGTCCACTTTCCTATTTCCCATTTCTCTTTTTCCTGGACAGAGGAAGTCTAGAGATGAGCCTTCAGAAAAGGACACGTGAAACTTCCCCTTACCAGACACAGCTCTGCTTTTCATCTGGGAGGGCAGGGAAGACTGTGCCTGCAGGGCAGTGGGAGACCGGAGTTTCTGTTCTGCAAGCAACAAGCAGAGGGAGGACATTACAATTCACTTGTTCATTCATTAAATATATTTTTATTCAACAAGAAGCACAGATGGCTCAAAAAAACCCCTCTATGTGGTTTACATAAATTCATATCAGGTGTTGTTTCCATTTATCACAAGATAATCATAGTTAATAAACTTTGCTGGGAAGAAAGAGATGTGAATTTAGTCACACTTAAGATAAGGTTCCATTTATAAATTAAATTATGTGGGTTGACAGATGTTTATTTCATGCTCTGAGGCAAAGGCTGAGCGAGCCAAAAAACTGGAGCTCTAGTGGTTGAGAAGCATATTAGCAATATACCTGCCATTTATATTGATGGTTGCAAAAAGAAAACCCATCAATCACTCAAAACTTATCCTGTAAATTATATTTTTGTACCAAACTGAAAAACATCTCGATAAGTTGAAATAAAACCTTGTAAGAAACACCCATATCTTCAAATAGTCACATTTTCATCTAGATTTAGGCCTAGTATTCAGAAAGAGCAGGTAGGTGGTAGGCCCATATTTGGACTGTTCCACTTCAGACTGCAAGTGGACACTTACATGATGGAATATGGGTCCCCATGGGGGGGGGACCTTGACATGCAAGGTGTGTTTTTTAACGTACTGATGAAATCTTCAGGCTCAAGCAGCAGAATCTGGATAGATTTTACTACTTTCTGTCTGCTTTTTTGTGAGAACTGGCCTTAGAGAAACATCAGAATCAGGAGAGTCATCTGACCCCTAAAGGCTGAGAATGCACACAGATTTTTATGAGTTTGGAAAAGGAAAACACTCACCTCTGTCCAAAGAGTTGTGACTCAGAAACTGTCTTGCTTTTGCATTGTCTAGCTGGAAGATATTACAAAGTCAATATTCTGTCCAATAGCAAGAGTTACTCATTTGTTTCAGAAAAATCAGTCTTTTACCTTAACTTTTGGCATTGCTTTACCATATAAGCGTTTTAAGTATTTTGCATTTCAGTTGCTTTCTCCAGGCCTGGGGGTGGAAGCACATCTGGTTTTCATTTTGGCCCTTCCCCCCCCCCACACGAAATGTTTCTGAGTGTTTCAATTAAGAGGCCATAAATGGATCTAGGGGCAGAATTACCAGTAGGCATTTCAACAGGCAAGTGGTAGCAAACACTCATAAAACTAACCATCATGCCACTGTCCCCGGAAGCACCATGTGATATGAGGCGTAGGACAATGAACTGTCATATAGGCCTACTGTTTCTCTCCTTCTAGTCTGTGAACTAGCCTGGAGTTTACTGACTTCACTTAGTTGTACTGTATAACCCAAAATGTGAACACATATTCTAGTCATTTAATGAACCGATACAAATGGGATGGACAAAAAGAGTAGGTTTGGCATTATCATGCTTTATATATAAGAAAGGACATAAACAGGGGGATTGCCACAATTTTGAAAAGGAAAGGCCTCCCTCTCAATGCATATGACACCTAAAAACTTTCTACAGCTGACACTGATGCAACTGTACAGTTAGAGGACACAGAAGTTTAACATAGCAAAGCGCTGCCCAAAACAGCAGCAGAAGCCGCCTGCCTCTGTTTGACTTCATCAAGCCCACTTACCAGGATCTGGTCCTTGTTTCCTTTAGTTAATTTGCTGGTTGGCAACACAGAAACAGGCGATGTCTTTAGAAATGAGTCTCTCTCATCATGGCATGACATATGGCGAGGAGATGAATACTTTGTACCTGGTTTCGTTTCATAAGGAGAAATAATGATGAGCACCCACTGTTCGTTTGCAGAAGAATCAGAATGAAACACACCCACGTGTTCCAGACTGCTGAGGCCCATCCTTTTGTTTTGCTCTTACAGGAAGCTCCTCAGGGGGCATTTATCCATTTCCTTACCTTGGCAGCCCAGTGGGGCACTAAACCCATTTATAGCTCCCAGATATACCACTGAGCTCAGATGTACCATAAAATACCCCCAAAATAAATAACTGCAATACCTTCCTGAGTTAGAGAGAAAAAAATCAAGTATAATCTGGGGAGAGAGATAAATCTAAGTGGGGAATAGTGTCACAACTCTGCTGGGTTCAAAAATCTGCCAACCCAATTCCCCAAAACCAAGGGTTCTATCAAAGATCAGAACACCACCCCACAAATATAAGGTTTTGTTATTTAAAAAACCCCCACACAGTATTACAGTCAAAGGAATAAACAAAGAAAACATTGGTTCAAATTAGGGATGGATGGAACAGTCTTAATTATACCAGTTCGTTTCCATGTTACATGTGTTGACCAGGAAATTAGTTTCATCCCATTTCTGTGAGGATTTTCTAGAATCCACATGAATGCAGGACTTCTTTAAAATGCTCACAAAATAGTCTGGGGGCTGTCTTCTCTCCCCACCTTTTTTTTTACAGGTTCTAGCTATCTGAAGTGGCTAATGCACACTGCTCCTCTGCCACACACATTTATAATCCTACCATAGTTCCTCCTGGGAGTGACAACATCACCCAGGGAGATTGTAGGGCAAACACATGGGGGCCTTTGTACCGTGTGTGTGTGTGTGTGTGTGTGTGTATCTTACTAGCTGTTAAAATAGTTGAAGGCGGGCCATATCCTACACGATATGAGAAGATTTAAAATACCAGGGAGTAAGTTTGGGTGAGAAATCTAAATCCCTTCTCCCTGACCTTGAAACAGAATATAAATTGTGCAACACTGTAAGAAAAGCTTTCTGATAACCCCATCTGAAGACCCTAAATGCATTTGAAAGGATTTGTTTGAGAAGATGACATCAAGGGATTACCCACTTGAGGGTATCTTTGCTTCAAGGCATTGTAGCAATATACAGTTTTGCCCCTCAGGGAAAAGGGATGGTTAGGATCTGTGGTGAAACAAACACCAGCAAATTGCAGCCACACACATTTCCTCCTTAGGAAAGAAGGAGGGAAGGCAAGTCAAGAGTCTGAGTGAAACAAAGGTCAGATATGGACTTAAAAAAAAGGTAAAGGGACCCCTGACCATTAGGTCCAGTCGTGACTGACTCTGGGGTTGCGGCGCTCATCTCGCTTTACTGGCCGAGGGAGCCAGCGTACAGCTTCCGGGTCATGTGGCCAGCATGACTAAGCCGCTTCTGGCGAACCAGAGCAGCGCACAGAAACGCCGTTTACCTTCCCGCCACAGCGGTACCTATTTATCTACTTGCACTTTGACGTGCTTTCGAACTGTTAGGTTGGCAGGAGCAGGGACCGAGCAACGGGAGCTCACCCCACCGCGGGCATTCGAACCGCCGACCTCCTGATCGGCAAGTCCTAGGCTCTGTGGTTTAACCCACAGCGCCACCCGCATCCCACTGGATATGGACTTACAGACTAGCTATAGAAAGGAGAGATCAAGCATGATCCACGCTTTAAAGCTCTTTGTCCAAGCACCATTTTTTTACTCCAGAGTTTTCCCTATGAAAACCTACTTTTGGCAATCCGTGAAAACCTGAATGGCCATTTGTTGCATGTCAGCTTTAAAGCATGTGTTTTCCACAGGGAAAGCTGGGGGGCTAAAAGAAGAATGCCCAGACACTGAGCTTTAGAGCACAGAACTGTGCCTAGAAAGAGCGGGGCAAAAGGAAAGTGTGGACACACTCACAATTGCAAGAATGCCTTGTAAAGCTCAAAGCAGCCAATATCCAAGCATGTCTCATGGAGAGTCAGTCACTCATCAGAGCCCAACTGGATCAGGCCAGTGACCCATCCAGTCCAGCATTCTGTTTTCCACAGCAGCCTCCATGAAGAAGCAGGACATAGAGGCAAAAGCTCTCTTCTGTTGTGGCTTCTGGCAGAGGGGCATGCTGGGTCGGCAGAGTCAACAGTCAGGGACAATGGCAGCTTCCAGACCAGATACAAGGGCAGCACCACATAATGTACATGAGCACAATCAAATATTCAGGCTAAGCATACTGAGGTTTTCCAATCCCAGTGTGATTGTCTCATAAAACCTACCAGTACGTGTCCTGTTGCTCTCTGTATTCATACTGGATGTTGCAAAGCTCTCTTGGTCTAGCACTTCACTCCTCATTGTAATTTCCCTAGAGGTAAATTTAACAACAGCGATGTTAGAATTAAGGTAACCTTCATTATCAAGCACCTCCTTTCCCATCCAAAGTGTTACTTTTCAGCAGGCCACTTCCATACCTTGACTCGTCTTTTTCCAATGGGTCCTCTTTGCTCCTGAGGTTAAAATGCAGGTGGGCAGCTTTTCTCTCATGCTTCCTAATAGTTCTTTCATCTATGAAGAAAAAAAATGCAGGATCAATGACTGGCTTCAAAGAACGGTAGCAATCATGTGAAATCATAATGGTGCCATGTGATTGACAGATGGGCTACCCTACCAATCTGTTAGAATTAGCCTGCAGAGGTGGGGCCAGATAAAGATCTGGCCCACAGAGCCATAACAATTCTCCACTCCTGGACCAAAGTGTCAGAAATAAAGGGCAGCAGCAGCACTAGAAATTATGGAGGCAGACAGCCATTTTTCTGCCTGTAGGCTTGGTGTCATTTGTTTAGAATACTAATATCCCACTTTACAGCATCACATCAGCTTACAAAGGACAACAGAATTACAGAAGTACCACAAAATTCATCTGATAATGTGATTATTCAGGTGATATATCCTGCCCTCCTTTTTAGTATTTCCTTTGGTCTCTGATTACTAGGCAGCAGAGCCCACCAAGGACTTACGAGGCAGTAAAGAAATGGGAACAAGTACCGTATTTTTCGCTCTATAACACGCACCCGACCATAACACGCACATAGTTTTTAGAGGAGGAAAACAAGAAAAAAAATATTCTAAACGAAACAGTGGATGTATGATTTTTGTGGTTCATGCTGTGGCCACAGACATGTGATCTGACGGTGAGTTTGAGGTAGCCCAATGCAAAAATCCTGAGGATCCATGTGAATCCATGCTTTGTAACCACGTTTTTGCACCACTGCGGCCCCAGGCAACAGTGGGTGCATGATTTTTTGGGTGCAAGCTGTAGCCATGGACATGCTATGTGATCTGATGATGAATTTGGGGTGACCCAGTGCAAAAATCCTGAGGATCCATGTGGATCCGTGCTTTGTCACAACGTTTTAAGTGGGGAGGGAAGGAAAAGCACTCAAGGGACAAGGAACACGCACCCACGTGGGTGGAGAAGGATGCTGTTAATAATGCAGAAGAGGGGTATAAGAGGAGAAGGCTCCTCTCCTCTCCCGCTTTGCTCCTTTAAAGGCTCTGCTTCTCTCCTTCCTCCCCAGCTCGCTGAAAAACTTTGCTGCTATTTAGCCAGCTGAGTGGGGAGGAGAGAGGGACACAGACCCTGCTTGCTTTAAAGGAGCCAACTGGACAGGAGCCGCTTACACTTGTGTAAGCGGCTCCTCTCCTCTCCCGCTTTGCTCCTTTAAAGCAAGCAGGGTCTCTGTCCCTCTCTCCTCCCCACTCAGCGGCTCTTCTCCCGCTTTGCTGTTTCAAAGCGAGCCACGGAGGAGGGAAGGAAAGGGAACCATGGATCCTCTGCTCACGACTGCAGCAGATCCCCCTGTCATCCGTAGGCATTCGCTCCATAACACGCAGAGACATTTCCCCTTACTTTCTAGGAGGAAAAAAGTGAGTGTTATGGTGCAAAAAATACGGTAGTTCAAATTCACTCAGCACATGATATAAGCAAGTACAAGGTTTATCCTGTAAACTATGGAATGCTCATCCTCACTGTCCAGTAATTTCCTAAGAGTTTTAGAGAGCGGAGTGACTAGCCCAAGGCTATTCAATGAACCATGCCCAAGTTGGGTCTCTCATGTCTCCCTATGCTTTACACCTGGCATGTCCAAAGTCTGTTTCGGGGGCCTAATCCGGCCCGATGGTCAATTGAATCTGGCCCACGTGTCAGTATATGTCCTGGGTTAAAATCCTAAGAAAAGCTCACCAACTTCAATCCCCCAAAAAGCTCAAAAACTTTGGGGTTAAATCCTTTAAATAGCTCAAAACTTCAATCCTCCAAGCCTAAAAAAAAACTCACGAATGTTCACTTCATCAAATCTGGCCCTCTTTGAAAAAAAACTGGGCACCCCTGCTTTATACCCTACTGGCTCACACACCAGAAAGTCATATTTCACCCAATCCTTGGAGTTGTGATCTTGCAAGTAAATACAGAAATCTCTAACAGGCCCCTCATAAACCCACCAATTCCAAGGAAGAAGGAAGAAGCATGGAATGAAGACTGTTTCTGTATATCTGACACACACACCTCCAAAATGCAGAAAGATTGCTGTAACGTGCTATTTTTTTTATTTTGATGTAACTATAAAACTATGTATGTTTTATGTTCTGTGTTCTGTGTCAGTCCTGATGAACTGAGTGTTGTTTTCCATCTAACAGCTAACTTCCAAATGTGAAATGTGCAAGTTGAACAGACATAGAGGTCTTTCCTACCGTATATGCAATGTTTAAGCAATAGTTAGCATAAACTAAGGTTTGTAATCCAACAACAAACCATGGCTTATGAATGTGGTTGGTTTGTGGTTAACAAGCCATGGTTACGCTGCTGGCCAGGGTTTGGGTGATCAAATAAACCACAGTTTAGTAAACCATGGATAAACACTACACATGAACTAGGCCACAGTTTTAGGCACCATATTGCCTAACATTTGTTTAGAATGCCACATGCAAGGGCAATCTCTGCTCACTTCTGTGCCTCTTTTCATAAGCGGCATTCTAGTATTGTTCATGAAATACATTGACAACACTCAGGGCATCTGACCACAGAGATGCCCTAGGGCCCCTTGTATCCTCGGCAAGGAGCTGTATTACATCCTCCTCAGGAATAAAAAATACTTTACTGCAATAGCCACATTAGAAATTACTATATTTTACACAGCCCAAGTACTCGAAATCCTGGTAAGCCTTGTAGACTGGAGCACAGGCCAGATCCTTTGCTAACTGAACTATTTTGGGGTGCAGTTTATTTTTAAAAGCAAATGTTCCAGTGAGCGTCAGTGCAAAATACTGACAAAGTAATGTGTCCCTCCCCAACATGAGCCCAAATCTATATATTCAGCATGTTGTTGAACATGTTGTTTAATACAGTAAGATTTGTATCTCTGATGCCAAAAAAACTGACAAGCAGCACATTTCTCTGCAGGCCTACTCAGAAATAAGCCCCATTCAGTTCAATAGGATTTACTCTCATATTGCTGCCTAAATTTGCAACTCTACTCAGGCATATATATTTCACAGAGTTGGTCTGACAACTTCCTAGCAAAAGGAAGTGGCTGCTGTTAGGGCTCATCATTGCAGCAGCCTGTCCTGATCTGTGACTGCTGAGCTTTGCCAACTCACTAGGTTTGACTGAAAGGCAGTTACTGCAGGGTGGGGGTAGACATATTTTGAAAGCCCTCTCTCCCTTCTCCTCTCTTGCCCTGTGCTGCAGGATCCAAAAGCGGGCTAGTGCCACTTCATCTCCCAGTCAATCTCCAATGGTGATTTTTCCCACACACCCAAACGGCTTCCACACACACCCCGCCCCCGGCGGAGGCCGCTTTCACCAACTCCTAGGTACAGCTCTGTCCAGCCCTATTCTATGCTTGAGAATACTGCAAAGAAGGATGCAGGACAATTTCAAGGTAGATGGATGCAAACTAGAAATAAGGCATGGTATTCACTGAATCAAAACTCAAACATTTACTGGAATTTTGCTACGGTTCAAGGTACAGAATATGGTTTATGCTCCCAATTTGCTTTCTAAGTTCATTATATAGAAGCAACAGTTGGCTATATGTCACCATTTCCCCGTTCTCTCTCTCCAAACTTACTCCACCACACCTTCCAGTCTTTGTATCAAGATTGGTTGTTCTTCAAGAAGATACACCATGCATGGCAGGTAGCATCTGGAGGAAAACAAATGGTCTATAGCAGCAGTTCAGTCTAATCTTAAACTCTAGGGACCTGCAGTTTTCATTCAAAAACATCAGACTACTGACTAATCTAGCTATCCAAAGTGAGCACAAGTAAAATGGAAGATTCAGTGAGGCAAAGATTTGTGACAGCATAATATGCTTCTCCATAGCAACAGAAGGCAAAGCCCTTAGTACACAGTGCAGCCACAAACACACGCCCTTTCATGGGCACACTCCCTAGAAACAGTGCACAGGGTCATGAAGAAAAGGGGGAAGGCTCAGTTCTAGGACTGCTAAATAATATTAAGCAGAGGTTCTCAAACTATGGTGTCAGACCATGGAGGGGTGGGTGTCTAGGCAATGTTTTAGAGGCAGATAGGATCCACAAGCAGCGGTGCAGTGTGTGTGTGTGTGTGTGAGAGAGTTCCCCATCTACTTTAAATTTATGGGGGCAATGCACTCTCACCTGCCTCATCTGTTGGTCAGGAAAGAGAATTTGGGATTGGTATCCTGACCATCGACGTAGCTCCCCATGAGACTGGGGGACAGAGCTACTTGTAGTTACTGGCTGAAGCCATGACTGCAATGTTTGAGTAAACAATTGGAACAGTGACAAGCTTTGCCCTTATGCCAGCATCATAGAAATGACCTCTACTGTCTCTCCTTGCTTCATCTCTCACCTAGCATCTCCAGAGCTTGTAATCTGTACACAGTGAACAGTCTATAATCAGATTCCTTCCTGGTTACAGGGTTGAGACGCAGGTCCAGCTCTCTAAGGAGAGGCAACGCTTGAAGGCGGGCAACTTCCAGCAAGGATGAAACATGATTATAGTACAAATTCAGATGTTGTAACAATTGTAAATACTCAAGACCCTGCATGGAGAAAAAGACAAGGTTGCAATTTGAAAATAAAATGTTTCTTTAAGCACTGAACTTGATCTCACCAACTGAGCGAGTAATACATTGGAAGTGGGGGAGAGCGTGCATTTTCTCCATAACATGCATAGTTTTATAAACCTCCATCAGATCTATTACAGTTATCTTTTTTGACACTAAATGGCTCCAAATGCTTAAGGCTTTCCTCTTGAGAATATACTTTATCTGCCTGAACAAAATTGGTTGATCTTTTCCAACTCTTTGCTGTCCTTTATCAAGGACACACAGCATTCCAGTGTGGTGCTAGAGATGGGCAATATATTAGGCCAGACCAGTGTGAGGAAACAACGAGAAAGGTGGGCCCTGCGAGACCAGCATTCAACCTTCACTTAGAAACCTCCAAGGAAGGAGAGTTCAGAACCTTCAGAGGGAGAGCCATCTTCCAAGTATTATAAAAAAGTAAACAACATTTGTTTGACCCCAATTATTTGACACAGAGGGGGAAACCTACAAATACAGTCCAAAATGCACATAGGGAGTTCTGTATATATGGGAAAATTAAAAAAAAAAGATCTTGTCATCTCAAGGAGCCCTGGCTGCCTAGATAAAACACTACAGCCCCCACAAACCCTTACCTGGAAGTAAGGCCCACTGAACTCAGTGCAGCCTTCTGCTGAGTAAATACCGTACTTTGCTATTTACTAGATGCAAGTCAGCAGCACCAGATGACCCTGCTCGGCTAGGCACTGAGTGGATTTCACCCCACACCTTGCAGAGCCGGGCCTATGCTGCCAACAGGCCCTGTGCCTCTTGGCAACATCTGAAAGCCCTGATCCACTAGGTGCTTGAGTTGACTGCACCCTGCACCTTGCAGAGTCAGGCCCAGACTGCCACTGGGCCTAGCAGTGGTGACAGCAACAAGCAGCTCCAGATCTCCCAGCCCTACCCATTGCCACCCTAACCCAGCACTGACCTGGGGGTTCTGGATCGCGGGCTCTACCAGTCAAAACAGGAGCCTCAGCGATCGCCCTCTCCTGTGGGAAACAAACCAGGACTGCTCCAAGAAAATGCATATGGCAAAAAAGAGTGCTAAGCCCTGGTGAGATGCCCTCTTACCCTCTTGTGATTGTTCAAGTAGATATATATATTCCTTCACTTCTCACTTCCCTCTGTGGCCACCCCATTTACGCAATTTTCACCCGTGGGCCCCTTGAAATATCGTAGAGGGGCCCAGGGGGCCATATGGCCCCAGTTGGGAAACACTGGTTTGGAGAGCTCTTTTGGTGTTTCTCACAATCTGCTTGCATTTTCGTCATTCTAAATGACTATGAGCTCATACACACTGTCACTTAATGTGGAAAGTAAGCCTCCTGTACCTCCAGATTATTTGTGAATAAATTAAATAGCCCTATGGTACTCTCCACAGGAACAAACCCTCCAGAGTATTCTTAGACCCCTCTTGTGCCAGAGGGCAGGCAGGGCTCAGCACCATTCTTTGTCCCTTGCTCCTGGACCTAACAGCCTCCAGTGCAGGTCTGAGGACAAAGTTTATCCCTCCATCACATTAGTGCCTCACACTCTTCCTTGGAGATGCCTCTGTCTTTTGCCTTCTCTCTTGACTTGCCCACCCACCTCCACCTCTGGCTTTTTCTGTGGCTCAGAAAACTCTTATTGCAAACCCACTACTACTGCTGTACACCCACCTTTGAGTCCAAATTTATTTTATTATTTATTAAATTTATATACTGCCCTTCATCCAAAAATCTGAAGGCAGTTCACAATACACGGACAGCCAAACTATAGCCTTAACTCCAGCCTCATCACAGGCACCAGCTCCAGCCTTCAGGAGCCACGTTGCATGCTTTTATTTATTTATGAACATTTGCATATTATTTTTGCCTTTAAAAATTTCAAATATTGCACTATTGTGCAAAAGATAAACGTTTTCCTACCATCTGCTTCCTGGTATTAAACCAGTTATTGATCCATAAGAGAACACACAATTCTGCAACTGGTAAATTGGCTTAAGAGAAAGACTCTTGTCAGAAGTGTTTCGGAAGTATATAGGAACACATACTGAGCCTTGGTCTGTCTAGGTCAGTGCTGTCTACACTGGCTGGCAGAAAATCTTCAGGGTTTCAGGCAAGGAACATTCCCAGCCCTACCTGGAGATGCCATGAATTGAACCTGAGACCTTCTGCAGGCAAAACAGCTGCTCTGCCACGAAGGTGGCCCTTCCTTCAAAATATATAATATCTGCATAATTGCCTTTATATTTCCACATATTGTCAACATTCTCAAATAACTGTAAAAGGTTGGTACAATCGTGAATTGTGCTGGAAAACACAAGGAAGCCAGCATAGAGCTGCATCTCTGTTCTTAGCATTGTACTAGAGAGTTGCTTCTAAACCACCTCCCAATGGTTCATGCCCAGGTGAGGGAATAAAACCTTAAAGAAAGAAATCCAAGACAGATATGCAAGCTGAGCTTCCTGGTAGGAACCCAGTTTATTCAAAGAAACTATTGCCATACTGACAGTTACTCCAAACCAGAAGTTAGGAGAACTGCTCCAAAGCACATTTTAACAAAGTTTTTTTTGCTTCTTTGCTTAAATTATATTTTTATTAAAGATTTTATTGTGCAACGCAAAAGAACATATGGTGTCTCCACTTTCAATTCAGAGAGTCTTTTTCACAGTTCATTTACATTCAGTATGCGACACTGTTAACATAGACATTATGTGGCTGGGGGGGAAGGGGGGGAGAGAGAGATGGGGAGAAAATGATTTTTCATTCTGTTGCATAGTGTTTGTTTAGGGTTTTTGTGTCAGCGTCATGTGAGTTATTTATTTATATATCTATTTTTGGTGGTGGTACAAAATATTAGCAGATCCAGAGCTTGGTTGGTTGTGTTCTGTTGATTGCAATGTGGTATGTTTGCATGTGTGGGGGGGTGTTGTTGGGTCAGATTAGCCATATTGATTTGTATGTTGTTGTGGGGTGGGGTGGGATAGGACACTGTCTTGTGGGGCTGTATATGTGATAAAGGGGAGCCACACTGGCGTGAAGGCGTCCTCCTTTGCTTGTCCCTGTGTGAGTTTAAGTTGTACAAGCATTTTTGTTGTTTAGTCGTTTGGTCGTGTCCGACTCTTCGTGAACCCATGGACCAGAGCATGCCAGGCACTCCTGTCTTCCACTGCCTCCCGCAGTTTGGTTAGGCTCATGTTTGTAGCTTCGAGAACACTGTCCAACCATCTCATCCTCTGTCGTCCCCTTCTCCTTGTGTCCTCCATCTTTCCCAACATCAGGGTCTTTTCCAGGGAGTCTTCTCTTCTCATGAGGTGGCCAAAGTATTGGAGCCTCAACTTCACGATCTGTCCTTCCAGTGAGCACTCAGGGCTGATTTCCTTAAGAATGGATACGTTTGATCTTCTTGTACAAGCATTAGCTCATAGAATAAAGGGAGGTCACAGATCAAGGAGTTAAAAACTGTCTTGCTCCACTTCATTATCTTCTTGTCTCTATTAGCTCGTGTACCACATTACTCTGGAGCCTCAGGACTTCTGCTTCACCTACTTACTGTTGTTTTATTGACAACCAGACCTTCAAAATAGTCCTTATCATCCCATCCCTATAGCTTCCTAGATTCAAGGTAAAAAATGCCTTGCACATAAACATTCTGCTCCTAAACTATGCAAACAGCACTTAGAAAGACAGGGGGTCGAAATACAATGGACATGGTTGATTGAATATTTACAAACAACTTGTAAACAGGTAAAGACATTGGCAGGATTATTATTATAACCTGCAGTTTTAAAAAGAATATAGAATTAAAGCATAAGTTAAGTTAATTTAGAATATGCAGGAAATGATAAGACAAATTTAAGGAACCGCAGAAAGAAGAAGGAAGTCAAATTGTTTGAAATGTTAGGATTTTTGTAAAATTATTGAAATGTATACAAATGAAAACTATAAATAAAATTTATAAAAGAAAAAAGAAAGGCAAGGGGCAAAGAAGTCCACATAGCATAGAACTCAAAATATCAAAGAAATAAAAGCATACATTGATACATAACTCATTATTTAGAGGATAGGTGTAGGTACATAAACTTTATTAAATGTTAAATAGGTTTCTATCTAATTTTATAACAGTATCCCATACCTGACTGCAAAATCTTCAGAGAGAATGGCTGGGAGATAACCCCTGTTTCCATGGCCACAGCCATGCAACAGGTAAGAGAGGAAGAGCCAGAGTTTCCACAGGGCAATTGAAAAAGTTTTATAAGTCTAAATGCTGCCCATCCAGGGCAGAAAGAACACAATCCTAACCATGTCTATGCAGCCATAAGACCCACTAAATTCATTGGGTCTTACTCCCAGGTAAGCAGGTTTAGGATTGCAGCCTACAGTTTAGGTGTATATCACTTCCGAGACTGAGCTGCTAGCGCACCATATTAGACATGTGAAGGCAGGAAAGGATATGGGTGAGATGCCTCTTACTAATACCAAGCTCCTCCACTTGGGAAACAAGAATCATTCATCACCACAATTACCGGCTTCGCAGTTCAGGAGTATCCCAGGCTCTGGCTTTTGGGAAAGAAGATCTAATCTCTCAATAGATTATCCTGCAGCAACCATGAAAGGCCACAGAACTCACCTCTAGACAAGCAAGCAGGTTCTTTGACAAATCTAAAGACTGAAGGTTTTTAAAGGCTTTCAGGCCATCTCCAAGAGAGACAATTTTGGCTGCATGGGTTCCCTGCAGAGAGATGGACTCCACCTGTTCTGGAAAAAAATGGCAATTTGTAAATGTGTTTTGGTCTTTCCTACAGTTCTTAAACTGCAGTTTTTTACATATCAGAAAATTTGTTTATCTGATTTCTTTTAGCTTTGTATATTCTGACTGTGTGTGGGGTGTGTGTGTTAGATGTAAAATATGTTGCTGTCATCCACAAGTATGAGTCCTATTAAGCTGCAACCCGTAAACCCCACTGTGGTAGAAAACAATAGTGCAAACTGGCACTAAACTGAAAAAAATTAAAGAAATAACTCTCAAGAGACACAAGTCATAAGCATTCAAAGGAGGATCTCTTAGGATAGAGAAAATACTTTTAGAAGAGCTCCCATGGTGTACTAACGTTTCTTTTTATGCACTGTTGCCTCTAATCAAACAGCTTTTTGTAACCATTCAAAACCTGCAGAACCAGTTTATCTAGAGGCAAAGATGGTTTGGATGAGAACAGCGGAGGACCTTGGGGTCTCAATATTTAATTTAGCACTTCCTCCGCACCATTTGAAACAATAGTTGCAGCGCCCCCTAGGCTCCGCACTGTGTGAACGAACTGGTCAAACTCCCCTAAATCTGCCTCTGATGAGCATTTAGAAAATGAGAAGCAATTCTTTCAAATCACATTCCACTCTCTTGAGTGCAAACACAAACTATCTAGCATTTTCTTTCTTTGTTTGTTTCTTTAAAAAAACGATTTATCTTTGTTTTCTTTTTAATACTGTACTTTTATTAGCTGCTTTGACTGGCTGCTTTGAGAGAGAAGAGTGTGTTATAAATAGTACTAAAAACATAAAAAGGGAGGCAGGCAATCTGCCCAACACATTGAGTGGGCTTAAGGAAGCACTGAATTTGCTGCTATAGGTTTAACAATATTAAATTCCCCAACCTGGTCCCAAGGGCAGAAAGCTGTAGAAGGCTCGTGGGATCTCCCTTTTTATGTAAGATCCCCTCACAACAAAACAAAGCTATTGCTTCACCCTAGCATGGTTTTGCTTCAGTGCACCTGGGTTGCAGAAAAATCCCTTAAGTGGCCTCGTGCATTCAGCAAGGTACTTTGGCTGCCCTGTCCCAAGGACCAGCCCCTCCCCACTCAGTCCCCCTCTGAGTCCTCCTCTTGAGGCCCCACCGCGGAGTACTTGCCCCTCTCCTCCGCGCACTTATAGCGAGTAGTTTTCGCTAGGGTGGGGGAACAAGAGAAGAAGCCAGAAGAAAAAAGGGAGCCGTTCCGCATGGAACAAAAGTTCAGGGGAATTAGTTCTGTTTCACACATGCCTCCTACCCCACACTACCCTCCCGACCGGCCAGCCTTCCCTGGAAACGTCCGAATGCTCTAATGAAGTCGTGGACGGTGCCAGACTATGAAAAGGAGCGCCCCTGAGCATGTGCAGAATGCCCACACCCGGTGACCGAAGGGTCCCTTAACTTTGGAAGCAGCGAGGCTTGGAAGTAGACTTGAGCTTGGCTGGGCCTAAGTAGCCGTGGTCGCCCGGCCGGGGAGGCTGCCCCATGGCGGCGCTGGGGGGGGGGGGCGCTCCTTGGGGAGACCGAGCGAGGAGGCCCCTTCGCGCGCGCCCCCGGCCAGCCCTCTCGCTAGCTGGCGGTCAGTACCTGGCTGTAGCCCCCGCAGAGCCGGCTGCCGGCGAATCCAGGCCTCGCTCAGCGGCACCGCCACCGCCATGAGGCCGCCGCGCGTTGCCTGGCAACCCGGGCAAACACCGCGCGGCGGCGGCGGCGGAAGGCCGCGAGCCAAGGAGGCCGTTGAGCGGCCGCCGTCGCCCGGCCTTTGCTTTGCCCGGCTGGGCGCTCTGCCCCGTCCCCTCAGGATGGTCCTCCGCCCCTCCCTCCGCCTGCCCAGCAACATGGTAAAGGGGATCCCCTCAGGAGAGCAGGGCAGAGAGAGCGGAAACCCCAAATGGGCCCCCTGTGCGGGGCTGGAACCGGGGGCGGTCTTCCTCTACACATGCCCCCCCCCCCACACGGAGCGCGCTCTCCGCCTTTTTTTCAGCGCCAGGAAAGAGCGTCTCTGAGCATGTGCAGCTGGGGAGCATGCATCCTTCCTTGCCCCGCACTCGACAGCATCCTCGGATCCGAAGCATTATCGGAGAGGCTTCTTTTTAACATAGATTTAAAAAGAGTGGGTGGGGGAGGGGAATTCACGGGTGTGGTTATTTTAAAGGCTTAGGATCTGCTCTGAGCTTGTACTGATTTCTCCCCCACCTTTCAATTAGGAAGAATCAGAAATCGTTTCTGAAGCTGAATCTTCTGAGGAAGAGCTGATTCACCTGAATGTCGGAGGCTGGTGCTTCTCAGTTCCCAAAAGCAAAATTGCCCAGTTTCCAGACTCTCTGATCTGGAAAGAGGTTTCGGCTTTGACTCAGAATGAAAATGTTCGTCTGTTCATTGACAGAGATGGTTACACCTTCAGGCACGTCCACTATTACCTGCACACCTCCAAGCTGTCCTTCTCCAGCTGTGCTGAACTGAATTTGCTGTACGAGCAGGCCATGCTTTTGCAGCTGACCCCACTATTGCAGGTACTGCCTTTCCTGGCTGTGGGTTGAAAACATGCTCTATTGCCCAAATAAGATGTAAGCTGTCAAAAGGCTGATAAGTTAGAGCCCAGTTTAATGGGACAACTTTCACAACAGTAGTTTCTTCTCTGGCTGCCCTGGAACTGTCCTTTTTGGATTGTGGAACAGTTTATAGGGATGGTTGTGCAGCTCTGGCTGGCTGGGAAAGCAAGTGCCTGTGTCAGTTGTACAGAAACCTTGGCAGAATTAGAAGCCAAAGCAGGCAACAACTCAAGTTAGGCTTAAACATGGGCTTAAAATGTGGGAGCTCCATGAGAACTCATGTGCTCCCAGCTTCATCTTACAACTGGGTTCTTTCCCACTACCTGTTTTTTGCCAGCCATAAGCTGCTGTGGCTTCTGGACTGGCAAGCTACAGCTAATAATTTTCTTCACATTCATGATTTGAATCCCAATGTGAGTTTGTACACCCTGGTTAGGTGGCTAGTGTTAACTGGGTTTGCCAATTTGCATATCTGGGTAGTGTGTGGTGAATGACAAGCAGAATACAAAGGAAGGAATCTGCATGCAAGAGGAGAGAGGCCTCCCTCATGCCAAGCCATGGTTCAGTGTTACATCTGAGTTATGTATTCAAGCTGGCAATCAAAGCACTGAGGCAGATGGAGCAAAGGCAATTAGATTGAGGAGCCTGAAGTCCAGGGAAACAAAAGCGCAAGAGAACAGTAAACTGGGAGTTATTCTCTTGTCTAGGCAGAAGCCAAAGCAGAAGCTATTTATACCTGGCTTGGCCCATCTGGAGGCATCTTTATGCCTGCTTCACTAATGGGACTGTTGTGGGATCACCCTCCCCACTTTCCTGCTGACTCTGAAGAGGACCCTGCAAGTCCTAAGCGTACTATGGAGCATGATCCCTCCCCATCCTGAGTTTTCCACTTCTAGCTCTACATCCTCTATGCATGAGATAAGTTCCATTTCATTCAAGGGGATAGACTGGGCAGGAAAAGTTCTCAGTGGATTGTGCCTCCTGTGTCAGTGTTTTAAACCAAACCTAGGTGATGAGGGTTTACAAGACCCATCTCAGTCTTCAGCTGCTTGCCTGTCTCACTTTCAGACAATGAAACGGAGGGCACCAAGACCAAAGGTTGGCTTTGTTCTCAGATGAGGCATCACGGAGAACATAGAGAGGGAAGGATGCCTATCAACAGGTGTGGGTGGGACCTGTCACATAGACATGTGGGTGCAAGCTGGTTGATGAAGAGCTTCAGGGCTACTTAAAGCTGTTTTTTTCCTACAAGGCACAATGAATTGGACAGCAACACCGATTCATCACCTTCTTAAATTACTCAGTACCCTCATTAAGGACTCATCCAGACTGCCTTTGTGCTGTGTTTCTAGGCACAGGTCTGGACTTTAAAGCTGTCTGAGCGCTGTTGTTTTTTGTTCTGGCACTTTCCCCAGGAAAACCCATGTTTTACCACTGAATTGGAACAAACAGCAATCAGGTTTTCCACATACTGTATTGCCATTTGCTCCAATTCAGTGGTAAAATGCGAGTGTTCCCAGATAAAGCGCTGGGACTAAAATAAACTGTTCTGACACAGTGTTTTAAAGTGTGGACCTGTGCCTGGAATGCACAGTGCAAAAGGAAGTCTGAATGAGCCTTATGACAGGTTATAATGGGTCAGCCATGAACTGTCTGAGTTGACAGTAATTTACACTTCTGAATAGGATACAGGTTATCTTTGCTAGGTTTCACAGGTCTGACTTGCCCTTTATTAAAAACCATCTATGGCAGATTCCTCCTAGGCTTCTCCTGAAGACAGAAAAATAAGTTGGTTCCACGGCCTACATTGCTGAGCCTATAAGCAGTTATGCTGTTTGTTGCAATCACTCCCTTCTTCACACAGTGCATTGTTAAACTATGGAACTCGCTCCCACAAGATGCGGTGATGGCCACCAACTTGGATGACAAGAGGAGTGGACAACTAAGCAGGACCTGAGTTGTTGCTGGGAGTCATAAGTGGGGAGAGCAGTGCTGTTGAGCTCAGGTTCTGCTTGCAGACTCCCTATAGGGGCATCTGATTGGCCACTATGGAAATAGGGTGCTAGCCCTCTGGGCTGAGCCAGCTGCAAGGCTCTTGTGTTTTTCTGAAGCCTCCCTAGCTGAGCCTCTCCAGATGCCACCTCAGGAAAAGGGAGAGAAGCTACCTTCCCTCTTCCTCCTTAGTCCCTCCTTAATGAGGGAACAGAAGCACATAAAAGGTTTGCCAAAGGGAAGCATCTTTATGAGCCTGAAAATAGCATCATATAGCTTAGAATAGCGCTTACATTGATGATGATGACCACGGGCTTATTAAAAACTTTAAGCTTTGCATTGCTTAGGAACTCTTACTTTGTCCTGAAGCAATCAACATTGAGGGCAGTGCCGAAGGACAGTATCCTATGCGCGCCATGCTGTATTGCAGCCCTCCTCTTTTAACGCTCCTGTGATTTTGTTTAAATATAATGAAAATGCATGCTTAAGAGATGTTTGCCTGTCTTAACAGACCTTAGACAATTTGAAGGAAGGAAAACATAATTTACGTGTCCGTCCTGCGGATATACCAATAGCTGAAAGAGCATCTATGAATTACTGGAGAACACGAAAATGTATCAGCAAGCCTTCCGAATTTCCTCTTAAAAGTCCAGCATTTACTGGTAAAAGTCCATTGTAAGCAACTACTTAAGGTTAGACAGGACCAAAATGACAATTGTAGTGATCATAAGCAAACATCTTGGATAATTTTTATAAACTTCCCCTGGCTTCATTCAGCCCACATGATGCCATGGATGGAGTGCGGGTTAAGCCCAGGAGACGTGGACTCCAAGCAAACTCAGTCATTGCTTATTTATATCTCCCCATCCCTCAGATACATTAACAGGACTACCTAAAATATAATATTTAATAACACATCACATGAATACATTAATATAAGCTTAAAGCAGCAGCCCTATAAAAGCATCAGCCAAAAAGCATAAACACCTAGGAAAACAAAGAAGCCTTTGCCTGGTGGCACAACAACTTCAGAGTGGTCACCAAGTGAGCCTCTGGGGGGGGGGGGGGAGAGACCAGTTCATAATGTCTATAACATTATTAGTGTTTCACATCGAATGTTCATAGAAAGGACTCTATGAACAGAAAGCTGAAACACTGTATGTACTTTTGTTACCCAAGAAAATCTTCAGTAAAATTAAAAACAAAACCAGGCGCCATTGCTGAAACAGCCCATTTGCTCATAGCAACTGGCCATATCTCAGATGATGGGGGAACCCAGTGAAGGAACTCCAATGCAGATGTAAGTGTAGCGGCAGGTGAGGGGACAGGCCATCATTCAAGTACCCTGGCCCTACGTCAAGAAGGGCTTTACAGGAGAGGACTAGTGGTGCAAGATGCTTGCAATGACTCATTCCAATTAAGCCTAGCAACTGTATTCCCAAACCTTCAGAAGCGACCCCAGGTGGCTAGGTGAGCAGATTACAGTCATTCACTTTCAGTTACAATCACATATCTCAGTAGGATTATAAAACGAGTTGATGTTGATGTTTAATTGTTTGGCTGCATTCCAAATCACTGTTCTTCCTCCTAATAAACTTTTGCCTGACATTAATTAGAGTGCTGCCCCTTGGGTCATTTGCTCTAGAATGAGGCTTGCTTTATTTTTCACTCGTCTGGGTTATGACAGGATAAGTAGCATGCCCGTGAAGGCGCTGAATGTGGTGTGTTTGTTTTTTAAGTCCTCTGGAGAGAAATTAGCAGTTGAACTTATGCACACTGCTAAGTTGTTTGTGAGAAAACTCTTAATACAAATTTGTATAATTTTGTGAGAAACATCCCCTGAGAAACCAAACGGAAACCAAGTTCCTGTCACTTTTGGTCCCAGAGGCGTGATAAAAGGCAGCAAGGCACAAGACCAGATTCATTTTGTCCCCTAGAGGTAGGAGGCTGAACTGAAAGTTGGTGCTCATTGACAACAGAGAGTTGGGTCTGTTATACAGATACTGCCTTAGAGTCACTGGCACATATTCCTGTAATTGAGCAAAGTCAAGTGTTTTATTTACCCAGATGTCTTTTCAGCTGAATTGTTACTACTAATTGCCTTTCTTTTCTTAATTGTTTTCAATCTGTTTTTTTATATTATATATTATTTTTACTACATTTTACCGAGCTGGGTACATCATCCTGGGTACTTTGGTAATAAGAAAGGATAGAGAAAATGTGTGTGATATATATATATATGAATGAGATTATAATAACCAGTGCTATTTTTCTAGAAAAGAGGTGCTGGAGCTCACAATGAACTTCTGCCTTGTTCTCTTAGAATGGCAGTGGTTCCCTTCTGAGAGGTGCCAGAGCTTTATTTCCCTTCATTTTTAATTCCCTTGTCACATTTACTAAGATTTTACTATTCCCTTTATTGAGTTTATACCCATTAAATATACTTCAGATTTGTAAACTGTATTATGGATTTTGTTTAAATCAAATGGTGTATAAATTTTATTAAATAAATTAATTAATTAACAATGACCCAGGCTAATCTTTTGGCATAGATAATCCCAAAGCTTGCTGAAGATCAACAACCATGTGATGTCAACTATTTCTTTGTATTTAATTTGTCGGGTCTAAAAAAAATGCAGATAGCATTAGCCAGCACAGATGATCATGAGCTTGGAATTTTTGCTCCCCTGCTTGCACCAGTGGAGAATTTCTTCTCAGTTACAAATATCAGCTCCAGATGAGGATTTTCCCACAGGACTACAGCAAGGAAAAAAGGTTAAGCTTGCTTCCTAGCCTGCTGGGATTCCTAGTGATTATCAGCTGCAACAGCTGGTGCTATTTGCATGGGATCAACAGCTGGTGCTATTTGCATGGGATGTTGTGTGTAGACTGGGGTCACACTTACGGTACATCAAACACTGAAAGCTCATTGCTTCCCCCAAAGAATCCTGGAAACTCGTTTGCTAAAGGGTGCTGGGAATTTTAGCTCCATGAAGGGTAACCTAAAATTCCTAGGATTCTTTGGGGGAAGCCATGTGCTTTCAGTGTATGGTGTGTGTGACTCCAGGCTCTGGATTCAGATTTCTAGTCCTTTATCTGCTGTCTCTGGTCTTCCTAGCTCCTTGCTGACATTCACTTTTTCTCCCTATTAGGATTACATGAGAAAGTCCCCCTAGGACTAATGGACACTCCGTTGCTAGATACTGAAGAAGAAGTGCATTACTGCTTTGTGCCACTAGACATGGTTGAAAAATATCCTTCCTTGGTCAATGATGACAACTTGCTGTGGCTGTCTGACAATGCTGTGCTGATAGAATGTGAAAGCAGCGAGTTTCGCTTCATAGGTAAGCCTTTTCCTTGAGGAAGACAGCAGCAGCAGTAGGCAACAAATAAACATTTCCTTCTATTTCATTTTTAAAATTATTATAACACCCTTTCTACTACTAATATGCTACCAGAGGCAGTTTCAGAACCACAGGTCATGTTGGGGCAAGTGGAATATGTGGGAGTAGGATGTGGGTTCAGGTTTGGTTTTGGTCTTGGTGCCCTGATGGGTAACCTTCAAGAGAGTGGTGAATGGGAGTGCAACCCTGTTGCTTTTGCTAGAACTTTCAGCGGCTTTCAATTATTGTTGGCCACAGTATCCTCCTGGACCAACTCTATGAACTGGGGTGGGTGGCACTGTGTTCTGCTAGTACCTATGGGAGCAGGTTCAGAGAATCGGGTTGAGGTCTTGCTACACTCTGGGCTCATCTTTGTGTTTTTCATTTTATAATTTCTAGCTAATTTTCTTCGCTCAGAGAAGATGCTTTTGCCCGACAACTTTTCCAACATGGATGCTCTGGAGGCTGAGGCTGAGGCACTGGGGATCCCCGAAGTCACAGAAGCAGTGAAGACCTACAAGAGGAACCCTGGTGTGGTTCTTAATTGCATCTTTCAGTGTAACTCATCTCTATATTAATAGATTTCAAAATAAAATGGGGATTGGGCCATGGGACTTTCACTGGATTAGAAAGTCAAGAGAGGTATAAAATATAATCAGGATTCTTAATTGTTCATTTCTCATTTGTACATTTCCCTTTTAGGAACCTACTCAGAGGGAACAGCTGACCTTCAAGGCGTTGTGAAAAGCACCATGAAGAAGCCGCAAGCTGTTCAGGAAGCAGCAAGTCTCCCTTTGTTCCCAATGGCGCTTGGTCTCTTGGTCAAATATCCTGACTCTGCTCTGGGGCAGCTTCACATGGAGAGTACCCTGGATGGGAACAAGCTCTATATATCCGGGAACGGAGTTCTCTTTCAACATGTCATGTATGTCTTTTTGCACCAAAGCAGAACCAATTAGCTGTTAGTGTGCCTAAGACCACTGGGGTGAGGTGGGATAATTGACCTTGCACTATGCTCAAACTCAAAAGAGAGGAGCTTCTCAACTGAAATTGAAAAGAGCATGACTGGGTCTTTGAGCAATTGCTGTGCCCCTAGAAAAAAAGGGAATCATTGGTGGCTTCAAAATATGTAGGGAAATGCTTTGATCTTAATACATTTGACCATACACCTATTTGGTTTTACTTTCGTGTACTTTGATGGCATTGTTTGTTTGATGGTTAATTTATATGATTCTTGACCATGTTTGCATTCCACCAGCCTTAATTACTGTTCTTCAGGTGCACAATTGCAACTGAAGGTTTTAGGCACACTGAAGTTTTTCTTAGTTGTCTAATGAATCTGATTTAAATAAAATTGGGAGTTGGGGTGGTGGTGGAAAGAATGCATGTGTAGCCAAAATAGTAGGAAAGAAATCAAATGGATATCTTTAAAAAAAATGCAAAAATAGATAAAGTAATTTCTTCTAAGTCTATTCCCCCTTTTATCCAAAGGAATTGGTTAGGCACTTGCAGACTCCCACTTATACGGAAGATGTCTGAGCTTCCTGAACTCTGTGCCTATTTGGATCAAATGGATATCATATATGAGCCAATGAAGGATGCCTTGAAAACTTTTCTAAAACAAAAGGCACCTTTAGAAACCGTGGGAAAAGGTAAGTCAGCTGTTACTAATTTGACCCATCTTATTGAGTTTTAAGGGAGGGAACAATGTCTTTTTAGTAATGAACAACATGGAATATTGAAGCTATAAAAGAGCAGAATATGAAACGTTAGGTTTGAACCAATGGTTGTTACAAAACAAGTAGTCATTCCCCACAATGTGTTTATTGTCACAAACATTGCAAATTACTTTATAAGGAATATCATTGCATTTTATGTCCATAATACTCTGATTTACAATTATAGCAGCTCAATCAGAATTCCACACAAAAGTATATAACTGCATGTAACTGTAGGGATGTGAAGGCAGTCTGCCAGGTGTGCTCAGGCACACCCCAATGCTTAAAAATAAACCACTGCATATTCTCCAAGAGGCCTCGGGGAATATGTGTATCTTGTCAGCGTTTGGCACATCCTCCAGGTGATATCATAACCTCCAAGACACATCAAAGAAAGTGCATATTTTAGCAGAATTGTGTACACTGCATGTTTTGTGCATATCTTGAGAGCTATTATACATTCTCTGAGCAATATGCATTATATCCAAGAACACGCACACTTCAGCATAATCAGATTATTGCAGTGTACAAGTAACCTCAGATAATCTGCAAAAAACAGCAACCTAAGTAGGGACTTTAGTGGACTGTCTGTAAGCACTGGCGGAGGAACAGGGGTGCGGGGGGAGTGCACCACCCCTGGTGGCACGATCCCGGCGGGGTGCCATCGTGGCTGCCCCCTCCCTGTGCTGGGCGCCATACCCCCGGGTTGCGCGCCAGCCATGCCCCCCACCTGCTCTCCACCGCCCGCCTTGCCGGAGCTTGAAGCTTCGCCACTGTCTGAATCATAGAATCATAGAATCATAGAGTTGGAAGAGACCACAAGGGCCATCGAGTCCAACCCCCTGCCAAGCAGGAAAGTGATGTAAGTGATAGCTGGCAACTGTGATGATTAAACTGAAGTTATTCTGCATATATATGCAGCAACTTTCTACACATAAGAACCCTGCTGGATCAGACCAAAGATGCATATAATCTCACATCTTTTTCTCGCAATGGGCAAGTAGATGCTTCTTGGAAGCCCACAAGCAGAGGAAAAAATGTTCCATTTGGATTCGTTCAAAGAGGCTCCCTGTAACTACTGATCAGTGATTACAGCGAGCCCCTCTGAATGCATTCTCACAGCTGATTGGTGGTTACAGTGACCTTCTTTGAACTTTGGCAGGTGGCAGACACCTAATGTCAGGTGATTTACTGCTGTCAAAATTGGTCCACAGTGGTAGAATTGGGAATCAGGCCCACTGGCTAGATCTAATTCCGCAATCTAGTTATAAACTTTCTGCCACAGTGTGCTGAAGTAAGACTAGAGCAAATTTTGACCTGCAACTGCAAAGGAGTCTTTGTAAGCATTAATAGAAGTGAGCAAAAAAATGACATTATGTTGAGTAATTGGCAATGTGTGCATGAATGCTGAGCTGTAGGTTGGTATGGCTGTCATTGCCCATGGGCCAGCTGAAAACTGCCCTGCTCTAAGGGCAAATGGTGGGGAAACTTGCTTGAAAACTTGCTTTTTGAGTTCAGTAGATTATCTGCAGCTCCTTGCATGGGCAAAACATTTGTATATGAGCTTGCAATAGGGAGGGATTTTGTGGATCAAGGGTGTTCACCACATTGACAAAAGCAGCAATGCCTTTAAAATTGCATTCTGTTTCTCTTTCACATGCAGGCTGGGCAGCAGGACTAACTGTCTTTTCACTCCATCATATTGTCAAAGTGTATGTTGGAAGTCACTGGTACGCAACTTATTTGCAAACGTTACTGAAGGTACAGTTCTTAAGAACGTGTGACATTGCCTTTCTTGCCTTTTGATAGTCTGAACCTTCAGGCCAATTTCCTAAAAGCACTGAGGTGCTTGCACTAAACTGTATCAGCATACTTGTGGGAGGTGGCACTAAACTTCATTTCTGCTAGCGTTTTGGCATGAAAGGTTCTGAGCTCACCTTGTCACACGCTTGCTTTCTATGGGCATCTTTTAACATGTCCCCCTCCCTACATCCTAGTGGAATAGTTCATATGAACACCTGAAGCTGCCTTATCCCAAGTCAGATCATTGGCCTGCTTGGCTTGGTGCTCTTTACTTTCCCAGCAGCTTTCCAGTGCTTCAGGTTTAGTCTCCACCATCTTCAGTTTAAAAGGTTAATTAACTGGTGATGAGAGAAGACTCTTCTCTGCCTGAGATAGTTCTGGAGAGACAGCCAGAGAAAGCTACAAGGAAGAAAGCTTCATGGCATACAAATAATCCTTAACTGTATATGCTGGAGATTAAACCTGGGACTTTGCAGGCATACTTGATAATAGTGTTACAGACTAGCACACAAACTGAAGGCAATTCACACCTCTACAGTACATGCTTTATTTACACATATATACAACCTGTGTCTAGACCGAGAGAGCACAGAACATTCATATCCCAAGAGGTTCCTGTTCTTCCCATTGCTGCAGCCGCATATTCCAAGAGACTCCAACATCCTGTCTGACCTTCTCTGCAGCATAAAATGGACTGCTTGCCTCATGCTCTAGCCTACCCATCCCTGCTGCCTCAGCTTGCAAAAGGGACACTTTTCCTGTTCACTTACCTCATTGCTCACAGCATTTCTGCCCCTCCCTCCTGAAACTCTGGACTTTTGTCTCTGCTATATCTCGCCTCAAGGAGAGGCTTTCACCATTTTCTGTCGGGCCCAGAGTGTGTGTGTTATTGGCCTTCTTAATGGATTAATGGCTCAGCTTGACTCATTAGCCTAACTAAATCCAGGGTTTCCTGTCTTTGGCCCAGTTTAGTCAAACTTTGATTAATTATAACTTTTACTAAATCCAAGAGTTATGAGTGGCTCACAAACTCTGGCACCCAGAACCTATAATAATACATTTTCCTTGTGGAGTAGAAAAGTTGTAAGGGTTGTTTCATTGTGGGTGAGTGTGGGCAAAAGAGGGCTGCTTTCTCTTTTAAGCAAGTTGTGCTTCTGTTCTTCTTTATGACATTGGTTTGTTTGGTTTTTTGCCAGTTTCCAGAGCTGCTGTCAAATAGCAAAAAGGTGTATTGGATTACTTATGGTCAGGCTCTCCTCATCCATGGAGATGGACAAATTTTTCGACACATCCTTAACTTCCTTAGATTTGGTAAACTCTTCTTGCCTTCTGAATTTAAGTAAGTGATATGGTTGCCATTTCCTGTGTTCCTAACATGGTCAGGTCATGATTAATGCAGCCTTCTCAACCAATGCAGGACAGCCACATGGGCTTTGTCAATGGGAAGTTTATGCTTTGGCAGAAGTGGTCTTTGGGTGGAGGGGCTGCAGCAAGTCCTCCGGCAATCTTAAACTCACAGCCACTATTCAGTGCCACCCATCAAGGGAAATTGGCCTAGGCATGTCCCATCTGGATGCCTCCTTCCTATTAGACAGAGAGTGGAATGCTGGCTACTTCTCATAAAAGTCCATATTCTGGTGCTGTGTGAGGGATACATGTAGTGCTGTCCTGTGGAGGTGCCAGTTTCCATCTACTCTGCTTCCAGCTTGGCACTACAAAGGAACTGAGGTGGAGCCTCCTCTGTTTGCTCAAGTCTCTTCAGCTGTATCATGTGATCCTGCCTGATCTGGATAGTGGGTGGAAGATATAACAACACACTGGGCCAGTGCGGACTTTCACAGTAAATAGCCAATGTTCCATTTTGACTCACACCCAAGATTTGGTATGAGTTTGCAGCAGAGTGTAAGGAGGAGAAACCAGTTAGCTCTTGAGGGAACATGTGCCACCCTGATATTTTAAGATGAGACATGAGCTTCAACATGCTTTTTAGAGCACCTGTATTTGAGTTGCACAGTCTTGTTTATTGCCAATAATGTTTTTACAAAGTTTGACAGGGCTCTCTGCGCACTTGATTTGCATAAACAAGCCTTGAGTTTTGTTTCTAATTGTCAGAGAATGGTCTCTGCTGTGCCAGGAAGTGGCCGCGTATCAGATCCCTTCTCTTGTCGAGGCTCTTCATCAATATGACACATACAGGTATCCTCAGTTTCTTTATCTTTTAAAAAAATCACGTATCAACCAGTGATGTTCAGGGGGCATGAGAACTCCCTCTGGGTGGACAATAGGCCAGAATTACAGAAATCCAAAGCACATCTACAAGCCCCTCCCCTGTAGTTGTTTGTCCCTGAATGCCCTCTTCATGGTAAACAGCTGGGAGGCAGTTTTAAGCAGGGCTGGGGTGGGGAGTTTGGTAGGAAACAGTCTTTTATCCAACACCCCTGGCCAACCTCGTTGCCCTTTGTTCCTGAATGGGATGTTTGTGGCATCAGCACTGTCAGGCGCAAAAAACCCTGCTTTTAAGAATGAGAAGGCATCAGTACAATGAGGAGGTTTCGGAGGAGAGATTTCTTTATCTATGTAACTCATATTCTACCTTTTTGCAGTATAGGACCCAAGGCAGCTCACAGTACAAATTAAAACAAATACTGCTAAAAATACACAGCATTGACACAATACAGTGGTACTTCGGGTTACATACGCTTCAGGTTACATACGCTTCAGGTTACAGACTCCACTAACCCAGAAATAGTGCTTCAGGTTAAGAACTTTGCTTCAGGATGAGAACAGAAATCGTGCTCCCGCGGCGCGGCAGCAGCAGGAGGCCCCATTAGCTAAAGTGGTGCTTCAGGTTAAGAACAGTTTCAGGTTAAGAACGGACCTCCGGAACGAATTAAGTACTTAACCCAAGGTACCACTGTACTTTCATGACATGCCTAATTTTATAAACTTCTATTATGTTGCCTCTTACTCACCTTTTCTCTAAACTAAAAAGTCCTAAACATGACAACCTTGCCTCATAGGAGAGTAATGCTGCACCCCTTTCTCAACTTTGCAATAACTTTTTTGAGGTTATTTTGAGATTTACATAATGGCATTAAAATATCAGCACTTTTATTTCCAAATCCTTTCCTGATTATTCCTAGCATGGAATACATTCTTTTCACAGCTGAAGCACACTAGGTCAACATCTTCATCAAACTATCCACTAAGTTCTCAAGGTCTCATTTTCCCATGAATTGATACAGCCAACGCTTCCTCCTCTTCCTCTAGCTTTTGCTCACAAACTGCTTGAAATTTCTACTTCCCCCCCTCCATTTTTTCAGTGTATACATCTTAATACATTTTGAAGATGCAGGCAATATTCTTAAATACGGAGGCAGGCACACTACCTCCAGAGCCATGGCTGACTTCACAGATGATTCTTGTAATGTGAAATGTTTTATTTACAGGTTATGGGTACAACAACAGGAAGCTCAAAGAGCAGCTTTTCCATTTAGAAGTCTTGAGATTGCAGTGCCAGAGAAAGAACAAGAGTCTGGTGAAGAGCCTCAAAATGTAAGGTTATTCTTCACTCAATGTTATCATTAAGAACATAAGAAGAGCCTGCTGGATCTGGCCACTGACCCATCTAATCTGGCTTCCTGCTCCCACTGTGGCCAACCAGATGCCTGTAAGAAACCCACAAGCAGGACCCAAGTACAAGAGCACTCGCCCCTCCAATGGTTTCCAGTAACTGGCATTCAGAAACAAACCTACCTCCACCCATGGAGGCAGAGCATGACCATTGTGGCTAGTAGCCATTGTGCTTAGCCTTACCCTCCGTATCTAACCCTCTTTTAAGGCCGTCCAAGTTGGCAGTCATCCCTGTGGTTTAGAATGAGTCTACCTTACAAACCTCTAATGTTTAACTGTCTTAACTTTCTCCCAATCATTTCTGGAAGGTTCTATAATCCTCAGCATTTCTCAAAGAGCCCAATTTATTATTCACCCTCCAAAGATACAAAAGCAGCTGCCACACCTCATAAAATTATAACAGAATCCTGTTATATTGCTTCTAAGGGAACTCAAAAGCAGGGAACTTAAAGCAGTTGGAAAACAGGATACATTGACGCTGCCAAATTACACTCTGTCTTAGAATTTTAATGGAAATTTTCCCTTTCCCTTTCTTTTCTTTTTTAGCACTCCTATATTGCTGTGGATTTAGATCAATGTGCCAATAGCTGGAATATATCTAGAAATACACAAGACCTGGAAGAAAGAGACAAAGTGAATGAAAAGTCCCCCCACATTTCCCCAACCAAGGGATCAAAGCGAAGAAATAACTGGGAAGGATATAGCCAGTCCACAGATGGGTGGGACAGTTCCTGCTGTTTCAGACAGCCTGAAAGGAAAAGAGGAGCAAAAGGCAATTTAAGCAAAAAACCTGAAAACAGAGACACTCCCATCCAGAAGCTCATTTCCCTAGTGCAGGGATGGGATATGGCGAACTATCGGTGCAGTGAAGCCCAGCAGGTGGCAACATCCAATGGTGTCAAAGTGGCTGAAGAGCCCGAAAGGAGAGTGCCTTGCAATTTCCCACCAGCCACTTGCTTTGGGGTCACCAGTCCTGAGCTCACAAGTAATGGGCAGCTGCCGAAAGCTGGGCAGTGCCTGCTGGGCATCCCGGCATCTGAGGCGTGGCTGGTAAAGATTGGAAGACAAAGCATTTCTGAGGAGGTTTCTTCAGTGGCTGAAAATATTGCAGCCAAGGAACTGAGTGGCCAGAAAGAGAGAGAGAAAGGTGAATTTGCTGCTTGTAATTTGCGCTCTCTGAGGATGTCAGGAACAAGGAGTGCCCTCCTCTTTTTCTCCCCCCCCCCAAAGCAGGGGTTGCTGGGACCTTTCCTTTCTCCTTGCCCCTTCTGCCTATACATAATGGCTTCTTGTTCACAGAGATGTGGGATTAGTGATCAATCACCTCTTTATTCATGATAGAGAGGGGTTGGTGTAGAAGCAGGTGGGGTGGATATTATCTCATTGTCATGATCAGGCCACTTCATGGTGAAGTTTGGTCTTGCAATGATTACTCCTGTCTTCAGCGGTGGGGGACCTCTGCTGGTCCACCCTTGGAGGTTGATGGCTTTAGGGGATTTTTCATTGGGTAGAGCAAGTGATCCTATTGAGGCTCTTGTTTCATTGTGGAACAGTGAGATGACTGGGGCCTTTGACACAATTGTTCCAAAAGGTCCTCTTTGGCACTGTGGAGACCACTCCCTGGTACTGAAGAGCTGTGGTTGATGAAGTAGGCTGGATGAAGACTGGAATACAAGTGACAGAAATCAGTGCTATAAAAAGAAAAAATGAAAGAGGAAAACAGTGATTAACTTCTCCTCCTGCAAGGAGCATCTAAGGGGAAAATCTTCATGATTGTTGCTCTGTGTTTAACAATTAGAGGTAGAAGCTGCAAGTCAGCTGCCTCTGTGATGTTGCTGTTTCGAAAACCCACTTGGGAAGGATCTGTTCTTTAATTGCTTATGGAGTTCCATGAACTGGTTGCAGGGATCTTTAAGGGATTAAGTCTCTAGCATTTGTATGCAGAAAGAGGAAGGTTAGTTATTTCATCAGTTGTTCTTCTGCTTGTTCCCAGGCTTCTGCAAGTTCAGGCAAACTCCACGGTTGCTATAGAGGGCTTATTTAGCTGATACTTTGCCGTGAAAAGTTGCTTGAATTGTTCAGGACTGGGTTATTCATATCTGAATAGCTTCATATTTATTTATTTTAGGGGCTTATATCTCATACAGTGAAGAACGTAACACACCCATCAAACAGCATAAAAAGAGTCAAGAGTTGGATGGTGAAGCATAAATAAAGGCCTGTGTGAACAGGTGTGCCTTAAGTAGGCAATTGAAAGAAACTACTGATAATGCCTGCTTACGATGAATAGGCAAGGAGCTCCAGGTCAAGGTGCAGACACACTGAGTTCCCTGTGAAAACATCATGTGGAACCCTTCATAGTGCCTCTATGCTGGGCCGCTATGAGGGGCAAGATGGTCTCTCAAGTCAGCTGTTCCCAAAGAGAGCTCCTCTTACGGATCAGTAACTGGTTAAGAAATAGGAAGCTGAGAGGAAGACTAAATGGATAGGTCTCCCAATGGAGGGATGTAGAAAATGGGCTCCACCAAGGATTGTAACTGGGGGTTGTGTGTTTTACTTTCTTCACTCTAGAGTTAGGGATGAACAGTGAGGTTGCCAAGTTTGCTGATGATACCAAATTGTTCAAAGGGTTAGAATAGAAGAGGATTGAGAGGAGCTGTAAAAGGAAACCAATTCATAAATAAGCTTAGCCCAACCCTAAAACTGAGTGAATGGGCAGTAAAATGGCAAATGAAATTAAAAGCAAGTGTAAATTGATGCATGTGGGATCAACACCCCCACTTTAATTTTACTTATGCTTAAATAGAACCAAAACTGGGGGTCACTGATGAAGAATGAGACCTTGAGGTTGTAGTGGACAGCTTGATGAAGGTGTTGATTCAGTGTATAGCAGCTGTGGAAAAAGGCAAATTCCATGATGATAAGGAAAGGGATTGAGAATAAAACTACCAAATATCATAATGCCATTGTACAATTTCATGGTGAAACCACCATGGGTTTAGTGTGTATAGTTCTGGTCACACCTCAAAAAGTATATTAAAGCACTGGGAAAGGTACCAAAAAGGTAAAAGGGACGGAGCAACTGTCCTATGAGAAGGGTTACAACACCTGGCACTTTTTAATTTGGAAAAAAGTGAAGAAGACAGAATGAAAAGAGGTGTGCACATGCTGTGGCATACATGGGGTGTAGAACTGGCCACAGAATGGTGCCTCTTTGCATTCCATGTCCCATACGACTTCCTAAATTCCATTGATAGAGGCAAGTCAGGATGCAACATCTGCTAACTCTTTATATGCCAATACATATATCATGTTAACAATTTTTACCCATTTCTGCCCAGGGACATTCCCTGAACAAAGCAGCAGTGCTATCATGGATGAGCCCCATGGGGACACTGGCTTGATTATTAAAGTGGAGCATCCTCCGATTGTGGCTTGTGATGGTTCCTGCTCATCTCATGAAAGCAGCATTCTCTACAGCACACACCTGGAGGACATGAAAGTAGCCAGTGGTCTAGCACACCCCATGGCCAAAGGTACTGGGCATGGGAAGCATATATAAAGAAGGGGCAGGGCTGAAGGGAAGGGGGGAGGGACTCCGCCCTCAGAAAATAGAACCCCCCAATTCTGTACCCAGAATCTTCACTATTTCTCCCTGCAAAATGAGAAATTACTGTATATTTTGGCAAGAAGTTCCCTCTTGTAACCATTCCTGTAACAAAGATCTTGCCCTGTTGAGTTCAAGAAAAAAATGGTTATATTGTGAAGGCCTTTTCTATTGTATTTCAGTGGGGTAATGGTGCTTCCTGAACATCAAATAATGCCACAAGTAGAGACTAGCTCTGAGCTGTATAGAGTTGTGTCCAATAATACAATTTGGTGAGACTATTCAGTGTATCTGGGATTTTCTTCTTGGGCAGTTTGGTTAGTGAATGTCATGGAACTTGCATCTTGCTTAAGTCCTTGAGCGTGACCTGCTCTGCTAGGCTTCTCATGATGCTGCAGCTGCTCTCTTCTAGAGGCCCACATGGTTGGATTGTTGGCATCAGTCGGCAGTGTGGGTTGCTGAATAAAACAGCTTTGTCTTCAGGCAGATTATGCTAGATTAACGGTCTTCAACCAGTGGGTCAGGAGCTGTGGTTTGATTTAAGGAGGAACACAACAGTAGCAGCACCATGCAAAGATTTGACTAAAAAAAAGAGAAATGGCTCCCTAAATGCATATTTTGGTTAAAAATGAAAGTAATATAGAAACATGCTTTATCGTAGGGAAAATTGCTTTGCAAAAATATTAGGGGGAAATGTATGCATTGGAAGAAATTCAAACTACAATGCTGTTTAATTTCTATTTATTTTATTTTTATTTTATTTTTTTACAAACAGATAAGGAAATATAGAGAACCGAATTTAAAACTGGAAAACTGAGAAACTGAGAGAAATAAAAATTGACAGGATCCCCTCTTCCTCATGTTTCCAACTTGCCTTGGGTAGTTTTGCAATGGCACTAGAATACTTGTGGGTTGTGCTGTGACTAGCTGGACCTGTGGTGGACCAAGGATGTGACTCCTTGGCCACACTGAGTTACAGGGCCAGGCAGGAACCATGGGAGGTGGTGCCACCAAGTCAGAAACAAAATGCCCCAAAGCCAAACCAAGATCCAGTGTAGGCGGTGCTATTTTTGTACTCAAGAGAGTGTGATGAGGGAGACACTGAAGGTCTGGCAAAGAAATGGGTGTTGATGGCACTCCCTAATTCTTTCCGCTTATAGATATTGTCTTTCTGAGCTTTCCATTGTCACAAGAGGAGATTTTTTATGCCCGAAAGTGCCACTGCTTTCTCACCGATATCATCTTGGATTCCATAAGGCAGAAGGACCCCAAGAAAATGACTGCCAAAGTCGAGCTGCTTGTGCAGAGGCTGTGGGTAAGAATACAACATGGCTGCTCTTGGGCTTATAGAGGTCTTGGGTGCCAATCCCGAAACCATGTGGCCTGTTGGCACAAGCTCTGCTCGCCTAGGGCATATCACCTGCTGAGACCTCCTTCCTAGTCTAACAGCTTGACTGCGAGCTCTGGGAATATTTGGAGACCACCAAAAGGCAATAAGCCTTGCCCCACCCTCATGTCTCCCTTCTTCTAAGGCTTCTGCGGAAGAGAATCCTGCAGCCATTCCTGCCTTCCTGGTCCTGTTTCTTCACCTCCCCCCCTTCCTCACAATCCTGCTAACTGCTCTTCTACGCAGTTGGCTCTGGAAAATGGTTGCTGTGTGCCCTCATTTCTTGCAGAGCCTAGAGATCACAGCTAAGGAGTTTGTGGCTGACTTGCTGAATGTGGCGCCCTTTAAAGCAGATAGTCATGCTTGTGAGAAGTTACTGAAATGGATTGAAGTAAGTGCGAACTATTGATTTGCTTCCTTTTGTAGTGGAGGACAGGGACTGCTGCTGACCCAGAAAGACCAGGCTCTCGCTGCTTGCTTTGTGACTTCCTCCATTTGATTGAACAGAAGGGCTGTGGGGGGGGGGAAGGAGGGAGAGCCTCAGAACCCACAGTGTCAGCTTGGATAACAGGTTAATGTTTGAGCAGAGCTGAGTGAAATTTGCAGGCATAGGAGCTCATTCTGAGGATATGAACTCTGCCAAATTGGTTCAGGATTTCACTTTTACTGAGTGCTTACTTTCTACTGTGAGTGTTCTTTAAAAGACAGCATCAACAAATGTATGTCACTTTTATTTCTTAGAAGAATTGGATGAAATTTGAAAGTCTAAATGTCAGGTAAATGGGTGCAGGGTTTTTTATTTTGGCAAGGGGAACCTGTAAAGTTTCTTTTTTTAAGGATCCCTTTAGCCTATGGGGCCCTCACACCTCCTTCTCAAAGCCCAGTGCCTTGCTTACCTGGTTTTGGGAAGGTGGCATGAGGGCTGGGGTGCGTGTCAAATGTTGCTGAGGGCCACCAAAAAAAGCCTCAAGGGCCGCGTGTTGGACCACCGTGCACTAGCTTGTGGAACAGGTGGAGAAGGTGGCCAGTAAGCCTGTTGTTCTGCTGGACCATCCACATCCAGGGGTGTCAGGAGGACCTGGCCCAAGCTATCCTAGGTACACCTCTCTTGTCCACTAACCAGTGTTCCTGGGGAGATGCTGTGGAGGGCAGACATTGGTTCAGGAAGTGGGGACAGACACCATCTCCCTGTTGTGATCCTCAAGCTGTTCTTGGAGCCACAGGGCCCTTGAATGCTGCCAAAGCCAGCCACAAAGAGCAGAGAAACAGCTTGAGATCTGTTTCTTCTGTGACCCTCCCAACAGCATTTGCGATTGGAAGTAAAAAATAGCTCCAGTAAAAGCGTTTCCCAATTCAAAACAAAACTGCATATCGACTCCTCTCCCTCACCCCTCCACCCTCTCTAGCATTTCTCATTTTTGCAGACGTTGAGGTACAAAATGTATCAGATTAGTTGGATGGGATTTGTGCCTCTTTGAAGATGTTTGCGCACAATTACTATATATATTATATATTTATTATTTGTACCCCGCCCATCTGGCTGGGTTTCCCCAGCCACTCTGGGCGGCTTCCATAGAAACCAAAAATACACTAAAATATCACAGATTAAAAACTTCCCTGAACAGGGCTGCCTTAAGATGTCTTCTGAATGTCAGGTAGTTATTTATCGCTTTGACATCTGATGGGAGGGCGTTCCACAGGGTGGGCGCCACTACCGAGAAGGCCCTCTGCCTGGTTCCCTGTAGCTTTGCTTCTCGCAATGAGGGAACCACCAGAAGGCCCTCGGCGCTGGACCTACTAAATTGCATTCAACCTTTTCATGCCCGAGTCCATCTTTAATCCTGACCTGCATTGGAGGACCTGCAGTGGAGGAAGTAACTTCTAAATTTTAAATATGTGTCTCCTGAGGCGTTTGGGTGGCCTTCTATCTGGACACACACACTTCAGCCAGTGATGGACTTTGCGCTCTCAAATTTCAGTGGCACCTTGTGTGACACTAAAAATCGCTGACCCCCCCCCCCCACCTCACACGCTCTGTTCTACAGCATTGTTGTGGCGCCCCCTGCAGCACGGATGCGCTACCCTAAAAGCACCTCTGCTTCCGCTCTGAGTGTTTGGCAGCTGGTTCAACAACTTAACCCTGAAGGGAGAATGTCATTGCCACTCCTTGAGCTGTTGCTAGCCTATTTGTTTTTCCCTTTCAGTTTACTCTGCCATTTGCCTGGAAGTACAGTTGCTGCATTGACCTGCTGATAAAAAAAGGTTACTTTCAATCACTCTCTCATTTTGTCATAGGGAAATATTTACAGAAACCTTAATAAAACTGAAATCCTTTGTTTCCTCCGTCCAGATAAATCGGCTGCTCCCTTCATGTGTATCTATTTAACTGGCAACAGGAGCCATGTAGAAACTTAGTGGGGGTATTAAAGTGGCACACAGGGAGAAGTGCTAAATTCTCTGCCCACAGAGCAGGGGCCTTCATTTGCCTGCGCTGCTGTCTGAAGTGATACAGTTCTGAATTCTACCTTCGTGAGTTGCTCTGTGTAATGTGTGAAAGGGGCCCAAAAGAGACAGCGTATAAATTCTCCCCTCCTACTTGCAGCAGGATGCAGGGCAGACAGCATCCCTCCAGCAAGCCCCCAAGTCCCATATTTCCTCAAAAAGGGGCAGCTTGCTCTCTTGCCTGGGTGAGCCTGCTGCAAAGAGGCCACCTGCACCCCTCTGGCTTCTCCTGCTTCATGGGAGCCTTCCAAGGCACAGGTAGGGCCTCATGGTGGAGTCTCTTTCAACATCCCTGCTCTGGCCTGTCCCCTTGACGGTCTTACAGGGCAGAGCTGCAGCACACTTGGCCTGATGTCACAACTGGCCACCTGTTTGGGTGTCTTTCTAGCTGGACTGATTACGACACATACACACATTTCACACAAGGGCTTTACTCTGGAATTTCCCTTTCACTTTTATAGGGTATACACATGGCTTTGTAATGAATTTGCTAGCTTGCTGTGTTCAGTGTCTTTCTTTATTTCATTAATGGATCACTCCTGAAATGATTGAACAATTAAAAATACAACCCATAAATACCTATATAAGAAACAAGTTCAGGTCCAATGCATATGCAGACTGGGATAAAAATGTTCCCTTGAAAGGCTTGTTGGAAAAGGAAGTGAAAGGAACTTACTCGGAAGTAAGTTCAGCTGACTGTAATGGGACTTACTCCCAGTGTGTACGTAAGGGTTGCAGCTGAAGCTTCTTCTCAGAGTGGATAGGTGTGCCTTTTCTTCTCTCTCTTCCCCGCACCCCTGAACATCAGTCAAACCCAAGCCACCCACTGGCAGAAATCCTGGCTCCTGCTGCATAAGCTATTTCCATAGATGGTTTTGTAAGGGGATTAGAGAATCAACTGAAAGGAACGGTCCAGGCAGGGCTATGGTATGTTTTTTTAACACTGCATTTATCATTTGCAGTTTAAATATGATAATATAATAAAGAAGATGTTTCATAATAATAATTACATTTTCAGAGAAGCCTCTCTACAGCCAACCTGTGATGCCTATTTTTGCTGCTGCCCAGTCAACCTGGGTTTGAAGTACTGAGGAGCAGGATCAAGGCAGGGAAGGATGTTTCAAAATATTTTCCTCTCGCTCTCTTTCCCATTTTGTTTTTGCAAACTTAGGGAGGGGAAATAGTTTTGCTCAGTCTTTCGTGTGTGTTGATGAACAGCCATCAGCCTTATTGGGCTAAATTAAGTTTTATATCACATGTCAGCAGACTCAAAACTACTTAAAACTTGAGCAAAGCCACTTCACTTTCCTTTCAGTTCACATAAAAAATAAAGAGTTGAGTTTAAAATGCTGTTCTTCCTCTATTGCACAGGTGCTTTCATAATGTCAAAACATCTCTACCCATATGGAATTGCAAAACCAAAATTAGTCAGATCTTGTGATGACAATAGTCAAAAGCTCTTAGAAATGATCACATGCAATCAAGCTAAAATATACTGGAAGAAACAACTTTTATTAAGTAATTCAGTCAAACTTTGAACATAACATTGGTGCCAGGCAGGCATACATTAAGGATTTTTTTCCAGCAATGAAAAAACTGCCCAGCACAAGTAATTCCAGATACTGATTCATCCAAAATTGATCCCAGGCTTCCTCCAGTTTTCTGGGAAACGCTTTGTTTATAAAAGTCAAAGTTATATTAACCAAGAAACATTACTTGGAAGTTTCTAAAGTCATCCCTTTCCAGCTGTGCTGCAGGTGATATTATACCAAAGAGCTCTGGTATTCCATTCTTTGTAGGGAGTGGGCTGAAGAAATTCAGTTCATTAAATAAATGTAAAATAAGGGTTATATTTACAGCTCATGGGTTTTAGAATGAAATGGGAATATGGGTAGTAAATGGGAGGCAAGGGAGAGGCACTTGTGGACTATAGCCAGAAGCAGAAGCACAACAGCAGAGAACTGTATGGCACACAATTCCAGTACTGCCTGGCTTCCAGATGCTTGAGGTTCAGAAAATTGCCAATACTTCCTCAGCTAGGTTGGCAGAAATTGCTTAGAGTCAGAACTGCCTCTACTAGCAATAACCTGTTCCTGACCTGCCTTGGCAGGCAGATCACTGTGAACTCAGGTGCATTATTTCCCCTTAGGAAGTCAAAGGAGGCTGACCACTGTCCCTGGGGTCGGATCCCAGCTGGAGGTTCAGAAATGCTTAACAGCTTGGTCTACACATGAAGCAGAATAAGATATAACACTTCAGATAGCAAATGAGAACTCCCATTTTAGAATGCTCCCCCAATGGGAAAGCTCCCTGTGGGTTAAAAACTAGCACACCAGGAAGAAAACTCTATGATTAGGTTCTTATCTGCTGTGCTAGCTTTCTATGTTCATGGACTATTTTTTGTGCAAAATTCAATAAATGTTAAAATGTTTTTCTCTTACTTGCCCTCTGCAATGTCATTGCCCATTCTGATGCCTCTGGATTTCATCCCCTCATTCCACTGCATATTCATACCCCCACCCCCTGTAAGTGCTGCCCCATGGATTAATTTAGTTTCCTAACAGTGAACAGAAAGAAACAACTCTTCTAGTGACAACTTGGCTCTGAGGCACCTGTGGAATCTGCTAATGAAGCAATTAGTGGTAAGAACAAGGAAATAAATTATCTCAAGACCAGGCAAACCTATACAAAGAACTGGCCTGGATAACAAAGGAGGTTACTCTTTTTTCAAAAAATAAATACTTTGTTTCTTTATTCTGCCCTTTGAAAAAGTTTTTTTCCTAAATGTGCAGCTTGTGGAACAAAGCAAAGTCAACTGTAAAAAAGACAAGTGGCCAGCCAACATCTATCTCTCTGATCCATACCCTCAACGTACAGCTGTTTCACTATCCATAGCCACATCAGGACCACCAAAACTTGACAACTGTCTCCCTAAACCTCCTCCCTCAACAATGGCACCCAAACCTTTCACTGCTGCTGCTCACTGTGGCTACCCAGCCCCAGTCCCTGGGCTGCCTTGTGAAACAGCAGCAGAAGGCAGCAGGAACTCACACCTGCACTGGGGGCACTCAACCCACTCCACAATTCAGTCACACAAACAAAGGCATTTTCATGTCCAGTGCTGTGGCCCAGTCTAGTTAACTGCTCAGTATTCTCCACTACTATTATGGGCTCCTGGGTGCTGTGTGGGGACATACACAGGTTTCTTCTTCTTGTCTCCTGAGAAACATCACGGAAACCAGCGTTTAGACCTGCAACACAGCATCATCCATGATCAGGGGACTCTGGGAGATTTGAATGTAGAGCCATGGTGAAAGAAAGGACTGGCTCTCCCCCCACCAAATCCAGCTTAGTGTGGGCCAGAGGAGCAGCATGTGCCACAAGCACCTGCAAACCAAGGATCCTGCCCACCCCACCCTTCCCAGGGGCTGGATCCACCTCCCATCAACTCCAGCCAAGAATGATGAGAACTGATAGTTCAGCGCCATCCCAAGGGCCACCTGTATTCCATTAAGGAAAACTCCCAGTCTCCCAACCCCAGCTGCTGATTTCTAAAGTGGGGCCTCACACATTTTGTTTTACTGAAATGGCTCGAGTTGGCTTCCTATGGTCTGTTGGAAGAATAGAGTGCCAAGGCCACAGACACGGCTGAGGTTCCCTGAGCAAGGCAAGGAGGACTAGTGATTCTATGGCCTGGATCCCTTGGGCACATTGGCAAGGTCCTGTCCACTTACCGCTGAAACATACTGGCTTTTGGGAAAACAGGTTTTCTGCTCTGTCGGGGAGGGAAAAGCAGAGCCTTCGGGGATGGGGAGGGGTGAGCCAAGGTCTTCACAGAAGCTCTCCTGGGGAGCGCTGGATACGCAGCCACTGTCGGAGCCACTGGAGCCGCTTCTGGACATGCATTGGGAGGAGGATTCTGAGCTCTCAGTCGCTGGGGACAAAAAGAAGAAATTCAGCCACTAGACAAAAGAGTCCATCAGGGGTAGAAGTATATCCCAGCCAGATGTGTAAGAAACTGCAGCCCCAAAGAACCCACTCAGCTTCTGGGGAGCAGACACAGCAATGCTCTAAACACTTCCAACCTTTCCACGTCCTAGTTTAGGCCACATTCTGACTGTCCATCCCATGCTCAATGACTAGCTTATGATCTATACCAGGCTCTCCTCTTGGACTGCTTGCCCCCATTTCTAAGGTTTATAGAGCCCTCCCTTTCTGCTCAGTGTCCTTAGGAACTACAGCAGCTGGAACTGGGGAACCATCACAAAACAGCAAGTAAGTGCACAGGGGGAGGATAGCTTGCAAGAGGGCCAGAAAGTAAAGTTGCTCATAGTTTGAGTGAGTGATGCAGCCATGGACTGAAAGTGAGAGTCTAGAATCTCTCTCCCCCCATTCTGCCAAGCCAAGCAGCCATCTGCAACGCACAATGGTTTTAGAAACTGCTCCCAGAGAACAAGGATGGTTTCTGAACTGGGGCTGAGACAGACAGGTCATACGTACTCATGGAAGGCTGGCTGCTGGTCTCGTTCTCCATTTCATCCTCCTCTATGCATGTGCCCGCATCCAAGGAGTGGCTGGTCGAGAGCATGCTGGGCAGGAGAGACTGGTTCAGGTACATGTGCAAGTTGAGAGGCCCAAGCACTGTGCAGGAGGAGGATGGGCTGCCCGCAGGCAGTGGTGTTTGCGACCTCTTGTAAGGGTTGGCGTGGTCAAACAGAGAGACGGCAATAGAAGCCCGAGTCCTGGCTCCTGCCACAGAGCAAAGAAAGGGGGGGGAGCAAGTCATGAAGAGCTGGATAGCAGCTGCGTGGGTCCTTGAGAGGGGTTGGGGTGTGAGAGGGTGGGGTAGACTTACCCCTGCCTTTCATGATGTAATCAATGGCACGGTCATGGATGGCAGCTTCACTCGGCTTGATGTCCAGGAAAGGCTTGTTCCCCACACCCATGGATACCATCTCCTGCATGCGGATCTCTGGGGGTGACAACAACCATGAGGAACATGCCTAGCCTCACAAAAAAGCAGCTCTGTGAGTTCTAAGGGCCACCAAGCCCAGCCTCGGTCTCTGGCAAGACAAGCAGATTTCTGGTAGAATGGGCAACTTAGATCAAACTTGGTGCAACAGGTCACATAGCTTGGCTGCCTCTGGAGAAGCAGCTCTGGGCACAAGGAGTCCTAAAGGACAAAGCAACCGCCAGACCAAGAAGCTTGTCCCAGGCAGTTGTCAGTGCTCTAGTTAATCTCTCCCAAGAGAGTCATCTTGCGGGCATCTCCCAGGTATTACATGTTAGCCAGGGAAAAAACAACTGGTAGTATTGGGGAGGGTCACCTGGTGCAGTGAAGTCCAGGGCTCCTGGGCCTTGCCTAGCTGGCACTTGCAGCTCTCCTCCCTTCTGCATATGGCACGACAAACTGCCCCCTCTCTCTCAGACACCAGACAGAGCACCTCTATTTCGTGTGACCAGTCACTCTAGTGGGAGTGGGGGCTTCCATGGAGAATCCCAGGAACCAATGACCCACTTTATTTCTGCAACTGCCATGCCCAGAGAACAACCTGGAGGCCCTATCCAACAAGCTGCCTGTGCCGCCCCTGCTGTTGCTTCCATGAGCCACTCATTCCGACAGAAAGGATTCAATGGTCCCACAGAGAAGAGGGTGCCTGGGCTTTACAAATGCCAACCTTTATTGCGGGCAGCCTGCTCCCACAGGATCTTGGTAATGTCACTAGTCCAGGCCAGCTTGGTCTCGGGGCTACTGGCCTGCAGGACGTAGGTGTCACTCGATTTCCGCCTTCTAAACCAGATCTCAAAGCGCAGCCCACTCTCGCCGGAGTTCTCAGTCAGGCCAATGTCTGCTGTCTGCAGGGACAGAGCAAGTGAGTCAGCAAGCCAGGAGGCAATTGGGGTCACATGCTGGGCTGAGGGTATACATGGTGAGGCAGAGGCGGCTCCTGAGCTGCTGCCATGATGATCCACCTCAGTGGTGTGGTGTGATTTAGTGCTTACAAATGGGAAAGAGGTTCACTCTGAAAAGTTCAGCCTTGGTAAGCTTGACAGGGAAGGTGACGTAAGATGCACTTGGGAACATGAAGGTGTGAAAGCCCTGCCCTCCAACACACACAGCCCACAAGCCGCACGTGGGCTCCAGAAAAACCCTAGTGCCACTGCCTACTGGCTAGCTGAGCATCTGGTTGCAATGCATGCACACACCTTGATGTATCAAAAATCGTGCAGGTCTGCCTGAGGCAGCTGATAAAACTGGCTGCCTGAATGTGTGACATCGTGCTTCCCCCAAGTTTTCTCTTGCACAGCCTGTGAAGAAGGCATCCCCCTCCCTATCTGGTGCCATTTTAGTTTCTTGGAGAGGCAGCAGCACTCGCAAGCAGCAGTGGGCAGCCTTACCTTAAAGGAGCGCTTGTAGATGTAGACATCCAGCCCCCCCTCAACCCGCTTGGGCTTGCTGAAAAGGATCAGGTCTTCAAAGAGAAAGACATGGCGCTGGCACTTCCTGCGGCCCAGACAGACGCTGAACTCATCCTGGCGCACCAGCTGCCCCTGCTCCTTGAGGTTCACCTGGGCACAAAAACCATTCATTCATCTGCAAAAAGGTCTGGACTGGCAACATTCTGGGGGGTGGGGAATGATGTCAGTTGTACACGGGAGTAGAGGATTGCGGGCCACGGGGACAAGCAGCAGGTGCCCTGTCGCCAAGGGCAGCCTGACAGGCCTCTGATGCCAGAGTCCCTCTTGCTCCATCCCAGAGCAGTCGGTTTCTAGCCTGCCTTGCACTCCAGGATGTGAGGCTGCTGCACCGAGATCCCTTTTCATGGGATCAAGGAGATGCAGAGGCAGCCAGGAGCTCAGCTGGTGCTGTTCCTGGCAGGAATCTGCTCCCCTCCCCTGCCCCTCCTCCTCCCAGCCCACTCACGTCACAGTCCCGGATGGCATCCATGGCCAGGAGGTCGTTGCCGTGACGCAGCTGGAAGCGCACCATCTCCTCGGCGGCTTGCAGGTAGGCCAGCTCCTGCTCCTGAGCCTCCCCACACTGCTTGATCAGGTCCTTCAGGAGGAGGGCGTACTTGCTCATGCGCTGGATGGGCTTCAGCAGGTAGGAGGCCAGGTCCATCTTGTCCCCCAGCTGCATCTGCTTGAGCTGGAGGCCAGAGCGGGAGAGCGGAGCTGAGTGGCTGGAGCCAGAGAAAGACCAAGGGCCGCTCCACTCCAGTCCAACGCCTGCAAGGGGTTGCTGGGAGGGGGCAAGACTTACCCTGAAAAAAGAGTTCCCACGGCTGGCCAGGAGCGAGTCAGACTTGGGCTTGTTTTTGCTGTAGAGAGCATACATCCCAAACTGATCTTTCTGCAAAAAGGGTTAGAAGCACACAGGCCCCCCACAAAGGGAGGCCACAGACTCTGTCAAGGGATTGGCCACAAGCACACAGGCACAAAATACAGAGCTTGGGCCTCAAGGAGAGTAGAGCGCTGCCACTACAAAAGCCTGCAGACCTTCATGCTTCCAAAGGTGATGGCAGGCCCAGGCTAGGCCATGTCCAGAGAAGACAGTGGAGGCCCCATCCTGGAGGCCTTCAGCTTGTGCTCCTGCTGACTCTCCTTTATCCTGTTCCCCTTTGCAAAATCCTCTCAGCAGGCCTTGTTCGTCTGCCTGACCACCTCTCCCTCCCGCTCCTGCAGTGGTCCTTGGGCCTAGAGCCAGAAACACTGGTGTTGTGGACGGGCATTTCAAGGGCATTTCCCCTCGGGAGCCCTAATCCTTACCCTGAGGCCTGCCTGCCCACCTACCAAAGTTCCCTGCAACCAGCCCCTCCCCAGCCCTGCCCGAGTTTCTCCAGGCCCCTTACATGTCTCAGGAAGCAGTGGCTGACCCGCAGCGGGTGGTTACAGCAGTTCTCCAGTTCCCGCAGGAAGTACTGGCTATGGAAGTCATAGAGCTTCTCCAGGTTCCCAAAAATGACACTCCGCTTCCCCCGCAGGTCTTGGGGCAGGTCCAGCCGCTCCATCTCAGGGAAGTAGCTCTCAATGATGTAGCGCAAGGACCGGACGTACTCCTGCTCAGTCATCACCATCTCCTCAATGATGTGCCGCAGTTTGCTGCAAGAGAGGAAGCCAGGAGCAAAGTTGGAGGATGGTGAGAAGAGGCCTTGATTCTTCAAGGTCTGTGGGGCCAGAGGGAGAGCCTACCAGCTTGCTTGGAAAAACAAGCTCTTCCCCAACAGCTGCAGATAAAAACACATCCCTGAAGCATTTTTAATCTGCAACTGCCCAAAAAGACGTCTCTCCAGCCCCACCAGTTTCTTCTTGCCTTTTTAAACAGTGCTCCATGCTTAAGCTGCCAACTGCTCTGCCAGCTGACTCCCCCTGCTGGTCCATTCTCCCTCCCCAGAATTAAATAACAGGGAACATCTACACTACAAACATATGCTGGTGCTACTCCACTTTAACTGCCTGGCTGTAGATTGTTGACAAGCTGAGAACACCCACCTCCCTGAATGAGGAGTCCCAAAGGGACTGGTTGTTAAACAGGCTTCTGACTGGATCTGTCCACAGCCCCACTTGTTAGCAGGTGATACTCCAACCTCATCCATACCTACCTGCCCAAGCTCTTTGCCTCTGGTATGGAGAGGCTGCTCCTCTGCTCCGCTTGCAAGCCGCCAGGTGCCCAACTGGTTGGGCCGAGGTGTTGCCGGGCCACATGCTCAGTACTGCTCACTTCCAGCCCCTTGATGAAGACGCCGGTGTTGCCGTAGCGGGCTGGCTCACTCAGAGTCCGCTGGCAGCCAGAGCGCAGTCCCTCTGTGCAGGGCAGGTCAAAACTCTGGGCCTTCCTCAGGGGCCTTTTGGGGAATGGCTGCTGGCCAGAGGCTGGGGTGGAGGGGCGGGAGGTTCCTGCCTCCAGGACTTCCACAATGCTCTCCAGGGTGACCTTCTCCTTCTTAGAAGCCTCTGGAATGACCTGGCTTGGGAGCACAACCTGCTCCCCAGTCCACCCAGGGAGACGGAAGGGGAGTGGCCCCTCCAAAGGCAGCCTGCCCTCCTGGCTGAGCTCTCCCTCAGGCGATGGCTTCAAGTCAGGAGGGCACAGAGAACTCTTGGTCCTCAGGGCAGCTTCCAGCTTCATCTCAAAGCTCAGCATGGTCTCCTGGCACTTGGACCAGGCTAGCTGCCATTGCTTCAGGGCACGGCTGCTCTTCAGCTGGCATGCCAGCTCCTTCATCTCCTGGAATCTGGCACTACTGATTTCTGGGTGCTGTCTCTTGTAGCTCTCCAGGCTCCTGAGAGCCGAAGCACAATCCTCAAGGGAGCTGCCCTCCTCTGTGCTGATGCTGGAAAGGTGGTGCATGCCCTCCAATGCCCATTCGTAGGCCTGTAGGGGTGGGACAAGGAAAAAGCGATCAGTGGAGGGAGGGCGGGTGGGGTCCACAGGCCTCTGCAGCTAGACCACAACAAGAGGCTCTCTATCTGAGGCTAGGCCCTGTCACCAGCCTGACTGACTGCCAAGCACGGCTGCCAGGCTGCGATGGAGGCTGCAGCAGCTTGGCTTGCTCAGGCCCTTCCCAGGAATGGCGGCGCTTGGAGCTGTCTGGGGAAGGCCCTCCTCTCCTTTGTCCACAGTCTGCAAGCCACATCAAGCTTTTCCATGTGCCTTCCTTTGCCCCCCACCCCACCTTTTCTCTCCTGCTCCATTTTCATCTTTTTCTCTAGAATCTTGTGTGCACAATCATGTGTTTCAAGTATCACATGGACGGCTAGGACTGGGGCATTGGCTGACTCGTAGACAGCAAAGACACAAGACTGGAAAAGGCCCTCAAGCAGAGTGCTGGGGATGCATTGGCCTGCTGCCTGTAGTGGGAAGATCAATGTGACAGGATCAGTCCCAAAATGCCCCACACCCACTAATACTCTGCCCAACAATAGATTTGTGGGGAGTTATTCCAGAGAGGTATCCCCCTCTTCCACCACCACCACCACCACCAAGAAAGCAGTATGTGTTGGGGGGGGTGTAGTCAGAGGGAGCCACCAGAGGGCGCCTTGTGTGTATAGAATCCTCCCAGGGGTCAGCAACCTTTTTCAGCCGTGGGCTGGTGGGCCAGACTATATGGGGGGGGGGGAATGAATGGATTCCTATGCCCCACAAATAACCCAGAGATGCATTTTAAATAAAAGCACACATTCTACTCATGTCAAAACACGCTGATTCCTGGACCATCCGCGGGCCAGATTTAGAAGGCGAGTGGGCTGCATCTGGCCCACGGGCCTTAGGTTGCCTACCCCTGCCTCAGCCCCAAACTGAAAACAACTGTCCCCAGAGGGAATGTGGAGAGCTCTGGCAGATCTGGAGTAGGGCTAAGGCTAAGCCAAAGGAGGGATGCAGCCTGAAGGAATGGCACAAGTGGGCAAGCTGTGAATGCAGAACATGACCCCCTGCACACCACAATTTGGACATAACTGCATTGGAACAAAGATTGCTCCTGCAACCAACTCCGAAGTGAGAGCTAGTGCAGAACATTGCTTCACATCCCAGTAAAAGTGACCCCCTTTTGTCAATTTCCAAGAAAGGCTTTTGGAGGCTCATGATGGTGAGAAATGCAGTAGCCTATGGCTGTCTCTTCTGCTTCAGTGCGGCCTCTCCCACGTCCATTCAAATGATTGGCTTCGTTGTTCCTCACCCCCTCTCCCAGGTTAGGCCTGGTTGGTTCTAGTCTGGACCAGATTCTGAATAAATGTAGGTGGGAGATGGAAACAGAGCACAGTGCGGCCAAAGCCTGCCAGAAACAAAGTAAGGAGTGCTGAGCAGGGCTTAGGTCCTCATGAATGCCATCCTGGTTGCCAGACTGTAGTGGGTATTTTGGGAGGATGGGAGTGCATTCTGTAGCATATGTGGAGAGTCCACGTATTATTCCACTTTATTAATTGTTCTGTAACGCTTTCCCAAGTGTTGCTTTGGTATTGTTGTCTAGAGGGCAGCACTGCAAAAGTAGATCAGAAACGCCCCCACCCAGAACATTTGTGTCACAAGATTTCCACAGGAAGCTACAGGGCATACTGAGCAGTTTGCCCACTTCAAAACTTTTGCAGGAGCAAACAGCACTGAAAGTGTGATCGCATATACCGCCCCGCCCCCACCCTGAACACAATAGAGCTCATAAATGTAGAGCTTAAAGGATGCAGTGGGGAGGGGGGGTCCATAATCTCCCAGCCAGTGGCTGGCCTTTACAGCCTGAGACAGCATCCCACACAAGGGACTAATAAAACATGGCCTACAAGAGAAAGTGTCTTCATGAAAGAACTCTGCATATCCTTGGTATGTCCAGTCCTGTGCTCACAATACTGGTCCCACCTCAGACATGCAGAGAACTCCAAGGCCAGCCTGTGGGCTGAAAAGAAGAGCAGATGCCAAGAGTCTGGTGTCTGCCACTTTGAACAGAGCAGGCTGAGCAGGGGATGTGTCCAGGCTCCCTCATTAGACATGCATTTCCAGCTGGGCCTGGAAAATCATCTGCAAGCCCAGGCTGCATCTGCAACTCTGATGCTCCCTGTCTCCAGTTTCCGTGGCACAAAAGAGATAGAATCACAGAGTTGGAAGGGATCCTGAGGGTCATCAAATCCAACCCACTGCAATGCAGTAATCACAGCTAGATAATTCCTGACAGACGGCCACCCAACCTCTGTTTAAAAAGCTCCAGTGAAGGAGAGTCTACCATCCGAGGCAGCCTGTTTCTGTTGGACAGCTCTTACTGTTAGACCATTTTTCCTAATGTTTAGTTGGGAGGAGGAAGGTGAAGAGGATGTGAGGTCAGCAGCCCTTAGAGTAGCAGTTTAACACAGAAGCAGGATCAACAGGTCAGCACAAGGACAGCCTAGGAAGTTTTTGTGGTCCCCATCCTCTCCTTTTACTCATGCAGATACACCAGCAAACAGAGTTCCACACTGATACTTCACCCAAAGGCCTCCTTATATTTTTACTTATTAACAAAGACAATGCTTGGCTAGGAAATATTTTTAGTATCTATATACTTGGTGCAAAAGAAAGCGCAGATAGCCTGCCCTGAGCCTTTCATGTTGAGACAGAGGGAACACCTGTGGACCTCCAGAAGTTGTTGGGCTGCAGGCCCCACTGCCATCTCTGATCATTGGCCATGCAACATCTGGAAGGTCACAAGTTCCCCACCCCTAATTTCAAGGGAGAGCATTTTCTATCAGTCAAAGTTGGGATGATTGTTCCTGGGTGCCAGCTGCCTCTCCCTCTTTGCCTTCCCTCATCACAGACAAGAAATTGACCAGCCAAGAAAAAAGGCAAGAGTTTGGAAAAAAAAAGTGGGGGGAGGCCTTCCCACATCCTGGGTGAACTCTACACTCCCCCCAAGACAACAAGCCCCTCTGCTTCCTATTTGGGTTAACTTTGCATGGGAGGATGCGTCTCCTTTCTTTTCTTCTCCTACTGACACCCGCAAGCAGATAGAGAAAAATGGTATCCCCTCAGAAATGAACCCCCTGCAAGACAAAGGAAAGAAGCTCCAGCATACCTTCATCCTTCTGCCAAAAGGCTCCGTAGCACAGGGTGAACCACCAAAAGCGCAAAGCCCAATGGAGGTCCCGCTCTTGCCTCCTCTGCAGCCAAAGCCAAACCCAGTCCCAAAAGTAACCAATGAGGGGGCTCCGGCTAAAGAGCCAGCCTATTCACAGGCAAATGCTCCCTGCTGAAGTGCCAGATGGAAGAAGGGGGCAGGTGGGGGTGCTGGAGAGAAGGGTTGGAGTCAGCGCAAGAGTGGTGGGGAGGAGGAGAGGCTCCAGGGCCTGTGAGGGACAGCACTCCATTACTGCGCCTAAGCAAAAAAGCTCTTACAGAGACAGGCAGCAAAACAACCCAAACACCCCCCACCTCTCAGGGGTGCCTGGTGCTCTTTTGTCCTTGCTTATAGGAGATACACAGTCTCCCATTCTTTCCAGGAAATTAGAATGACTACTATTATAACCTACCCCCAACCTGAGGCATTTGAACTACTTGCTGACCAGTGGTGGCTTGTACAGGTGAATGAATTGCCACAGATCAAACTTTACTGGCAGGACTCAAATGCCATCATTTTCAACAAAGGCAGTTCACACATTCAGCCTTGAGTGACATATGCGTTTCCATGACTGGAATTAGGAACTACAGAATGTAACCTGTGATTCTTTGGCAAAGAATCTTGCTTTTTCTTTTTTAAGTACAGAAAGTAGGACTGTTTTCTGAGAAGCCTCAACGCCGCCCAGCCACTTGCCAAGACACAGAATATGACCTCTTGTCCCAAATCTCTTTTGAAGCAGGGAAGGGGTGTCAGCTGCCTGACTTTTGTTGAACCTGTTGGAAGTGCTGGGATGCTTGTATTAAGCTTGTATTAAGGTCAGTAAGATGACATGGGTATGGGTTCGTCCACACTTCTGCTTGTCCTGTGTCTAGAAAGTCCAAATGATTTTCTGATTGTCTTCAGCTTTCTAGGCACAGGTCCTAGCTGTTTGCCTTTGTCCTGCCTCATTCCCCTGGAAAACCCGCTCTTTCGCACAAAATTGGAACAAACAGCAATGTGCAGAAAACCCAATTGCCCTTTGTTCTGGTTCAGTGCTAAAGCACAGGTTTTTGCAGGGGAAAGTGGCAGGGCAAAGGGAGTGTAAATGAGCCCTTAGGAAAGAGTTCCTAATACTAGCTATCAAGCATGCATGTCCTATAATAAACATAGCTCTCTTATTTTCATACTCAAAGTCTCACTGTGATTGCTTTCAGGTTAAAAAGCATCCAAACAAGGATCCATGACTAAGCTCAACTTCTGCTGTGGCATATGTATGCACAGAGAGTGAGTGCAAGCCACAGCATGGCAGTGAATCTGAGCAGAAGTTACATTAGGGGACATCTGTCTCCCTCTGCAGAACTCACCTGGTCAAAGAATTCATACAGCTTGATGGTCTGGCCTATCCGGCTCCTGCTGGCCTCCAGTTGGCTGCAGAACCTCTGGAACTGGGTTCTGTACATCTGCAACTTGACATGACACCCTGCATGCAGCTCAGCAGAGGAAGCATCTTCCCACTTGTCCATCTCTCTCAGAGATTCCCAACCCCTTCGGCAATATTCCTGGAAACAAAGCCCAACAGCAAATCATTGCATCGCCTCTGGCGGATACATGCAGCTTCACCTGGTGTTGCAAAGATCCTGAAGGCTGATTAAGCTGACTATCCCAATGTGGCCCTGGGACCTTACTCAGCATGAGGACCAGCCTTGGTCATATAGGCCTGCCTGGTGGAATCATCATGACTCGCCAGCCTCTGGGAAGGCTGTGAAATGTGGGCAAAGACCAGGTGGGTTGAGTTGAGGGGGTCTCAACATGGGACAGAGATGTATTAAAGTGGCCTTTCCAGACTACAGCTTCCAACAGCCCTAATGTCCAAGATCAGGGATGATGGAAGTTGTAGTCCTGAAGATCAGGGGAACACTATGGGCCCTTTGCCTAGCAATGTGTATATGTGTGGAGGACTGGGGGTACATGACAAAGAAAAATAAGAGGCAGCCAGTGTGTATATGCCACAGCACTGCAGGCAAGAAATGTTCCTGCCAAAATCCATCTCATCTTTCCTTCTCACAAGAAGCTAAGCCACCCAGGCATAGGTTTGCACAGAGCTTGCAAATGCAGGGGAAACCTCCATTCCTGAACAGAGATGAGAGCTGTCCCCAAGACCTTTTTCACTGCCTCGCTTGCTCTGTTCTCCTAGTGCTGGCTTGGCTGCCCCACAGCTCCAAGTTCTGCACTTCAGCCCCAGTTCCTAGTTTCCCCGCTAGGGGGAAGTCTTTTGAAGGTTTCAATCCCTCCTTAACGTACCGGTACTTCTCATTTTCCTTTCAGAAGACTATTTGCAAGTATTCGAAAGCTGGTTTCCCCCCCTGCTCTCAGGGGTTAACGTTGGAGAGACAAGTTACTAAGGGTGTAAGGTAAAAAGGTAAAGGACCCCTGGATGGTTAAGTACAGTCAAAGGCGACTAAGGGTGTAACTGGCCTGCTCTAACAGTAGGTGGTGATGTAACCTCTCTTATCACTTGGCTAGAGTGCATAGTTTCCTCTATATTGTTCAAGCGTCCTCTCTAACGTCTTATTACTGTTTCTTTTGCTGAATCTAACTGTGCAGCCTTGCTTACCATTGCTTGCACAGCTGCTTACTCTTACTGTATAGAATGTTTGTCAAAATTTCATGACATTCACAACAGCCCTTTTAACTGCTGCCAAGAGTCTTCAGTGCCATCGCAAGCAAAATCTCTGACCACATTGCAATACAGACTGGAATAAGGGAGGGGGAATGGTGTCCTGCAACTTCCACTCCAACACTGTTGGAAGGAAAAAAGATGAGTTCTGAGCAGCAATGGAGAAGAAATTTGATTCAGCTGACATTTAAAGCCAAATCAATCATATCTGCAGTTTCCAAAATGTTATGAGAAATGAAACACAGAACAATCCTTCGAAAGTCATACTTATCCAAATTTTGTGCTGCAGTTCTCCAATCAGTGTTTACATATATGCATATATGAGCAGAAAGGGCACATAAACATGGACTATATTAGTAAAAAATAACATACAAAAGAAATCGCTCACAAAAATGTGTGCATTAGTCTAAACTGCATTTAATAATGTATTTATTAGGAAATATTTGCAGTAAATGCTGAAGAATGTCCATGAATTTTTAAAAATGCAAATTGCTGCAGAAATGTGGAGAACTGAATGTGAGATTGGAAAAATGAGAAAGGAAGGGCCTGTTCACACTTCCGTTTGCCCTGTGGTTTCTTAGAATTTGCATCAAATCAGTAACACTTGTCCAAAAGCTTTTCATTTATATCCCAATGTAGAAATGGAGAAAAAAAAACCCAACCAAAATAAGCCATGCTTTTTATTACTGTGTTGGAACAAAAGAAAAACCCCTTTAAGACCAAATAGAAATTTGTTCCCCTTCTGATCCAATCCTTTTTTGGGCACCTGAACAGAAAAACACTCATTTTCCCTTGTGGCACATTGTGCGAGTGTTCCTCTTTCGCCTCTTTCAGAGATGCCTCCTTGAAATAGCATGGAGGAAGACGTGGCATGGGAACCCAGAATCCCACACAAAACTTGTGGCAGTACTAATCTGCACTGCGACAAGCAGAAGAACATGGAACAAATGGATGTGCAGATAAACCCTGAGAAAGCTAAAGTGGACAGATCTTTCCATCACTGGTTCTGAGGTATGTATGTGCACATATGCATATAAAAATCAGGAGACTCCCAGTCTCCAGTGAGGACCCACTGCAGTTGCCCATGCAGAGTCCTGCCTGCAGATCCTAAAGTTCACTGAGGCACAACCAATGTACAATGAAAGTTTTCTTTGAGCCAAGGTTCTTCAGGGCTTAGCCCTAGAACCTCTTCTCATGTCACTGCTCAGCCTTGGAATATGATATATTAATGAAAAAGTGTTTGCCTCTAAACAAAGCAGCCAGCCTGTGGATTTGCGTGGAGAGTGTCGGGAGAGGACTTACACTTGCAACGAGCTCAAAGTCTTGGAACTGCCTCTGTGCTTTAAGCAAGACCTCCAAAGAACCATCCAGCTCACTCAGCTCCGTGAGCCGTGTTTGACCAACATTCTCCATCCATCTGCTGACCTACAAGAGGCAAAAAGGTAGATCAAGGCCAAGAAGAAGCCTCTCCGCCTTCAGAGAGCAAAACCACACACTCCTGTTCCTGGAAAGAATGGGAGTCACCCCGCCCTTTGGTCTACCAGGGAAAGAGTGATGCCACCTCCACCTCCCACTTAAGGGAATCTCCTCTTCTCTCAACCATTTAGCCTCCTAGATTATTGTTATTTTTAATCTCTGCCATGTGATTCTGTGCTACTTTCAGTTTTTGATCTCTTTTCATGTTGTTTATTTTTATCCTGTTTTGTGTTGTAAGCTGCCTTGAGAACTTGGCTACATAAAAATACTTAGAATAAATAAATCCATATGCTTGTCACGACAGAGGGCAGGCTCTGAAGCTCTTTGCTCAACACTTTGAGTATGAGGTCTCTTGACTCCAGAGACTGGGACGGTGCATTGTGGCACTTCACATTGCTCCTAGAGTTCCTAGATGCTGCTGCTCATGCTCCTAGCACGGTCCTTATATTGTGGATGTTTTTGGGAGCCTTACCTGCCAAGTCCCAGGGAAAGGCCCTGTCCCACTGCTCTTCCAATAACAGAAAACATGAGTCCAAACTGAATGCAGGATGCACATATATCTACCAACCTCTAAAATGCCAGAGCCTTCTTAACAAGTGGTGTTAACCTGCTCCAGTGATGGATCACACCCAATCAACCTCAACCCCAGGCTACAAGACTGAGTGGCCAAAGGAGGTGAAAGAAACTCCCACTGGCCCAAGGCCTGCCAGTCACCACTATTTCAGCCCCGTCAAGATTTAATTTCAGCCACCCTAGGTGCTGTTTAGTGGATGTTCTGCTTCACTGTCAACACCAACCCCTGAGCCTGACTGTGCATAGTTGGCCAGCACAGAGGTTAAAAGGATTGGGTTGTAAATCCATCTGAGCTGCCGGAAAAATGTCAACAAACCTCCTGGAAGCTTTCTTCAAAGGCTCCAAAGTCTATCACCAGCTCCAGGGCCTGGATGCGCTTGTTTGACATCATCACCAGCTGATGAATGCCCTCGTCCACTCCATTGTAAAGCGCAACAGCTGCCTCCAGCGCATCTCTGAAAGGGAAGCATGGCCCAGGCATCATCAGCTGGAGTTCCAGTTTCTTACAACCTGCTACTGTGGGTACTGCTTAAATCCCTGAGATGCTGTGACTCAAACAAAGGCCCAAGATTCCAGGACATTGGAGGGTGATGGGGTGACAGAGGAGGGCACCAGCTCATTGCACAGCCATGTGGCAGGGCAGAGAACAGATGCCAATGTCCCACTGCCGTCCAAGAGCTTCACTTCCCTTCTGATCAGGATGCAGCAAGCAGCTGCTGGTGTCCTCTCTTCTGCTTGGATTTGTGGGAGTGGGAAAAGGAAGCTCTCCTTGTGAATGGCTGCATGGTTTGCCAGGCTGCCTCAAAGTTCATTTCACACCCAGCAGCATCTCAGTCTACCCTGAAAACATCTGAGAACTACTGTAGGTGGAGAAGGTAGTGTGGACACTTTTTTGATCGCACGGTCACAACTGCTACCACCCCCACCACCCATTACTCCTGCTGACAAGATGACTGGCAAGCTTGCACAGAGACCTTTCCTGGTCCAGAAGCTCATCCAATCAATGAATTCATCTTCCCTTTTCACCCCAATCTGGGGCAAACACAGCCAACGGCTGCCTGTTCTGCTCTGTGCTGTGCAGGAGGCAGCAGTCACAGCCAGCTGAAAGGGGCCTTGCCTAGGCTGTGCTCAAAGCCTTGAAGAAGGATCTGGTAAGCGGAGCAGTGGGGCAAAATGTTTAGGATGGCAGAGCGCCAGTATGCCTTGCTGCCTGTGCTGAGCTCAGTAAAGGAGGTTACCCCACACATACTTTCCAGATCAAATCACCAGATTCAAGCAGGCCTACAACAAAAAGGAGACGCTTGAAGTGGGTTTAGAGCCTCCCCCTCCCCACCGGAATCTGTTTTCCTTGGCCAATGTTACTTTGTAGGGGGGTGAGGGGAAGGTTCCAACAGCAAGTGCCAACAAATGTCTTGTGTGATTCCAGGGTAATTTTAGACTCCTGTGTCTGAAAGTTGCTTTTGGCAGGACTCCTTTTTGGAGATTTACTTACCAGGCTGAAGGCTCTTTCTCTCATTGAAGGGCTGGTGGGAGTGCTTGAGAAATAAGGAAACTGAACTCACTCAATTTCAAAAGGAAAATGCAGGCACTCTTAGCAGAAAGAGGAACGTCTTCAAAGCCAGCTTCTCAAGTACGGGCCAGCAGGGGGCAAGCCCTTTGTCTTATCACCACTGGCCCTGTCAGGGAGAGCTCTCTGCCCCATGGAAGCTAGTCTTCAGAGTCTTCTGAGCCCACCCACAGTGCCTGAGCATGGCCACAGGCCCTTACAAGGCAAGCCACAGACTGGAAGGAGACCTTCCCAGGCTGAACCAGGTCAGAGCTAAGCAACAGGTAGAGCTAGGCCATCACTCTTGCAAAAGCATCAGAGGGAACTGGCAGCCTTAGGACAGCCCAGTTGGGAGTCCAGCCATACAAAGTGGGGGTGATCCAAGTGTTGGCAGAATGGCCTGGAACTCTCTTGAGGGCAGTAGGGTTGATGCTGCACAGCTTGTTACTTGTCAGCTAAGTGGGGCTTCATCAGCTCTCTTGGGGTCTGAGCTGAAGGTGACTAACCAGGAGATTCCTGCATTGCAGGGGGTTGGACTAGATGACCCCCAGGGTTCCTTTCAACTCTACAATTAAATGATTCTAAAAACAAAGGCTGTTTTAAGGAGGAAGGGCAGGATATAAATTCAATAAGTAAATTCAATAAATAAGGTTGCAGTGGATAGCTCAATTAAGATGTCAACCCAGTGTGCGGCCAACAGCATGAAAAAGGGCTAATTCTATGCTAGGGATCATTATTAGGAAAGAGATTGGAACTAAAACTGCCAGCATAATAATGCCCCATTATGCAATCTTATGGTGCAACAACACCAGGAAGACTGTGTACATTTCTATTCACCTCACCCCAAAAAGGATATTATAGGGTGTGAAAAGGTTCAAAATGATCAAGAGGGTGGAGCAACTCCCTTATGAGGAAAGGTTACAGCCTTTGGCTTCTGGTTCACTTCCAGGCATCTCCTTCAGCAAAGGAATGTGGAGTCTCTGGTCCGAGGGCCAAATGTGGCCCTCCAGCGCCCCCCACTCGCCCACAGGACTCTCTCCAGGCCACGCCCCTTCCTGAGCCACACCCACCAGTACTGCTTTTGCCTGAGCAGAATGAACTCATTTAATACCGGTACTTCTTTCTTTGTCTGCATGATGTATGCATGAACAGAAACTAGATGGCGGTATAAAGGTAAAACAAATTCACCCCCATTGCTTTGTCCACTTTTGCCTCTAGTCCCACTCACCACTGTAATGTGGCATCTGGAAGGCGACCCAGAAGAATCTGTCTGAAGAAGATTCCCCATCCCTGCTTTTGGATTCTGATTGCTGGAGGAAAGCCAACCACCTTCCATATGGAAGGGCCCTGAACTTCCGTTCAAGTGCAGTGGAAAGTACCCCCAAAGGAAAGCCCTGGCTCATTGCTTGGGTCATTGGAGCTTGCTTACTGCAGACTCCCCAGAGCACTGCTGGAAAAGCGCACTGGTACAAAGAGCTGATTTGGTATTTGCATACTTAAGGAAAGCCTGCTGGATCAGGCCAGTGGCACATCTAGTCCAGCATCCTGTTCTCACAGTGGCCAACCAGATGCCTGTGGGAATCTTGCAAACAAGACCTGAGTGCAACTGGAGTGGAGCTTTTCAACAGGCAGAAAGGTAAGGTAAACACAACAAACTGGTTCAACAGCAAGGTAAAGGCAGCCAGGAGCCAAGGTCTTTGTCATGAACCTGAGTAAATCAATAAAGGCAGGGTGACAAGGGACCCCCAAGTCTGTACATGTGATCCTCCCACAGGAGCCGGACGGGTAGGGGTGACCTATTTTGCATTACACTGTTACAGACACAAGAAGCAGCAGGCAATCCATCAAGAACTTTTTTTCTTTTTGCTAGTCCTGTATACTGCTGAAAGCCGATGTTTTTCCTCCCTGTCCCCCTGAGCAGGCATGATCCAGCCCTGCTAGTGGCGAGAGGCCCTTTCTGAAAGCACATCAATAGAAGGACTGGTCTGTGCAGCCACATCCCAAGTTCAGAAGTATTCAAAGTACTAATGTGAGACTAAGGGCTTATCCACACTTCCTCCCCCCACCCCCGCTTTCCCTCAGGAAAACCCACGGTTTAGTGCTGAATTGGAACAAATGGCAATTGGATTTTCTACGGGTTGCTATTTATTCTGATTTAGCACTGAAGAGTGGTTTTCGGCCAGACTTGAAACTTTATTATGAATCAGCCGCTTTTTGCTGGCTGAGAGAATGGATGCTTCTTGAGAACACTGATGTGTTGGACTTAGAAGGCTTTAATAATGTCTTTGGGTGGCATGCGTATTTATGGTATGATAAGGTCAAAGCACATAAAGCGTTTAAAAACCATATTGTCAGAAAAGCACTGTTTAATGTTTGGATAAGATATAAGGATTTGCTTGAGAATAAAACCCCAAGGTGGCTGTCACCAATGGAAGCGAAGGCTCAGAAAAAGCTCAATATGGAGGCTAAATGGCCGAAATATTGGGAAATTTTGGAACAAGAGGGAGACAGATTAAAACTGCAGAGTTTTGAAAAATTATATTATAGAGTGCGGGTTTGGCGTCATGATTATCAGATAATGGAGGCATATAATTTGGATAAATATTGGCTTCCAGCGGCAAAACTCAAAATTGGAAACAGAACTGTTAGACCCCAAAACTAAGAATTTGTCAAGAATGTATAATTTGCTGTTGAAATGGAATACTCAGGATGAAACGGTGAAATCTGTTATGATTAGATGGGCACAAGATGTTGGACATAACATTATGATGGCTGACTGGGAACAGTTATGGACCACAGGTATGAAGTTCACGGCATGTAATGCCTTAAGAGAGAATATAATGAAAATGATATACAGGTGGTACATGACACCAGTCAAGATTGCGAAAATTTATCACTTGCCCGATAATAAATGCTGGAAATGTAAAGAGACGGAAGGTACATTCTTTCACCTTTGGTGGACATGCCCAAGGATTAAGGCTTTCTGGGAGATGATATATAATGAAATGAAAAAGGTATTTAAATGTATCTTTCTGAAGAAACCAGAGGCCTTTCTCCTGGGCATGGTCGGCCAATTGGTGCCAAAGAAGGACAGAACTTTCTTTATGTATGCCACAACAGCAGCAAGAATACTCATTGCAAAGTATTGGAAGACACAAGATCTACCCACTCTGGAAGAATGGCAGATGAAGGTGATAGACTACATGGAACTGGCGGAAATGACTGGCAGAATCCGAGACCAGGGAGAAGAGTCGGTGGAGGAAGATTGGAAGAAATTTAAAGACTATTTACAGAAACATTGTAAAATTAATGAATGTTAGAATGATGTTGGAATGAATCTATGTGACTTTAGCAAAAATGTATCAAAGATTTAAGAAAAATAGACTGTTAATTGGTGAAAAGAGGGAAAGTAAACTTATATTAAGATCAAGATAAATTTCCAGGATAAGAATTTTGAAGAGAGGGAAAGGATTTGCTGAAATGGATAATTGACTTAGAATACGAAAAAGGGAGGTGTGAGGAGGTCAGGGAAACAAGCAAATGAAAGATAAGTTATGGGAAGGCTCGACTTGTCTTCTTTTTTTTTGTTGTTTTTAAGTGTTCTTATTTTTCTGTTTTTTATTGTGATGTGTTGTTTTGCTATTGTTTAATTTGGTGTTTTTTCTGTTTTTTGCCTTTTTGTAAACTTAAAACCTCAATAAATACTATTTATAAAAAAAAATGAAGAGTGGTTTTCGGGGGCGGGGGGAAGCAATGGGGCAAACACAAAACTGCTCAGACCTGTGCCTAGAAAGCACGGAACAAGCAGAAAACCACTCAAACCCATGCTTTCTAGGCATGGGACAAGCAGACATGTGGACCAGCCCCAAGAGGGCATTTTTCTGCTTGTGCAATTCAATGCAATTAGATTCTGCAGGCCGTCACTTGAACAACACAGCACATTTTTGCCTCTCACACTTGTGCGTGCGCACAACAAATCCCTGCCCAAATCTCCAGAGTCCAGATCAGCAGACCTGCTGCTGTGCTTCAGACAGGCAGCTCTCCCTTCCTCATAGCCTGGAGTCCCAGGGCAAGGGGAGAACCTCCAGCAGGCAGAGCCAGAGGCTCTTCTCCTCCCACCCAAGGAAGCTGCAGAGGGAGGAGCTAGGGCCTGCCTGGGAAGTGGTACGAAGAGTGTGCAAACGGAGCACCTCTATGCAAATAAACAAAAAGCATTCCATCACTGAATCATTCAAACATGTCACTCACAAAACAGTGTGACATGGTGGATAAAGGACTAGAGCTTGCATCCCTCCTTGCCCTTGGAGCTCATTGAAGAGCTATGGGCAAGTCATTCTCAGGCTAAGCTACCTTCTTCTCACAGGGTTGTTGGGAGGATAAAACACCACGTACCATACTCTGAACTCCTCAGAGGGAAGGTTGGATAAGCATTAGATAGTAAAATAATTTAATATGAGTCATTGTTATTTATGGGCGTCATTTATTTTTAATTTGGGGGCAGAATCTGAATTGCCAGAGCCCCTATGGCTTCATGCATTAGGGGGACAGAGTGGCAGTTCTTGTGTGCTTGGGGGCCTTTCACAGCACACCCATCCTTCCTGCTTTTCTCCTGGCCACCCTCCCTCCCCACTCTCTGTTTCCCTATAGACTCACCTGTAGTCCTCCGTCAGAGTAACACAGGACTCTTCTTTCCTCAGGCGAGCAAGAAGTGCCCCTCCTTCCAGCTGCAACCTGACCAGCCGTCTATCATCAAGAACAGTCTTCATTAATTGCCTATAGCTCTTCAGCAAGGCATCAGCCTCCTGAGAAACCAAGAAAAGCACACAGACCCTGCTCAGGGCATTTACAATCAAATGTTTTTCTTAACCAGTATGAAAAGCAGCCTGAGAAAATTGCCCACCCTCACAAGCTCCTAAAAGTGACCTGGGAACAGAAGATGAGAATCCTCCCTCTTTGCTGAGGTATTATGATGATTTAGACCCAGTCGTTTTGCTCTGAGATCAACTGGTCCTTCTCCGTCCTTCCTGACACAGGTAGGTGCTGCTCTGAGGCCAACAGAACAGCAAGAGGCACCCAAGTTTCACACTGAAAAGATGACACAGAATGGCAGAGGGCACTGTCTCCTTATATCCTGCTCTCTGCTGTAGTTGTGCTGCAAAGTCTGCTGGCCTGGCCAGGTCTCCAGGCACTCCAGGGTCTCCTCCCCAGCAAGCTGTCTCTCTGCGGCAAGAAAGAAGCACCGGGATGCCCAAGACTGACACACCACTCCCTTCCCACAATACATTCTGGGCAACTGTTCTTTACTTCCTGGAGCGGACCTTCATTTCTGGCCATGGCGGCCAAACATAATAAAGATACATTGGGGTGATTGTAAATGTTAGTGTTTGTGTCATTTACTCAGTGCTCCCCTCCCCTTGCTTACTCTTCAAACTCTTGAAACAAGTGATGGTTGTTCTATAGACGGGAAGCAGAAGACTCACCTCCGCTTTCTCTGGCCAGCTGCTGGACTCCACAGCTTGGATGGCTTCCCTGAGGAAGGTGCCGGCATCTTCGCATCCATGCAGCAAGTGCTCCAGGCGCTGAAAGGCCAGCAAGCAGTACAGAGTTGACTGACAGCCTACCTCCTTCCTTGAGGCTCCCAGACCAAGCAGTTTTCTCCTGGGTTAGGGAGGGGAAAGCTGGGAGGCCCCAGAGACTGGTCTGGACTATGGCCAAAGCTGCTTATACCACCAAGCAGCAGCATTACTGGGCCCGGATCTGAGCATCAATCACTCACCATTCGAAAGCGCAGCCAGTCCTGATGGCAATACGGAAGGGACCCGTCAAATTCCAGGGGCAGTTGCCCCCCCTCGATGTGCTTGTGGAGGGATTTCATGGAGGTGAGAAGTTCCCACTGAAGAGAAACAAACATGCAAGTGCAAAGCTGAGGCAAAGAGCCCTGAGATAGGCCAATGGGCCAGCGAACTGGGCCCAGACTCTCCTGCTGGCCTTCACACCGATACCTCCTAGCTGCGCTGCATCTTGGATAAGGCACTTGCAGGAAAGGTTCAGAGAGGAGAGAGATTAGGGCAACAAGAGAGGAATATTGGAAGGTTCAGGACAGAGAAAAGAAAGGACTTTTTCACACAGCATCACCTAGTTGAGCTGCGGTATTTTCTCCCACAAAAGTCAGTCAAGATCAACAACTTGGCTAGCTTTATAAAGGAGGTACGACAAGCTCACAGAAGAGGGGAAAGCTGTCAAGGGCTACCAGCTATGATGGCTATGTTTTGCCTCTATCTTTGGCCAGCAGTAGGGGATAGGGAGGATCAGAGTGATTCTTGATCACCATGGGTTAAAAACTTGTCCCAAGAGCCAAGGGATGCTGAGAGCCTGAGATTTTCCTTGAATGAAAGAGAAGTGCATGGAGTGAACACAGACTAACAAATCAAGGCGGGTGAAGGGTGGCTGCCACAGCTCAACCCCCAACAACAGAAACTCAAGATGACCAGTTGGTGGCAGCTCAGCAGAGCAGCACCAGAGGAGCTACCCAGGGTCAGGCATGAGTTACAAAAGGGAAGCAATGCCCTCAGGTTTCCCCTAAAAGCACTCCTTATCTGGTTCAATTGATAATACAGTTGTACCTTGGAAGTCGAACGCCTTGCGAGTCAAACATTTTGGCTCCTGAACACCACAAACCCAGAAGTGAGTGTTCTGGTTTGCAAACGTTATTTGGAACCCGAACATCCAACGTGGGTTCCATGGCTTCTGATTGGCTGCAGGAGCTTTCTGCAGCCAATTAGAAGCCGTGCCCTAGTTTCCAAACGTTTTGGAAGTCAAACAGACTTCTGGAACAGATTCAATTCGACTTCCGAGGTATGACTGTACTTGTTTGGTGTCTTCTGCTGCTCTCCCTTCTTTCCAGAGCCTCCTTGGCTTAAGGCTTAAGCCATTTCTCCTCTAGCACTGAGAACATCTCCCTGCCTTCCCCAGCCTCCTTCCCTAGTTTAATTGTTGTCTTTCCTTTGAGCCGACATATTGGCATGTTGATGCTGTCTGCTTGTCAGGTTTGCTCTCTCAACCTGAGAAGCTGGTTCCTTTCCACATGCTCAAGTCATGTGAAATCTAAATCATGCACAAAAGAGTCAGGTTGTCATCCTAAAAGAGGGAAAAGTCATGAAAAGTGACTGGGCACAAAACACTTTTGTAATTTGAAACAAATATGTTCAGATCTGGAGCAAGTTGACAGTCTTCACCCCTTCACCCAAAATAATCCATACAAACAAAAACTATGATTGCATGCTTTATTCTGAACTTTTGGTTGCCACCAACTAAAATTAACAGACACAACTAACTTAAATCTTAAAGTCACTTAGAAGAGTGACTAGTGGGGTGCCACAGGGTTCTGTCTTGGGCCCGGTCTTATTCAACATCTTTATCAACGACTTGGATGATGGACTCAAGGGCATCCTGATCAAATTTGCAGATGACACCAAACTGGGAGGGGTGGCTAACACCCCAGAGGACAGGATCACACTTCAAAACGACCTTGACAGATTAGAGAACTGGGCCAAAACAAACAAGATGAATTTTAACAGGGAGAAATGTAAAGTATTGCACTTGGGCAAAAAAAATGAGAGGCACAAATACAAGATGGGTGACACCTGGCTTGAGAGCAGTACATGTGAAAAGGATCTAGGAGTCTTGGTTGACCACAAACTTGACATGAGCCAACAGTGTGACGTGGCAGCTAAAAAGCTAATGCAATTCTGGGCTGCATCAATAGGAGTATAGCATCTAGATCAAGGGAAGTAATAGTGCCACTGTATTCTGCCCTGGTCAGACCTCACCTGGAGTACTGTGTCCAGTTCTGGGCACCACAGTTCAAGAAGGACACTGACAAACTGGAACGTGTCCAGAGGAGGGCAACCAAAATGGTCAAAGGCCTGGAAACAATGCCTTATGAGGAACGGCTAAGGGAGCTGGGCATGTTTAGCCTGGAGAAGAGGAGGTTAAGGGGTGATATGATAGCCATGTTCAAATATAGAAAAGGATGTCACATAGAGGAGGGAGAAAGGTTGTTTTCTGCTGCTCCAGAGAAGCGAACACGGAGCAATGGATCCAAACTACAAGAAAGAAGATTCCACCTAAACATTAGGAAGAACTTCCTGACAGTAAGAGCTGTTCGACAGTGGAATTTGCTGCCAAGGAGTGTGGTGGAGTCTCCTTCTTTGGAGGTCTTTAAGCAGAGGCTTGACAACCATATGTCAGGAGTGCTCTGATGGTGTTTCCTGCTTGGCAGGGGGTTGGACTCGATGGCCCTTGTGGTCTCTTCCAGCTCTATGATTCTATGATTCTATTCTAAATCCATTAATTTCAATGGGTCTGTACTGAGTTGAATGTAGCTGGAGAGAACCTTTTATATTTGGAGGATTGCAAGAGGCCACAGAGGAACAAATATCAATGCTGCAGCTAGACCAAAAGGACAATTTTTGAGCTTCTTTACCAGCTTTGAAATAAGCTGTTTTGTCTCAGCAGTATTTTGGAGCTAATGTGAAATTAATTTGTGGGAAGGGAAGAGAGAGAATCAAATCAGCCTTTTTGTTTTTCCTATAAAGCCGTGTTCTGATGTGCTTTTTGCATTTTGGGAAATTCAAAATGGCTCTTTTTCTTCTCACTGGGAGGCAGCAGATAAATATCTACAGGGAAAAAACATTTTTACAGAAAAGTGGACTGTATCCCCCAGCAGTTCCTTTTATTTGAGTGGTGTAGTGTTAAACACCTCTCCAAATAAAAGGTAGTCATTTAAGCAGGTTTGTTAAAAATATAAAGTCACAGTGTGCCAGTCCATGCAACCTGGAGTGACACACAGACAGGCCCATCCAGCACGTTTTCTAAAGTCTCCCTGCAACTGAGCTTGGAAGCTAAATAACGGAAAATAAAAGGAAGTTGAAATTCTTCTACATTCAAACTCTGTGCTAGATAATACTACCCAGAATTTTGCAACAAAGAATTGCAGAGGCAAACAAGCCTGAGAGTAAAAGAGTGAAGTGCTCAGAGATGAAAAAGATGTGTCAATACCACTCATACCTGTATAGAAGCTGGTTTTTCCAATCGAAAACTGATATCTTTCTCAACAAGCAACAGGGCCCCATGGATACAGCGCGGGACAGCATCCTGAAAGAGCAGAAACAGAGATTGGAGGAGCCCCTGCTGTTGGATTTGGCTCTGGTCCAAAGTCTCATCTGGTCTTATGAGCAGCCGGGCGAGGATCTTTTCTTGACTGTTTGCTTTGCACAGACTTTGCTCTGCCTTCCTACAAGGCATTCCTTTTTTTAAAGTGAAAGAGATAAATTTGATGGCCTGATGGGCACTGCCACCTGCTTGTTCTAACTGGGTTCCTCTGGTCACTCTTTGGGGTTGGAAGGAAGAGGAGAAGACAAAGGAGTTGGTAGCAAAGGCCTCACCTGCAGAACAGCTAAAGCTTTAAAGAGAGCTGGGACTGGAGAGCATCGACGGGCATCTACCAGGATGGTTAGGCCCAAAGCCTGGCACTCGGGCCTGGAAGTCAAAAAGAAAAGAAGACTTCATTGCTGAGAATCCATACAAGCTATTCCAGAGCGCCCAACTCCAGACAACAGCCTCTCAGCAACAGCAGCCCTCAACAGCCCTCAACCCACTGGCCCTATCTCTTATACAACCAAGGGTGCTTCTAGACAGGTGGAACCTGGCACTACCCAATTATTGCCCTTCTCTTCCACGGTATCAGTGGAATTGCAGCTGACTATCCACATTGGTCCTCAGGATTTTATTTAAGGAATGTTCATGGGGTGGGGGGAGAGAACTACCGCAAAAGGGCACTTTAAAATCATGCATAAGGGCATTTTTAATCTTCGTTTTAAATAACTGCACATTTAAAGAAATAAATAAAAGTACATTTAATTAAATGTCATTAAACATGGATTGTAATAGTAAATTATTGTAATTCTAAGGAAACTTAGAATTTAAAATTTAACTTAGCACATCAATATTATTATGATTATTATTATTATTATTATTAACAAAACCCCACCCAGCAAGAATCTCTGGAACAGACCAACATAGTTTCCTGTGTCTAGTGGACAACAGCAAGCCAAGGATCATACTAATATGTACTGTCTACTCCATGAGAATTGCTCCTTGATAAGTATGTACAGGATTGCAGCCTGAATTGGTTAGCTTTAAAGGTGCTAATAAGGGACCCGATAAATTTTCAGACCTATGGGGGAAAAGTATTCCCCTTCCCCAACTTCTTCACTTCTACACATTTTCCCCAAAATATGGAATAAGGTGGAGAGATATTAACGGGGCTAAGACCTGGGAGATCAGGATTAAATTTCCACTGTTGAACCTTGAAGCAGTGAAACCTTTAACCTTACTGTCTTGTCAGCCTAACCTACCTCACAGGGTGGTGGTGATGATAATAATGATAATGATAATGATGATAACAACAACAACAATAATAATAATAATATACCCTACCCATCTGGTTGGGTTTCCCCAGCCACTCTGGGCGACTTCCAGAACATATAAAAGCATAATAAAATGTTAAAAACTTCCGTATGGGGAAATGGAGAATCATGAGTGCAACCTTCTTGGGAGGAAATGAGGCAATTAATGTAATAAAGAAGATCTCTAGCCTGTCAACCCCTGGCCTGAGGGTAGTGCTTAGGCAAGGTCTGAAGTAATATAAAAACAAGTGAGTCTTAAAAATCAAGGAAAAAAGAATCTGGGACACAACCAGGATTTTCTGGCCTGTGCACATTAGACTCTACATGCAAGTCTTTGGCAAATCCAGTGTGTGAGTTTCTGCTGGGACAGGCTTGCCTGGGTTAGCTGTCCAGGCACAGTGTCATCCATGCTACTATACTATGTACTGTATGGGCTTTACATACTATGTTCTCATTTGAACAGTCCCTTGCAGCTTACTACTTTTCGTAATGCCATTTAAAATTTGACAAAGCACTTTATCATTTTTTATCCTCTCAACTACCCAGTAAAGTAGGTCACAGTGCAATTTTAGCAAAACAGCAACAAGAACAGTACTTCCATCTTGAAGGTTAACTAAGCTGCTGTGCTCAGGGCTTGATGGCCCTGATGCCTCCTGATTTTCAAAAGCACAGTATCTCTGCAAACAGCACACATGGAGAAGAAATGCAGCCTGCAGAACGGGAAACACTAGAAGGCCGACTGGTGTGATACATATATTGTGCAGCAACATTTCTTCCTGCTCTGGTCACTCTCTCCTTCTTCCCTTCCTCAGACATCCCACAAACCTGAGGACACTCCGTAAGTACAGGAGGAGGCGCATCAGCTCACTAGCATTGCAGTGTGGGTTTAGCCAAATTGTATTCCTCATTGTGATGATGACCACGGCATGTCCATACTTGTCTCTGGTGCCTGTGAATAAGGATGATTTGGTTAAATCTGGCTACGGGGCAGGAACTACAGTTATGCTCTTTCCATGCACAGGAAGCCCTTGGGATATGCTGGCCATTGGCCATTCGCCTGGACAGGTAAAATGCAGGCAGACACACAGACTTTATTCTAATGAGATAACCTGTGGCTCCTAATCCTTTTAGTGGACAAAACACCTAGGGGGTTTCACCTTGGGCCTTTGATCCAAAAGGATGTCTCTGTTGGAACCCCAACACAGAAGATTTCCTGGGCTCTCTTCTAAACAAGACTAACCTGACTTAGTGAGGTAGAAGGATGAAAATGTGAAAGACGCTTGCTTTTAAAAAAGGCAGTTCACAGTTCTCTCCTTCTATTACTTGGTTTGGGTGCTTTTATTTGCAGGATTTTCATGCAAATGCAGTATGTGGAACACCACTTGAAAACTACTAGTAGTACTACTACCTAGTACTTAAGACTAGAGCCCAAAGACCGAAGACATGGACTATAGAATTTCAGCAACAGTCTATGAAGAGCCATGCTTATTACCTGGCAGGCAGGCAACTCCACTCCTAAGCACCTCCCAGTTTACATCCTTCATGGAAGTGGGGACAGTTTGCTGACTTCCACCAGATGGAACGAAGGGATATTCTTGGTGTGTGGCTACTGCTGAGCCTTTTTCCCACATAGATCCATGATCAGCTGGCACCAGCCTAATTTGGTCACCTCCTCTGCTGAATTCTTCTACCCATTTCAATGAGGCTTCTGTAAAAGAAAAAGTGATGCTAGAAGAATAGGTCTATCACCCACTTTGTGTTGGGTATTTGGCTGTGAAGCTTGGGTTATAAAATTGTTGCTTTTTCCTCTTAAGGCCTCTTTTGCATAGGAGAATCAGGAGAAGAAGGAAGGGTTGGTTTGGCAGGTTTGCTTGCCTGCCTTCACTTTCACTGTGCAACTACAGCCCATGCTGTCGCATATGCACACACAGACCCGTGTCACCATTGCCAAATAAATTCAGAGAAAATTCATTTCTTTATTAAACTGCAACAGTTAAAAATAAAGCAAATATAATAAACACAAAAATACCCAATTATAGTGTGCTTAAAAGCCACTACTCCACACACCTGCTTATTCATAGCCATTGAACATCAGCCCAAAGAGGGGAGGGTAGTAACAGCTCCCATGGGAAATATACCAGCTGAGACCTAGAGAAACAACATAGGACCAAATTCAAGACCGGCAGGTTTCTAATCTGACTGCACCATTTTCCTGATTTAAATGCCCCCTAACTGAAGCTGTCCTGTAGGGGGATATAGGTGCCTAGGATAAAAGCAGCTTCAGGGTTGGGGAGGCAATTTAGATTGGAAAAACAGCACAGAAGGAAAGGGTTAAATGTCTCCTGTCCAAGTGCTAATCCCCATTTATCCAATTTGTGAGGCTCTATGTCTGCATTGAACTGAAACAATTGCCCCACCACCATACACAAAAAATCTCAACAACAACAACTGGCAGAAAGCTGCTATCAGATCTCCTGACATCTCATCTTGCCTCAAGAAGCAGCTACCAGGAAAAAAAGTTCTCTCAACACCTTACTTGTCAAACGTGGCATGCAAATGGCACAGCTGAGGCGGCACTCTCGACTGATCTTCCCTGTGGCAAGTGTAGGGAGGAGAGAAGGCAGCCTCGGAGGTAATTAGAAACAAAGCCTAAGAGTTTTCTTGGTCAAGAGCCACACCTTACATTGTGACCAGAAGACAATAAGGAGCTAAGATAGATGCTGGAGAACTGATGTAATTCGTTCTTTGCTGTAACTGAGAAGGTGGGCTGCTGTGTGTTTTTGCCAAGTGAAGCTTCTGGATATATCACCATCTAGGGATGCCCAATATAGAGTGTGTTACAGTAGTTTGGCCTTGAGAGACTAAAAGAAGCTGAGCACCACCCATTACTATGTCATAACTACTTCTCTCCCCTAGAGCACACATCCTGCTGCATGGAATGGGAACAGCAGTTGCTAGAGGTCTGGGGCAGCCAACCTTGGTGACAAACCATGTTGATGTTCTGCAGCTTCTGTCTCAGAGCCATTTCTGCTGTTACTGGTACTGCAGACCAGGACACACCATGTTACCCTCCTCCAGAATGCTAAAGAAGCATGGATCAGAAAGGAGTTTTCTCCCCATTCTTTGTTTTCATGCCCACCTCCAGAAGTGGAAGAGGAAGAGGAAAAGGCCTGGGACAAGCTGCCTTCCAACAAGAAAAGGGAAGGTTTACAACTATTTTGATTTTTTTTAAATTACCTCAGATCTTTCTGACTCTACAATATCCTTCAATGAATAATATTAAGGGGCATCTTTTTTTGATAGCAAAGCTGCCAACAACTCAATTAAACACAAGTTGTGTACATCTCAGCCAGACCCAAGTAAAGACTCATAGGGAGCAAGCTTTCAGAGCCAAGGAGGCAAGAAGTGCAGCCCTGGCACCAAAAAATGCCTGCTTCTATACACACACACACAGTCCCTCTCCAAAGTCTGCAGCTATAGGCCTGCTGTCTGCTGGTGTGCTGTGACATCTGGCCTCCACTCCAGGCCCTTGTGCCAAGGACCCACTTCCTCAAAAAGCACCTCTGTACAGGTCTCATTCATTTCAAGGGAGTTTACAAATTAGAGGAATGGCTCATAGTTCAGTGGGATAGCAACCAATTTGCCCACAGAAGGTCCAAAGGTTCTATCCCCGCTGGCTTCTCCAGGATGGGATATGAAAGACTGTTCTCTGAAACTCTGGAGAGCCACTGGAAGTCAGTGTAGACAGTACTAAACTAGTTGGACAAATGGATTTGACTAAGCATAAGGCAACATCCTATGTTTTAATGTAAATCCAACTGGATTCTGCCCACATAGCCAGCCCTGCTGGTGCACCATATCTCTGAAGCCAACCACCAAGAAAGGACAGGGAGAAGGAGTCAGTAAGGAACAGACAGACAAATACACAGGTTTCCAATACAGCCAGTATTTGCCTTCCACAATAGACTGAGCATGCAAGATGCTCTAACCTGCTTGAAGCATTCATCAAGATCTTTACCTAAATGCTTCTTCAGGGAGGGAGCGTCATTTGCATTACGGATCATTTTGAAATGTTGTGTGTTAAGCAACAACTGTGTGGGCAGGTAGGCAGGCAGGCAGCCGATTCCTCTGACTCAGCTCCAGCACGTGCCGAGCGAGCAGGCAAACTCACTCACACACGCTCCACAAGTGCACACCAAACAAGGCCTGCTTCTTTTCATGTCACAACAACAAGGACATCCCTAATGGACTGCTTCCCTGCCCCCTCTCTCATCCTTCTGTTTCCACCCCAGGTGATTTTCCCTAGCTGCTGCAGCAAAAATAAGCCATGATTTGGCTTTGCATGTTGTCTGGACCCAGGTTTATGATTTGTCTCACTCCATTGCACAAGTTGCAACCAAGTGGGTTTCTAGCTCACAGTCTGCCAGGGGGAGACAAACTACCAGCCTGGGTTCAGACAACATGCTAAGCCAAACCATGGTTTAGTTCAAGATAGCAGGGCAGCGGCAGCAAGGCTGGAAGAGGAGCAAAGATGCGACCTCATCTCTGGGAACTCTCATGCCTGCATATTCACACTTAGTTTAGATTAGTGTTATAAAAGCACTATATATGCCTATGTATATGCTGCACAAACACTTAAAAAATCAAAACCCTGCAACCAGAAAATTTAATTATGTATCCAGAAAAGTTTGCACACTTCAAATGTATGCAAATTGCTTATTTGCACAAAATGGACCATAGGAAGAGTCCTGTTGGATCAGGCCAATGACCCGATGCCTGTAGGAAACTGGCAAGCAGGACCCTTCATGGAACACAAGGGCTAGAAATTTGTGGGGGGGGGGGTTGCGGGGAGGGGGGCGTGTCATTTTTTACGGAGGATGGGAAAAGGAGAGCCGAAATTGGTAGGATTATTACTATTAATATTCAATCCACATTTAGTCCAAAAATGTCCTAGGATACTCTGAGGATGCTAAAGCTCCTCCCTGGCGCAGGGAAGCATCAGAGGAGGCCTGAACTCTCAACCTCCACCCCTTGCCTTCCTTGCATAAAAGGCCCCTTGCCAGAAGAACAAACCAACCCACATTTCCCAAATTAATGACACAAATCCTACCTGTGACTACTTGGTCCCCATTTGAGACATTCCTGGTGCTGCCTTGTAACCTCGTTTTCACTGGTGCAGAGGGGAGGGGTGCTACTGGGCCCTCCTTATTGGGTTGGGGCTTGCCTGTCAAACATTCCACCTTTGGGGGGGTTTCCAACATCAAAGTGTTTGGTTTGCTTAGCAGGTATGGTAGGTCCACCCAACAAGCCGCAGCTTCTTCTTTGTTACCCTGATTAGAAGCATCCTGAACTTGTGCATCTGTCTCCACTGAAGGGCTACTGCAGCTGCTCCCCACTGTTTTTGCTGTTATCCCAGAACTGACAGGCAGAAAAGCACTCTCAGCTTGCTGTTGAGAACAATCCACATTCTCTTGCCCAGCCTCTTGGAGCAGGTGTGCCTGTGTCTCACCTTGGAGTGGCAAGGTGCTTCCAGAACTGGTCTGCTTCTCCTTCTCAGAGAGACTTTGCTTGGCTAAACATTGGAGGTTTTCCTCTCCATAAACACTGCTGCCCAACCCCACTAATTCTTCTGCTGGCCTTGGGCTCACCTTCTCCAACTGCTCAACTGGGTGATGGAGCTCCAGCCACTCAGATTTGTGACCTGTGACTTCTACTGACAGTTCTTGCAGGAGGTGACTGTGTGCAGCCACCCTCACATCAGAGAAGGGTTTTGGTGGCAGTGACTTTGGCATGGGTGGGGAAAAGGCATTCTCCTGCAACCTTGGGCTGGAAGGGTCAGAGTCCTTGGCCAAATGTCCCAAATGAGGCTCAGGGAAGTTATCCTTCCCAGAACTCCCACAACCCTCCCTGGTGCCTGTTCCTAGCACACTAGAGCAATAGCCATGCTCAGAGGCCCTGCTGCTATTTTCCAGCTCTGTGCTATTCCTCTGAGCTGTCTCTGTCATTTCAGAAGCCACAGCTGTGAGAGACCTACATTCAGCATCTTCTCCATCATGGTAGCTGCACATTGCGTACCTCCAGTCAAGCTCATGTTCTGGCTGGGCCTGTCCCTTTACATCAGAAGGTTCCTTGGGATCAGAGCCAGCAGCAGGCCCCTCATAATTTTCCAATAGCAATTTGTCACTTTCTAGTTCATGATCATCCTCCAAAAGATTCCTAGCATTACTGGCCTGGGTATCAGAGGGCTTTGCTGTGTCCAGATGCCCATGTGGCATTACTATGGCTGCTAAACCAACTCCATTCCTCAGGCAAGTGCTGCTGTCCTGACTGGCTGCAGGCCTGTCCTTTACTCTCATCCTCGGCTTAGTGCAGTAATTGAGGGAGACTGATTGAGGTCCAAATTTAGGCAGTGAAACATCTGTGAGCTCCACATATTCCCCTTCCAGGTCACTTATAGAGTCTTCTCCAAGGCCTGGGCTCACACAGTCCATGCTGGCAGCTGCCCTCACAAGTTGCTCTGTTGTATTGGTCATGAAGAGGCTGTCTTCAGGTAAACTTGGCCCATTAAAAAGTTGGGACTCCACTTGGGAGCTGCTTTGAGACGGCACCTCTGAAAAGACCAAATCTGAAGGCTGTTCAGTCCCTGGAACAGAACTTAGGCCACCGTTCATTTTGGGGGGGCTTTCAATAAATTCTGGATTGACTATTCTGTCCCAGGGCACCCGGAATATTTTATCTTCTGTGCCTAGTAAGCAGTTTTCCAGTGCCATTCCCATCCGCTCCCTGTTGATGCCATTCAGCCATTCCACAGTGAAAATGGAAGTGTAGGAGACTTCAGGGACCACAAGCTCATCAACATTATGCTTGTCCTCGGCCAAACATTTCACAATGATTCGTGGGGACTTTTTCAAGTAAGGGACCACCTGCAGGTAAAAGTCTCCTGGTCTCAGGATCCGCCAGTCGAAGGAGCCAAGTTGAACTACAATCTTCTCATGGATGCAGAGGGGCCAGCCCTCATGCCGGAACAGCAATCCACAATACTGGACCTGAAGGAAAATGATAATCCAGGTGAACTGACCGCAAGCAGGTTTTCAGAACAGACAACATCCTAACAATGATCTCATAGCTTTCTATTAACAGCAGCACAAATGGAAACAGCCAGATGCTGGAAAACTGGGGCTGGTCTTACATTGACTTTTGGCATGTCTGAGTGTGCACAACCCATTTTATTTCTATATAATACATGGCAAATTGTGATGAGAGTATCTCAAAGACCCCCTGACTCACTAGTAAGATCTTCAGGTAACGCCACCTTTCAATGTAGCTATTAGAGACCTTCCCCTGTGGTGCTACATTGTATAACTTCCTCCCCATATCTATCAATTTGCTGTTCTTCATGTTTAGGTTTCTAAGAGCAATGAAATCTTGTTGAACGCTTTTTCTTTTTCGGCTTTGCAATGTTTATGTGGTTGCAGTCCTGGAGCATTTTTAAAAATGTCAGACATTTCCATGCCCTTCAGAACATCAATCCCAGGGTGAATGTTTTATTTACTTGTCAATTTTTTTGTTTTACTGTGATACTGTTTTAAAGGATGAGTCAGGGACCAGGATCAAAAGGCAAAGCATCAATGCATCAATAAGCAAAAAGCTGCTCAATGAAGCATTTTGGTGGTAGCAACACCAAGGGGGAGGGGCTTTTCATTCTCCTGTTCACTTTGAATGTGGTTCTACAGCTTGAGAAAAGAGGAAAGAAGGACGGTGGTGATCCTGAGGCCACAGAAAAGCTAGAACAGGCCCCAGGTCCTTCCCTGCTTTGGATTTAGTCTGCCTACGCAACCCGCAACCCTCTGACTGACTCTGCGCACAAAAACAAGTCCCTTTGACTTCCATGGAAAGCTGATTTGGGTATGAAAACACGCTAAGGCATGAGTCCCACACAGAGGCAGCACTGCTAGGAGGCAAGCTGGGGCAGCCATCCCTGGGGACAGGTTTTGGGTTCCACGAAGACCATGATAGGTTACAATCTTCCAATTCTTCTATATAAGTCCCACTGAAATGAATGTGCAGCAGTGGGGAGGGGAGGAAGAGCCACCCAGATGTTCCACATCAGAGTCCTGGGCCAGATCTGGTTCCGTAAAGTCTGCACAAACCAGAGAGCCACAGTTGCTACTGGGGAAGGAGACTCCTTAGCAGCTACTGAGATCCGCAAATATTGTGACAGCAAAGGAGAACAGAAGCAAAACTTCTGATTGGGCAATCACTTGGCACCTTTCCATCAGAAACTTGACAGTCTGCTGCCTGCCAAGAGTAGGTGGGGGGAGGGAGCTGAAGGTGAGTAACTGTAGAATCCAGGCAAGAGAACACACCTCCTACAAGACACCCCACCCTTCTTGTTCTTGCGTTAATATGCATCTATAGAGAACATGTGGCTAATGGAGGGCATGTTTTGTTGCTAATGTTCAGGCTGGACCCTCAAGCTAGGATGCCGGCATGGCAATGCAGTGGGGTTGGAAGGAGGTCACAAGGTGACTGGCCTTCAACACTGATGCATTTGCATAAAACAAAATGTTTTTAAATCCGAAAAAAACATTGTTTTTCTTAAGTAGGACAGTTACATAATTGTTCACTATGATAAACACATAACAAGTCAGAACATTTAAAGATTCCAAAATAATCACTGCTACTGGGAGGTGGGGGTGGAAATGGGGAATCCAGAGTATGCCTCATTGCCATGGGCAAGAGGGCAGTGTCCCCTTAAGGATTCTTTGGCTACCCTTTGGCTACTTTCACCAGTGCATCTGGTGGCACTGCTCCCTGTCCCCCCTCCTCCTTAGCTGAGTAGGAGCCTAGGCATGAGCATCATGGCGGGTTCTCAGCTCCCACCTGCAGCGCTAGCAGAATCTTCTGGGTCAACCTGGAGGCAGCATGATACTCACACAGGCATCCTGCTGAACACACTGCAAGATGTGCTTGGCTGGAATCAGAAAGTCGATGAGGTAGTGCAGGCCGTCCCCACGGTATGTCTTCTCCACCACATCAAAGACCTGGCACAGAACCGTGGCTGCTGTGACCTCGAATGGAGGGTAGAGTGCTGAGAGCGTACTCTGGATACAACTGTCCAGGGACTGGGAATCCTGCCAAGAGAAGGAAAGGAGGGCGTGAAATGGCTCAGGAGGAGCAACAGGTGGAAACTGTGCCTGCCGGGACTCAGGTTGCTACTTGGCAGAGAACATCGACGTATCCGCCCTCCTGATTTTTTGTGCCACCATTCTGAACCACCGCCATCCACCGAGCCCAGCTCCTCTACCGTGTAAATGAAGCGCTCACCTAGTCTCGACAGAGTGGCGGCAGACAGCTTACGCTGCAAAATCCTTCCCCTGACTGAGCAGGGGTGGGGCTGTTGCTAAACTATTATTATTGTAGATATCAGTGCGCAGGGGTGTGTGTGTGTGTGTGTGTGTGTGAAAAAGAGAGACTAAAAGGGCTTATGCAGCTGCTGGTCCGGCTTCCCAGGACTGCAGGCTTACAAGGTGTCCCCTGGTGGAATTATACTGAAAAAGGAAAGTTCCCCCTAAACTGGGGGTGGGAGGTATGGGAAAAAGAAGTGGCTAAAAGTGTTTAGTACAGTTTTCTCACAGTCACTCCAGCTAGAAATGGGACTCCAAAGCCAAGAGCTTTAGAAAGCAGCCATGATGACAGCATGGCAGACCCATCATACCACCAGCACAAGCTGGGTTTGGGTTTCTAAAGCCAGCTAGAGTGTATCATAAAGAGTTTATATTATGCTTCTGAATATTGTCCATGTTGTCCCCTGTTCTGCTCTCAACATACAGCACGCTCTCTGCCAGCCCTAGCCTGGAGGTGCCCTCCCTGCCTTTGAAATCTGCAGCTGCCCACTTTTCTTTATGAGAAAGCCAGCTCTTGCTCTGGTGACTGCTACATCAATCCTCTTTCTCCTCCAAGAAAACATAAATTCTTAACATAAGGGAATCTAATTTACATAATTTTTAAATAGCTCTTTTAAACTGTTAATATCAGTGATTTTTTTTGTTTTACTCTTTTTGTAAACCTCTTTAAGGTTGCTTTGCTACAATCAAGTGGTAAATAAATTTTATGAAATAAATGTGCAAAAATATTTAAGCATTTAATAAATTACTATTTTAAAAATGAGATTGTGTTGCTTCTTTTAATTGCATTATTAGCATTTGCTAGAATCTAGGGTAGGCTATTTAAGCAAGAATTAGCAGAACATATTGTATTATTATTATTATTATTATTATTATTATTATTATTAAAATTCATACACCTCAGGGTGTATGAATTTTAAGACCTCAGGGTGGTTCACAGAATAAAATACAAGATAAAAACACAACTAAATAATTAAAACAAAACAGCAAAGCAATAAGCCCTCTTCCCACATTATAAGGAAACAAAGCAAAAGGAGAGGGTAGTCTGGGCCAAACCCCCTTCAGGTTTCTGGGAGACTGCATCACTTACCCACTTTTCAACTACCACAAAGAATAGGAACTCTAACTCCAGATTAGGGGAACCCCAATATGTATCCACATTCTGAACATTGAGAAAATTGTGGCCTTTTTGATTTAAAATGGAAGCAGTACAGTAGCATCTACGCACATGCTCAGAAGACATAAGATTGGCCTCCTGGGAGTGATCTTTGTAGCAGGGTAGGCCGCGGGCTCAAGAGCCAACCTCCCTTCTTGCAAGGGTGGCTTCCTTCACTGTGACACCAGTGCCAAAGAGACCAAAAGTCAGGATCCTGCAGTCTCAGCAGTTCTGCTCGCTGCCAAAACGAATACATCTGACAACAATTAACTTGTCATCTCCAAATGAATTCAGATGAACCACCCACTCTGCAGAATGTGCTTCAAGCACAGAGAGTGTCCTTTTCCTCAACATCTGAGGCTAAATCACACTTTTATTTTAAAGGTGATAAATATCTGAATTTACCAAATCAGGGAAAGCCTTTAAGTCTATCGGTCCCTCCAAAGTGACAATGCTGGAGACTTTCATGCAGCTCAGTCTATCCTACTTTATCCTCTCCCTATCAAAGTGTGAGTCACTTTGAGTTGCCTTGGGCAAATTATAGCAACTAACAAGTATAATAAATATAACAAATATAATCAATCATCAATAATAAAATGATTTCACATAATTTGTTGTGAAGATGAAATGCAGGTGCGGGGAGGACCCTAAATTCCTTGGAAGAAAAACAGGATATAAATATAATAAATGCAATGCAATTAAATGAAAGCAAGGTGATAAAAGTTACCATGTGCAAACTTTCTTCCTCAGAAAGAACTTAACAAGAGATCCTGGGCTGCAAGTGTGAACTATTGCCTCTGCCAGAAATTAGCAGCTGTTGTTCCTGGGACTTTCTGCTTTTTCTAACCATGCCCAGCAGACTCTTTCAAAGACCAGCTGCCTAATAAAGCATAGACCCTGGTTCTGAAATTAGGTGGGAGCTCTTAGGACGCACAGCGGAGAAGGTGGGCTAGCTTGTACTAGAAAGGAGAACCCAACTTTTCTGAGTTACCCTGGCAGCCATCACTCACCTATCTGCAAAGCGCAGTGGACAAATCACAAAAATTTTGAACACTATAAAGAAGCAGGTTACAACGCATCATGTGACTTGCTACTGGATCCATTTTTCCTTTATGTCTGAAGTAGACTGAGGTGTGCCTGAATCTTTTTGAGTTGCTCAGCGCTCACCATATTATACTACAACCAAGATACCACGATTGGAATACCCCACAGAAAATTAGTGAGGCTCACCAGTCTGCAAAATGGGGGTGCGCGAGAGAAGCCTGTCACAAAATGGGGGTGAAGTCTGACATAAACAGCTGGCAATTGCTGGCATCATTTTCTACTGATAGCAGATCACTCTTTGGAAATCATTTAATTGCTTGCCATAGGTTTTCCTATGAGGGGAAAGGTTCTCAGATATGAGGCAAGAGGAGGAAATGTGGGGCTGGGCTCACAGAGGGAAAGATGGGGCTGGCCTTCTCAGTTCTCACCTTCTTCTATCCCTGGTCCAGCTGAGTCTCTGGGGCCCCCCAGACAGGGAAGCCAGCAGGCCTCCCCTTGGCCTACTGGACAGGGCCTCTTGGCAGGCAAGATGGAGGACAACAAACCCTCCTGGCTCACTCCTTGCCACCACCAGCAGGCCCTTCACGCTGCCTGCCCTACAGAGTGGCACAGGGCACAGAGGAAATTGTCCTCGCAGCAACTTAACAGAGGTCTCCCCTCCCCTCAGAGGGAACCATGGAGGGCGCTGCTGCCTGGGGTTGGGCACTTGGGTATTGGCATCTACTGAATGAGCCACCCCACAGACAAGATGCCTCGCTCATTAAGGAGCAGTCACTGTCCCCCAACACACACCCCTTTGCAAAGCCCAAATTGCCTCCCTCCCTCCCTTCTTGATGAGCCTTCAGGGGTGTATTCCAGAAAAGATTCCATGCCAAGAATCTCTGCGTTTAGTACTCCAATTACATTATATAACTGTGCATCGATGTATACAATTTATTCTGGCAGCCATAATTTGCAAAACATAGGGTGAACATTTTGACAATAAATAAGGTGATGGGGAATGATGAAGTCAGATGCAGTACAGCAAAATATCCCACACACAAAAAGCAAATCAGTTTTCCTGCCTAGGATCATGGCAATCATGAGTCACTGCTTTTTCCATTTTTATTATTTTTTAAATCGCACACTGAGAAAAATGCAAGACACCAACCCAAATCTTTATTTTTCCATTGATGTCTCTTACATATATACTGTAATTCAAAATACTTGACAACATTTTGTTGTCCTCACTTTTATATACTAATTTTTTAATTTAGAAAATTTATAGACCACTTGATAAAAAAGAAGATCATCCAAGTCTGGAATTCTTGCTGTTATTCCCCTGCCCTAGAAGCACACCCAAACTATATTCTGTTCTTTCCTAGGCACTGAATTTGTACCGTTAAAACCAGGGCCTCAGGTGCCATAATGTCTTGAGCCAGCCCTGGTTAAGACTGCCATAGTAAAAGTTTACTTAGGAAGCACCTCTGTTATCTGGCCACAAATGCAAGCCAAGGCAGCATCCCTAGTGAGGAAATGTACAATGCAATAGGAGATTTCTTACATGTTTGGGTGTATGTCTTTCACCCAATATGTGTTCTTTCCCATTAATAATGTCACTGGCCTGCAAGTTTTATCATTATTTTTACTGTGTTTAATCTATTGCTCCTGACAAAGGAGACGGCTCTGAAATGCATTGAGCTAAATAAACAGCTGATTAACAAAAGCACCAGATCTTGCCTCCTTTTATTTTCATGACCTTCACTGCCAATATCCTAGTATTCCAGGGGTCTTTATGACACTTGCTCCAAAAAAAGCATTTAAGCCATGGGTAGGCAAACTAAGGCCTGGGGGCCAGATCCGGCCCAATCACCTTCTAAATCCGGCCTGCCGATGGTCCGGGAATCAGTGTGTTTTTTTACATGAGTAGAATGTGTCCTTTTATTTAAAATGCATCTCTGGGTTATTTGTGGGGCATAGGAATTCATTCATAGATTTTTTTTCAAAATATAATCTGGCCCCCCACAAGGTCTGAGGGACAGTGGACCAGCCCCCTGCTGAAAAAGTTTGCTGACCCCTGATTAAAGCATTCCTGAAAACTAAATGAATATGTTCCCATGGTCCTAGCATGGATTTATTTTCAGTATTAGAGCACCTGCTTGCTATGCAAAAGGGCCAAAGCGCAGTGAAAAGATTGCAGAGAAGCATTCTGAGGGGGTCACAAATCTTGAGTGGCTGCCTGTCAGAGTAGACAGTAGTCCCACACGACATAGAGCAATGATCAGACTCAGGGTTACACAGCTTCATAGGTGGGTGTGTGGGTATGTGGGTGTGTGTGAGAGAGAGAGAGACAGACCTCATCCGCAAGCGAGGCCGTTCCCTCCAGTAACAGCCCACTCTGAGACCTATTCGAACAGCAACAACCTCACATGCCCCTTCATTTCCATGCAGATCAAAGAAGGGTGGAGACTTTAAACAACTTGTAAAAGACGCCTTTGTGCAGAAAGGGACGTGTGCCAAAATATGGGCGTTTATGAAGCACAAGCACACAAAGGGGAACATATCCCCAGGCGTTTCTCCCTGATCTATTAATCAGCCTAGCATACCAGCCTTTGGAAAGTGTAAGGAAAACCTCAGTTTAAAAAATGAGATGTGTTCCTGTAGATGGACCAGTGAACAAAGAATTGACAGCCACCAACCAACTATTGAGATAAAAGCTCTCTGATTTTGCAGATCTAGGAGGATCTCTAGTTGACTCCTTGGCATTTCCTACTTGAAAATGGGGTGTGGGGGGGAGAACCTTAACTTTTCCATCCCCACTTTCCCTCATTCTCTGTCACTGTTGGGATCAAACTACAAGTTCCACTAATTGTGTGTAAAATTGGGTGCTTCTGCCCTTCATTTTCCGTCATGCACTCTGCAGATTTGTTGCTGATGATGCATTCCACTTTTGAAATTCATTTTGTGTTCATGGCCAAATGCCCAGTCATACTTGTCCCACTGAGATCCTGCATGCTATCCCAGGAGTACGTTCATCACCCACTACATGAAAGGCAAGTAGGGCACAGACTGGCTCAGATACCACTGGGCACAGGAAGCCAATAACCCTCCTTGCCCGCCAGGCCTAATTCCAGGTTGTGGGAAGCCCCCAGCAACATGCCAATGGGAGCAGGCGCTCTCATATTTTTCAAAAACACCCTCAATTGCCTTTAATTTGTTCCTATTTTTCTTGTGCAGCAGGTTGTTTAATACTAGTTTCCTGTGTTTAGCCAGCTCAAGTGTGCAGATAAGGGGTGAGAGAAAAATTATGAGGAATGATTTTGTCTGCAAAGAGGAAACTCATAATTAAAAACATTAGAAGAGCTCATCTAGTCAAGCACCTAATTCTCACCGTAGCCAGCCAGATGCCCCAAGGGAGGCCCATAAGCAAGCAGGACCTGAGTGAAACAGCAGGGCCCTCCCCACTTGTGATTCCCTGCTCCATAACTGGCCATGAGATCCTTATCAGAGTGTGGACTTTCTCCAGTGTTTCCCAGGATCTACCAGATAAAAGAAATATGGTTCATTCTCTGGAAAGAACCTAGTCTGGGGCATTCTCATCCAAAAGTGGTGGGGTGTGGAAAGTATTATTATTGCCTTCATCATCATTAAAAGGGCTTCCGGGGGCGGCGCGAACGGCAAATGGCGGTCCTCTTCTGAACGGGAGAGGAGGCTCCACAGACAACGGGTCGTCCGCTATGGCGAAGCGGAGACCCACATCGGAAAACCCCAGGCAGCAAGAGCTTGGGGTCTTGGGGCTCGGTGGGCGCCTTGAGCGACCCTCCAAACGCGAAAGGAACCCCGTAAGGGGCTCCGGAGCGTGGAGGGGGGTTGCGGCGCTGAGAGCTGCTTCACAGTCTGTGGAGCGAAGCCGCGCTGCTGTTGCCGGTGAGCGCTGATCCCTTTTCCTGTTAAAATACGGATTCGGATGAAAAGCAACTTATTCGTGAGTTAAGACTGAACTACTTGAAATTAGAGATTTTAAATGAAAAATTCTAATTGGTCTGAAGAGACGGAGAGACGTGGAAACAGGAAGTCCGTCTTCCGCAGCCATTGAACTTGAAAAAAGCAACGAGCTGGAGGAGTGGAGGCTGAAAGAAAGAGATTTTAAACTTTACAGATCTAAGCATCTACTGAACTTGCAATTGAAGGTAAAGACTTTAAGTTAAAGATTTGGAATTATTACTTGCACTTGACTTTCCTCCTTTTATTGGATTACAAATTAGAAGGTGAAACCCAGAGTCAGGAGCTGCCTGAGCATTGAGAGATTGAGCTGTCAGTATTGCAGATTTGGATACTGTATATTGGAACTTGCAACAATCTGAGGGTATTGAGACCTTTTAAATTTGAAACATTCTTTTTGAGACAAATAAGCACTGTCTGTAACAAAGTGACCATTTATAAACTCTGCTAAATATTTGTATCTGAAGGTTCTTGGATATTAAATTAGACTCTGAAAGACATTTTAGGCTCCCTCTAGAGGATTGGATTAAAACAGTGACTTTACATGTACATTTACTTTTGATTCCCTTGTTGTTTGCCGCTCTGGGCCTTTCCATTCCCATGGGAAAAACTCAGTGTGACCTTGACTGATAGATAACGTTGGAATGAGTGGCACAAGAAAAAGAGGGAGAGTTAGACAAACAACTTTAACAACTCTAACCTCAGCCTCGCAGACACGTAGATCATCTGTACCTACTTTGCCCTCAGAAGTAGAAGTTGAAGAAGTTGCCTTGTTACAGGCAAAAGAGGGAGAGGGTGAAGCAGAGCAGTTACAACTGGAAGATATGGCCTCAGGAGTATCTGTTTCTGTTCTAGACAAAATCTTTGAAAAATTGGAAGCTTTGGACAAGAAAGTAGATGTGCAATCAGCAAAGATTGACAAAAATACAGAATGTCTAAATAAATTAACCATACAAGTGGTACAGAATACACAAGCAATTGGACAGTTAACGGAGGCCTCAGCAGAAAATCGGAAATTGGCTGAGGACACCAGACAAAAATTAGAAAATTTAGAGCAAGAGGTAAGACCACTTACTAAACAAGTTGGGGAACATCAGATTTATCTTTCTATGATAGAACTGCGAAATCGTGAGAACAATCTGAGGATTAGATCATTACAAGAGGCAGAAGAAGGAAATTTAACTGAATTTTTGACCAAAGAATTCTCCAAGTTCTGGAATTTGGAAGAAAAGGACTTTAAAATTGTGTCAGCTTTCAGACTTGGAAGATTCATAAAGAAGGAGAGGCCCAGAGACTGTTTGATAACATTGAGATCAAAGGAGGAAAGGGATAAGATTTTGGGCCTACATTACGGAAAGTCACTGGAGGTTTTGGACAGAAGAATTGAAATATATAAAGATATTCCAAGACAACTGCTGGATCTTAGAGCCGCCTATTCTGAACTTGCTAAACTACTAAGGAGCAACGCAATTCCATTCAGGTGGGAATTTCCCCAAGGAATATCTTTTACTTTTAGAGGGAGAAAGGTCAAAGTTAGAACATTGGAAGAGAGAGACAAATTTTTGACTACATACGGAGAGGACCTTCAAAAAGGAATTGAATTACCTTCTGGGCCTGGGGCAACGCCAGCATTAACACCAGCACCTGGGGAACCTGAAGATTCAGAGAAGACACCACCCCTGGAGAAATAACCAGATTGATCCAGGATGTCTCTGCAATTGCTGAGCTGGAATATTAATGGTTGTAACATTCCGGAAAAAGGAAGAAAATATTTCACATATTAAAAAAGAACAATTGGACATTATCTGTTTACAAGAAACACATGTGACGAGGCTCCATAGAAAAGTGTTAATAAATAAAAGATTGGGCCAGGAATTTGTATCGTCGGACAAAGTTAAGAAGAGAGGCGTGGTGATATATGCAAAGAGAGCCTGTCACCTAAATTCTTATTCAAAGATGAACATGGAAGAATCTTGGCTATTGAGATACAACATCAAGGAGAGAAACTGTTGATATTAGGAATCTATGCACCTAATGAAGGGAAATCGGAATTTTACAAGAAGCTGCACGAGACAATGCTGGACTATCTGGATTACAACAATATCATAATGATGGGAGATATGAATGGGGTCGTATCAACTAACATGGACAAGTCACAAAGTCAAAATGTTACAAAAGACGGCAGACTACCTAAGACTTTTTTTGAAATGACTGACAATATGGATTTGATTGATATTTGGAGGACAAAGAACCCACTAGGAAGAGAGGGAACATTCTTTTCTGAAGCCCAACTGACCTGGACAAGAATCGACCAAATATGGATTTCTAGAGGCCTAACAACAGCAGCAAGGATACTTCTCGCCAAATACTGGAAAACTCAAGATCTACCCACACTGGAAGAATGGCAGATGCAACTGATAGACTACATGGAATTGGCTGAAATGACCGGCAGAATTCGTGACCTGGGAGAAGAGAGGATAGAGGAGGATTGGAAGAAATTTAAGAATTATTTACAAAAACATTGTAATTTGAGTGAATGTTAAATAAGATGCTAGACTAAAACAACTGAGCACCACTAAATCTAGAATTTTTTCTAAGAAAACAAATAAGATTGTGAAAATTTAATTCCTTTCGAGAATTACAAGATTATGAAATATAGAAGGGACATAAGAATTTAAATAAGATGATAAATTGCTGATAAAATGTTATAACGATGAAAGTGGGAGCGGGAGATGTGAGGAAGTCCAAAGAAAATGTGAAACTATGTTAAGACAAATGTTATATTGTTCACCATGTTTATTTTTATTGTAAAACCCAATAAATTGCTTTAAAAACATCATCATTAAAAGGTGGCTAAGGCTGTCACCTTTTTACTGCCCTGGCTCCTGTGCCCTGAACAGCAACTCAACACATTGACATTCCCCTTTACTGGGCATTCATTAGCTTTCCAGTGCTGGGTTTTTAGTCTGTGTTCACAAGACATCATCAAAAATGCAAATGAATATTGTATTTCGTTATAAGATACTACTGCCTGATGCCGTTGCTTCTCAAAACCAGCTTCACACTGATTGGAGCCCTTAAGCTATTCCTAATTAGTCTCTAGCCAAGGTGTGGGCAGCTATGCATCAGGGAAAGACATCCACACCCCTGTCAGTGCGCTTTAAGGCAGTAATATGAACACACCCTTTGTGGGTGAATCTTCTGGCAAGGGAGAAAGAAGCTGCACATGCCTGATTTCACTGTGCTGAGCCTACTGTTTAAGCACAAGAGCAAGATCAGTAAAAAGGTGGCAACCTTCAGCAAGCCCCCATCTCCCAGGAACCTCATGTCATCTTTATTCTTAATAATTCATCTCACAGTGGGGGTCTTCTCATCTCCCTCTGCCCAGGTTCTAAGCCAGACAGAGCCTTAATGGGATTTTTATTTTTAATTACAACAGAGTTAGCCAAGCCCTGCAAGGATTCACTGTGCCTTCCAGATGTTGTTCCAGCACTCCAATTCCTAGCAACGCTAGCAGCCAGCATAGATTAAAGTCGGGGATGGTGGGACTTCGAGCCCAAGAACGTTTGGTGTGGGTGTGTGAGCACCCAGTTGGCAAAGGCAACTGCTGCAGGCTTCAGCTTGACTTCCTTGCTTGGATCTTGACCTTGGCCAGCGTACTCTCATGAGGCCCAAGACAGATGATGCATGTGGTGGCATAAGATCTATCTCTGGCAGAACTCAGCCCAGCCTGGCAGAGACTTTTTATGCCGTGATGCCCACAAAAGGAGTGCTTTGCTCTCTCCTAGGGAAAAAGACAAAATGCCCCTTGAATCTCTCCTGCAGAAAAAGCTCCTGCCCTTCCTGTTTTATGGTGAAGTCAGCATCCCCTTGCTGGACATTCCCACATGACTCAGGCTGGTCATTGCCTGTTACATGATGCCATAATCAGCTGGTGAGAAGGAGAGCAGGAGCCTGAACTCTGGGGAGGGAGAACAGTGGGGGCACGTAAAGGCCCTCAATTCTGCTCCAGCAGTCTCCTCTCTACCTGCAGTCACATAGGACATCAGGTGTGTGGGCATGGTTTGGGGGGAAACAGCTTTGCGGGCAAAATCTGAACGCCTGGCAGGTCAAGTATGGCCTGCACACCAGAGGTTCCCCAGCCCTGAGTTACAAGGGAGGGGCTCTGATGGCTACACTTCTTTCTCCATCTCTCTTAAGAGAGCACCAGAAAGTTAGGAACATTGAACTTCCTAATCAAACACCTGACGTATCATATTCCCACATCAAAGGCAGCTCTGTTGGGCAACTGTGGCTCCTAAGAAGGAGCAGAGCTGTCGGGGACTAGAAGTCAGTCTCTCTGGAAGGAACACCCAAGGGTGGGGCTCACCTTTGAGAGTGCTGCTGGGTGCAGTTGGTGCCTATGGTTTACCACATGCCTCCCACATAAAGTTTCTGCCCAGATCTTAAGATCATCTTCAGAGGCCCATCTTTGCCACATTGCTACTACCAGAGGGGCTTTTGAGGCTTTTCAGTGGCCCTCAAAGAGTTCTGTGATCGTCCTAGTATCAGGCTGAAGCCCTTTTAATCTACCCAAGCTTTCTAGATGCTGTTGATAAATGATTTTGCCTTACTTGCACTGACGTTAAGCAGTTTTCACATCTGCTGCTGCTCAGGTTATCCTACTTTCAAAGTTTTACTGTGCTGAATTGCTGCCTGAAGGAGCTTCCAGATGTGGACAGCTGAGCAGCACCTCATCATTGCTGTTCTGCTTTAAGCTGCAAGTGGAACAGCAACTCTGCTTCCAGACTTCTGAAATCCAGACAACATGCTGCAGCCAGGTGAGCAGTGTCTCATTCCCTGCCTTAAATAGGAGGGTGTGGAGTGGGGAGATTGATACTTGTTTGGACAATTGGGGGCATGCAGATGGGTTTACTATTCACTCCACCTTGCTACATGACTGCCCCACCCTGCTACAAGATGGGGGGAAGAAACAGATATAAATGAAATACTATATCCATCTGTCATGGATGCTTTAGCTGAGATTCCTGCATTGCAGGGGGTTGGACTAGATGACCCTTTTTGTCCCTTCCAACTCTGCAATTCTATGATTCTATATAAAAAGGAAGGGTTTAAGAATAAATTCCCAGACAGAAACGCATCCTTGTGTCGTGTTTTACCTGTTCAGCTCCAAAGAAAAACAGCAACAGAAGCTGAACAGGTAAAATATGACACAGGGATGTTTTGTTCACATCATGTAAATGGCCGTAAAAAGTGAGTGAACACTGTGTGGCTAGTCCCCGGTAAATTCTTAGTGTGGAAACAGTGGTAGTTTAATTTTTTTGAATTCCTAGCCACTCTGGAAAACCTTTCATGGTTGAAGAGTGATATGTAAACTTATGTAAATAAACAACAGACCTGCCCTCCAGGCCTACTCTGCACTGTGCACCGCAGTTACTGTACATGTACGCCCATTTGTACCCCCAGCTTTCCCTGAGTCTTAGCTGTTAAGTCAGGGACAGGCAGGAAGGCAAGTTATCCCCATGCACATTTTAAACCCAGATCCAGCAACTATGGGAAAGGTTGCAGAAATCTGCCCTGTGCATTTAAATCTCTGCACTGCCCTCAAAGATGAGGAGGAAGCCACAGCAGCTCCTGCCCCTCCTTTGCCCTTCCCACAGCTGCTACTGCTGCAATAAGTAAGTAGCAAGGGGGGCATTCTCCCCCAGGCTGAGCTCCCCCACAGTCCAGTCTCTGAAATGAGATAAGGAAATGTCATGACCTGGTCCCTCTTCTAAGCATGCGTACCTGTTGCAGCACAGCACAGCATGGCTTAAAGGCCCAAGAGGAGTCCACCCCCCCCCCCCGCAACCTCTGGGGTGAGCTTTTGATTTATGCAATGCTTGAAATGGTAGGTCACAAACTGGACCCCTGTCAAGCGAGAGGGCGGCCCTGAAAGCTCTGGAATGCTTTTCCAGTTCATATGTGCCTCCCCTCCTCCCTCCATCTCCCCCCTCCCTCCGCCACTTCAGTATGCAACCAAGACCTCACTTTTGCAGACATAAAAACCTGCCTTCAAGCAAGTGGAAAACTTCAAGAATTGCAGTTAGCCACTGAAATCAACCCCATGTGCATCCTCAAAATAATCTCTCTCCTCTAGAGACTATCAGAAGGGCACCATCTAGTGGCAGCACTGCATTCAAAATTCTGACAGCACAGCTTGCATCAAAATCTTTGGGAAGGAGATATCCTGGCACTGCAGGGAGCCCCATCGGTCAACGGGAGCACATGCCGAGTGTTCCTGAGAGAAAGGAAGCAAGAGTCTGTCAGGGCCACATATGGGTCTAGCCAAACCAAACTCCCTTATGCTAAGGAGGCAAAGGGGTTTCATTTCCTTGGTGCCTGCAGAGCTTACAGAACAGAAGGCTTAGATATCTTTCATAGCTGTCAATGTTTCCCTTTTTAAAAGGGAAATTCCCTTATTCCAAATAGGATTCTTCGCAAGAAAAGGGAAAAGTTGACAGCTATGGATTTCTTCCCAGCAGTGACTCTGTAGTGTAGCTGGACTGGTGCAGTTGTGTGGGTGCAACTTAGTTACACAAGCAGCTTACATGCCCCCAAAACCAGGGGAAGCCAATCACCTGCAGCAACAGGAACCTAAGCAACAGTCTTTGCCAACTTGGTGCCCTTCATATGTTTAGACTACAATTCCCATCAACCACAAAACATCTACAGATCTTATTATAGGTTGGCTTAACAGGTTTTTTTTAATAGGTTCCGCCCCTTATGGTCCAATGCAGCAACATTTTGCATCTTATTATTGTGTTATTATTTATCAGTTTTTACTGGGAGGCCTGATGTTAGGCAGAAACGTGGGGTATAAATATTGCAAATAATTAAATCATGTCTGCCTTGATTAACCCCACAAGAGCAAGTGCCCACCCTCAAAACACCAGCCACCACAACCTGAATGCTCCCAAAGAGAAAGTACCACCCACTACACAAGAAAAATAGGAACCACTATGAAAAAAGGTGAATTCCATGCTTAGGGATCATTGGGGAAAGAACTGAAAATAAAACTGCTGATATCATAATGCCATTACACAAATTTATGGTGTGACCACATTTGCAATACTGTGTAAAATTCTGGTCGCTTCACCTCAAAAGGATATTGCTGAGTTGAAAAGGTTGCAGAAAAGGGCAACCAAAATGACCAAGACGATAGAGAGATTCCTCTCTGAGGAAAGGTTGCAGTGTTTGAGCCTTTTTAGTTGACAGAAAAGATGAGGAAGAGGTGACATGGTGGAGGCAAATAAAATTATGCATGGAGCAGAGAAAGTGGTTAGAGAAAAGTTTTTCTCCCTCTCTCGTAACACTAGAACTCATGGACGTCCAATTTAGCTGAATGTTGGAAGATGCAGGACAGGTAAAAGAAAGTACCGTATTTTTCGCTCTATAAGATGCACCAGACCACAAGACGCACCTAGTTTTTGGAGGAGGAAAACAAGAAAAAAAATATTCTGAATCTCAGAAGCCAGAACAGCAAGAGGGATTGCTGCGCAGTGAAAGCTGCAATCCCTCTTGCTGTTCTGGCTTCAGGGATAGCTGCGCAACCCGCATTCGCTCCCAAAGAGGCACACACATTTCCCCTTACTTTTTAGGAGGGAAAAAGTGAGTCTTATAGAGCAAAAAATACGGTATTTCTTCACGCAATGAAGTTAAAATATGGAACGTCCCTTCCATTTGGATGACTTGAAAATAGGATTAGACAAATTCATTGAGAATAAGGCTATCAACGGTTACTAGCCACAATGACCACGCTCTGGCTCCCCTGCCCAAGGCAATATGCCTCTGAATCCCAGTTACTGGGAATCACAAGTGGGCAGAATACTGTTGTGCTCAGATCCTGCTTGTGTGCTTCCCAATAGGCATCTCTATGAGAACAGCATGTTGGACTGCCTGATCCAGTCATTTATAAAGATGTTGGACAGGACAGGACAGAAGCCTGCAGCACTTCACTCTACTTGTCACCTTTTTCCAGGGCATCATTTGTCTGTATACCAGGAGAAGGCATTTTGCCTAATGAATTTCATTTTGTCTGGCCGCCATGGAAGGCCAAGCGAAAAAGCCAGCAAGGCGAGAAGGTGCAGTTCCGCTTCCGAGGGTGGCCCCAGCATTCCACTGGGACTGGGACTCCAGTTCATGCATTTGAGCTCCGTGGGCGGAAAGAAAGGAGCACTTTGCAAGGGCAAAGTGATTTCCTTGTGAAGATTGGAGAGACGGGCAAAATGTGTGCAGGCCTCCCTGCAGATGCCTTTGCCCTGTGCTCAAAGGCCAAGCATTCCCAGGGAGCGGGATGACTGGGGCATTGTGCTCACGCCTTCAGTCCATATGGTGGGCATAGAGTTAAAGGGCTTCATTTTCTCATCCATGTCTGTGCTCTTGAAAGGGCACATTGGGGAAATGGAACAAAACAGCATCCACCCCCTACCCTGCATTTCAGCAGCCTTGTGCTCGGATGGCAGGAGGCAATTAAAAATCATTTCGAATGAGCTCATTTGCTTCTTCTGCTTCTTGTACAAGGACCATTGTGGCCTTGGCTTGTGTCTCTGAAATCTCAAGATTTACTCAGCAGCGAACCTGGGTGAGGGTTCAGTCCCATTTCCTGCCCTGAGGAAGCTGACGTTTTTCAATAAAAGGAATATGAGAGGACGCCTATGTGACAGTTTGATTCTGTCCATTTGGACATGAAATAGAGAATAGTGGTTTTCTGTCCCACTACAGGTGCTAACACTCAACAATGCGAGGATGACTATGTTATCACAAACGGCTGTTGTTGTTCAGTGGGGTTATTTTGCATACATTTAAGATTAAAATGAATGTTCACAGTCTGCATATCTTTTGCATTTCTTTCCCATATGATCTCCAGTTTTTACCATTTTATCTCAACACCCATCCCTGCCAGCTAAGACTCACCCTCCTTGCATCTGACAAAATAGCCTCTGTTCCACAAATATTTACGCCATAATATATTTGTTTGTCTTTAAGGTGCTGCAAGCCTGTTAGTTATTTTTGCCAGGAGGAATGCAGAATAACTATGCAAAGTTAGTCCCTATTTTGTTTTAATTAAAGAGATGAGTTGTAGGCAAACACTGTGACCAGGATCCCACAAACAGTATGCAGATGCTGGAGAAAGCCTCCTGAGGCCAGGTTGCAGGCCAAGAAAAGGAGCTGCCTGCCACCCCCACCAGCACCAACACCCCAAAGAAAAGGCAACCCAAAGTTCAAGAAGAAGCCCTCCTGCCCTGTGTCAAAGACCCTTTCCAGCCAGGACACATGCAAAATCAGAGACAAGACACTAAGACGGGAGGTCTTTTTCAGTCCATGCAGACTTGTTTCTCTGCTTCAACTGAGCAGGGACACAAGAAATCCTGGCTAGGAATTGGTGGCTATAAGTAAAAGTTATTCTCTGTGGGGAGTGGGGTCGAAAGTTTTGTTTGCATTTTGATGAGAAACTACTTTGCAAACCAATACACAGACTGAGACACAGGTATCCTTCCACATTCCCTTCAGAAGCTGCCTTATATTGAGTCAGTGTATTTACCCATCTAGATTAGTGTAGTTGACACTGACTGGCAGCAGCAGCAGCTGCTCTCCAGGGTTTTACAAGCAGGGAGCTTTAAGCACTGTGCTGCTACTATTATTATAATTATTATATATTTATTTATACCCTACCATTTTCCCTGCTGGGGACTCAAGATGAAAACGATAGCCCTTCCTTTGCTAGGATGGATGGCTGAGGACAGGAGCAGACGGAGGGTCTCAAGACCCCCTCCTCCTTCTTAGTACAGACAGGCAAGTAAACAGGGTCAGCTGCTCAAATTCCCTGGGAATGGAGGAAATCTCATTAAAGAATTCTGGAAAGCCTAACCTCAAACTATACACATCGTTCTATCATGTTTGGTTCTCTGTGTTTATGCAGAATGAAAAAATGCATGTCATGTCCTTAAAGTTATTTGTTTATTGGCTGAAACTATAGCAATTTTTTTCAACTTTTAAAATCTCATTATTAGTTCAGCAGCAGCAGGTGCTGAAAGATTGAAGTTTTTCACTTGCTTGTGCTGAAATATTACTTTGCACCTTTCAGCTGCAAACTGGTGGCTGTGTACATGGGGTCCTGCAACCTTTATCGTTACCAGGTAGCAGAGCTGGTGGCCGGCCTCAGGGGTCATAGTTTGGGGAGGTTTTGAACCTGGGACTCCAAAACTTTAACAATTACTGCACCCTACAATGGAACACATTTCTGAAAGTCATTTCCACTTTCAGACCACTTTGCAATGGCAGGGAGCCTGTTTCCATGGACCGTGCCATGCCCGCGGTGGCACCAGTTTCAAGCTGGAAAACTGCTCTTTCCCCTTCTCAAACTGCGCTCTTTGGAATGTGCCGCGCGGTGACTTTTCCGCAAGGAGGGCTAGCCAGGTGCGCTAGAAGAGGTGCCTAAGAGAGATGGGGCTCAACCCAGGGGCCCCCTTGGTGCTTCCCGCCAGCTGCCCAACAGGAGCAGGGCAGGAAGGCCACTCTGCAGCCCCGGCATCCTGGAGAGGCGGGCTGCCTCCGAAGACGGAGGCTCCGCCGTCCACCCCTCCCTCCCTCCCTCCGGGGATCTGTGCCACCTGAGCCGGGAGGCCGCCGGCTCGCTTCCCACCTGGAGGGATCCCGGCCTCCTCCAGCGCTTCGTAAACACCGAGAAACGGCGAAGAACAGCGATGGATTGGTGGATGGAGTCAGGGGCAGCAACTGCCCTCGAAGATGCTTCGGGCAAGGCTCTCCGACCCCAGTTCCGTGCACGAAGGAACCTCGGCGACCCCAAAGCTCGGGCGCCTCCGAGATGGTCCTCGTCCGCCAGCCGGCAAAGTTCGGCTCCCGCTTTCCCTGCGGAGCTGGAGCACCAGGCTCCGCCCGCTCCTCTCCCCGAGGCACTCTGCACATGCTCATAGGAGCCATCAGCCTTGCGCGCGCTGCCGCCCCCTCGGGCGCGACTCACCATGGCCGTTGTTGTTGACGCTGCGGCCGCCGGCGGCGGCAGGCTCTTCCCGGCACTGCTGCTGCTGCTGGAGGCGCCCAGCTGAGCCCGGCCCGCAGCCGCAGAGCCAGCCAGGCCGGCCCTGTAACCTGATCCCCCCTCCGCCCACCGCCCCGCCTCACCCGGCCGGGCTTCGCGGGCTTCGCAGACTGCTGCGGCTCCCAAGGCCCCGCGGCCTCCCAGGAGCAAAGCGGAGGTAGCGGGGAGATCAGCTCCCGGCCTCCGCTCCAGAGGCGCCCCCGGACCGCCCCTCAGGGCCCCGGGAGCGGGGTGGATGGTGCCCCTCACTCCCCGCGACGCCTGGGTTCGCTTGGGGCGAAAGAGGAGCTGCAAGGGAGCGAACAGGGTCCCACTGCTGCCCAGGCTGCGCCTACATCCCGGCTAGAGGCTGTGCTAAAGGAGGCCAGAGAGAGGCCCGTCCCAGGCACACCTGGAAGAGGCTTCGTTGCCCCAGGGTCGGAGGTTCCCCCTGCCCGGGTGACTCGGGGAGCCCCTGTTGCTCAGGCTGTTCTCTCTGCTTGCCCGGTCCCAGCGGCCTTGCTTGGGCCCCCAGCCTCCAGCTGCCTCCAGCACTCCAGGCTGTGGTCCTGCAAAGCCAGCCCTTAGCCTCCTTAGTTTGGGGTTCGGTCTCCTGCTCGACGTCGCAGGGATTGCCAGAGAGAGGCCACCACTAGCCTCCTCTGCGCTCCCTAGGACTCTGTGGCTTTGCCTGTGGTGATCCTGGCACTGGCACCCTCCAGATCCCAGAGGCCTCTTGGCAACCCCTGACACACACACAGGCCATCTAGTCCTTGAACCATTGCACCTCTGGAGCCCCTGGTTGGCCTCTCCTAGTGCCAGCCACATCCTCACCCAAGTGGATTCTCAAACTGTGTGGTGGGGAGAGGGGTTTAATGCCAGGAAGAGATGCCAAGCCTTGAGCACCACCCCTTGATTTTGGCCAACGTAGTGATGCCCAGCTTCGAGCCTGTCTTCAAGAGGCAGGCATCATGTTGGGTCCCTAAAACAATCCTGAGCCTTGAAATCAGCATTCTCTTTTGCCCCCCCCTCCCCATGACCCCAACCCATCTGACTGCACTTGTCCTTCAGCCTGTCTTAGCAAAAACAAACCCTTTAACCCACCCACCCACAACAGCTCGGTCTGCCAGCATTGCACTTGTCACCCCCTCCCTTCTGTGGTGCCAGGTTCCGAGGCCCTTCGTTGCCAATCCCAGGTGGCACCAATATGCAGGTATAGTTTAAAAGGCCAAGTAATTCCTGTAGCTATTCAGAATCAGTTTTTCTGGGGTATATACTTGTCTTCTCAGTTGACAAGCTGAGTGCTACGAGTTCAGTGTTGCTGTTCTGTGCCTTTTGTACTATCTAAATAGGTCAGATTGGGAAAAGGGACCTCAGCCTTTTGTGGTGCTTGAGTTTGTGTAAGTGGCAAACTCATGCCTAAACTGGCTACATCCTGGGCCTGCAAAAAGGACATTGACCAGATTATGTCCCTAGTCCACTCTTTCAACATCCACTCCAATATGGAACCACATTTTTCAAAGGCAACTCATGAAACTGATCCTCCCATGTCTTGCGCCCATTCCCCAGAAAACTCAACAAGACAGCTTTTATGCAGTTTTTATGCCACAAGGCCCCTGGGAATAAGTGGTGCATCACCCCTTCCAGTCTGTCCTGTCCTAGGTAGTAGGCGTTGCTCGAACCCAAGTGGGTGGGTGTGCTATGCACAGTTTTCTAGAATTGCAGGCCACCTACCACTATTCCCAGTTTGGGATCAAGCAAACCAAGTCAGGTCTAGCAAAGGCCAGCAAGGTACGGTCATATAACGCAGGGTGGGAAATCCAGATAAACAAGGTCAGGCAAAGCAGAGGTCAAGGTCCAAAAGGCAAGCAAGCAAGATGTTTAGCACCCTGGAGAGCTCCAAATGGAGTCTGGAGAGGCAGGCTGGAATGTTGCTCCAGTTACCAGCAAACCCAGGCTCAGGGACTACAGGTTCCTCTGGGCAGCTACTCCTGCCTCCTCCTAAGGAGTGGAGTCCTGACCAGGCCCAGTTTGGCATTCTGTTTTTAGAAATGTTTTTATTTATTTTTTTCAAATTACAATAACAACAATAAAATAAATTGTCCAACAACAACCAACCCAAGCTTGTCCTCTTATATGTACAGATGTGTATCATGCATTATAATAAAGTTTGATTCAATTATTGTAAACAGTCTTGCCACATTTCCCCATGAGCATCAGGTAGCTTTCTTCCATGGTCTAAATGATTCATGTACTCAATAAATATTTGCCATGTATTATAGAATGAGAATGGATTGTGTTTGCCACTAGCAGCTCTGACTTGACAGGCCAGCTTCCTGGCCAATGCTACTGACCACACTCTAGCATACCAGGAGTCAATGTTAAGACCTGTTCCTGCTGTCCAGCTTCTGGCAATTTCCACACATGCTGCTGTTAGCAGAAAAGCTAGGAGCTCATTATTAGAATAATCTAGAGTGGGTGGGATTCTAATTCCTAGTAAGCCCAGCGTGTTTGAACAGTCATTGACTCTGATGTCTACTAGGGTTTCCTCCCAGATGGAGTCTCAGAGCAAGAATGTGACCTCTTCTAGCCAAAGAAGTGCTGGCATCATGGGCTACTCTGGTGCCAAGAGCCCCAAGGTGTCCTCAGCACTGAATAAGCCTGAGTTTTTGGCCCAAGATGCACTTGGCATTCCCGGCGTCTTCCCTTGAGCCCTGATTCATGGCAGGCTCTTTTCCTTCATGTTAGTCTTCATCCCTTCTAGTGAATCCCTTGCCATCCTAGGCTCCCAGATGCCTTGGCAGGAGGGTAAGACAGATCCCTGCCAACAGATAAGTGGCGTGGTCAGCTTTTGGGTATTGATCCAACACGAGAAGGGGGAGAGCAGCCATCCCTGGGGTGGTGTCTTTTGGTGGAGCTTCTCCCTGCTCTCTTTCCTTGACTTTCTCTCTTTGGAACAGGAGGCAAATGGATAGGGGCTGGGATTGACAGGGCACTGGGCTCAGCATCCCAGGAGTTAAAACTCCCATCACAGCAGGAAGGGTTGAGCCACCTGCCCCAGCCTCCTAGTTGCAGAAGTTCCACTCTGAGTGTCAGAACAGTCCCCACCAACCATGCACCAGAGAATGCCCAGGTGCCCAGTATACCTGAAGGAACGCCTCCACCCCATCGTTCAGCCCAGACACTGAGGTCCAGCTCCAAGAGTCTTCTGGCGGCTCCCTCACTGCAAGAAGTGAGGTTACTGGGAAGCAGGCAGAGGGCCTTCTCGGTAGTGGCGCCCTCCCTGTGGAATGCCCTCCCATCAGATATCAAGGAAATAAACAATTACCTGACTTTTAGAACACATCTGAAGGCAGCCCTGTTTAGGGAAGTTTTTAATGTTTGATGTTTTATCATGTTTTTAATATTCTATTGGGAGCCGCCCAGAGTGGCTGGGGAAACCCAGCCAGATGGGCAGGGTATAAATAATAAATTACTGTACTACTACTACTACTACTACTACTTCACCGGGCTTACTGCCCCCGAGTGGTGAGTTTGCAGACTACGTCATAGAAATGGTTAAATCCTGCCAGGCAGGTATTCTCATTTCCCCCACACTTCCTTGGCTTCTTTCTGCTAATCCTTGGCTTCAGACTCTCATTGATATATTCCTTTCTCCCAGTCTTTTATTTTGGCCCCATGTGGGTCAATAACTTCCCTGGAGCACCTGCTAAAAGCAGCAGCACCACCAGCCCAGCTTATGAGGCAGCTTTCCCCAACTTGGTGCCCTTCAGATGTCTCAGACTGTGAATCCGAACAGCTCCATCCAGTGTGGGAATAAGAAAGGCTGTGTAAGACGTGGGACTTTTTCTCCTGGAAGCTCCACTGGGATGGACAGGATTCTTGAGTAACTCCTGAACTCCTGTCCCTCGCAGGGGAGCTGGTGTGTATCCTAGTAGGGAGCTGTAGCCAACACAAGCCTCCTGATTTTCCCGGCACCCAGCTAGTTCCCAGCCCTGCCCCGTGGCTGACCACCAGGCACTCCTAACAAATCGTCAGCATCTGGTTCCACGGTAGGACACAAAGGTGGAATTTCCAAAAATCCCCCACTCCCTTATACACACACAGAAAGTTCAGCTTAATAAATGTTGGGAATGAAACATTACGGAAATGCCGATTACAAGTCATGGAACCATAATCACAATCCTATCAAGGGAGGCTGAAGGCTTTTTCCTCTTGGAGAGGAAGTCATTTTGTGTGGCAAATTCCTCCACCGGTCACAGTCAATTGTTTCCAATGGCCAGGGGCCAAAGGCGGGAGGGAGGGGTTACAGTAACAGCCAGGAAATGGTCTGTTAAACTGGAACAAGGAGAGCAATGCAGGGAGTGGGTGGCTATTCAGGTAAATAAACCCTGCTCTGTGTAGCCACCTGGGGTAGTTTAACATCTACTGTGAAGAGAAACATGGAGTGGGAATGCATCAGACCCTCAGTTCACTCTGATCCCTTAGTTTGTGGGAATAAATACACCCCTTCCAACATGGTTGAAAATAAAGTTGGCAGAAATGCTCATGTGCAAAAAGCTCTCAATAGGTGAAATCTATAGCTAGGAAATGATTCAGCCGCAGCACAAAGGCTAAGATTTCTGGCAACTCACTACTAGAACACACTGGTGGCCAAATAAATGAAACCCCCCTCCCTAGGCATTTTGGTGGGGTGTGGCTGACTTGAACTGGCCACCTTTCAGACACAGGAGAGGTGGAAGTCTGTATGGGACCCCCACTCTGAGCATACAGGGAGACCTCTGCTATCCATGCGCCCACAAGGTGCACCCAGCATATTGAGAGTCAACATGGTGTAGTGGTGAGTGTTGGACTAGTATGGTGTAGTGGTGAGTGTTGGACTAGGAGATTGGGGTTCATATTTGCACTCGGCTATGAAGCTGCCTAGGTGACTTTGGGCCAGTTGCTGCCTCTCAGCCTAACCTACCTCACAGGGTTGTTATGAGAATTAAACGAAGTGAGGGAGAACC